TTCAAAAAATCATTAAAGAATTATTTATTAGAAAAATGTTTTTATGCCTAGCAAGAATTCTTTAAATAACTAATATTCATATTAGTTTTAGAGTATGAGCCTGTCTCCTCTTTTTCATTCGTATTTCTGCATTGACACTTACTACGCAATTTTACTGTCTGACTGGAAATAAAGAATTGTTATCATTATTATAATAAAAACCCAAGAAAATATTTCAATATTTTATTAAGAAATTACCCATCTATGTTGTTTAAAAAGTAAGATGAATTAGCATAAATAACAAAAAACAAATTAAAAAGCCTCCTAGCCACAGTATCATCCATTACAATTCGAATAATCGTCCAAGTGCAATACGAAAATTTTGAAAACCCCATACCCAAACATCAGCCAGACTCCTGAAAGTACAAATCAGAGGTAGTTCTTCCATTGTTTGAATTTCTTGTAACAATGCTGCCTATACTCAGGATCTACAAATAAAGAATAATTCGTGGACAATCGGGTTTCAGTTATAAACCAGTCTTCTTCTCAGCTGTTGATTTTTTTGGGAAGATACAAAGTTTCGCAGTTGCGCGACACGAACTCAATTTCACAAATTGATTTTCTCATTCAAAACTAGTAAGAACCATATAATTTCAAAATTAATTCGTTAAAGTCAACAGTTTGTAAAGATCAATCTGATATTCTCAATGCCCACTAGGTGGCAGCATTATATTGCAAGTTAAACACGAATATGATCTAAGAGATCTCTTGTTGCATGATGCCCAGTGGATCGTCATACATGGTCGATAACGTTTTCAGCTGTTAGGAATATTTTCATTGGTTCTGTGATGATGGTGTGCAACATGTTCACAACTGCAAGTGATCACACCTAAGTACACGTACGAATAGTCTTACCCCTTTGATGAATATTCAGAAAAAAACATGGATTAACTAACACGCTAATGAATTTACCAAGACTCTGAACAGTCGTCAACAAACACTAGGATCTCTATACCTAGCAGCTGAATGAATTTCATCACAACTACGAACCATACTGAAATCCGCTGTCCACCACAAGAGATAAGTTAAAAAAAAAATAATCGACCCAAGCATTTTCAATAAGATAAAACTTTACGTATTTATCGAATCAACCACTGAAACATATCCTGGCAACAAAAGTCCTTACACACAGCACTCCATCACTTTAAACAACGGTCAAAGTAAATACCACCAACGTATCCCCCACGGATGGCTTTCTGCACGTTCTGCTCAAACAGTCTCCGATTGTTAGTGAGAACTTCGGCCGCTTCCTTATTCAAGGGATCTTCCGGGTTGGGTTCTAGGAATAGATACTGCAACCCGTAGACGATGCTGTTGATTGTTAGAACTGGTTTCCAGTCTTCTCGAAGAATGTTGAGGCATACGTTTCCTTGCTGATCGATGTTGGGGTGGTAGACCTGCGTTTCGCACTTCACTTTCGGGGGTTCGTGCGGATAGCTGGGACCCACTTTGAAACTGAAGATGAAACGACCAGTTCTGTAGAAGCCCTGAAATGGAATAATCATATTGCAAACTGTGGGATGCAAAAAATTGCAATTATATTTGAGTAAGTATGACTGATATGCCATATGCCAAGACAAGAACTAGGACAACGATTAAAAAAATATGTTTTTCTCACACAGTACAATCGCAATATTCATACATTCTAAATTACAGGGCATCATCAAAATATCCTTGTACATCATAATAGGCTTCATCACTTAATAGTTTTATATATTTCTTTCTAAATATGATATAAATTTTTGTGAAAGAAAGTTTTTGGCTTTCTACTACTTCATCTTGATACAAAAAAAGGATGAGAGAATCTTCCAAAGAAAGGAAAAAAGTAGTCAATTTGAAAATAAGTAACTCTATACATGGATGTGTATAGAGTTACAATATAAAAACATTGGGAAGTTTATTGTATATCCTGATTCCATTATACATCAACGAGTTTTGAGCCAAACATGTTTTTGGAATTGGTAGACTCGATTCATTTGACCTGTGTGGTATGTAGCTGTAGCTGTAGATTCATAGTTCTTCCTATTTTTATGTATGATCGTACAGTTTCCAATATAGATATTGAAATAACCGTAAAGATTCTATGTTCTCGAAAAAGGGGTTTACATGAATCCCGCCATTTCGCTTTACATAAGTACCTTTACATAAGTAGACTCACAAAAACTTTTGAAACGACCTAATATATTATATAAACAATGAATACACATCCTGATCACAAAAATATGTACCACCCAATCTTGAAGAACCCCTGTAATGCAGCAAATAACACTACAAAATCCATTCAGACAGAAAACATAAACTGTGTGAAACTAGATTTTGCGTATATTCAAAAGATCAAGTGGATTATAACAAAGAAAATCTTAGTAGTTTTTTTTTAACGAACTCGTGTTTAGATATAGATTCTAAAAATGATGAAGATATTCTAAGAGCAGCAAAAAAACTCAAACCAAAAAAAATCTTGTGGCCCCGATATTATTTCCTCTCATATAGTTAATTGATGCATACAACTCTTGATCAAACCCCTAAAAATAATATATAATATAATCTTGCAAACTAGTACTCACCTTATACTATGGAAACGCTCAAAAGTGTGTCCAATATTAAAAAATGGCATAAGGGAGGATATACAAAACTATCGGCAAGTAGCACTGATTTGTGCAACCGCTAAGCTTTTTGAATCAATTATTCACGTTTATCCATGCCTAAGCGAAAAACAACATGGGTTTTTACCTAAAAGGTCCACGATAACTAACCTAACATTTTGAATTATTCAAGGAAATCGAAAGTCAAGAAGATATGATTTTGCTACAAAATGGCGTAGATAGAGCTTTCGAGTGGTTCCTGGCAAATCGCCTCACATTTAATATTGACAAATGCATTAGTATGTCAATTGATAAGAAAAAACCAACGAAATGATTTTCAGTATAAAATAAATAATGAATATTTAGCCAAGAAGACAGAATGTAGAGATTTGAGAGTTACACTGCATGAAAAACTCACTTTTGAGCAATATATGACCAATTTTATAAGAGCATATAGAATGTTGGGCTTCATTATTAGGAACTCATTTAAATTCACAAAAATATCCACATTACCAACACTTTATAGTCCTTAATATATTGAAATATGGTGCAATAATATGGTCTCCTTGAAGGGGTTATATTTTTAGGAGTGATTAATTTTTTGCTGGGATTAAATCAAATAGGTGAATGAATGCCATTAAGATGTCATCGATGACATAAGCAGATCAAGCTTATTCCGTGACATTAAGTGTATGAACGAAGTGTGTGTATTTTCTATAATGTTATCCAATTTGGTACTGAAGAGCCTTAGGGCAAGTGTCTTAAGGCGAAACATCAATGTATACCAGTGAGGCGAAACATCAATGTATACCAGTGAGGATGACAGTGATCCATGTAAGTGCAATTTGTTACCATTCATATAAAGTAGAACTCATGTGAATGATATCTGATTTTTATTCCACAACGAATGTTTGAAATACAAACTGAGTAGAGAAAAGTATCTTCTGTATAATTCAGTGTTCATATAGAAGTATTTGTTTCGAAAGAATTTTTTCTTTCGTGTAATTCAATGTTTATATGAAAGTAGCTGTTTAAGGAGGACTTTCTTTCAGTTTGTGTCTGAAAGTTATTTCTTTGCATGATCTACACATCCATGTATAGAGTTACTTATTTTCAAATTGATTACTTCCTTCCTTTCTTTGGAAGATTCCCTCATTCTTTTTTTTTATCAAGATGGAGTAGTAAATGGTCTCCTTATTATTCAGTTCATAAAAATGAAATTGAAAAGGTACAGAAAACATTCTTAAGATTTCTACAATACAAAAAACATGGTGAATATATTTTCAATCTCAGTTATCATACCTCCTTAAGTGAATTTAAATGCACAACCTCAGAATTTAAAAGAAAAATTGCTTTTCTATTTTTTTCTATAAGCTATTGCAAAATGAAGTAGACAATCCACACTTGTCGAAAATGTATCTGAACTGCAATACATACTTCAATAATAGAAGAAATGATATATTTGCCTAAACCTCCATTCAACCTAGGTTTAAGTTCCCCGTTATACAATATTTGTTCTCTTGCAAATTGTTTGAGGAATGTAGGCAATGTATTGAACCAATAGGAATGAAAATGGTGTACCATTGTATTGTTTGATGTATTATAATTGTAAATTTTTTGTTACTTTGAGTGTATTTTACTATTTAACTACATTGTTGGCATCTGTAAAATATTCATTATTAGAAGCACAAATAAATATCTATCTATAATGACTTCACTGTATCACAAGAAAAATATTAACCATTTCTGAATAACTGAGAATTTTGTTTCCAAAAAAATAAAATTTCATTTATGACAATTGATATTGAGCCCATGATCCATAATTACACTTACGATTTCTAATTGCACTCACCTCACTCAATTTGCATTGTTAATCTTATAATCGTAAATAGACAAGAACAGAAACTATGATTAGAATGCATTTGATGCAGGTAGCAATTGAATTTCTTGAAGATTTTCAAATATTTTCAAAGCAAGTTTTGGTTGTTTTGTATATTGGCCTCTATTACGTTGCTTATTCGCAGTTTTACAAATATTACGTATTCTACAATATTCAAATTAAAAGCCACCATTATTGATTTCTTTATAGCACTTGTGTGCTCTCTTTTTTTCAATCGCCAATTGTTTCATTTCTGCGATGAACTTCATCAGAAAGAAGATTTCAATATTTTCACTTGGACAAACATTCAAATGGTTATATAAAAAAAATGTACGGCAAGAGTAATATCTATCTTATTGAACATAATAGACAAATCAACAGCGGCTAAGTAAGCAATAAAACAAGTCGTGTTAATTTTTCAGTCTTAATATAGAAGACAATAACAATATTTTGATGAAAATTTGGCTCCATTACTTATAATCATCGAAATCAGAACTTTCGACTGAAATAAATCTAAAAATGTCGCGATTATTTGGATAACTATTAATATTCACTTCTAATCAAAAGTGCCATTTATGAGTTAGTGGAGATGTATGACATCATCAATGATTTTGATTATTATTTGCAGCTCATACTTAAAAGTATATCTACTTGTGACTCAACTTGACATTGTTGGGTTGTAAAAAATTGATGAATTCAATGTGAAACATGTCTTTAAATATTCAAATACACCTGACAATTTTTTTTGTTCACATAAAATTTTGGCATACAGCCAGATTCAATTTGTTTCAGATAAAGAACTGCTTAATATATCAGAGAATATTTGCGACTATTGACATGATTCAATCCATAGAAATGATAAAAATGCAATTAAAATTTACATTTATGGGTATAAATGTTTTTCGGTAATCATTAGAATTGGAAAGCTCTGCCTAAAAATATCCACTAGCTTAGCCACTGAAAAATACTACAAAACTAGTAAAATATGGGTCGCATAAAAATACACCCAAAAACTCGACTTTCTATTTTATTTACATACCTCATCAGGGCAGATTATTAGTTTAAAAGTAAGCAGATCATCTGGATCTGGAAATTCTGTGGTGCAAGTTTTTGGAAGGTTCAACTCGTTTATATCTGAAAAAGAAACTTTGATAGCCATTTTAATAACATTAATATTTACTGACCTTTTGTTATTCTCAGTTGTGCAGCTGATGCCTTTTTTTGATTGCCAGTTCTTAGTGAAGATTCGCCATCTTTTTTTTGTTGCTTTAATGAAAATAATTTTATCATATTTAATAAGTATTTTTACTTGGTATATAATAATATCAATTATTTATAGCATATGAAACGTATAAATTTATACAAATAGAAATTCAACAATTTTTTTAACCACTGACAGCTGTCAGAAGTGACAAGAAGTGACATCGCAGAACTCGAACATAAACATGAAGCTGTTTTCGATTGCTTGTACCAGAATCACACCTGTTTATATATGTCATTTCCAAGTCAACCGCTGATAGTAGTGTTTTTGTTGACACTGCTGGTTTTCTGCATTTTCTAGCGCTTATGTATTCAAAACGGATTCGTCTGTGATTCAAATACATTCATGATGATTCTTACCTAGCGTGAGGTTGGTTTCGAAACGGAATTTGACGTTACGTTACGTCAGTTGTCCAAATTGCTACTTGGTCCATATTTTGAATAGAAAAAAGGAATCTGGTACACTGGTTTTAAAAATGCAGCTATTTTGTAATATTCATGTAAAAAATTGAGGTTAGAGAAAATTGAAAAATTCGTTTTTATTAATGAATTTGACATCTGACATAAATTGAATCATTCTATTCTGGCGAATCTTATTATTAATGACGTCACTACGAATCGTTTTTGAATACATGCTCGAATACGATTATTTGTGGTTCCAGTTAGAAGACCTAGAATTTCCAGGCTACATCTAACATGACCACGCAAATGTGCGGTTGGCTCCTGTTGTTGACTCCGTGCGTTTGTGTTGTTTCCTGATTTCGGCAAACAAGTGTTGCCCATCTTTACACTTGGCTGCACCGCGCTGATGAGGCCAATAGCCAGAAACACGTGTCCGCGGTTTGCCCCCTTTCCTTTTTTTTTTGAGTGTTATGTCCACGAATTATTCCATTCTTGATTTGTATACACACTCGATAAAATCTCTATCTGTATTTATATCCTGGACCAGGATGTCACGCAGGTAGCTATAGCTGCCTCCGTGGTCATGTTAGATGTAGCCTGGAAATTCTAGGTCTTCTAACTAGAACCACAAATGTGCGGTTGACTCCTGTTGTTGACCCGTGCGTTTGTGTTGTTTCCTGATTTCGGCAAACAAGTGTTGCCCATCTTTACACTTGGCTGCACCGCGCTGATGTAGCCAATAGCCAGAAACACGTGTCCGTGGTTTGCCCCCCTTTCCTTTTTTTTTTGAGTGTTATGTCCACGAATTATTCCATTCTTGATTTGTATCATACACACTCGATAAAATCTCTATATTGAATTATATCCTACAGACACTTATCTAGATACCCCATAAAAATTAGTCTCGCAGAGGTTTCTCTTTTATTCAGCAGAAGAACCATGCTGAAATTATTTATTGTAGATTACCTACAGACCGGTTTCGAGCTATTACTTATCTTGTACGTATGTATCTCTCCTTGATACAGCCTTCAGGCACGTTTTGATATTTGTTTCTGAATTTGGGTCCGTAAGACAAAAAGTTCAAAATTGATATAATCAAAAATAAAGTAGAACAAAAATTGTGAAATATAAATATACAAAATAACCTGTAATAATTACATTGCGATTCACACTCATTTACCTGATTTTCATATTTTTAATGTTAATAACAGATGATGTGATATAATGAAAAATGAAAACGTTTCCAGTAATGTCATAACGGACCCATGTACCTTTTTTTTTAAATTACTCTTCACATATAGGATTTCCACAAAAGCTTGGCTTGAATACATTAGAAAATTGAATTATTTAAGTATGCATTAGTTTCATTCATTTACTATATTGAATAATAAAACCTTTGCCACAAAAATCAAATCTAAAATATTTACACAGAAAATGGCGAATGAATCCTTTTTTCCAACATTCTTCCTCGTGGTTAAAACATGTAGGGCGATTACTAGTTGACAAATCAATCTAATCCAAATTTTTGTCACTTTGCTTTTAATTTCTTTGATCCACTTATGCTCTTATTGTTCAAATGAAAATGAAATCATATCGTACGAGTTAGATGTAGTCACTCACCTGATCAGACATTCGTAAATTTATTCACATCCATGAAATTTCAACTATAAAATTTGAATCATTTTTGAATATTACGAAATTTTCGACATCCACTACCTACTCTGTCATCAACTGAAGTTCTCATAACCAAAATAAACATAAAAGTCAAAATATCCTCTCTGACGTATATCTGACATTCGGAATTATGTTCGAAATAAATATTTTCATTGTCAATAGAATCGCCAGAGGATGCAAATCAAAATCGTTTTCCTGGAATATATAATTTTTTTTTTCATGATTTTTGGGAACAGAAAATACAAAAATACCTGAATAATATTTTTTATTGGCGATACTGTATTATTGTATGACGTGTTGGTTTGTTTTTGAAATGTGTTCCGAACTTAATGAAGAACATGTCAAATTACAACTGGATTAACGGTAACGTATTACAATGTGTTCCGTGACTGTTTCTATCAATTCCATTCCGTGAAACAAAACAAGCCTTCCTCTAACCTCTCACTTCTTCTCTAGTAGTTTGTGTCGAAAATGGTGAGTGCTAATTTTACTGTCTCCTGAAAGTATTTTGAAATATTTAAAACATCGTGTATTTAATTTATCGAATTACCCAAAATATCGTCTCAAAATGAATCATACAATGTTTTCAACAAAATATTTTTCAGGGTATCGACATAAATCACAAATATGACCGTAAGGTCAGAAGAACTGAACCTAAAAGTCAAGATGTGTATCTTCGATTATTGGTAAAGGTATGTAACTTTAAGGTAATTTCTTTTTTAGATAAATGCTTTATATTATGTTCCTTTTAGCTCTACCGTTATTTGGCTCGTCGTACTGGTGCCAAATTCAACAAGGTTATATTGAAAAGATTGTTTATGAGCAGGATATACAGGCCCCCAATTTCCCTATCTAAGGTTGTTAGATTAATGAAGAAGCCTGGCAGAGAGGGGCTCACAGCTGTTATAGTTGGAACTGTAACGGACGACTCCAGAATTTTTGAAATTCCTAAATTGTCCATTTGTGCACTTCGTGTCACTGAAACTGCCCGAGCTAGAATCCTCAAAGCAGGTAAATTGATATCCTACTTTCCTCAAAGCCAGTATATTTGGTTGTATTCTTAGAATACTGATTTTTGTGCTCTACTCGTAGAATCCCAATCTTAAATTGATTCATGAACAAAAAGTTGCCCATTTGAGAGCGTATCAATTAATAAGTTATGCAAAAACTGATTTACAGATTTGTACTTAAAATACTGCCTGGGTTATTCAACATTTAGAAAATCTAAGAATATTGTTTGAAAGTGCTCTTTTTATTTATTTCATACAATTCAAATCAATTATGTATCAGTTCATTCAATTCAAGGAACTCTGTAACTTAATTTTCCATACTAAGAAGACTCCACCTTTCTGGTGATGAGCTTCACGCTTTTCGACTACTTTCTCAAATTCCTCCTTCGTTTCCTTGAATACGTTTCCAAATTATAACTTCATGTTCTCGTGTGATTCCTAGTAATGAAATCATTTTTATTATCTCGTGTGTTTCAACTTTTAGCAAAAATTTCACAAACATTTTTATTTTGAAATCATATGGATTTAAATTCTTGAGGCTAGGAATAAATAATGTTCTCTATTCTCAGGTGGCGAAGTTATTACTTTCGATCAGCTAGCCCTCAGATCGCCTACTGGCAACAGGACTGTCTTGATTCAAGGCAAGCGTAATTCACGTGAGGCAGTGAAACACTTTGGTCCAGCTCCAGGTGTTCCTCACAGCCACACTAAACCTCTGGTGAGATCAAAGGGACGTAAGTTCGAGAGAGCAAGAGGACGCAGGAAGTCGTGCGGATACAAGAAGTAATTTTAGTCTTATAACTTGACTTCTCTGTATTTCGTTTATGTTCAATAAATTTTGAATACAGTGTTCGAGAGTTTATCATTTTTCTACTACCAGTATACTGTGTACTAGACCATACAAAAATTAATATCTGTTCATGATACACGATTGTGTATATAGTAAATCACAGATAAATGAACAAAAAAATTAAAAGAAACATTACCGTATTACACCAAAACATGAAATGATACAAAATACTCTGTATACACCTAAAGAATTTCACTTGAAATGCTCGGCAGAATTCACACAATTAACAACTGACTATATATCCAGAAATTTTAATTAAAATGTGGATGTGTCAATAGATGATGAATGAAATACATAGTTAGACAAACGATATTCAAATTCGAATAGAATTCTGAACAGAAACTCAAACTTCAAAGATTTTTTTCTTTACAGTTGCTGATACCCCAACTATATTATTCAATTTAATATCACGACAGAGACAATTACTTTGCTCTGATTGATGTAACTGAATTATATTTCTCTACATCTAATCTCACAATCACAAAAGAACACAGATATATATATTTGTTTGAAGGTGATTGACAATGTTTCGTGATGAATTTCACTAGTTCGGACTTCCATTGTCTATTATATGAAATGATTTGAAATCCCTGAAACAAGTAAAAAAGAATAATTAAAAAAAGAATAGTTGAAAATAACAATTATATTAAGCAACAATAAACCTGAAATGAAATGATAGTAAAATAACCTACAAGTAAAAATATAATAATTGAATAAATNTAGAGCTTCAGCTCAAACGATCAGTAGGTGGTTAAAATTGGTATTGGAAAGAAGCGGAGTGGATGTTAGTATTTTTTCAGGGTATAGCACAAGGCATGCATCCACATCAGCCGCCTTCAGGAATGGTATCAACATTGAAATTATTCGAAAGGCCGCTGGGTGGACGCAGGCCTCAGAAATTTTTTACAAGTTTTACAATAGGCCCATAAATCGCAACTCAGAGGAGTTTGCAAGAGGTGTATTGAATATTGAAAAAAAAATATTAGAAGATAGTTGTAAATGAGATGGTATCTCATTACCATTTTTTCTTGTAGTATTAATAGTTGATTACCTTGTTAAAGTTAAAAGATAAATAATTAGAATATAAACTTACTGAAAGTGTATATTGTACCGGAAAACATAAGAATAAAATATCTTTCAGATCACTTGTCTTTAAACATCTACAGGGTGTGTAATTATTGAGGAAGACAAGCGAAGAAAAATAGTAAGATTGATTGACTTACCTGGTAAGGTAAGCTTGTCTTCCGAAAATAATTACACACCCTGTAGTAGTCGTTAATCCACACCTATCGATTAACGACTACTACAGGGTGTGTAATTATTGAGGAAGACAAGAGAAGAAAAATTTACATTCATCATTGAAACATTACACATTACCAAATTACACCAAAACATGAAATGATACAAAATACTCTGTACACACCTAATTTGATATGTTTGAACATAGACCACTTTAATGAAATTGTGTATTTTTATGTTTCAATCATAATTTTTTTTAAAGAATTTCACTTAAAAGTTTGTTGGTTTTGACTTTGTCAATGATTCAAGTTATTATAGAACATCAAAAAATTGTTTGCTCAGTCATACCTTTGTCTAAGGGGGGTGATTCTAATGATCCATCAAACCTAAGACAAATTTATCTTAACAACCAACTCTAGCAAAGTTCATTGAAAAATTAGTTGAGATAAGACTTTATCAACTAAATATAAACAGAATCATCGATGCGGGTTTCAGGAAAACAAAGGCAATATTTAATGTTCTCACTAAGGCATACAGTACTTTGATAGTGAAGCAACTGCAGCAGTGTTCTGTAAATTGTCAAAAGCTTTTGATTGTGTCGACCAAAAAAAACTACATCATTATCAATTTACTGAAAACTGCCTGAAATGGTTTGAATCCCACAGAGCAGAGACAAAGAATGTAAAAGCAGGAGCACCCCAAGGATCGATCTTAGGGCCTATACTTTCTCCACCAGATGTGAATGACCTGGCTCTAATGTGCGTACTTCTGGCAGTTTCACAATTTTTGTAGATTATACCACACTTTTTGCCATGATAAAAACCAACAAAATATACACTAAGGGGCATTTGTAAAAACATTAAAGAAATTAAACCATGGTATGACGCAAAACTATTATTATTTAACATAAAAAACAAGTATAATCACTTCTTAGTGCAATCTACCAAAATTCAAATGGAAAGTACTCTAGTAGAAAATAAATCTTAAAACTCTTGGGATCTAAAGAAGTAGGGTTCCATGCTGCAAAAAAGTATATACCTCCACCTAAGATGTGACAGCATTTTGGGGTGTATGCAGTAAACGGCTTTCTCATTATCTCTAACAAAAATGTGCAGTACGGTAACCCTGTGGAGCTAAGTGCAAACTTATGTTTGTGATGCATGGAATATCAACTGTGAACTATATTGATTTTGAATTATTCATTCAAAAATTGATAAATATCGTCGAATTCACTTTTTTTACAGCAGTAGATTAACTTTATAGTCCTACTTTGTTCTTTCAATCTAATGTGTTTTTGTAACTCCATATCTTAATAATTATTTATTCATGGTATGTACTGTCTCACCCAGCATTCTTCCCAGACCTCTCGCCAATCGACTACCATCTTTTCAAGCACTTCAATAACTTTCTCACCGGTAGAACCTTCGCCAATCAGAACTAATCAAAAAGGCCTTCGTCTACTTCATCGAATCCCGAGCAAATAATTTTTATGCTGACGGAATTAATCGATTTGTTATGTTGGCAAATGTGACCAATTCAAATGGCGCTCATCTCGATTAAATTAAATAAGTATTCAATGGACGGTAGGCTGGTAAGTTGACGGTGGTTTGCTTCACTCGCTCAATTGACCGCTGTGTGAACTGGTGGTTAGTCTCGCAAGGTCGGACGATCGATTTTCACTTCCTATCGTCCAACCCGTGTTAAGAATCACACGTTAAAATGTATGACCTCGTTAGTCCTGGTGGTTAGTCCCGCAAGGTCGGACGATCGATTTTCACTTCCTATCGTCCAACCCGTGTTAAGAATCACACGTTAAAATGTATGACCTCGTTAGTCCTGGTGGTTAGTCCCGCAAGGTCGGACGATCGATTTTCACTTCCTATCGTCCAACCCGTGTTAAGAATCACACGTTAAAATGTATGACCTCGTTAGTCCTGGTGGTTAGTCCCGCAAGGTCGGACGATCGATTTTCACTTCCTATCGTCCAACCCGTGTTAGGAATCACACGTTAAAATGTATGACCTCGTTAGTCCTTAGCTCGCACAAGTTTAAACTTTTGAGAGTTGTCATTCGTATGGGGGACAGCTGGTTAACGAAAAAACAGATTTTCAACAGATATTACAGTTTAGTAGACTCATAAAAACTAACAAAATTTTTGAAATAACCTAATATTTATGTGCCTATGTATTTATATATATAACTACTTTTCACCTTCTATTTTCACACAAGCTTTTTCAATAAAAGTGAATCTGAGAGAATAAAACACATTTTGATCAATTTATTTGATTTAACTGATGGTTACAACTCGAAAAAATAAAACTACAAAAATTTTATTTGTAATCTTTATTATCACAGTTTGCCAAGAGCTCTTTCTCAGCAAGTTTATCTCTCTTACTAACACATTTGTTACCCAAAATATAAAACCTCAAGGGCCGTGTCGTCCATTCTCCAGCATTGTTTATACCAATTCGTGATGTATGAACTACTGTGAAATCTTCAACGATTTCAGGATGCTCCTCCAACCAAATATCTTCATTCTTCAGATCTGTTAGGTCAATTTTATTACAATTTTCTTTGGTTATGTTCATTGCATTGCAGAGTTTAGAGGGCCCATCACATAATTTTGAAATCGTTTCGATTTGCTTGCCACGTTTATTTTTCTGCGCTGGAAATTAAATTCAAAAACGTAAATGATAATGACAGTAATTTTATTCTGGCAATTTGACACATGTTCATTTACCGCGGCTATATTACATAGAAAATTCAGAAAATGTAGCATAATATCAATACTGATCTCCAAAATATCGGTACATGGCTTTGTGTCTTGAATGTAATGAAATCTAAATTTATATTTGGAAAAATTCAAATTAAACGAATAAATGAAAATGAAACCATAAAAATGAGCAATGAGAAAATTAAAGACGTGAGAGGGTGTAAACATTTGGGAATTATTTTCTAATAATTATCAAATTGAATAATTTGAAAACATTTCAAAATATAGCAATGAGCTTGTAATGCACTGTTTGGAACCTTTGGCGTAGTAATGAATATTACTGGAGTTTTTTCCCAACACCAAACCTTTATTTTAATAACTCGACACGTGTTTCGATCACCAAATGATCATCTTCAAGAGGAAGATTAAACAGTTTAATATTAAATCTACTACTAAATCTACATTCGCTCATCTACAAATATAATAAAAAATGATAAAGTAAGCGAGGAAAAAATGGACCCTACAGTGATTGTTCATGACCATGGTACTCATAGAAGAAATTCAAAACATAGTTTGAGAATTGTTAAACATTATTTGGTAAATGGTTTGAACAAATATAGTGTAACATTATTTGCCACAATATGCTACATTTAAAAATCATAATTACTTACAGTTGACTAACAATGAGTACTTATCTATTTGATCCTGTTCTGGTATGTCCAAAAAAAGTAATTTCGCTGTAATCATTATACACTATTATAAATCTTTTAATAAATGGCTATAACCTACCTCTTGAGGATTTCATAATATCAATTCCGCATAAGGGTTCAATAGCTCTCAGTAAAACGGCTGCTCCTGGCTCTTTGCTGGAAATATTCAAGCAATAGTACATCCCATAAGTCATATAAACATAAGTTGTTCCGGCAGGCATGTACATCGGTTCGTTTGCGGAAGTTCGTCTTCAAACATAAAACAAAACTCAGTACGTGGGAAAACGAAAATTGATTTGTTCTTGCCTGCCATTGAAACTGTGAGAGGCTTTATCTTCTCCACCTAAATAACACTCAGTTTCTACTATTATTCCTTTCAGAATTGATCCATCTCCTAACTTTCGAACTAGTATTTTTCCCAACAAATACAATGCAAGTTCTTTGCATGGGATTTCGATATCCTCTTTGAGGAGTCGTTTACAATTTATATTAGGAAACATCTCTTGATTTCTTCATCATTCAAATAAAATTCAAACAAATCATAAAAATAATAGCTATAATAGAAAATGAATTAGCGTCTGTAGAGATCAGCACCTTCGCATCAATACTTGTCACCTTTAACAATGTATAGTTCTATAAAGGCCCTTACGTGAATCTGCGGACTCCGCTGAACTTTGGTGGGACTTTTGCCAGGAATCATGACGGGCTCCACTTCCTAACCGAACTAAATATTCAGAGTTTTTAAATAAAATGTGGATGTGTCGAAACATGATGAATGTAAATCGAATGAAATTCATAGTTAGACGGCAGAGACAATTACTTTGCTCTGAGTGATGTAACTGAATTATATTCCTCTACATCTAATCTCACAATCAGGAAAGCGTAGAAAGAACACAGATATATGTATGCAACAGATTCACAGTTACAAATGTATCAATTGGAAATAGTTTTGGCTGGTTAAGAGTACAGGTAAGATTTCGTTTCATTTACAATTATGTGTATTGAATAGATTTTCAATAAATTCAACCGGCTGATATCGAGTGTGCCGAATGCAAAGAGTATAAACGAGGAGTTCGCCATTCGCAGACGCTAGTCGTAATTCACAGTTACAACTATAAATTTGACAATTTACATTGAACCTCATAATTCACACTAATATTTGTAAACTCGCAGTTAAAATGAAAATTACCAAAATCACACTCGAAAAATTTCAATTTTAATACCGTTAATTGTGACAAATAATGTATTCCATCGAATTTTGGGACTCTACTATGTTTTCTTAGGTTTTGTCTATTCAAAATTATTTATGATCGGATTACGTCTTTGCAAACGTAACCAAAAATTCGGTTTAGTGATATAAATATTACAAAAACTTTTAATGAACGAACAACATGTTATTTGAGTATTGAAGTGAGTTATATTTCGTTCATGAAAAAATTGAACTAGTGTGATTCCCAGATATCATAAACCACATTTCTTGTTACTTTTAGAAAATCCTGATTATCATAGAACATTTCAATATAATAAAATCTAACTGCAGCCCGCGATGTCAAAACTCAAAACGCCAACGAGTTTGCCAGCTCGCCTTCCTAAGATGCATGTTTGTCAGAGAGAAATTTTTTTCTCCACTTTTTTTTATGATCAGCTTGTTTATTGTTTTGTGTTGATAGCTAGTGTAACTAGTATTTGCTATGTCACTTTTTATATCCATATACATGATAAAATGGATTGCTCGTGACGTCATTTTTACATATATTTACATGCAATCACACAACGTCTTGGCCATGAGTCTCACCACCATCTGACGAATCAAATCTTAAAATTTTCACAATCAAAATATGCAACACATAAAACATCATGACGTATTTGACACTAAGTGTATGACTGATGTCATACGGCGCCGAAGGGAAGTAAAGACCGTAAAAAAAGAGAAGAGGGAGAAGATCAGTGACGTAAATGCCACGACGTGGATCTCTTTATCTTTTTTTAGTTGTTGTAGTCAAGGTTCTCTCTTCAATGGCCATTATATATATTATGACGCCACTGTTTATATCTTTAAATTTGAAATAACCGTTACCAACGGATGTCTGTTTATGCTTCGTGATGTCTATATGTTTTGATATTTGAAAATTGTTTGACATTTCCATCTTTATGTATTTGAACTTTATACAAATGGATTATTCAACTTTGTTTTTCCTGATCTGAAATAAGAAAATTGTGCTTAAGGCAGTAGTGAGAGAGAAATCAAGAAATAAGTCTAAAAATGGTGAAAAGCAAGCGAGAATTGACCACTCCGCGAAGGAGAAATTCTTTGTCGAAACAACGTATTTTGGATCGAACTATTTCCAAAGTCGTTTCTCGCCCTAATTCTGGTACGAGTACTTCACGATCACCTGCCGTAGCAAACATCAAAGTTGTGGTGAGGGTTCGTCCACCAAATGGATCTGAACGAGAAGAAAATTGTAGGTAGGTACCATCAAGCATCTTATGTACTCGATAGGGTATCTTTGAATGCAGTAAAATTTTCTATGGGATTTTACAGAATTGTTGTCAAAGTTGTGGATGATCAGATGCTCATTTTTGACCCTAAAGAAGATACCCAAGGTTTTTTCTTCCATGGCGTTCAACAGAAAGGACGAGATCTCCTTAAAAAATCTCACAAGGACATGAAATTCATTTTTGACAAAGTATTTCCTGAGAATGTGACTACTGAAGAAGTTTTCAAGGACAGTACTTATACGTTGATAGATTCGCTGATGGATGGCTTCAATTGCTCAGTTTTTGCCTATGGAGCCACTGGTGCTGGTAAAACATTCACGATGACTGGGAAAGCTGACTGCCCTGGCATTACATATCTCACAATGACTGAACTATTCAGAAAACAAAGTGAACTCAGTGTTGAACGAGATTTTGAACTGGGCATAACTTATTTGGAAGTTTACAATGAACTTGTAAAGGTATGTGCTTTACCATCTTATTTGATTTTTCGCCTGCTTTGTTTATCATCATATGATAAACAATAATGAAAAATATTTACAAAAACAAGCTATCAGAGGTCTAATTGGATTAATACATATAAGAGTAATTATACCCTTTATTATAAGGGTTGCTATTGGAATTGTAAATCATTTCGCAGACTCCGCTGTATACTATTTAGAATGATTTCACTTTCCTAATCTTTGAGAAAGGTTTTTTTGTGAGATTAGTATTTGGAAAAAACTTTTGGCTTTCTATTTCTCCATCATTCATAGCAATGCTACACTAGGTAATACATTGAAGAGTATTGATATTAATTTTATATAGGCAACATTTATATAAAGGACAATTTACTGGCTGAATATACAGTGTATATTATGCTATAACTTTTTGGATTGCTCTTTATTGTCTAGATTTCAAATTTATTCATTTTTTGTTCGTGGAAGGTTTAAAAGCCAAAAAATATCATAGAAAATATTTTGCCTCTCATTTAGATTATCGAAAGTTATTTTTCATTTTATGGAACCCCTTTTTTTTGTTTTTTCATATCAGAAGAAGCAGTAACTGATGCCAAAGTCAAAAAGCTATTGATAAAAATCACGAGATGTAGATTTTAATGATCACACTGTATAAAAAGTTTCAATGTTTCCAGTCAGTTCGTAGATATCCAACTCGAAGTACTTGTAAAGAAAATCAGCCAAGTGGCTTTCCCATTTTATGTTACAGTTCTTCAATGAACGTTGACAACTAACTGGGATTTTTAAAACCTCGTTCGTTTACGTATTCTTTTAGACTTCTATAAACTCTTTTTTATGCAGTAAATAATTCTGAAACGTTTTGGAAAGTTACAAATGTTCATTTTTTTCAAGGATTTGTTGAACCCTGGGGTACCTTTGAATTTGAGAGAAGATGCTAAGTACGGGGTTACAGTTGCTGGAATAAAGTTGTATCAGATAAAAAGTCCAGATGAATTGTTCAATCTCCTAGAGCAAGGAAATAAAAACAGAACCCAACATCCTACTGACGCAAATGCAGAAAGTTCCAGATCACATGCGGTTTTCCAGGTTTACATCAAGATGACAATCAAAGGCACTAAAGAGGTATTATACATTGATCTCACATTAGTTTTCCAGGAATGAAAATTTCAATTCGATAGGTATGGGGCATCAAATTGTAAATATATGACATTATTTTTCATTCATATGAATGAATTATTCTCCAAAAATTAAAGAAGAAAGTTTCCATAAACAGTAAATGCATTTTCACTGTATTAGGGAGCACGTAAAATCACCAGATATATTATTTATTTATTCAACGGCAAAGCCAATTTACAAAAACATATATAGTGTGAGGAACTACAAAGTATTTTTGAATGTTCATGGCTGCTGTCTACATTACACTTTACAATTTTACAAAATATTTAGCGAAGTGTGAAATACAAAATATTAATAAATCCTTATGACTAGTGACTACATTACTAAAAGATGAAACAATTCTGGTACTTACAAGAAATAATATGTAACAAATCTGGTACTTACAAAGGAAATGGTAATTCAAAGAAAAGCTTTGAAAACGCTATAGCCTTTTCCATTGATTTTTAAAGACTTGAAGTGATACATTAAACAGATCTAAGTTATTATGATATTGATTTCCCAGCTTCAGAATACTAGGAATCGGACTGTTCAAAGCATAACTGGTATGGAAAAATTTATATGAAAAATGTCAGGATTTCTTGCATCTTTTTGTTTGATATGAAAAGTTTTTAGTTGAAGTAGTTCTGGGCAGTTTATCTCACTATTTATTATTTTGAAGAGGAAATTCTCCTAACTTCCAATGAGTTTATATTTAACTTGGTTAAGAGTTGAATACCAAAGTGAAAAGCACGATTCCTTAACAATTTCTTTTGAACATTCTCAATCAAATCGATATTTACATTATAGTATGGGTCTCATATAACCGAACAATATTCAAGAATGGATCTTATGAAAGCACAATATAAAATATTTTTTGTTTTAATTGAAAAATCAGTAGAAATTCTCAACACAAAACCTAGCATTTTGAGAGTTTTTGCCACAATTTCAGACACTTGAAGATAAAAATTTAGACAAGTTTGGTATAATAAATAAATTTTAATACAATTTTTTTTCAGCTCCGTACCGCCAAGCTCAGCATGATTGACCTGGCAGGCAGCGAAAGGGGATCTGCCACTGGTTTCGCGGGAGCTCGTTTCACTGAGGGGGCCAACATCAATAAATCTCTCCTTGCTCTTGGGAACTGCATAAACAGCCTTGCTGACGGTCATCGTCATGTACCCTATAGGGATTCTAAGCTTACCAGACTCCTCAAAGACAGCCTTGGCGGCAACTGCCAAACCGTAATGATAGCCAACGTATCTCCCTCTTCGTTGACCTTCGAAGACACCTACAACACCCTGAAATACGCCACGAGGGCCAAAAAAATAAAATCCAACATGAAGAGGAACATAGTGAACGTAGAAGCTCACGTGGGGCAGTACATCAAGATGATTGAAGACTTGAAACAGGAAAATAGTGCTTTGAAAAAAGAATTGGAGGATAGTAAAAAAAGAGAGTGCGATAACAGTGACGTGAAAGAGATGGAGGGACTGAGAGAGGAGATAAACGAATTGAAGATTCAATTGAAAGAAGAAATGAGCAAGAAGAGTGAAAGTAACCTACAGAAGGAGTGCGAAAGACTGAGGATCCAGTGCGACTTATTGAGCAGACAGTTGAACAGCAATACCGACCAACCTGAAGGAGGTGAATCGGAAGGCAACAACAATTTAATGAAACGCTTGGAATCAATTCGCCATAATGGTCGCTCGGTGAAAAAGGAAAGAACTTTCGTGAAGGATCTTTTGGACAATATCGGAGATGACGGAGGGGGTGCAGATGAGTTGATTTTGAATGAAATCAAAGCATTGATAGAAGAGAAGCGAGAGTATTTGGAGCGGCAGTTTCAGTTGGAAAAAACCGAGTCTGGTACATATTTGCAAAGGTGAGATTTGGCCGACTACAGTAATGATAGAAATTTATTCTGGGTTGTCCATAAATTATTTGCCTTCTATGATGCCCCACATTCCCATGAACAATCACGAGTTGTTTCTGAGCCTTTGTGGCATTAAAGATATTATTTATAGTAATAACAGAAATATACAGTTTTATGAGGGAATATAATAGCATAAATATTATGAAACAATGACTGAAGGTAAATTCCAAAGCTGTATTGAATAATATCTCTTCCGCGATAGCTCTAAAATAGAATGTAACTGTGTCAAAGCTATTTCCCGGGTGTTTTGTCTGACGTTTCATCTACTACCACTGTAAACATTATCAAAGGCAATGAGGTAATTTTTAAAGTGCTCCAGTAGTTCTCAACGTTGAAACTACAATGCTGGAGTTTGTCTCCTGTTTTATAATGTCATAGTGGCTACGTTTCTCTTAATTGCTGACCTTGCTTATGTACAATTAAGGACAGGTAGCACGATTTTATTAATGCTCATTGCCTCTGTCTTTCTATTGAAATTATTCCTCTGTTTCTGAATTTCTATTGCCTCTCTATATATTCTTGGATTGTAATTTTGAATTTTATTGAGTGTTACTGTATCTTTGAATAAGGTAATTTGGGTGCCTTCTTTGGCTTATTTGTCCTATACTTCTTTTCGTGGTTCCAATGTAGACCGACTCACAGCTACAAGAAATCCGGCATACCCTGGGTATTGCTGAAGGCTTTCCGGGGTCCTTAACTGACCTCAGACTCTCTGATCGTTTTTGTTGGCCTAAATATTGGTTTCACGTAGTGTTTCCCTGAAACTCTCCCAATTCGGTCTATAACATTTTTGAAATAGAAAAGGAAAGCTTTTTCCTTGACCAGCCTAGCAGGGGTTATTTTGACGTTTTCTCTCCTGAGCCGTATGGCCTGCTCGAATTCTACTTCGTTGTACCCATTCCCTTTAAATGCATTTTTTAGGTCATTCAATTCCTCAGATTCACATATATGTCATGATCTCCCAACCAACGTTTTAATTACCCGTCGTTTGTTGTGGCTGGTGGTTTTGTGTTAGCTCCTCTTTTGTTGTGGCTGGTGGTTTTGTAGCATAGTAGCATAATGTATTCTACGAAAAAGTAGATTTGTGGAAATAATCAAACTTGGTTTGTAAATTTTGAAAATTTCAGTTTGTCAAGGCGTTTGAAAATTATTATTCTTCATAGTCTGTACGCTGCTCGACATCAACTGAATTGTCACTTCTGTTTTTCATTTGTATTTGAAAAAAAAAATCAATTAAATTCAACTCAATTTACTTGTGATGCACTGTTTGGAACCTTTGGTGTAGTAATTAATATTACTGGAGTTTTTTTCCAACACCGAATCGTTATTTTCAACACCTCGACGTGTTTCGATTCCCAAGTAATCATCTTCAAGATACACGTCACAAATTACATATAGGTAGACATTTCTCGTTTGAAACTGGCAATTTCAAAAATACAATGAATAAATTAAAATATATTATGGAAAAGAAAAGTTTTGAGATGGTTTCTGAATTTGAAGTCATTAGTTTCCTTTTTAATTGATTCCAGGAGCTTATTGTAAATTCTTACACCATCGGAGATGGGTCTGCTATGAGAGTTACATTCAAATTATTTCGAAGTGTTTTTAGATATAGTTAAATCTGGTTGAATAACTCTGATCATTACTATGAATGCTAATGCTTTTTTTACACGCTTTATATTAGCTTCACCTGTATGTATGTATGTTTGTTTGTATGTATGTTTGTTTGTATGTATGTTTGTTTGTAACTCTCAAGCTTGGGATCTGTATTGACAGAATTATTGCTAGATCTATTCGCGGGCAGATGGCGCTGTACGTAGCCTCATTGATATTTCTTGATCTATTCGCGGGTAGATGGCGCTGTACGTAACTATCTATTATTGCTTGATCTGTTTGCAGGCAGATGACGATGTACGTAACTATCAATTATTGCTTGAGCTATTCGCGGGCAGATGCGGCTATACGTAACCTCCTTGATAGGTTGTTCAAAAGAAAATCAAAATAAAAAACATATTTTAAGAATTGTAAGTGTTAGCGAAATTTTGTACTACAGATGAAATATTTAAATATTTATAATTACCCGTGATTCAGTACAGAAAAATGTTTCGAATGAAATGAAAGATACATTTTAAAATCTAATTCGATTATTTGAAAGCAAACCAGAATATGGATTTCAACAATGAAAACTTTATCGTAAATTGTGCACCTATAAAATTCAAATCAAAAGATTGATTTGAAAAATAAAATTATTCACTGAAGAAATATTTTTAGTCCAATAATATTTTGAATGAAACTTCAAATCAAAACATCAAGACTGAATTGTTTTTTAAAATTATTACTGTTGAAGATTTATAATACTAGTGACTAGAACTTAAAAAAAAAATTTTTGATAATAAATCGGACTAAAAAGTGAAAAATAAATGTAGTTTAAAAAAACTAAAAAACACGCTTTTAAAGAACATCGAACTAAAAAGTTGAAAATATTTTTTTTAAATAAGCTTATTGTAAATATGTTTAAATATGTTTATTGTTTTAAGCTTATTAAAAAAAATATTTTTAACTTTTTTGTTCAATGTTCTTCAAAAGCGAGTTTTTTAGTTTTTTGAAACTATATTTATTTGCTGTTTGGTTTGGACATTGTTTCTATGATAATTATGCCTAAAATTTTTATGTTTTCTCATTGTTTTATTTTTACTTCTCCCATTTTAATTTCTATGTTTTCAATCCTTCCTTGTCTAGAGTTAAATATTGAAAAATTTGTTCTACCAGTATTGACATATAATTTGTTTGTTGAGAACCAAAGTCTGTTGAAGATCTGCACAATTAGTTGGAGATATATTGAGATACAAAATAAGAATTGAAGCAGACAAAATTCTTCTGAAAAGCAATATATTTATTTTCAGATGCCTCAAAGAGGAAACTGATGCAAGACTGAGTGATATTTGTGTGAATACCCCAGAAAAACAAGACGCTCGTAAGAAAATCAATATGGCCATTGATAGACTCAAGAAAAAAGAGACCGCTTTGAAAGGTGACCTAGACCAAGTAGAAGATTGTATAAGTAACTTAGAACAAAAAATTGAGAAAATGAAAAATAAATATCCTGAAATTGAAAGGTTTTTGAAGGAGGAGGTGCTCAAATTGTCCGCTTTACGTTTGAAACACAAAGTAAGTAAATTGCGTTCAGATTTTTTTTTAACATGAATGTCGATCTGAAATAGTTCAAGAATATTAAAACAGACGCATTGAAAAGTGCTCAGGATTATTTTATGAAGCAGACTATGAAAAGCAGACATTAATTTCATTTGGTTGATACAACCAACTGATAGACCGGTTTAGGAGTACTTGCCCCATCATCAGTGTGAACCGTCTGAGTATCACGACGAAACAAATATAACTCCAGCTAGTCATGAACTCTTTCTGCAGTTGGCTCAGTGGAATGTCCTCTGCGCCACTTGCAGACAAAGCCACAAACACATACTCCGGGGTGGGAGTCGGAATAATGATTAATATTTCAGAGAGGTGCATATGACATGTTCTGGTTTCTGATGAGACCATGCCCGGTACTGATGATGGGACAAGTACCCCGAAACCGGTCTATCGGTTGGTTTTATTGACCAAAGGATATTAATTTCTGCTTTTCTTGCGACGAATCTTCTAAATCGTTGCACAGGTGTCTGATGGGGTTACTTCAACTCTCTGCGCGGCATTGGCTGGGTTAGTTGTTGTTTTTCCGTTGGGTATCTGCCACACGTACCTACAAAGTCATAGGTCTACATGAGAGACAAGGGGTAAGGTGTTTTCACCTGAACCTGTAGCATGTCATATGCACGGTGTTTTCATTTGCGCACTGTTTCAGCTTCAAATCCAAGAAAAGTCAAACGAACTCCTCCACAAAGACCAAGAAGAGAAAACGATGCTTCTGGAAAAGATGGGATCGACTCTGAAATCGTGGTACATGCTGCTTCAGGGTCACGGTTTTGCGTCTTCGGACATCGTCCAGCACTACCACGAAATAGTGATGAGCTTTCAAGGCAGAAAAAACATAAAATGGAAAGAGGCTGTCGATTCAGGCACGAGCTCCATGGCGAGTATTCCCGAAGCGGATAAAGAAGTGAGGGCTGTCGGTAACAAGCGAAAGATCGAAGAGAATCCGCCAGAAAATCTCGACGATACTTTCACGTTACCCGTCGTGTTTTCTCCGAGACCGAGGAAAACCGAACAAGTCATGTCAAAAGGTGGGATTGGATATAGTTATCTAGGCGCTATCGTTATGGAATTGTTTCACGGTGTTTTCTTTAACGTTACCGTTAAAAAAACTTGACGTGTATCCAACTGCTGAAACATTAAATTTTTCTTGAAAGTGTTGCCGTTTTTACTGGAGAGCTTTATTCTAAATGGGTTACATCATTAATTTTCAAAAAAAGTGGGATACCGCAAGGATCAATTCTCGGACCTGTTCTGTTCCTTATATACGAGGCTAAAGTAATTTTTTTTTGGAAAATTACAAATATTTGCCGATGATACGCTTCCATTTACAGTGGAAATGGCATGCAAGAAATGGGGAATGTTTCTCAATTTGGGTTATTACAGCAAATGCAATTTTGAACAAAATAAAGTTGAGTTTAATTCATGAGTTTTTCAAATTCACTTCGAAAAGTATTGAAATTGATGTTTCAAATGTTGGGTTTTAATTTTTAAAGGGATTTGTTTCTAATTCACATATTGGCAACAACGCCTATATCGAGTTGAAATAATTTATACGTACCTAGATATTCTACTTTAAAAAAGGAAAATTATCTTTATAAATCGACAATTAAGGCAAAATATAAATTATAGTTCAATACCACCTCCACAAGCCATGAATAACTGTTGTTTTGTTATTTATTTATATAGAGGAAGATAGGCTAGGTGCACAAAATGTCATATGTCACAGAATGTCTCGGAACTCGGAACATAAGTAAACAGAAGACCACGCCTCTGAAATATGTCATCTTTATTTGTCTCATACAAGTAACAGATTGATTGTCCTTTATTAGCTATAACCGATGTTGCCAAATGGTGAAATAGAAACGAATCCCTTTAAATGTTGAATGCATTATTTCATTCCTCTTTTTTAAGTATTTAAATAATTTTTTAAAGAAAAAGGTTGAAATGAAAAGGTTTAAAATGCTTTGTTTTAGAGATCTTTTATGAAAACTACTTGATTTTCGTTAGGAGGAACATTCCCCATTGAAAATTCAAAAAATTTAATATCATTATGGCTCCCTGTCTTTAGTTATCACTAACTTTTCAGAATCTTCTTTCAAATTCCATAATGAAAATATCGTGGTACATAGGACAGTATTTGATATTTTCAAACAATAAGACGGAAAAGAGCTTCTATTATTGGAATTTTATTTATTTATGTGCCACCTCCAGTTGGAAGTTATCCATATATATATTTCGTACCAACAAAATACTTTAAAGCAACGTCCAATATTATTATCACTTGTATATTCAAACTATACTACAAAGAGCTCACAATCAAACTTGTAAAAACCAAGGAAATGATTAGATTTGTCACTTTTCTTGAATTCAAATTATGCACCTTCAATAATTTAGTCAAAAATAAGCTCAAAACATTCAAATTTGCTTTCGAATACTAATAGTGACCAAACATTCAACAAGATATTCAGGCAATACAAAATTAATGGAAATGAAAACAAATATTAGGCAAAGCTCGACTTATTATAAAGGTATCAGTATCAGTGCTGATCTACTTTTTCTTTTGTTTATAGTTTTGATTTTTTTCGTACTATAAACATGCTTTGTTTTTTGGAAAAATAAATTCGTTATTATTATCATTATTAGGCTCCAGTTTGCATGTTAGATCTAATATAAATCTTACTCATGTATGCAAAAAACCCGAAAGAAAAAAATATCACTATATAAACATTTGCATTTCACTTTCTTTATTTGCCTAACCTCTCATATGAAGGGCTAAATACATAGAATCTCTGCAATAATTTGATTCTCACTTTCAACCCCAATTAGACTACATGTGGGAATCCCCCGAGCGTCTTTTTTTTGGTCGGACTAGGAACTAATGACAATTGACTGACTGACCGTTGTTTGAGCTATATTTTCACGGAAATTGTCATTTGTTTCAGTTCTGAAGCCTCCCCCTACTAAGAGGTTAGCAAATTATCCAACTCGGTCGCCTAGGAATAAAGAGAATAAAACATATAGGAGGCCATTCGACACTACCAAAAGTGTGGCAGCTGCAAAAGCCATAGTCGCAGCTAAAACAAATTCAGGATTGAGAGGTATGTACTAAAGAGCATTCGTGACATTAGGAGGAAAATATGCAGGCTTTGAATGAAATAACTGTGATAAAGTTAGTTTGTATGCTTTTTTATAAGCCTATTAGTGCCATTCTTGGAATTTTATTGACTGTAATGCATGCACTTGTAAAATGGCATTGCTGTAAATTAAAAAGTAACAATAATTTGCAAAGAAAACTGTTGTCGGGTGTAATTCACAAATTGATTGTTATAAAAATATAAGACCCAATAGTGATCCCTGTGGCACTCCTGAATGAAACCATTCTTTCATTCAAATTAATTTTTGTGTAGTTTCTTCAATCTCCATACACAAAGAAGAATCAATAAAACTTACAATTTCATTAAAGAAATAATGAAATTGTATTGAATTTAACTTAATTACATTTCTTTCATAAACATACATCAGTGTGATTCATAACACAGGTCTGCATGCTCTTTATGTAGTTTTTTGTGCTGATTTCAAAAATGACATTTGTTTTTATCTATCACGTAAGGTTTGCCTTCTAAATAAGGATGAAATAATTGATAAAGTACAAAAAAACGAGGAATTGTGGATATATTTTTATTATTTTAACATGAAGTAAAAGCAAACAAAAAAACAATGCTAGATAGTTAAACTAAGCATAATAGTGATACACAAGTGTTTGCAAAGTGATTATAAGTCTTTGTAAAAACGTTTTCTTTTTCCCGTCAAAGTTTCTTTTGGTACTTTTTCGTCTGTGTTCTTGTGAATTGTCCCTTTTTAACATCCAAGAGTAGTCTGCCATCGTGTTAACATCCACCGACCTTGGTATCTGCATTCCATTTCTTTTATGTCTTGATGGAACCGTTCTCCTTGTTCCTCACTTATAGCCCCTAGGTTTTCGGGAAAGTAGTCCAGATATGAGTGAAGGAAATGGTCTTTGACACTCATGTTGCAGCCCAACATTTTATAGTTTTGTATCAATTCAGCAACCAAAGTTTTGTAGTTTGGGTCTTTTTTATTTCCAAGAAAGCCTGTTATAACAAGTTTAAATTAATTCCAGACATTTTTTCTTTCATTTCCATTTTAGTGACAAGGCTTTCATCTTTTTAAAGTTTCCTTATGTCAGGCCCGACGAAGACTCCTTCTTCTAGTTTAACATCGGATAGGCCAGGAAACTTTTTAGAAAGATACTTGAACAATCTTTGTCTGATGGTTTCACAAACTGTTTCATTAGCCCTAATTTGATATGGAGTGGTGGAAGTAAGATTTATTTAAGATCCACGAAACATTTTCAACTCCATGTCGCTTGACATAGTGTTGTTTCTTGTCACAGCTATCCCATTCACATAGGAAACATGGAAACTTAGTGTAACCACTTTGTTGACCTAGTAACATTGAAATATCTTTCAAGTCCACTTATGATCACCACCCAATACCAAAATTCAATTGTTTACAATGGTACGATAATGTTCAACCATCTACCAAAGCAAATTAAAAATATTCATAGCACTCCGAAATTCAGAAGGGCTGTAAAAAAATTTTTAATAACAAGACCATTTTATGATTTGAGGGAATTTTTTGAACAAAATTTTGAATAGCTGTGACAGCAGTACAAAATATGTCATATCTATGTCTCTCACGAAATAGTTTTAAGGGTAGGTGTGTATGTATGACTATATATGTATGTACATATTAACTGTATTAAGAAATCAAACATTTTATAAAATTATTATATGTGTGTACATGGGTCTATGTGTGTGTATATATGTGTGTATGTGAATATATGTGTGTATGTGAATATATGTGTGTATGTGAATATATGTGTGTATGTGAATATATGTGTGTATGTGAATATATCATTGGTACCTGGATCGTAGCTGTCATCACTGTCGCTACTGCTACTATGTGTTTTTGCGTCTAAATCGTCTAAAATGTTGTCCAAGGTATCCGGAGGTGAAGGAATAGGCAAGTTAGGTCCATGAGGAACAGGGCGACTGCTGAATGTATATTGGTGGGGAATGAAATATCATTTCTGTTTTTCAAATTGAAACCTTGCACTGAACAAGAACAAAAATAACAGCTCCATAATTCAGACTCAATTTACCGCTTATATAGGCTATATAATACAGAAACATCGAACCCATACCGAACCTAAAAATTTCAGGTGAAATTTGTGACTAATCTATACTATTTTTTCCTTAATCTGCACACAAAAGACTGTTAAAATCACTAGTTGAATATCCTAAAATGTTTTTATCGCAGACCTTTGTAATCTGTCAAAATTAATATTTAAAAACAAATTAAAAGTAATTCCATAAAAGTATCTTTCAAAATCATTGAATGATTTCTTGTATCTATTACTAATATGACTTCTGTTTTCATTTATATCTTCCATAAAATTTTTCATGGAATTCGTCTTCGGTGGATATTATCTACATAATAGAATAGGACATAATAGAAGCAAATGAGTTGCATTGAAAAAAAATTATGAGGGGAAATACCTCACGAGTCAGTTCTTGGGCCTATCATCTTTGATGTCTACAGCAATGACCCGGCCAAATACTTTTGAAAGCCGTGTTATAATACTAATACTTTATTTTTCATCCACTAATTAATTTTTCTAAAACGTTTTCATCTCATTGTATTTCGATTGTGTGATGACCGTCTATTTTTCAGGAACAGCAAAAACGCCCACCAAGCCATTGTCTTTAGCAGATCGTCCCAGATTTAGAAGGTAAATAAGTTCTTAACAAACTGCAAATTCTAATTTCTGTTATTTTTTAGTTGAAATCTTTTTCATAATGTGTTTACTGGATATATTTTTGCAATAATTAAAATATTTATTTTACTTTTATATAAGATTTGAGTTTTATTGTAAATAAATTGCTTCTACACTTTTTTTAACTGTCACTTTTATTGAAATCTACCTACTGAGTAAAATGCAGTTGCAAAAATCAGTTATTGAAACCATGTGGGTGTGGAAGGTTGAAAAATGGGTTTTGCTTTTTTCATTTAAAAGCTACTCACTCAATCGACTGCTGTGTGAACCGGTGGTTCAAGCCGCCAGGCCGGACGATCAATTTTCACTTTCTATCGTACTACCCGTGCTAAGAATTGCACGTTAAAAAGGTAAGACCTCGGTAATCCTCTGCTCTCACGAGTTTCTACTTCTGAGAATTGTCGTTCGTAGGGGAGGGGGGGGCAGCTGGTTAACTTGTGTGACTGACAAAGTCTTACCTTGTTCCATTAGAAAACGTAATTTTGGAGTACCGCAAGGATCTATTCATGGTCCTCTCCTCTTTTCAATATTCATTAACAATTCGCCTATAAAGGACTCCGATAAATTATTAGCTGATGGTAAGTGTTTTTGAGCACTGGATAAGCAATTATGTCAAGAACAGGTCACATATAGTTAAAATCAAAAACTTTGGTACCTTCTGGAGTGCCACCGGGCTCTCATTTAGGCCCCCTGCTGTTTACTCTATTTATAAATGATGTAATTCAAATCATTACTGTAAATTCCTGCTGTTTGCTGATTACCTTAAGCTATATCGAAAGTATTGAAGATTGTCATAAGATACAGGATGATATCAATTCTCTATATGTTTGGGATGTCGTTAAATCAAGGAAAATGCTTTTGTATAACGTTTGCTAGAATAAATAACAAAATAGTCTTTAACTATTTTCGTGATGATGTCAATCTAAAACGGATCAGTGAAATAAGAGATTTGAGTATAATTTTTTATGTGAACCTTTCATTCATCACCCACGTCAACACCACCATCAATAAAGCTTTTAAACTTATTGGTTTTGTTTTCCGAAATTGTAAGGATCTAACAGTAGATGCCACCATAATTCTTTACCTAGCATATTTTGGAGTATGTGTCACCAATCTGGTCTCCTCGTTATATTGTACATACAGTGCTTTTCTTTAATGTCCCCCCTTTTATTTTTTGAACGGGTCAACTCAAAAAATTGAAATCTGAGATAATGAAATGAATGCATGAATACTTTATTTTGAAGTGAAATTGACAGATGAAACTTTCATGATGGCGACTGGGCGCTAACTGGGAAAAAACTGAATGGAAAAGGGGGTCTTGTGACACATCTTTTTGAAGCTCCTGACAAATGCTTCACAACCCTAGAATACAGCATGACTCACGGTCGATGGTAGGTTAGACGTTTCTGGAAAATGCAAAGCATGATTTTTCTGAAAATTTCACCTCTCACATTTTCTTACCTGTATATCATGTATGTCATCTTGAAGCATTTTTCACCATCTTTCAATTTATCGAGTAATATACAGGGGGTTTCATTTGAAAAAATGAACATTCGACTACTTTTATGCACAATGGAAATAATAGTAATTTTAGCACGCCCTGTATGATATGGAGTCGATTTCTTTACAAAAAAGTATTAAAATACTAGAGCGATTCCAAAAATGTAATAATATACGGGGTGTTCCATTTAAAAAAATATAATTGCTAAGACTTTTTGATAGAAGTGGCAACGCCGCAATGCTTAAAATATTTTAGATCGATAGAACAGGTAAGGAAATGTGAGAGGTGAAATGTTCAGAAAAATCATGCTTTGCGTTTTTCAGGAACATCTAACCTACCATCGACCCTGAGTCACGGTGTGTATTTCATTTGTGTATAGTATATATATAATAATGGACCTAGGATGGATCCCTGTGGTAATTATCCCCGAGATGTCATTTTCAATCAAATGTTGGGTTCTGTTTGTCAAATTGGATTTGATTAAGTCCAAAAATGTGTCTTATTTATCAAGTTTGTTGCATAAAATTTCATGGCTGACACTGTCAAATGCTTTTGACAGGTCAATACACAAGTTACACAAAGTTACAGTACAATGGTCAGTCGGTAGCCAAGCGGTTCGGTGTGGGTGCTTTGTTCACTCACTCGAATTGACTGCCGTGTTGGTCGGTGGTTCAAGCCCTAGTCTGAACGACCGATCTTCACTTGCTACCGTCCAACCCGTGTTAGGAATCACACGTTAAAAGGCAAGACCTCGTTAATCCTTAGCTCGCACAAGTTTCGACTTCTGAGGGTTGTCGATCGTAGGGGTGCGACAGCTGGTTAACGGAAAAACAGATTTTAAACAGATTTTAAATCATCTTTGTTCAAATGATGTAAAATTTTTTCGATGGCTTGATATATTGAATAGTAGTTAGTTTCTTCATCTCTGTTTCCTTTTTTAAATATAGCTTCAATAGATGCCACTTTCAATACTTCTGGCATGACTGCTTGTGAGAAACATACATTTATAATATAAGTCAAAGAATAGGTTATTATCTCTGCTGTTTCTTTCAATAGACATATAGGAATCTGATCTTCACCAACAGATTTTTTATTTTTTAGTTGTTTAGTACATTCTATTATTTCAAGCGGAGTGGTAGGTTCAAAGAAAAAAGCATCATCACATTCTTTTATTTTTGTATAATCTGGGATATTTGGTTTATTTATGTCAGGGCAAGCTTCACTAAAATACTTGTTGATTTCATTTACTATGGTTTGTGAATCTTTATATTTTTTTGCAAAACTTTCTAGGATATTGTTTTTGTGGTAGTTAGGTTTTGTTATTTTTTTGATTAATGACCGTGTAGCTTTGATTTTATTTGCGGCTTTCGTTATAGATTCAGTGTTGGACATTTTTTTAGCAGCTGCAATAACTTTACTGACCTGTACCTTAATAACTTGAAATCGTTCCCATACAAACAATTTTAAATTATATATGATATCCTTCCTCACACACAAGCAGTTCACTGCTGCGTAAGTTCTTGTTTTGTTTTATTCGTGTATTGTCTAAATAAATTGTATTTTGATACCTTGATCAGAAAGTGAATAAAATTATTATGATCATTATTAACTGATTTGTCCTCCGACATTCAAAAAATACTTTATTTATTCGTAATACTATACAGATTTATTTACATTCACTTTTCAATATAACTAACAAAAATAAAGTCACGCTGTTCCAATTCACCATAGTTTCTACAAATTGTAAATCTTGTCTTTTCGACCACAATAACTCACTACATTATACACCAATACATAAATTTCCCGCATTTGGAATAATTTTCAATCCTCTTTCAACTGCAACTCACATCACGTATCGTTCATCCTTTGGTAACGAGACACGGCTCTCATAAACAGTTCCTCAACGGTAGGTTCCGAAGAACCTCTGGCTCGTATGATATTCGTAAGCCGCGCACGGTCCAAAATCACTAAGAACCCAACGACAAGCATAGCGACCATCATTACGGCCCCCATTAACACTACTTGGATTCCATAGTGAGGCATCATGAAGTGACTGTGGTGTGGAATCAGATCGCATAGTCTGTAGCTGTGATAACCGATCATATTTGCGCTGGTAGTTTCTCAGAGACTGATTTTTCATTGATTTCACTTCTACTTATAATATTAGTCATGGTTTTTGGGTATAATTTGCCTGTCTGTCAGAAGGGCAGTGTAGCATTGTTAGTTACAGTTGATGGGTTTTTATGGTGCTGAAGTACAAGGTCTGTTCAAAAAATATTCAATAATTCATCAATTTCTATTTTGTTCCCTTCAAAGTAGTCCCCCTCAGATGTAATACACTAGTGCCAGCGTTTTTATCAAACCTCTAAGAAGTTCTGATATGCACTATTTGGTATGTCCTTGACATTGCTCTCTCGGCAATTCAGTTTTTATATCCTCAATCATCGCAAAACACCGTCGTTTTATGGGTAGCTTCAATCTTGGGAACAGGAAAAAGTCGCAGGAGACCAAATCTGGTGAATACGGTGGATGAGGTATGATTACGGCGTTGTTCTTGGCCAAAAAATCACAAAAAAGCAATGACAAGTAAACAGGGGATAAAATACTGGCTGGAATAAAAAGCATGAAAAATTCCCCCTGTTACGACGTTTATGGATTGAACAGTTTAATATTGAAAACATTTCTGATGGTTTACTAGATCTCCTAAGCAACCTTATCAATATGCGCTTCTTGACTGGAACTTTTCCCGATGTATTCAAATCAACCAAAGTTATTCCGATTCACAAAAGTGGCGACAAGGTCAGCCCAGCAAATTACCGACCTATTTCGATAACCCCGATTATTGGAAAGTTAATGGAGAAACTTGTGAAAAACAGACTAATACTGTACTTGGAAAAATATAAAATTCTAAATAATAGACAGTTCGGTTTCAGTTGTAGGTCCACGGTTCAAGCCGTGGAGGAGGCGGTGGGCGATATAGTTGAGACTCTTGAAGCAGGTAAAGTAATTGCCATTGCGACCTCAGCGAACATTATGTTCGCGATGAGTGTACCAACATAAAAAAAAATCGCTAATCGAATATACGTAGCCCGCGAAATTTGAATATTCGCTTTTTTTTTTGAACGAACCTCGTATCACATTTATTGGGTGACTGATTTTTCTTTGAATTCAACACAATGTGATCTGTGTTGGGTGACCCATATTGTGAATGCCTAATTCAAAGAGTCTTTTCTTGAAACCACAACACATTAGTTAATTTGTATAATTATATCTGAATCTATTGTGGTTTGGACGAATTCAACCAACATACTCTCAGGTGATTGGTGTGCAGTAGTGTTTGTAGAGATGTATTAGACGCCACACGGAATAGAAATCGTTTTAATTTGCAGCTTTGTTTATGAACATTTATGCTTATAATATGTACGTGTTACTTATATGCATTTCTCTTTAGTTCGGCTTAATTTATCTGACCTGTCTATGAAGAAAAAGTCTTCAAATTTCAGATATCTAATTCAGTTCTCATGAGCATTATAGTAGGCAATCCAGTTATATTTGAAAACTGCGAAAATTAAACGTGAATTTAGAAGAAAGTCACTACACTCTCATAGAATAACGATTTACAACAGAACAGTATAGTAAAATCGAATCAACTACTTCTTTGGCCAAATTAGAAAAAGATTTGATATCTGATAAAATATTCACCTATTGAACGAGTAATTTTTCAGAGAAGGTTTTTAGGCTATCAATTTTTCTGTAACTCGCCACTAGATGGGGCTGTAGAACAATTTTTTGAAAGCACTGTTCTATTACGGTGCGCCCGCCTAAGTTCGTTGATTCTGTCAAAACATTGGAACAACAGGGTTACAGCAACATACTACTAGTAGTTTATATTTATTAATTTAGTGTCCCATATACACATTTTATTTTACTAGACTTTGCCAATAAGATGTTCAGATCTTGGGTAATAAAGCATAATTTGATTTGATTGATAATGTTCATTTATATTTATTTGTTTATTTTTGTTAATGACCTCTATAAACGTTTTTTGCGATCAATAAACATGGTATGTTTTTTGGGAACAATAAACGTTAAGTATTTCAATGTTCCTTATAACCATTTTACTTTACAGGAACTTGTAACAAATTACTTCAGAGCAAATTCAAACTAAGTTAAAAGGGAAAAATTAATTTTTGGGAAAGATAGGTTTTGAAATTGATTGCTTCTTTCCTTTCTTTGGAAGATTCCCATAGAAATTACTGTTTTTTGGCCGTGGCATTTTTCAGGTTTTGCCCCTCCTAGAAAAAGTTGAAGAGCCCGGGCTGAGGATTCTATACATGTAATTTCACAATACTTTTTCAATAAAATAAAAAATGTATTACTGGGAAATGGGAGAACTATATTTGAATGATTATAATTGAAGATTTAATACAAAATATTTTGTATTTATCATCAGAATCATCATACACTTCAAGGTTACTTGTAAGCTACTCTTCGGGATGAAATAATATTTCTTACCATTCTCTATCGTAGATTTCTTTGTATTTATTCAGAAAATATATATTTTCAATGGTGTGAAATTCAGAATTTTTATTTTACTAGAAGTAACAAGCTGAGGCACAAAACACCAAAGATTGGTAGCCTAAAACGCAATGCAGTTTTCATGTAAGAAGTGGTTTGCCAGGTGATTTCTGTATCAGGTGCAGTATGTATATTTTATTTATTTTGGACTGGGTTGTTTGAAGGATTTAGAATTGAGCAGGTTTTTTCCTTTAATAAATGCTTCATGATTTACAATAATTCAGTTCTAGTTACAATTAGGAAGGTGCAGCTGGCAATTTCAATAACTTTCTGACAACTTCGTTATATCTAGCCCATGCATATTCACTTTCACCTGAAAAAAAAGGTAGAATATCAAACATGGAACTTATCACAGTTGAAACTAAATATCAACTAAAAAATATAATTTCCATATTCTCAACAAGATTTTTTCATATTCTACTAGATTTTTTTCTCCTAAACACCAAAATTTCATAAGTCTAACATTGCCTAGTGATATCTAATTCATAGACCACGTACGTACATAACTTCACACAACATAAATGAATGCAAAATGTACAAGAACCGAAATTGTTTTAAAAATAATCTCCAAGAGGAAATGTCATTGTGATCAAGTTGAGAACAACATCTTCTAACACTCCACCTTTTCTTTGGAATAAAGTTAGTTCATTATTAGATGAACTAACCAATTTACTGTTTATTGCGATTCCATAATCGAGAAACTTAAACAAATTGTTGTGAGTAAAAAATATTGTCAGTTCTTCAGAAATACTATAGAGAAATGACCAAAATACAGATCTATAAGTAGTTATTATTGGAGTCTAAATGAATTGAATTATATCTTCTGATTTAACGTCTAGTAAAAGGTGAATCTGGCATAGAATTAATCCAAAATAAGCACTGTTTTCCCAATCACTAGAAATGCAATAATTTTCTCGACTCCCGTTTCACAAACCAAGTTGACATCCTCAGGAGTTTTCTTCATCTCCTGGAGGCACCAACTTGGTGAGTGAACCGCTCTTCAAGAAAAGTATTGCACTGGAAAAAGCAAAGAGCTTGATAGATATCTGCAGATATATGTCCTGTCTGAGTCAAAAAACTGTAACAGGATACAGAGCTAGGTGTTAGTCAGGGAACTTTCCAGCAAATATTTGAACTAGAAATTCAGGCGCAAAGTAAAATACCTTCATTCATCAATTTATTTACTGCTTCTGAGTACTCTTCAATATTCTCGATTTTCTCGGCAGGTTGACCAAATATTGCTTCTACATTAGTCTTGGATTTACTTTTTTCCCAATCATAATGTTCCATATCAGCTTCCGACTTCAATTTTTCCCAAGGTTCAACTTTCTGTAAAATAGTAATTCAGTAAATAGTCAATATAGTTTTGGAGATGAAGAAGATGAAATGGAAACGTGAAAGGATTAAAATATGTCAGAAGTGAAGGAATACACAAATGGAGTGCTAAATTGATATATTGGAGATCATATTACCGATCTACAAAAAAGGTTAGTTCAATGGACCATAAAAGTTATAGACGAATCACATTGTTTTGTGCAAAACTGAAATTATATGAAAGAATGAAATATTTGCGAAGAAAGTCTATGGTCACAGAGAAAGTAATGCATGGATATAGAAATCAAATATCTGTATAGTAAACGGACTATGCTTGAACTAAATGCTTATGGAAGAATTCTTAAGGCAATAGAGACAGCAATGTGAGGGTATTGAAATTGGGTTCTAATCTGAACATAGTGTACAAGAACACAACCTCAATTTGCAGTAAGTAAATGAAAAAAAAATCAATACCGGGAAATACGTCACTATTATTCCAACTTGAAGAATGTTTCGGACGCTATATATGGAAAAACGCCATGAAAGGAAGAAAAACATTTATTGAAAAACATTTAACTGAGTATGAATAGGAAATAGATCATTACTGAAATAAAAAATAACATAGAAAAGGATTGTATACTTCTTTGATCCTGTTTTTGGACTCCTGTACTGTAATAAAAAAGTAGATGATATTTTTCAGAAAAATACAAGGGGTATTAGAAAAAAATTGAAGTTGCTTCAGCCAGAGAGCTATTGGACAAAATGAAATAAAGGACAGAAGAATAGAAAGACAACTTTCAACAGCAAAATAAAAGCAATTCGTCCAGGAACGGGAAATGACAAATTCAAGTAGAGAAAACAACTTCAAAATTTTTTCAAGCCAGAACACTATTGTAATAAAAGAAATTGTTTAGTACACTTTGGTATGTGTGCAATGTCAATGTATATTTCCACATATTCAATTTCTTTCATTTATATTCTATCTCAATTGTTCTTACCCAAGATTCGTGGTAAAGAGCCGTTATCAGGTACATGGCATAATCATAATTCTGCTTTTTCAGTGGACACCTGTCCGTAACTATAGTAACGGTATCGTTTTCTTCGTTATACCTTTCACCAATCAGCCTCAAGAACTTATCTTTTGCTCTGGCATTCAACTTCAAGGACGACAATTTAAATCTCACAGTTACAATTCGTGACAGTGGATCTCTTATTGACGGGGACGAATGACAATAATCACTAGAAATGACCTCGATTGGAAAATGTTTCTGGCAAGTCTCCTCGTTATTAAGAGCTTTTGGCCAGGGAGTACAGAACTTTTTCAAAGCTTCACACTGTCTTTTTATCACTGGTGGTGTTAGATGGAGGAAATTTGGTATTTTTATCAACTCAGCATTGGCGAACTTGTCTGGCGGGGCCCCTTTTTCAACATAGCCTTGACGAACTGGCAGAGGTACTGTTGCAGGGTGAAATGATCGCGGGCCAGGCCATACATTACCCCAGTCCTGATCTACAGGCATCTGATTTGTTCTACAATAATTTTTTTAATTAACCTTCCAGTAGTCGCGCATTGAACTATTCTGTAGTAACTACAGAGAAAACTAGTCTGTGGGAGCTGATTGAGTACTTTTGTTTTTTTTCTTTTTTACTAATAATGTTTATTCAACAGATGGTACAATCAATTTAGAACTGCTAAATAGAAAAAACAGTGGTGCTAGGAAAACAGACGACTTCAAGTACAGTGAAATGCAAACAATTATCACACATTTCATAATTTGTTTTACAATTTTACAAATTTTAATGAAATTTCTACACATTGTGCTGATTTGGTCTGGAATTTCTATCCGTCAATTGGTAATAGGTCTCCTGTTGTGAAAATTTTGTACCATGTACCTAGATGCCAGAAGAAAACTCAGTCCAGAATCGAAAACAACCCCCAGTATATAGTTATAAGACGGTTGGAATCTTATTTTAGGAAAATTCAAAGGTTTCTTTCAATTTATACAAAACAATTTTAGTCTCAGATTTTTTGTCTTGCAATCCATTTGAAATAAAAATAAGTTATTTTCAGAAAGAAGAAATGAGAATGAACTTTTTGTTAGAATAGAACTGCATTTTCTAGTTTTATTCAGGAAGTAATAATGAAGTAAATTTGTTTTACTTGTTCCAAATATTGTATTTTTTTAGTAACTCGAAGTTAAGATTCCAGCTCTGATTTTTGTGTAATTGATCATATTGAAAATGGATATTTCAATGTAATGCTGCCCTTGAAGGTATATAAAGTCACAGAAGCTTAAACTGTGACCAAAGTAAAAAACTTGCACAACTGCTGGAAGGTTCAATTTTAAACAATACTGCAAACTAGTAGGGACAATTACCTTGGAGGCAATACACGTAATTGCTTCCGAGGCTTTCTCTGCTGAATTTGTCCTTTAACATTTTTCAGGTTCAACACTCGAAACTCATCTAAAATGAAATAAATGAAATGAATAAAACATATTTTATCTGTACAAAGTACAACCTTTTCTATCAACTTCTGCGTTTGCAAGATTTGAGTACCAGCAAACAACAGATTTTTCAAAATGTTTGGATAGTCCCACCTCAATATTTCTTGTAAAAGCTAACATATTTTGTTATACGATTTGCAAAGGAAAAAATCCTCCTTAAGAAATAAGAATGTGTCACAATACTTATTCTATAAAATTGTTACTATATTGAAGCAGAAATCTAAAAGGGATAAATCAGCTATTCATTATCTGTCATTAAAGTACCCAAGAGCTAAAAGTTAGTTTTGAAAATATATGGAAAATATATATGAATGTAATATAAATAACCTATAACCTATTCTATAATCTACTAGCCACCGTCTTCTTGTCAAGTCGTCGTACTGGCCTCAATCTACCAGCCGTCAACCAGGTCAGGAGTCTAGAGTGACAAGATAATTTAAAACTTTTTAGCGACTTTTGGTACGGTGCGATGTCTAAGGCATCTTATTTGCTAACGTCGTATTGAAACTCTATATTCGTTAAAAATGTCAAACGCTGAAATATAATAATAAGCAAAACATAAACTTTTTATTGGCTTTTATTTTGAGGACCTATTATCAGTTTAATGATTCCAAGTATAACATAGGATGAGGCAAATGATATAATGAAAAATTGTAGCCTTTTCCTGAATAGACCTGGTCATGCTAATCTCGAAAATAAGCCTGTGAGAATGAAAATGGTCGTAACAAATAATAAATTTAGTAGAAATTAGACAAAAGTTATTTTCCTTATCCAATATGGATTCTTACAAAATAAATAGGTTATCTATCGAACAAATCATTCAATACTCAGTAAAATAAATGATACATTTTGCTGTTCGGAAGATGGTAATTAACAAACGAGTGTGTATCACAAACCATTTCCTCTATAGTGATGTAAATGCCTCAACTTACGCTAAGAAGCATAAAAGAGAAGAAGAGTAACTTAACCTGTAACTTTCATATTTGTAAGGTTCGTATTTATCACATTTCATATTTAAAATGATACTTTCTATGACTTTTTATTTTTACTGTATACTTACTTGTTGATAATAAACCATGAAGACGTTCGAAATCATTGCTGGAACTTCCGAGGCATTCTTGTTAGGATATGATTTTGATAGTGATGTGAGTATTATTTTCTGCAACAGTTTCAACAACTCCATAATGTTTTTTTTCTTTAGAACTCTAGCCTAACACAAAGTTTTGCAACTCATGACCACAATGGTAGTTTGAGGTCTCTGGCAGTATCTGGGCGATATGTAGCTTCAGGAGGAGTAGATGACAGAATCATTATATATGACTTCAAACTCCGTAAAGAGTGTACCATGCTCACGCACCACAAATCAACAGTGAATTGTTTAGGTTTCACTAAAAACCATTCACATATTATATCTGCTAGTGAAGACGGTGTTTTATCCATTGTGAGAGTTGGAAATTTCAATTTGGAGAAAATATGGGACAAGGCACATAAGGGGGAGAAAATTCTTGACGTGGCTGTGCATTCTTCGGGAAAACTGGCTTTAACGCTAGGTGCAGATGGTACTTTAAGGACCTGGAATTTAGTCAAAGGACGACAAGCGTATGCTGTCAATTTAAACATCAAAAGTAGAGACAGAAAACTTTTGGAGAAAGTCACTTGGGCTGAAGATGGAGTCAGGTTTGTTATTTACGGTGGAAAGTATACCGAAATTTGGAGTATAGAAGTAGGGGGTGTGTTGAAATCAATTGAGCATCCTGACAAGGTAGTGAGTTGTATCTGGTATTCAGATAAAGAAATCCTAGTTGGCTATGATAATGGAGAAATAGCTTTGATTGAGATCGACACACTGAAGAAAGACGTTAGAAAGGCTCATGATACAAGGGTGAAAGCTATCTGTCAGCATTTGAGTTGGTTGGTGACTGCCTCTAGCTCTGGCGAAATCAAAGTGTGGAATAGAGATTTTGATGAACTAGCTAAATGCAATTCCAATTGTAGAATAAATTGCTTACAAATCATTCCTCAAATCGACATTAAAAAAGAGGAAAAGGAAGATGTGGAACTTGAAGAAAAAGAAGACAACTTCCAAATGAACACAAAACGAACTGTTGTTATAGAAGATGGTAGTTCAGCTGAAGACAGTGATTCAGATGAAGAAATAATAGAAAACATTGAAAAACCGAAACAAAACAAAGTTTCACTGAAAACAGAAGTTACAGAAAGGAAGGGTGAGATACTTGTTGTTGAAAACTCCCAATCTGAAAGGAAAAAACACAAAAAAAAGAGAAAATCCAATGATGTCTCACAGTCTAATGTGAAAAAAACAAAGAAAAAAAAATTGCGTTGAAATAAATTTTTGTTTGTTATCATTAGTTGCATTTTTACAGTATGTATATGCTGAAAAAGTTTTTTATCTATTTGTGTGGTTGACCACGAATTCCCATTGAATTTTGTTCGAGTTGTAAAGCAACTGATTGCTTTCATATTATTCGTCTCAGTTATTCCTCTCATAAATATGAAATATTTATGAGATATTATCATATGCATATGTGTGTAACATTAATCAACTACATAGTGTAAAACCAAGTCACTTCCCTCTGTCTGTCCTTATGTATGCTTAGATCTTTAAAACTACGCAACAGATTTAGTTGCATTTTTTAAAATAAAATATAGAGAAACACAGATGATTTTAGAGTTTTCTAATGTTATGTCGTTATTGAACAAATGTGCTCACACTATAAATAGAAAGTAATAAATGAAACTGAATATCAATTTCAACTTTTGAATAGGCTGTACCCGTGATATATTAAAAAAAAGTGTGTACATACGTATTTTGACGTGAATATTATGAATCCGAAAGAAAAAAACGGTGCTCGCCCTTATTTCTAGAGTTACAGCCCTCCAAAGTTCCGAAACTTTTCAGCCTTCTTCTTGCACATTACAAACTGTTGAGTCACAAGTGTTTATTCACCGTATCAACTTAACACCTCATTTCACCTTTTTTGAAACATAAATAATCAACATTTTACATTTAAAAAACTTTAGTTAACAACGGATTCATTTTCTGGTGACATATATCAACAGAGAGAATGTAGGTTGTGACTCTTTGTATAGTTCTGGTCTGATTCTGTTTAAAAACTGTTTTTCCGTTGATCAGCATTGCATTCAATGATTTGCCTAGTCATATAAAAAGTTGTGATTCATTAAATTCATTCAAAAGAAAATGTATTGAATATATTTCAAGTGATAGTCATCAATAATTTATCTTGTTTTCACAATGTGACTTGTCTCTATTTTTATATTTTTCGTTTTGTATTTTATAGGTGACTGACTGTACATCATTTGCTAATAAAGAGTGATATATTTGAATCCGTGGAGGAAAATTGGTTGAAAATCATATATTAATAAGCTGATGTGTTGAAAAAAGGCTGGAAAGTTTTGGAAGGCTGTAACTCTGTAAATAAGGGAAAGCACCGAATATTTCTTTCGGATTCGTAACCTACACGTTAAAAAATGTAAGAGCACACAACATTGTTTCCAAAATCGACGGGTGCAGCGTATCCGAAATTTTCCCTAACTCTTCAGTTACTTTCTGAACTTTTGCCATCAGCGAATTTTTTAAACCAGTCTGTTGTACACATTTCTACGCATCCACCGCTCTGGGGTATCCAGTAAGCCAGCAGAGGCAAGTCACACTTGCGAATCTCCAAAAGTCTCATCAGCTCGTCACATGAATTCGTGGCCCAGCTAAGAACGCAAGCGTTGCTAAACCAGTGCATAATGAGATCCATCAAATGATATGATAGTGTTGTGTCTGATATATCAGGATTCTTCACAGCTACTTCTATCGAACTGATCAGTCGCGGAATATTGATTGGAAAAGTGGCATCGAATTTGCAACTCCAAACGTTGTCTGTCTTGAAAACCTCGCACGATTTTCCAGATGCCGGTAAAGCAAACTTTTTGGGCAGTAGTTGGCGAAAATGCTTCAGGATGTCTGTGTTACACTCTGTCACTGTTATTCCAGTCAATGTGCAATATAATATTGTCTGAAACACATTTTCAGGCATTTCTTTTCCTAATTCTCTCAACATATTCACTGAACTGCATTCTACTGGACACTGCGGTACACTGTGGGGGACGTTTCTGTATATTTTGGCTCTCAGGAGAAAGACGAACCACATGTGCAAGTGGGCAAATACATTGTGTTCATTCACCAGTTGCGGAAGTGGTCTTAGTTGAACTTTACTGGCATTCTGAAATTGTTCAAAGTCTCTTCTGTATGCTGTAGTTTCTTCGGCTGAAGTTGAGTTATCTGCTTTCTGTTGTAATTCTTCGCTGATGTGTCGTAGGTTATCCTCAATGAAGTTGTAGTGGTTCAGCAGTGGTATCTGAAATAATGGTGCAACTCATTAATTTAATTAAAAAAGTGTGATGAACTGAAGAGAAATATCGCAGGTGACTTGGTGTTTTATTTCGATTTTTTCAGCAATTGAACATTGTTTACTGATACATTTACCTGATGATTTCCAAGAACTACTATGCAGAACTTCCTTCTGAAACCTCTAGCTAGTGAATCTCTGATGTTGAATACATGAGATATGATGTGGCCTCTGGTATCATCCCCAAAATAAATAGTTCCCGATTTTTTTCCTTTTTCCTCCACCACCTATGAAAATAGATAGATAGATAGACATATTTTATTGTACAAGAAAATACAATCTTATTGACAAAGCTTGTTAAAAAATCTGGTATATACGAGTATAGCACTTCAAAGAATAAAAGAAAAGAAACGATTCAAAAACACAAATACCCAGAAACACAATTTGAGCAAAACTAAGTTCACATATCTAATAGAAAAAATATAACAATAGAAAATAAAATTTAACAAAGTTTGTAGGCAAAATAGTTTGTATAATAAAAAAGTCCCTTTCAAAAAATGTAGATAACAAATATACACAATTTGAACATAAGTTCACATGTCATGGCAATAAAATAAGATATATCCCAGTATAAAATATAATTTAAAGTATAGGTGTCAATATAAACAACAAAAAAACGCCTATATTAAATCACAACAAAGTTCCATTGTCATATTCTAGTACACTTTAGTTGCAAGAACATCTTTAACAAGATTTCTGAACTTTTTATAGCTTTTTTTCCTTTCTAATTTCGTAAGGTATGTGATTATTCAACTTTTTACTTTCATAAATTAAAGAATACTTTGTCTGGCTTGTTTTTGGAACAGAAAGATGTATTTTATTTTCAGTTACTTGCCGGGTTATGTAATTTGTATGTTCCGGAGTTCCAACCATATTATGTTTTTTGTAAATCAGGAAACAGTTTCAAGTATGAAAATTCAAGTAACAGTGAGAATTTTTTCTATTAAAAATAATGGTCTGCATGACTCACGCACTCCCACCTTGCATAAGTATCTAACAAACACTGAATGAAAAAGTTGTTGACTGCTAAATCCCCAGAAGGCAAGACCATATCTCGGGTGGGACTCAATCAAGGAATGATATACCATTTTTGTTGTGGATGAACTCAGTTCATTTGAAACTATTGGAAGTGCATAACATCCTGATGCCAATTTTTTGTTCAAAGCTGAAATACGTTGATCAAATTTCAATTTGTTATCCATGAAGATTCCCAGGAATTTGGATTGGTTTTTATTCTCAAGAATTTGTCCATTCAAGTATAAATTGTTAATATTACAGCTGAAGGTGAGTAGTTTTTTTTTTAATATTAAAGCACAAGTAGTTTGCATCACACCATTTTTTCACAACTTCTAAATCACTAGAGATAGTTTCTTTCATATGCCAAAGGAGCGTGGTGTCATCCGCAAAGATCGTAAAAATTCCTTGAATTGAGAGAATCATTTACATAAATAAGGAAAAGAATCGGGACCAGTACGTGGTGATATCAACAAAATTCATATTGCAATTGAAGAACATGCCGTGAAAACATATGTTGTAAAAAATGTTATGGTGCATTTCAAGATATTTCGAGAACTTCCGATTTTTTCTGAGTAGAATATTTATAATTATCGATTCAATATTCCGTTGGAGAGGTTTACAAAACTGTTACTTGTGTTTCGCTATGCAATAGTTTCCTCACGCAGGACTGATGTAGTACTCCTAAATTATTATTTTTTAAAAAAAGTGTTGTCCGTTTTAATCTCCATATCTCTACTATGTCTTTGTTATGTATGCTGAAGTTATATTTGGTTTTATACACTATATTGGCAACCATATTTTTAAAGAAATTAGGAATATTTCAAACAAGGTTGACCCAAATAAATTAGCGTTCTCTAATTTTTCTTTTATGGCTCAACTGTATATTCATGTCTGAACTTGTGTCCCTCTGTAAGGTGAGTCGCAAAAGTGGAATTTATGTTTCCACTCTGGAAACTGTTTCTATGTTCTTTAATGCATGCTTTAAATGTTCTTCCAGTTTGGCCTATGTGAAACAACGGAGATGAACACAAGACGATTTATACACTCTTGATCTATCTGACACCAAACTCTTCCATTTGATATTTTTAATATTGATGCTCAAGTTATTTGGGCCGATCTGGTATAACAATAATTCTCTCTCAAATAGAAAGATTCAACAATTTGTCTCTGGTCCGGATTTCTGGCCAAATTAGCCTGGAACATAATGAAGCTGCCGACTCCCTTGCAAGGGGGAGCACTGCAAGCAGTTTTGTCAAACAAACAATGAATAATAGAACCCTAAGATAGTTTCAGACTTCTGACAAAATTTACTACGATCGGTCCATTCTGGGGCATTGACTACACCACAACTGAACTAATCGGCTTCATTAAGAAGAGACATATTCGTTTAGGATTGGAATTGATGTTAGCATAATTGAGTCCTTCTGGGTTGCAAGTGCGGTCAAAGTGAGTGAACATACTGAAATAGAGACGTTCTCTATGTGCTTAGAAACATTTTTCATCAGTAATTGTGCATCGTTGTTGAAAAATCAGTTTTCATTATAATTTCAAGTAATTTGTCCAAATTGTCGCATCTTAAACCATTATTTAAGCTGATATTTACTTAACCTCTCTATTAGTTTCAACTCACTTCGATACTAAGACTTCTCAGCACAACATCTTTGAGAGTATGTGCTACATTTGTGTTGAGAGATGCTCTAGAAGTAATGTAGCAATAATGTTCATCTTGGCAAGTGAAGACTGTATCTGGTGGCAAGGACTCACAGGCTGAACAAACAAGGCTTTGGGAAAGTATTTGTTCTTTGGGAATATCCTTCGATTTTTCTGTACATAGTAAAACACAAGGTCCGTGTTTATCACAAAAGTGACCTAAAGCCACTGTTACATCCATAATACATCGAATAAAAGTGTAAGTACATTATATAACAGAGTATTTACATATTTCAAAATTACTGTATGAGTCAGCATCACAAGATATTTATTTTTGGATCAAAAATTGTACCAGGCCATAAAAAATATTTTTTTCAAATGAGTATTTTGAACATGATTGACGAAATATAATATTTATTTACATTACAATAGATTTATCCAGTCACAATAAATCTTCCTTCACGTTTATTCCCAGTAAAATTTTGGAAATAGAATAACACGAAATAGTACTACTTTTCTAGAAAAAAGTACCAGATTTTACAGAAAACTTTTCAATTGATAATTATATATTATTATTATCTTTGTATTATACAAAGATATTATACAAATTATAATATCCACAGAGTAAAATACAAAGGCAAACAGCTTCTGAAAATTGAGACTGAAATTTATGTGCACCGCATTTTACTTTTGGTTGGAAGTTGTTTTCATGAGTTCTGTAGGAAAATATAGAAGGACCAGAAAAATTAATAATATTATTTATTCACAGTTATAAATGTAAATTCACATTTATACGTGTGTATCAAAAGTTACAACTGGTAATTGACAAAATCACACTTACAATTGATAATTTAAACTTGTGACTGTAAATCACAACTAGCGTGTGCAGACAGCAAATTCCTTACATGAAAACTTTATACTGTGCACAATAGATGGCAGCACGTTACAACTAACCTCTAACCTAGCCGAAGTTATATTCAAGGAAAACGTATGTATTAAAATTCATTAGTTAAATATAGCAAAGATGCGTAGAATTCTTAGTGTTAAACCGGTTTGCTTTTATCTTGTCAAAAATTCTAGATGCAAGAAATGTGATTGACCCAACTTTGTGCGCACGTTTATAGATGGGACAAAAATCGTTCCCAAATGTAAACATTGGATTGCGCTGAACGCTTTCTGTGAATGGTATGCCGAGGTACGATGAAATCTTCTTATTTTATGAAGAATCAAGAATGCTGTGGATCGGGTGTTTACATCAAAATATTTTACATAGGGAAAGATTTAAGTTACATCATGGTATTTCTATGCATCTTGGATACAGCTTCGAATAGCTTAGGTTACAGGTTATATTTTGTTTTCATTATACGACATTTATTATGCCAAGTGAAAATGTGAAGAGATTGTTGTCTACAGACGCTTGTCCTAATTTACAGTCATATCTGAGAATTCACACTTATAACTTAATGATTCACCACTATAATTGTGAATTCACAGTTGTAGGTGAAAATTATAGTTATAATTATAACTATGAATTCACAGTGTTTATTGTGGGAAAGTAATATACATTTTCGTGACCCTTGCGGTTTTGTGTTTCTGATTTCTCGAAAACGATTTTCTCTCAATCATACATAATATGCTTTATATTCTGTGCTCTGTGAATGGAGTCTAGAGACAAATACCTCTGCTAAGCAGAAACACAAGTAGATTAATTATTAATAAAGAATGTCTCATAAATAATAATGATAACCGGAGTTATACACATTTTTGCTACTATTTCAATGTCGTAATGTGCGGCGTTTATGATCATTCAAATGATACCATTCTTGAAAAAATATCAAGATGGCGGTAGTATTCCACAATATCTTTTTAACACTAAAATTTTCCATTCTCTGAAACGTTAATAAATATATTTATCTGAAAAATGTATGAGTTGAACAGCTATTTGAGAGTGCTTCCTTAACTAGTACTCACCGTATGGATGTGTGTAACTTTCCGTCACGTAATGATAGGCTTTTTCTTCATGTGACAAGCGCAAGTACGTCGCTATGTGGAAGGAGCGGTAGCAATATTATCCCGACAATGAAGTCTATCATTAGAACAATTTATGTAGTTGTATTTATCCATGGTTAAGTTGAAGCACATAATTGTGAATAATTAAAATATCGCTAAATTATGTCATTTCGTTGTTACCATTAGTACTAGAAAAATAGAAATCATTAACCAAAAGTTTCAGGCTATTTCTGGGGAAGAAAGTTTTTGGCTTTCTACTACTCCATCTTGATACAAAAAAAAATGTGGGAATCTTCCAAAGGAAGTAATCAATTTGAAAATAAGTAACTCTATACATTAATAAATTAATCACTCCTAAAAATATAACACCTTCAATTCAAATAAGATTTCAGATTATTTTTCGAAAATAATGTATTAACTAGACTATTTTCTCGGTAAAAATGTAGGAAGCAAATATAAGTATAATTCAAATTTCCTGTGTTTCGATCGTTTTCATTATGAAAATCACTTGATTAAATTGATTTTTCTATGATATTCACAACAGGGTTTGGTAAACTTTATAAAACTCCATACAAACACGATTTTGTCCGTTTCCGATAGGTGACGTTATAATCATTTGGATTTTTCTTTTCAAATTTATTGAATTGCGTGTGCTTCATTTCATATTTTTCATTGTTCATTAGGCATTGGCACGGAAAAAATTCTGATTGGAAGGTTTATACCTACGTTTTTTTTCGAGGGAGTTTTACACCGTTAACTTCTAATTCGCGATAAATATGACAAATGTTTCTTTTCAACCGAAAGTTAAGCCAGAATTAGGTGCCTCCTTGGCTTGGAGTTCCGTTTCCGATATGGTGGTGGACGGACGTGCTACAAAGAAGGTACGCAGACGCCATTGTTGAAGACGAAATTCATTTCATGTTGTGAATGTCAGCCGTTATATAAGTAGCTAGCATCAATTAAATAATAATAGTGTTAGGTGTTAAAATAAATAGTACTTCGATTCACGCCGGTTGGAGGCCGGATGTCAACTAGCGTACGCAAGTTGCACACACACCGATTTTGGACGGCCGATATTATACTGGTCGTCCAAATTCCAATAGTGAACCACATGAGGGAACGGGACCTTGCACACACGCCGACCGGTGATCGTCGCCGGTAAAATACCGGTGAGCAGCCGTACAATGCCACTGTATCGCCGGCAGTACCGGGAAGTAGTGGCGTACATGACTAAATACCCTCTTGCATACTCACCGGTTTTTACCGACCATTCCAGTCTCGAATAACATGGTTTGAACCATATCCACAGCGGCCGGTAGTAAAAGCGTCGCACCTATTGTTGAGGCTTTCCATCTTTTGCAATTCTTAAACTAGCAAGGTATGACGCCTTTATCAAGTTAGTATCAGTATCGACAAACTTCGTCAAACATTGGGTTTCTTTCTTTAAAAAATTCAATGGGCTCACCAATCAAATCAGAGTGCTTAGTATTTTGGTGTCGCATCAGTAAAGAAGGCTTCATGGATTGGTTCGAAAGTGTTTCGACATAGAACACAATGAGGAATAGGAATGTCACTGGTTTCAGTCCCTGGCTTCAGTATAAAACCGTACTGTAAGTAACTTTCATCATAATTACGAATGGCCGGTAATTTAGGTTTTTAGCACCATTCTTTGACGTAAAAGAGGACGTCAGAAATCGTTTCATAGTTCAGTTTTCTTAATCGAAATCAGAATTAATAATTACAACACCCACAACAAACCTGTAATGCCAATTGAAAGTAAAAGCAAATCCTTTTAAAGACCCACAGGTAAAAAATGAAACACCCTTTGTTTACCAATTGTACTATCTGTGGATTCCTAGGTAAAATTACTAAAGTGTTTTATTACCTACGAATTGTAAATTCCAATGTAATAGAAAACAAAGATGTCAGGTCGTTCACTGGGTTATGGGTATTTCGTTTTTCTAGCGACCCGTGAGCTGAGTCATGTTTGCTATTAACAGCATGTTGCTCACATGACTCACGTATACCACCTGAAACGTTCTCACTTACTACCGGTTGGGAACCCTGCTTTAGAAAATGAAACAAGAAATTCAATTTTCAGGTTTATGCTAACCTTAAATCCTCATGGATAATATAGGCCAATATTTTTATTTGCAGCATATTCAAACAAGAATGAGTTATCAGAACATATAATGATAATTAGAGGCTTGCCTACACAATATTTCAAGTTAATAGAAAACTGGAAATTCATCCCAGAACATAAGTCCAAGAACAAAAAATTTCGTGCTAGGGATGTCACCATTAGGACTTAGGCATAATACTTGGCACTCATCGAACTAAACTCATACGAACTTACAAGACCTATGACGGGTACACAGGTCTCAAGTACTGTTTGGAACACCCCTATCTCGAATAAAGCTTAATCATAAAAGAACCATAAATAACATATTTAATTTAATAATTAAATAAAACTATTTACAAAAAACCAAAGCAGCGGAGCAAACAACCAGTATTTAATGTAACCTGTTCACAATATAATCTAATAAAAAGGCACTTAATTAAAAAATGAAAAAGATGTTTTTATTCAAACTGTACAATCACTTCACTGGTCAGCAGTCAATTTTACATTCAGTCACATAAAAATTACAAGTGAAAACGATGAATCATTCATGAGTTTCCATCGCCGAATTTGAAGGATGCCGGCACAGCCTGTTGTGTGAATATATAGCCTGGAAAACAAAAATTATTAGCAACACTTTTATTAATAATGTTATCTCAGTTATGAATAATGTCTATAGTTTTATTGACATTTTTATGAGTGGACCCAATCACGGAATTTTAAGTTACCGTTAAATCACAAACATAAATCAGTGGTACCATCAGTACCACACTGTCAGCAGCCATGGAGATCAATCAATCAATCAATCAAATCATAATATATTTTGTCAGAAGATTTTGTATCCCATCGACAAAGATTTGTAGGTATAAATATAAGCATAACTAATGGTGTATAGATAAAAACTGGCAATTGATAAAGGTTTGAATAAAACAGGTACAAATACAATAAAAATAAATATAAAATGGAATACATGTTTTAAAATGATTCATTAAAATACTCTTCCAAGCTATAATAGGGTCTATCAGCTAGCAAATTTCCAACTGCTTTCTTGAATTGTACGTTGGTCAGATCTACTTACCAGATCTACTGGTAAGTGATTGAATAATTTTCCACCATTATAAGAAATGGAATCCTTGATTAATGATGAGTTAGGTATAGGAAGTCTAATATTAAATATGCTATTACGAGTAGCATAAGGAGACGAAATAATGTCAAACTCAGTTTTATGTTTGTGCACCAAACATACAGTTTCAAGAATGAACAGTGCAACGACGGTTAAAATCTTATTGGCCGCAAAATAATTTCTGCCTGATTCCCTAGGTTTGAGAGAAGGGTTGCACTGCATGTTCCCCAAAATGGTATTCCATATCTTATTTGGGATTCAATTAAAGCGCAGGTAACCGTTTTTGCTGTGTGAAAACCCAGCTCGTTAGAAACTACCCTTACTGCATAACATCCGGAGGAGATTTTACTCTTGAGTTGTCTGACGTGTTCATCAAATTTGAGCCTATTGTCAATATAGACACCCAGAAATTTTGTGTTCAATTTGTTTTCCAAAATATCATTGCCTATTGACAGTTCTTTTAGCAGACATTTAAATGTTATTATATTTGTTTTGGAGATATTCAAGGATAATAAATTAGCATCATACCAATTTTTCTCCTTTTCTAAATCAGCTGGGTTTTTTCCTTCCACAATATTGTTGTATCATCCGCGAATAGAGTAAAGCTGCCACATATATCTATCATAGTCAAATCATTGATATACAACAAAAACAGAACTGGACCCAACACAGAACCCTGTGGCACACCAGATGTGATTGCCCTGTTTTCTGCGAGTTCCGATGTTCTTACTATTTGACTTCGGCCTGAGAGGTACAATTCAAACCAATTGTACGTCACCCCTCTGCAGCCATACTGGTGAAGTTTTTTGAGTAATAATTCATGATTAACACAATCAAAAGCCTTCGAAAGGTCACAGAAATTTGCGGCAGCTACTTCACCATCATTTGTTTCTGAATAAAGTTTATAAAGGAAATAGAATATTGCATCACTTGTATCTTTTTCCGTCTGGAACCCAAATTGGTTATTACTCATGATATGCAAATTTAAGAAATCATTTAATCGTTTATTCACTAATTTTTCAATAAGAGAATTAGAGAAATGGGCCGCAGATTGGAAGGATTATGCAAATCACCACCTTCATGTAGGGGAATAACAATTGAAGTCTTAAAAGAAGAAGGGAATGAGCCACTTTCGAAGGGGACATTAATGAGATTAAGTAAAGTTTCCAATGCATTGCCTGGTAGATTCAAAAGTATTTTTACCGAAATCTCATCATACCCAGCGGTATTTTTATTTCTGATGTCGTTCAAGGTTTCAATTAATTCATGAATATCTGTGTAATACAAAATTAGGCTATCATCGATATTAATATTTTCTAGATTGATTAAAGGATCATAGGGCACATAGATCTATCTACCTCCTCTCCACATTTTTCTGGAGGGAGAGGCTAGATGGACTGCAAATAGACTTGTTCACATTGCCAATTGCACAAATCAATTTAATGCAGAGTGCAACTCAACAGATTGTCTCTGGCCTGGATTCCTGCCCATACTGACCTGGAAGCAGTGTTGCCGGCGGGCAAAATTCAAAATCACCAAATCTATGAAGCAAAAATCACCAGATTTGAAAAAATACACCAGATTTCAGAAATTCTACCTATTGAACAAAAAATGAATAGGAAATTGTGTACAAAGTTTGAAACAGAAAATATATTGAAATAAATATTCATTCTCACACAATAAATAAAAAAAAAAACAGAACTCTCTTATAAATATTTGAGCACAAACAAACAGAAAATTAATGGCTAAGACAATAAATGAAAAAAAAATAAACAGAACTCTCTTGTGAATAAATATTTGAACAAAAACCCAAAAACAAACATAAAATGGCCAAGTATATTTTGATCAACTACCTACTACTATTATTTTGATTCATACATTTCATGAACACATTTCCTTAGTATACTATCAAAAATTTCAAAGTTGTAACAGTATTTCTCATTGTTTAATATAACTCTTGTAGAGTGAAGAATTCCACTGAGGGTATGAGAATTCAGTCGATTTCTGATTTTCGTAGTATTATTGCCAAGTTTCTGACAAATGAATGGTCAGTTGATTCATCAATGAGAGTGAAAAACTTTGTAGATCCAGTTTTCTGTAATTACGAAGCTAGTGAATGATGACCTAAAACATTTTTAATAATAGCAGTGCATTTTGTGCGCTTCAGATTAACATCTTTCGCTGCCTCAGGATGTTTGCTTGCTTCTTTCATCAATTCTTCCAAATGATCAACACTGCTTATAGCAATGTTATGTTCCACTATGAATGAAGCTAATCTTATTTCTAGTTCTCGTGGTTTTTTCTTTTGAGTTCGGTTGTCTGTGAAGAACCTCATTTGTGAGATTGGTTACTGCAATTTTACAGAAGAAGCTTTCTGCATGTGTTTTTTCGTCCTTTCATACTTTTGTACTGATGCTATTCCACCTTGCAAATATATATTACATCATTTACACAAAAAATTATTGCTTCTTAATTTACTACATTGAATCCATGTAAACTTTTTTCCCATTGAGAATTGTATTTATGCTTATAATTCCTCTTCCGTTTGGATATTTACTTTGTTTCAGTATCATTAGGGATTGTATTTGTATATGTTTCTGATGAATCTGAATCAATGTACAATGTACAAAAAATACATCAATTCGTTAGCTAGACTTGTCCTACACAAATAATATCCATGGATTTCATCGTCTTCAATTCGTTTTCCTTATTTTGCATTTTGATATTTTTTATAATTTATAGATTCAAAAGAAAACAGGTTAGGTTCAGTTAACAATGTTAGTTGGCATTAAAATAATGAACAGAACCACAGAACACAGAAGATATGTGATGAAACATTGAACTCATATAATCATACGCTATACAACTGGTATGAGTTGTGTGAATTTATGATTCATGCCGATGATAAACAATGCGAGGTTATCGTTTTCAGTTACCGGGCTATGCGAGCGACAAGCTTAGCGTTCTTATTCTCTTTCAGTTTCAAATTTGTCATAAAAACAAAAAAAAAATCACCAAAATATCACAGTATAGGTACAATGTTCAAATAAAGCTCGTTTCACGAAATATGTAGTTGACAAGATAGCACTGAAACGAAATATTATTCTGCGTCTGGCCCCTTATCATTGTGAACTCGGTTGAACTCAGGTGAAAGATTTCGTTGCAAGACATGTAAAATAGAAGATGTTAAAATATTCTTTGAGGAGTCCTTACCACCTCTACCATGGGTGGCAGCAAGTTTTGAACGGTTATAATCACGAGAGTTCAAGATTGTGGCAAATTTCGACATCAGATTCGTGACAACGGAACAAAATTAAACAAGTACGAAGTACGAATAATTTCAATTTTGTTGTAAAAAAAAATTAAAATTCAAATTATACCATTCACCTCTTACCCATAATCCAGCCACGACACTGGATCAAACGCTGTGACAGATGACACTGGCAGTCACTGTCAAAGCACCATCAGCTACATTGCAACACCAAAAAATCGCGTCTTATCGCGTCAAAACCTCAACAACATGACCAAAATCGAGAGCAGACTATGCGCTTGCAAATTCAACAAAACCGACACAGGAATGAGGCAGAGCCCCAAGAAACTGGACCTCACCTTCGTCGAAAATCATCCGACATCGACAAATCTTGAGAAACACTCGCAGTGTTCCTGCACCGTAGAAAAATGCAAAATGACTCAACTGCTTAGATTGTGCAAAGAAAATCCAGATTGGATTATCGGAGTGTACCGCGTTAGCAAATCGGAGGACAAGTGTCTACCAGACATAGATTTGGATGCTCGACCGGTAAGTGACTCGTCGGATAAACTCACCGAAACTAGCGGCAAAAGTAAATACCATTACTTGATGACGGACCAGTCTACTAGTTATACCCCGATGGATAACGAAGAGTTGCACATAGAAGCTGCAGAAACGCCAAGTAAATGTTCACTGCCCAGCGAAGAACTCAAAATTGAAGACCAAGATGAAAAGCTAGATGGTGAATGTTCAGCGAATGATACGGATACATCAACCAAAGATACTAAAAAGGTCCCGAAATCGATTTTACACAAGACAAACACAATCATGAATTTGGATAACAGCAGCAATGTGTCGAAAGATGATTCAAAAAATGCAGGTCAGTGATAAAATGAAAACTTTCATTCTCAAACACTAAAAATGTACCCCCTTTCAATTACTACTATTATTACTGTTTCAGCATTTACTAATTTGTTAATTTTGCTCCTACAAAAAGATACATTTTTAATTCAATATTTCTCGAGATTTTCCACGATTGACTGAGTTAGTGGGGTACATACACAATTACTATTCACGAAAAAAAAAACCTTAATTTCTGTAATAAACCTAAGTTTAACGAAGTTTAAAGCCATTTTTCTAATATTTTTTCAATAGTGCGAGAAAACAGCTCGCAGGTGTCATGGCGACGGCTCTGACGTCACGCTTAGGTAAATATGCCATTGTGCCTATGCGCAAAACAATAAATTAATTCGTGCGGTACTGCAGAGTGGTGTGCAGTGTGGTGTAAAAACATATCAATAAGAAAACCCATCAAAGTTTTTTTACATGTTCCAAACAAGAAAATAATAAGAGATAAGTGGTTAAAGCAGCTCGCATGGCGAAACCCGAAAGACGTAGGTAGTCACGAATTCGTCACTGTACTTCTGTGAAGACTACTTTGAAGTGAGTATGTTATTATATATTGATAGGTCTTAAACTTAGAAAAGTTTGTTTGACGTGAAATAGAAATATTGAGGCTATGAAATAACTAATTTATTGAGGTTATGTTTGTTTTGGTATTTACTATTAGGAAAAATACTACTAGTACTAGTAGGTGCTTTTTAGTTACAAAATTTACTCGTTTTATTGGTTATTAACATGGTATCAACTCTAACATAGCAACTTTATTTTTGAGGTTAGGGAGCTAACCTCAAAAATAAATCATGACAAATTTACTGTATTAACAACCTATGAAAAAAGTAAAATAAACTAGTATGAGTTTGAAACGAGTTTGATTGTATCTAAATTGGTTGTATCTAGGGTAAAGATAAATACAAAACTTACTTACAAGGAAGTTTTGACGTTACTAAACTCAGACGAGCACAATAATGGAAAATCAACCCAAATGAGCAATCAGTAGTATTCACAACAACAAAATACAGTGAATGAGAGTATTGACAGAGGAGTTTACCTAAGCGTGACGTCATGCGCTGTGATTGGTGTTTCAGTCAAAATGGCCGATTGCAGTATTTTGATGTTGTAATTTATTGAAAATCTCAATAATTTGAATGTTTTATATGAAAGTAAAACAGTGCTTTAAATTTTTTTAATATGAATTTTTCCCTAAAACCATTGAATCGACTATTTTTTGATACCGTCATGCCTATTCTGTCACCAAACAACATTCTCACCAAATTCAATTGCAGATGCCAGCGAAGATAAGACGAAGAACGTTATGATCGATCATGAGGAAAAACCAAGCCATCCAAGTGATTGGAATATCTCGATCACTAATCACGAACCTTCGCATATCCTATCCTTGCTAAACTTCGTTATGAAAAAACAGAAGGAATCGCCCCAGACCACGATGGATATCCAAACCGATAAGAAAATTAAAAAAACGTGTCTCTCGCTCCTGAAATGTTTTCTGTGCACCAAGAAAAATGAACGCAAAGTCAGCTACTTCGATCAAATCGGTCCACGATATTCGTCTGATAATAATAGCACCGATTGAAGGAGAAAGTCGAGAATCGCTGCAAGAACGTCGCAGGTTTGACGTTGATGATACAAATAATAACGAAGAAATAATAAATTGTTTGTCACTTGTTTTTATCAATTTGCTTTTAGAGGACTTTTCTAGATAACTGTTTGGAAAGCCAGTGTCACAATTTTTCGGGTTTGAAGGCCGTCAATTTTTGGAATTTTTTCCTGACGTTTCTTTGGCGCCAGTCGCTAGCTACTTCAGAGGTTTATGCATCTTGAGTTCATCTCCGATGAATGGATATTACGGCTGCGTAAAACGTATTTACGTTGACTCAGGTAGTTTAATTTTCTTTCTGCTTTCAATGAACTGTCCGATCATATAAAATATCGTCAAATTCAAAAAATTATTGAAAGAATTTATACTTCAGGAAAGAAACTACGACAAATCGGCTCCCATTTTGGGGCCATTTTCAAGAATTTGATGTGATTTGACGCCGTGGTCTCAATCTGCCTACTCCCCAGGTCTCGTCGCGAGTTCTCTCTAAGGTCTCAATCTGCATACCCCTTAGATTGAACTGTTCAACCTAACCCATCCCATGTATTTTTTATGGCGCTTCATTCTGGCGATTTTTGGAACTCAGGCCCAGTTCAAACGGAAGGGACAAAGTTCCGCGCCTCGCCTTAGCCTTTGAGGCCCACTTTAGACCACCTCCACTCCTCCACTTTTGCCATTCATTCAATCGACTAATCAGAAACTACCGCGCGTACAGCGGAAAATTCAAATCAGTAGATGAACAAGGCGGGTACGAGCACACTTCAAGGCCGCGCGTCGCTAGTGTTTCAGAGAGACTTTAGTGAGTGGGAGTGCGAAACGTGTAACGTAATCAAAGCAGAGAAGGATGGAATGAGTATTGGAGATATTCAAAGAGCGAAGCCCGCCTTGGGACTCCGCCTCACCCTTCGGGCCCCCTCGTCGCGCACCAGTCACGTGGTCATTGGCAGCTGAATGAAATGAAATTAAAAAGACTTATCGGTATGAGAATCGAACCCAGGTCGTCGGCGTGGTAGACGTTGTCCTTAGCCTCGACACCAACGTGGAATATTGGAAGTAATTGCGAATTGTTGATATTTATGGCGGTTGTTTTGTCGAAACCGAAATTGACTCATTCTCTATACTTATACAGTCTCTATACTTATACAGTCTCTATACTATACGGTCAAACTTTTCTTGTGGGGTTTTCTCAAGTCGCAGGTGTATGGGAATAAACCACAACCCACAGCAGTCTTCAGAGCCAACATAATCCATGCCATCGATCAAGTTCAGCCTGATTTATGCGCCAGATTTATGGAAAATTGAATGTTTCCGATGCCCTCCACCCAGAGCTCTGGCGGACATTTAAACGATATTCCACACATAATGACATCAATAGGTCTTTCAAACGAATAACAAATTTCAATATTTCACACAAACTTAGTTTCATTTAAATTTAAAGATGAAATACCCTATATTTATCTATACTGAAAATTATTTGAAAAGCACAGCCCAAACACAACGCATTTAAGATCAATCACCAGACAACGTTGTTTAGAACCACCACTGGAGTTACGCTGAACCACAAATCCATTTGCTCAACTGTCCTCAAAGAACAAGCCTGAGTAAATAAGCCCCCTTAAGAAGACTCCATCTACTGGATAGACAGATAACTCAATACTCGAGTATCAAGAATAAAGGAGGCTCCCCGAAGCGGTCAATTGCAAAGCTAAGCTTCTACATCGACCGCCGAACTTGATTCGTCTTCCGTCTCTCAATGCAGATTTAACTGCAACTAGGAAACCCAGAATATAACCACAACGTATTTATCATTTCAGCGCTATTTCAACCGCTCATTGGTTTTATCAGTAGTGCTAGGCTGAAAAACAAATGTATTTCTGGACCCAACTGCTTTGGAAGAACAAGCCTGAGAAAAATAGGGCGATGACATCTCTCCTTAATGGCGCCCTCTATGGGGTAGACATAGAACTCAATCCTAGAATATTAAAGATATTCGAGGCTCCCCAAGGCGGTCAGTTGCGCGGTAAATTCAGTTATGATTTGTTATAACTGAATTTCACTCTACCTGAAATCAGAGTATACCTTATCACCCAAGAGACGAACATTGCCCTTCAACACCCAATAATAACTAACCCCTTATGAATATTTACGTCATTTTGACATTTTGACAAGTCAACTCGCTGTCAACGAAATTTAACGAACACAACTGTATAGAAAATCGCAAATAACCATGTTGCTAGTAGAAAATATCGAATCTCCGGCCCCTGTTAAAAACAAAAACTGCATATGTAGAAACCCGAAAGAAAAAAACGAGATAGATCAAATTCCACCCGATGACTCGGCAAAATTAGAACTCTGCAAAAGATGTTGCTTCAACGGAAAGTGCACAATTAACCAGCTACTGAAGATTTGCCAAGAGGATCCCGACATCATAATGGATGTCTTCAAAATGGCTACGGCAGATGAAAAATGTCTGCCAGAAGTCGAGTTAACATATGACCAGCCCCAGAACAAAGATGATAACAGTGATAAAAACGTAGACCCGCAGAACAAATACCATTTTTTGATGGTCGACAACTCGACGAGTCTCTATGTGGTTCAGCAGCAAGTGCCGGACAACTTTCGAGCAGCAGAGCAGGGCGACAAAAAGGAAGACATCGCGGAAATTAAGGAAGAATGCAATCATGAGACTGAGGACCAAGAGCGCAGCCAAGAAATTATTGAGGCATTACTTCAGAACAAGGTACGTGACATTTTTTTAACCGATATTCGAAATTGAACAACGATATATGTATAGGGTTTTGTAGTGGTTCAAAAATAATGTTTATGTTCAATGATAGCAATGTGAATTTGAAATACTTAACAGGTTATATGAAGGTATATCAACACACACCAACATACCAACCACACTGTACATTTTTAGGTAAAGGAAGACCGAAGAGGGTGTCACAAGTCATAGATATAACTAAAAGGAGTAATGAGACAGTTCAATTTCATTCCAATGAAAAAATGTCAACATAACTAAAAGAATAATTTGTTCAGGCCAGTCTCGACTCACCTACACTGTAGGTTGAAATTTTTGGCGATTCTGGACACGCCATATTCGTATAATTATCCTAAAGCGGTGACCGTAAAACGCGAAATTATTCGCCTGCGATTCACCTCACACGTTGATATAAACAACTTCATATTATTTTTCTTTCTCTGTTTACATTTCTGCGTTTTCTGCACACTATAATATCTGTATTTTTATTGAGATGCACAATCACTAAGAAAATCCCAAGAGTCCCAACTATCGAGTTTGTTTGGGTCTCGAATCTGGCGGATTACTCTACTAGTAGTTCAAAAAGGTTCCTATTAAGGCTTCATAAAATATAGAAATAATAACAGTTGTATTGATTTATTTTTGATAATTAGTTTACTAAGTAGAGACAATGCAAAAAAAGTAGTGAACCATTTGACAAAGTTCTTGTTATTTATTTACTTGTCTACTTATATGTTCGATGCGGTTCCTGGTGAGGCTCCTTTTATAACAGTCATGGCTCGCGAATAATCTAATTTTGAAATAACTTCTCTCCGCTACAAATGAAAAACCGCCAAAAAATAATTCAGTATCTCTCAATTTAGGAGAACCTTTCCAAAGGTATACTCAAGACGAGCCAATCAAAATACCAAAAGGACATCAGCATCAAAACTAAAACGGCTTCTATGGAAAAACTCATTGATAGAATTAGAAATCTTCTATGGACCGACAGCGATGATCAAATTATGCCGGAGATCAACGTGAGAAAATCAAGAAAAAAATCGATCAGGAAAAACTACGAACAACTTGTGTCGCCGGACACGGAAAAGAGTACGAGCGAAGACGAACAGGAAAAAGGAAAAAACATTTACTGGACCCCATCGTACTTTGAGGACGAGGATACTATACTTATTCCTCGAGTACAGCAAAATTGGCAGACTTCGCCGGACAATTCGGAACTCAGCTCGTTAATGAACACGCCTTCTACCTATCTCGAATCCTTGATAAAAAAACATAAAAACCGGCATTCTTCCCGCAGACATGGGACTATTACGACAGTGATAGGAAAAAATGTAGAGGCGAGAGATAAAGTAAGCCGAAAACATTGGTCGAGATGTTTCGCCTGTTTTAAATGTAAAAAGAAAACTAAGCCCGATACGAAATTGTCGAATGTGTTGGAAATCGCTAACGAAACTGAAGATACAGCGAGTTATAACTCTGAAGAATAACTGTGACGGTGATTACGAAATTTTGATTGAAGTAGTTGGTGTTTGGTGAACTTCGTATTGAAAATCGATGTTTTCAAATAAAATTTCAGTTCATTCATAAAATATTTGTTTCATGGTGACACTTGGTTGGGAAAGACACAAATTGTTTTTTTGTTAAAGAAGTGTGTTTTTTTTTAGTTTTACTCTTATCGATTTGCCAACGAAGTATAAGGTTGTTTCAACCTTATACTTCATACTTCAGTCGACCAATCAGAAGCTACCGCGCGTACAGCGGGAAATTCAAATCAGTAGATGAACAAGGCGGGTACGAACACACTTCAAGGTCGCGCGTCGCTAGTGTTTCAGAGAAATACTTTAATGAGTGGGAGAGAGAAACGTGTGACGTAATCGATACAGAGAAGGATGGAATGAGTATCGGGGATATTCAGAGAGCGTAGCCCCTTTAGGACTCCGACTCATCTCTCGGGCCCCCTTGTCGCGCATCAGTCTCGTGGTCATCGGCAGCTGAGTGAAATTAAATTAAAAAAGCGTACCAGTATGAGAATCGAACCCAGGTCGTCGGCGTGGTAGACGTTGTCCTTAGACTCGACACCAACGTGGAATATTGGAAGTAATTGCGAATTGTTGATATTTATGGTGATTGTTTTGTCGGAACCGAAAGTTATCGAAGTGTTTAAAAGATGGTAGTCGGTCAGCGAGAGGTCTGTGGAATGTGGTGGGTGAGGCATAACTCGAACCTCAATTCGTTTACATTTTCAGTCGGTGATTTGTGAAATGTGCGAACGGGCAGGATAGGACCTCTTCTGTTGACCGCTGACCACCATACAGTACTTATGGGCTTTTTCTGGTGATTTTCGCCTTTGGGAAGTGCCTGGGTGGCTCATCGGTGTCCAACCACTGTCCTGAACGCCTCCTATTGTCGTAGAGGATACACAGATCCGATCGTGCAATAGCAACGAAGAAAAGACCTCCAAACGTGACAGTTGCTATCGATCATTCAAATCGTGGGGCAACAACTTTTTTCGAGCATTCTGACTTTTCCAATACGTCTTAAACCATCAAAAACCATATGGGAGCTGAAACGCTGAGTTACACGAAATAAACTTTTCTCTACACAACATTTCTACACAATATGATTAATGTAAGAAGTAAAATTTCACTTACATGGAACACTGTCATCCAGACATCCGAAGTTTCGCCGTAATACATGTCTGTTACCAGTTTATGATATTTGTTTGACTATTCAAACCTACAGGACTTCCGCCTTCCTGATTCCAATTCAATAAATAGAAATAATTTCAGTTATCGGACCTAATATAAACGACCTAATAAATTAACCTAATATAAATATGCAGTTTTGTATAATGTAGTAGAATAAACTATTATATTCTGTATCGAATCCTGAAGTTTTTTCTTCAAATGCAATTCACATAGCTAGCACACAAACAATAATAAAAATATCTCTCTCTAGGAATATAACATTAGGAGCATAATGAAATCGAGCATCCGTTCGAGTGAGTCAAAAGAAGAAACATCGAGCACCTCCCACACCAAATCTGTCTCTACGGGAGAAGGCGTTATCCTGGAAAAGCCGAGAAGCATATTATGGAGCGACAGCGATGACCAAACGGAACCACCTATCAATCCGAGAAGAATAAGGAGAAAAAATAACGCGTCTTGGGATAAAAGCATAAGTGGAGAAGAGCAGGAAAAGAGCAAGAACATTGTGTGGAGTTCTGAATCGTATCAGGGAAGCGAAGAAACCGTGCGCCTTCATCAGCTGCCGAAAAACTGGCATATTACGCCCAGTAGTTCGGATGTCAGCTCACTGGATAACACGCCATCTTCCTTTCTCGAATTAGTGATAAAAAAAAAGAAAGAGCAGCTTTCTTCTGAACAGCTCGATCCCGTTAAGACCCTGGTGGGAGTGGGAGAAGGTGGGGAAGATAAAGGGAGGCGGAATTATTGGTCGCGATGCCTCAACTGTTTCAAATGTAAGAAGAAGACTAAAGCTGATACTAAATCCTTTTACGTTCTGGAAAGTACTAACGAAGAAGACGATTGAAAGATAACCAGCATGGTCTACTATCAAAATTGTTGTGAAGTAATTGGTTGTTATGTTTTTGTTATGAGCACTGTACTATTATTGAAATTTAATTCTTCCTTAAATAAAAAATGCAATTTCCATACGCGTGTTTTACTATTCATGATTCACTGAATGATTATAAATTAGTCGAGAACAGAGAATGTTTGCTCATCTTCCAACAGTAATATAATAATAATGATAATTTACCGCACATCTATCTATACTAATATAAATGTAAAAGTTTATGAGGATGTATGTATGTTTTTGGCTCTTTCACGCCTAAGCAACTGAACGGATTTAGATGAAACTACATAAATACAGCTTATACATCAAAATAACATATAGACTACAATTTACAAACGTTTTGTGTAATTTTGGTCATAATATAACGATAAGTATCAAGTCGAACAAATTCTTGCTCCCTGAGAGCTATCTTGGCGTGCGCTACCTATACCGTTGGAGTTACATGTAGATGACGTACCGTATGATTGTCGACCTTAAATAGTTCTAAATAAAAGTCCGTGATAGCCACTATATGCAAAATAATGAGCCATGAATACAATTAAATTGGATACTTTTTTTACAATGCACATTTTAGAATATCTATCAGGATCTTATAAAAATTGATGCAATTGTCATTTCAAGTATTTAATATAGATAAACTTTGTCTTTTACAGTAAGTAATTTGGACGAATCGTTTGAAAGTTATTACGATGAGATTAAGTTGAAGCAACACAGTAAACCATTACGTGTCGCGTCTACTGTAAAATGCCGGAGGACGATGCGCGGGGGTAGTGTGACGAGCCAAAAATCAGACCGCGTTTATTAAGGTATTTGGGCCCCGAGAAGAGTTAAATTAATTAATTACCGTAAAATGACCCGCGCCATCAATTAGCTTAATTAGGCGAAAGCCCCGATGCTTCCTGACCGACGATGATGATAAGAATGGTCGGTATCTGTAATAATCGTAAACTTGTCACCGCTAATTTGCCATCGATAATTAATGGGGTCAGAATCTCGACAGTCACGTAGGCATGCAGGTGTTCAAATTATTCGCGATATAAATACGAGGAAAAGATCCCTATTAAATCAGTTCAGTTTGAGCCATCGAGTGGAAACCATCTCCGTCGGTGAAAGTGTTAATAACAGATAACAGATCCAGGGTAAGTTTGAAGTAAATATTCTTTAAAAGAGCATAGTTCAAGTTCAATTAATAGTTTAAATATTTTTTTTACTGTTACAGGGTGTTTCCTAGACAGATGTGCAAATAAAAGGACAGGTCATTTCCAATCAATTCCATTATTTTTTTTTGTTCAAAACTGTTCAATAGTTATTAAAAAAAAATTTCAAATTTCACATAAAAATTATTTGGGTTTGAAGTAACGTTGGACAAAACAAATGTACAGGTTCCACAAAAAGTTACCATTTATTGCATCATTATTTTTAATTTTAAACTATGTTTTTCAAATCAAATACAGAAAATGTTTTTAAATTTTTTGAATAAGTAGTCATTTCAATTTTTTTTTTCAACTTTTGAAGAAGGAAGGAATGAAAGATTTTGACTTCTACTTCTTCATTGTTATACAAAAAAATATATCTTGTATAAATATCTGTCGGATATAATTCAATATTCAGCGCGTATTAGCCGAGGAAGTTGTAGTTTTCCCACAGCCGATAATAAAAAAAAAACACAAAACTGATATCTACTCACCCCCTTGTTGTTCTATTCTTTTACTTTCTCTAGCTGCAGCCCTTTGTTCCGCTAATATACAAACTTCGTTCAAAGTTTTTCGTTGTGCTTCAGTAAGATGACTCGTCAAAGCATTATACCAATCGGGATCTTGGTTTTGAAGGGCTGGAACGAAACATCATCAGTTGTACGTCATTTCAAAAATTGTTGGCACATATTCACCTGTCATGACTTGTTTGAAGGCCTGATATTCGTCCACGGCGCAGTCTTCTTCGTCTAGAGGCGTGGTATATGACTCCAAGATAGTCTCCTCATTCGGTTCGAAATCGGTATCGTCATCGTCTGAATTATCCTCGATGTCATTTATGGTTGTGCTCATGTTGAGTCCATGTGCGGCTGCCCCGCTCGTAACTCTCTTCGATAAGTTTTCGAGATATTCTTGACCCTGGTCGTCGATTTCGTCTTCGTCCGAACTCAATGGATCTGAAAAACAAATGTACTTCGTACAACCTCTCGAATCATTTGAAATATTCAAATAATAATATTCATTTCTCTTACGAAGGGCAGAATACAGTAACAGATGTATAATAACCCAATATCTCTGAAGGATTTATGTTAAAGAATAAATAAAATAGAAAAAAGAGTATAACAAATGACCTGGTAGGTTGAATACTTTAACTGTATTACAAAACTTACACATTTGTTAAAATTAAATACTACTTAAGAGTCAACAAGAAAGAAGAGTACGGGTATTTTCCAGGTTTGTTGGCCGTGATCTGCAGGTTTTTAAGTCCGACGTTTCGTCTACTACTGCGGTAGACATTATCAAAGGTGATGAGATAACAGTCAGAGTGGGGATTATTTTTTATCCATATAAAAATCCTGTGTTATCATACGTTTGTGTTCAGATGCAATTCATTTTATAATTAGTTATTACTAGATGAGCTGAAAAGTTCATAAGCGAACACACAGATGGTGCTACTACTATTGAATTAGTATTATTTTTACTCAACTCTAACCTTCAAAAGACACGCATACAAATTTCACAGCTGTCGGACTATTGGTTTGTGGGATAGAACATACTGAGTGAAACAATTTTTGTCAGTTTGAAGAGAATGAATTAAAAGGAATTTCCTGTTAATAGAGCATTGCTTTTTAGCAAAAAAATAATTATTGAAGCCAAGGCTTGTCTTAATGAACAGCGACGATGCACGCAGTGGACGCCCCAAATAAGACTGTTACCGACAAAAACATCAAAAAAGACCACAAAATAATTTTGGATGACCACACAAGGAAGTTGATCTAGATAGCTGAGACTCAAAAGACATTAAATGAACGTGTTGGACAAATCATGCTTGAATATTTGGGTATGCGAAAGCTTTTGAAGGACGAAATCAGGGGAAAACGGTCCCATTAAAAAAAAAAAGTGCTGTTTTATCAAGATAAAGCACCATGTCACAAATCAATGAAATCGATGGTAAAATTACATGAATTGAGCTACGAATTGCTTCCACATCCACTGTATCTGGCCCCCGGCAACTTTTACCTGTTCTCAGACCATAAGAGAATGCTCGCTGAAAAGAAATTTAGCATCAATAAAGAGGTAATGATCGAACTGAGTTGAGGCTAAAACAAATCATTCTATAAAATGGCATCGAAAACTTGTATGACTGCTATAATCGCTGTATCTCCCTCAAAGGCAACTATATTGAATAATAAAATCAAACTGTATAAAAAAAATTCTATGTTAGCCTACGATACTTTTGTATATTCAGTCGATATCCCTGTTGAAAAAATGTACTTTCAGTGATCTCAATAACGATGACCAAATTAATTTGGACACCTCCACCATTCAATATATGTAGGCAGTAAACTGAAAACAACGCACCTTCAATCTCCCCCTCAGACGTGTCACTTTCTTCCTCTTCTGCAGCTTCCAAAGCTTTGGCAGCATACGCCCTCTTTAGTCCGTCGAACAATAGTATCAGTGATGGTACAACCTTTGGTGCCACTTCTAGTAGTGCCGAAGGTTTTGTTGGCATCGATATCAACGTACACAAACCCAAGACGCATAATTTCCTATCGTGAATCCCCAAGAAACAGTCTGTATCATGCAGCCACTGAGAAAGAAAAGAAGATAGGAGTTCAGTCTCTTGTTGGACAATTCAAAAACTGTATATGCTCAGGAACAAATTTTGAGATATTTCAAATACTAAAATGAAAATCACTATTACTACATGAGGGTCCCAATACTGATCCCTGTGGAACCCCATGTGTTAAATTTCTACGCTGACTGATAATATTTCCTATATTCACAAACTGCCTACAGTTTTCTGAACCAACAATGAATTTCACACCCATTCTGACACTATCTAATTTTTTTCAGTGAAATTGAATGATCAACAGTGTCAAAAGCTTTACGTAAATCAAGTGGTAGAACCATTTACGATCAAATTTTAAAATTCAATAGAATTTTTTTTCAACGAGTTGAGATTAAATGAACAAAATAAACGAACTACAACAGATTTATATATGGTATCATATTTGTTTTTACCACATGACTGGGAATGTAACACAGTCAAATTATATCAATTTTTTTAAATAATGGATGACGACTTTCATAAAATTTAGAATTTGTTATTGCTCTTGTCCTTTTTGGGCCTCAGGTAGACCATAAAAAAGAACAATATTCTTGACACTTCACAACAGCAGAGTTATTTCTCAGACTGCAGCAAACATAATGAATCTTTTGGTTCTTTCCATGCTTCTAAAAAAAAAAAAAAAAATATGTTTTCCTTGATGAACTTATCAAAACGTCTCTGAAGACTGTCATCAAGGTATCTTGCATAAATGTCTATCGGATATAATTCAATATCCATCGTGGTATTAGCCGGGAAGTAGTTGTTTTCCGGCAGACATTTACCAGAACCTACTATGTAGGTAGTTGGGAAAAATGAATACTTCGAGATTTTATTTCGAAATATTTATCTAACATATATAATTCTCGTGACACAGTATTAGTTGCCATACTCCTCGGAAACTGCGTGACCGATTTTCATGAAATTTTATATGTATATTCTGTAAGTATCTTTGATCAGTCATTCCCAACAGGTGTGTTTACCTGTGTCACTTCTCACTCAGTAGACAACACGGAGTAGGGATAAGAACGAAGCTGGTCCCGTCTCCCTCACACAATAAACCTTCCCTCATTCCTACACAGTTTTTGACCACTATTGTTTATCCATCGAGCGTAGATACAGTTTGTGATGCCACCGAAGGTGTGAATTATCCAACAGTTTTTGAATTCATTGGATTTGCCAAGCATGCCATCACATAATTTACAACTGAAGGTTGGATCGCTCCGTAATTTGAATCCACCACGGCTGTGCAACAGCACGCAATTGGTCGTTAAAAAATTAATGAAAAACGTTGACGAAACCAGAATTTTAAATAGCAAGTTCCGATAGAAATAATTCATGTGGCAAAACAACGTTTTCTGGGCCAGCTAGTTTTCTTATATTAATGAACTTATTTTGGTAGTTTTTTGGAACTTCATGTCCAATATTCTGCAATAATTTCAAGATTTATCCTTGTTCATCAATTTCATATGATTATTATATAATTTAATCATCATTTTATATTTGTATTGGTACATTTGAGTAGGTTAAGTCATCTATCCCACAATATTTTCACTTGTAATCGAAGATTCACCATTGGTAATTAAATAAACATGATTTGAACAGAGTTGTATCGTAATCTTACCTGCTTGATGAAGTGGTTGGTGAAGTTTGGCATCTTCTGCAACACAGAAAACAACAGCTGAGGATCGTAGTACAAAGCGGCTATCAACACTTGCAGGCACATTGTCCTCAACTCGCTAGTTTTGACCTCCCCGAGCAGCCTAGTGGCGGCGAGTTCCACCAGCATCGGAGCAGCCTGGTCGATTCTCTTGCGGCACTGTAGAAGCACTACTTCCAATAGTTTGGCGGCATGAGATTCGGGATCCTCTCCACAATCCTTACTGAAGATCAGTTTGCACATGTTGTAGATGGCCATCAGCCTATTTTCGTCAGAAAGGAAAGCATCCGTGTCGACACACACATAGTTGTGTAGGGAAGGCATCATGTCTGTGAAGTGGTCGTAGGCGTTTTTCACAAATACCTGAAATTAACAATGGTTGTTGTCAGGGTTGTCAGATTTGAATCAAAAGATTCTAAAACAAGTCGTAGAAGCAAATATCTGAAAAAACTCCTCATGAAATCTAAAAAAAAAAAAGATCATCCTTTATTTTCATAAATTAAACTCTAAAAAACACAGTTTACAACAACAAAAACAGCTATTAGTTCTTATTACCTGCATGAATAGATGATGAAAAAATAAAAATTATTAACAAATACATAAATCAGTATCACTATTTTTCGAGATTGAAGGCCGTCTATTTTTGGTATTTCTTCCTGACATTTCTCTGGCGCGACTAGCTAGCTTTTCAGAGGTTTATACATCCTGAGTAATCTTTGATGAGATATTACTCAAATACAAAAATTTATAAATAAAAAAATCACGATTCAAATAAAAAACATTGGAATTTTTTGTAACACTGATTCTTACTTTAATTTTTTACTGCCAGGGAAACTCAAAACAAATAGAAATGGAGTATACATGAAAATATCTACAATCCTTTGATTCGGTCGACAAATAAATTCTGAAAACATTCACCTAATAGTGTCATATGACCTACCTACTTAAAGATCTTTTGTAATCAACTTGTAATTAGCTTTTAATATGTTCAATTCCATGTATTTCACTGTATAAATTTGAAGTGGCGGTATTATTAATGTTCGCGATTTGTTTTACATGTCTCATGTTGTAAACACAATCTGAAGAGATTAATAAAGTATATAGGTATCAATCTATCATATTTAAGAAACTACTTCTATGTTCTTTTATTCTGTGGGAAATGGTTTTTCCCATTTGACCAATATACGGTTTTTGGCAAGAACCAGAAGTCTACTTATATACTGCTTACGTACCCAACCCTGAAGTTACGTCTTTATCGTTTTTAATAAATTTGCTTGAACTCTTATTTGCCCGGTGCAATTCAATATCCTGATTCTAGAAATGTACGACCCGAGTTTTTTCTGAAAGACAGTTTCCAGAAAATGGAAAGTTTTAAGCACCGCTCATTAGTTGGACCCCTTTGAGCAGAATTGTCCATAGTACATACACATGAAGGACAATGTCAAATGCTGCCTTTAGCTGTATGCAATCTATCCCTTGAACGAAGTCAAATTCCACGTTTAAGGTCATATTGCACGCACATAGCACAAGGGCCTCCTTCAAGGTCAAACCAAGGTCCCATGTCCAAGGTCGTATGGTCTTACACACAGTGCGGGACCGTGTGACGACAGTCAAAGTAAGAAGTGGTGGGGGATGATGTTTATATGGCGTTATTCACACCAGACGAAATTTTTAGGCTCATCTTGATGTCATCATAAATCATTGAAATGCCATTGATTACGTCATAGTGGTGGGGGAAGGCCGAGACCCGGCTGTAGACTCCTACTTATACACTCCTTATGTACCCAACCCTGAAGTTACGTCTTTATTGCTTTTAATAAATTTTCGTAAACTTTTATTTGCCCGGTTTTTCCTTTCCAAAGTATGTCAATGTCCTAAATAATTACCAACTTACCTGGTAGAGCAACTCGAACACCTTCCACATTTCGTACGAGATCTGTTTGCTGGTCAAATCGTAAATCAAAGCCATAACTTCCTCGTAGAACTCGTGTACCTCGTTCTGCAACACGTGTGCAATAACCGGGAGAATTGTCGGTTCGAGCATCTTTATAACTTCTGGACGTTCGTCCATGACAGTCAAAAGGGTTTCTATGGTATTCAACAAACCCATGGCCGTGATAGCCTTCTCGTCAGATCCCTCGTCCGTATCCAGGACTTGGTTGAAAGTGGTAGCCAGATGTTGACAAATCTCCACCGCGATAGGGATCAACTGCTCGGTGTAGACGCAAACGAGTTTTTGCATGACACCTGTTGCATCTTCATTTTCTGTTTCCCTGATTATAGTCAGTAACTCTAGAGCAATCTGAGGAATTGAAATCATACAATTATCTACTGAATACAATGAAATCATCTTGTCGTACATACCTCTTTCACTTTCGGCTCGATGACTTTATGTGCCTTTTCCTGGAAGTTGAGCAAGGATTGCAATGCTATTGCAGCTTCAACTTTCACCGGTAAATCTTTGTCATATAGCAGAGCATGCACTGTTAACGATATAGCTTGAAACAGAATCTCGTCGTGCTTATAATTGAACTCGGCAAAGAAATGCATGACCCAGCATGCCCTCGCTCGCATATGACCCCTGTATATGAAAAAAAAAATAGAACTGAAAGTCAGAAAAGGGAAAGTCTGATACATACTTGTCACTGTTGAATTCGGGGAAAACAAATTTAACGAACAGATGGTCCAATTGATCGCGGTACATTTTCTTTTTGAGGAGAACATCAGCCAAAGTTCCGATCATGTGCAGGGCTCCGTCTTTTTGAGGAGCCTCGGTGGCGGGGTTGGTGAGGATTTGATTAAGAAGCACCATGGTTTTCTGTAGCATTTCCTTGCGTTTTTTGCATGAAGAGTGCAACAAGGTTTGTGCGGCTGTGACAGGCGATACGAAGTCTTCAAACACGTCTGGAAAAGGATGCACAAATAATTTCCAGACAGACAAATGCTTTACAAAATGTTACAGTGCTTCCCACTAACAAATGAATAACTTCAAACCATTCAGCTTTTACCTGTATCGTGCCATTCGGGCAATTTTGAATACAATAAAAGCAGTTAATCCAAAAATATTTTTTCTTTTGCTTTAATTGAAGTTTATATGATAGTAGTTGTTTCGAGAGGGTTCTTTCCTCAAGTATGCGTCTGAAAGTTACTTTTTTGCATGATCTACACATCATTATAAAGAGTTTATTTTGGAATTGAATGCTTTCTTTCTCTCTTTGGAAGATTCCCACATTTTTTGTATAAAGATAGAGAGGTAGAAAGACAAAACCTCCTAAAAATATACCCCTTTCATTACTTGAGCATATTATTTTATCCCGACATTAAAAAACTGTCAAGAGTCAACCTCTTTTCAAAAAAGTTTAAAATATTTACCAAACAATCATCGTCCCATAAGCACAATATCTATAGCTGGAAAGATTATAGATTTTTTTTCAAAAAACAGGTTGAACTCTCACTTCAAATAGAATAAGCAAAAAAAACTTTTTATGTTAAAGGTTTAATTGAAAAAAAAAAGATAATGATGTAGATAATGCACTAAAAACTAAAAAATAATTCAGAAGGTCATAGGTTAGCAGTCATCACAAGACTTCTCGGCAATCTACTGTATTGATCAGATAAAAAAATAATTAAATTGTTGGGCGTAGCGTAACCTGAGTAAATATGTAAATACTACTATTATTTTATTATCTGATCAATACCGTATATTGCTGAGGAGAGTGATGTGATGACTGCTACCTATAACCTTCCCAATTATTTTTTTAGTTTTTAGTACATTATCTACATCTTTTTTTTTTTTTCAAAAAACCGTTCAAAAATTTTTTTTTACTTATTTTATTTTCAAGTTTTTAGTTTCTAATTTTTATCCACCCTAATAATATGTAATCCGCCATTTTATGGCTCTGGCTATATGGAATTTGCATCTTTTTGCATCATCTATTCTACCAGTCGAGCCGTGTCATTTGATACCCATATTGGGGTAGTTGTGAAAAAATATGTAATCCACCATTTTGTAGTTGCGGCCATCTTGGATTTACAATGATACAGAATTAATTAAATTGTATTATCATCAGAACTAAATGTGTGTACCAAATACCAGATCAATCTGCCAACATGTACAACAAATTGTTGTGCCTACAAACAACCTAACAGTGAACAGAAGATCAAAGTACTCACCGAACTTGACACGTATATATTCATGAGGATCCACTGTCCACAACTCGTGATCTTCTGCGGAGTAGCTCATCAGAGGAAACAGAACGTCTTGTATGATGACGGGCATGTGCTGTTTGAGTATTTTCCATGTGTGGGCATGAGAAACTCCCTGATTGATGTAGTTCAGAGTCTGCTGCAACACTCTCTGGGGTATCCACTGGTTTCCCCGAAAACCGTCCAGGACTCTCAGGAGCACGTTGAGGATACCGGAGCTGAACGTATGAAGATACCATTCGGAGAATTCGTTATACTCTTTGGTGACGTGTCCGGGAGAGCCGTATCTTTCAAACATGCGATAGATGATGTGCAATGCCCACTTTTTGCATTTCCACCATGGCAGGTCCGATCTTTCGTCTTCGTCGGGTTCTAGAGCTGCTGGTGGTACCGGACGCTCTATTACCTTTGAAGTAATATTTTTATATTGAAATGTGATACTTTCGCACAACAGAATAGTCACTTATCCAACTGTAGACTGTATGAATATCAATACTCCCAAAACGAGAACTTCTATAACTTACAAATGTTCCAAGGGTGATTTTAAATATCAGAATTGATTCAAATTTCCGCACCAGTAGAATATATGCAATTCCAGAAAATGGCAGGTATTAATCACCGCTCATTAGTTGGCTCGCTCTGATCAGACTTGTTCGGAGTACACATGAAGGGCAATGTCAAATGGTGCCTTTACCTTGTATGCACTCTACTCAAGGTCAAACTTCACGTTTAAGGTCATATTGCACGCACATAGCTTAAGGACCTACTCCAAGATCAAAACTTGAAGGTCATTTTGCACGCACGTACCTCAAGGGCGCCCTTACCGGTCAAACTTAAGGTGGTGTACCGGAGATAGGGTCGAATCTCAAGGCCAACCTCCCATGTTCAAAGTCATATGGTCTTACATACAGCGCGGGCCCGTGTGACGTCAGTTAAAGTCAAAATTGGTGGGGGATGATATTTCTATGGCGTTATTCACGCCTAATGCACCAGACGAAATTTTCAAGGTCATCTTGATGTCATCATAAGTCATTAAAATGCCATTAATTACGTCATAGTGGTGGGGAGAGGCCGAGACCCGGCTGTAATCTCCTACTCAGAAGTGAAAAAACTTAGAGAATAAAAAAAGCGATGGCGTCGTGAGCAGCTCAGAATCTTCACTTAAGTACGAGGAAAATTGCAACAGATACAGTGCTGAAGAGGCCGTAATGTTAGCAGACCTCACTCCCACTGATTTCCGTTATCTGGGAGGTTGTTAAGAAATGAGCCTTATGAGTCTTGTGTGGCCTATTCTGCTATGGCTTCATTCACAAGGTGTTCGTTCCGTAAGTTTCAGGAATAACTCAAAACTATTAAGTTCTAGAGCATTTAATCACAGTAAAACTGTGTTAAACAAACAGTTTTTTTCAAAAACACAAATATTTCAAAGACTTGTTACAGTAATTCCTTTTTTTCAGTTACTCTTTTGTTTGGTTTGATATAATTGAACTAAAATGTCTCTTTCAATTCGTAAATAAAAACTGGTTATTGATATTTTATTTGTCTAGTCAATAATGATTTAAAAAAATTAACACCTACCTGCCTACAAATTTCCATCCACTGAGCAAAAGCTTCCTTGCTGATCAAGTCCAAAGGTAAAACATATTGAGTAAGAGCAAAGTAAATCTTGAGCCCTTCTTTTTGTAACAGGACAGCTTGCTCTGATTGATCTGCTAGCAAGCGTACCTCGAGCTAACAATAATTCAAATAAGTGATTTGATTAAGTGGTAAACCTTATATAAAGAATTTTCAATAGACTGTATTTTGATAGAAAGATTAGTTCATTGCTACAAAGCAATGCGTTGTTCACTACATCAAGCAACATCATTACAAATATCTGGGAGTGATTGATAATAGATCGCCGGTGACCTGGAACCAACATCTACAAATAGTAAAAATGCGGAGGTAGCACTGATACTAGCCAGACAAACTGACGGAAAGTCATGAGCACAGATTTATGTTCATTTCAATCGGCTAAATATGAATGAGGAAACTGGCAGAGAGGGAACCCTTACAAAGCAACCATCTGAGAAGAGAACTAAGAACTGATCCTATAAACCAGAGATCAGCTCAGAAAAGTTAGAGGGTTACTTACCTGGACTCTGACCATTAAGAGGACACCTGAACAAAATAGGGCTGTATACGAATACCTTAGCTGCAGGCAATGAAACAAAGGAGTAGAGACAGATCGTCATGTTTCATATGCCTGAGGGGCATTCAATCACAAGAGGATAATAATTGACAGTACGCACGATTGAAAATTGAACAGTTAAAAAAACAGTAAGTATGGTGACAAGAGAAATGATGAAATGGAAAAATATGTCTATTTTGAGCGTGCAATATATTGAGTATTCAGTACAACATAAGAAGGAAGATTTTTCTTCGAAATTGACTGTGTAGTAACACAACCTCAATTTTTTTCCAAGCTAAGAGTATTCACTTGTACATGAAGTATATTGTGAAGATTGAGAATAAACAATAATTTTTCAGATACAGAAAGAAATGAACAGATTTGGTAGGGAAATTATATATGTGTATTAAGTGAATATTCCAAGAGCTATTAAAAATTCTAATGGGGGTAAGTTTCACTCCATAATTTGCTTCAGAATTTCAATGAAAAAAATCATGGTTTCCAGTAATGATGCATTGACTATGCTTTTAAGTTGCCTGGGAAGGAAAATAGTACTTCACATGAGAAAAACCGTAATTTTTCATCCAATGTAATGCTAGTAACTTATGCACGTCCTGGTATTATAAGGAGTTATGTGTAGGCATCATGATTTTTTGCGTTTTACTGGAATTGCTTTTTTTTCTAAAAAAAAGACGTACACAACATACATTAAAATATGATTTTTACATTCCTCAATAGTTGAAAAATTTACATCTAACGATAAATACTTTTTTCATAGACTTGTCAAATGATTTGGTGAAACTCAATAGTTTCATGAACATGATCAACTTTCTCTGATTCAAAGAACATTCTATAATTGTAAACAAAACAAGACACTTAATAATAATTATAGTGATGTCATTATTAAAATTCCAAAGTTTGCAAATAGTTTTGTGATATAATAACTCCAGAAGCCCAGTGCATTATGCTGTATTGTCAATCACAATGGAAGCATTTTTAATATGAGTGGCTGAGTATCCTACACAACCAGCACAACATACCAACTTCATGCATTAATGTGTCTATATAACCCTACCAATTTACGCAAATTAACCCTTAAGAATACCAAATTTTTGTGGTTCAGAAAACTATAATAAAATTGTTGTAAGTAAACGTGATTGTATTTGTGGCAAGCGAGAATACTTGGGCTCATTAATGATTGTGCTTACCTGATATAACTGCGGCAACAACAAATTCATTGCCTCATGTAGTGGGCCCCTATCTTCCGCTTTCTTGTATTCAAAGTTCTTAACAAGCTGGTAGAGACATAGAAAGGCTCCATGCCAACCACTCGGATCCGGATTCGATAGATAAACACTTATCTACGAAACAAAATAAATCAATATATCAGAATGGAAATGATAAAAGTAGATATTGAAATAATAATAGATCATCTCCATTCATCGATATGAGTAATAATGACAAATATCGTGAAAAAATCATAATTTTAAAAATTTTGTTACTATCATTATAACTTTTTGTAGGTTTTCCCTGAAGATGATAATAAATTTTATCAAAATATTGGAATAACTTATAACAGTACACTTCCGTTCTGCTGTTCACCCAAAGATACTTTCCAAGTTTTGTTCTTAACTAGTCAGCAAAGACTGTCCTTTGTCGGATTGCTGAAATAACTCTAGAGACCAACAAAAAGAGTCTAAAATTAAACTGTCGTGTGTAAAGTCTGAAATTGAACAAAGATAAGTTTATTCATAACACGGGCAAGCCCAATTCAGATATAAGTAGTACAGTGCTATGTAGTACTTGACGCAATACAGTGAATTAAAAGTGAATTATAAGAATAATACAATTATTTAAGAAAAAATTAAAATGTATAACAATATGAACTAATATAATTTCTTACACGCAAGTAACACTAGACATAATACAACAACACAAGCAGAGATTATTAGATGGATAGGTGAAGAATACGGTTTTAAAAGTGGGAAACTGATACATTACAGATTTGAAGGTTATTTAAAGAGTCAGCCAATCGAAGAAGAAGACGAAACAATTCAAAAACACAAATACTCAGAAACACAATTTGAGCAAAACTAAGTTCACATATCTAATAGATAAAATATAGATAGATAGATAGATAGATATGTTTATTCATCACTGAAGTTTTACAAGATACAACATATAAACTTGCATAACAATAGAAAATAAAATTTAACAAAGTTTGTAGACAAAATACTTTATATAGTCCCTTTCAAAAAATGTAAATAACAAATATATCCCAGCATAAAATATAATTTGAAGTATAGGTGTCAATATAAACAACAAAAAAACACCTATATTGAATCACAGCAAAGTTACATTGTAATATTTATCAAGATTTTAGTACGCTTTAGTTGCAAGGGCATCTTTAACAAGATTTCTGAACTTTTTATAGTTTTTTCCTTCCTAATTTTGTAAGGTATGTGATTATACAGCTTTTTACTTTCATAAATTGAAGAATACTTTGTCTGGCTCGTTTTTGGAACAGGAAGATGTATTTTAATAAGGAAAATAATCGGGCCCAATACTGATCCTTGTGGAACGCCCCATAAGATAAGATATCCTTAGTGTGTGATGATTAATTGAATTTGTGAAAAGAAACCTAAAAAGTTTGTCTAGTTGAACGACTGGGGACATGTAAAGATATTTTGGAGAGAAGCTCGGGGCTGATACTCAGTCCGTTGATAATTTTGAATAGAAGTAATGAGGGTACCAAACTGGGGAACAATAATCGAGATGAGATCTAACCAGGGAAAAATAAAGAGATTTAATAGCAGTGATGTTGGTGAAATCAAGAGTGGTTCTCTTTATAAAGCCAAGCATCTTCATAGATTTTTGAATTACAGCGGAAATGTGTGATTTATAGCTAAGTGTGGAGTCTAGGATCACACCTAGATCTTTGGTTTCAATAGCAGAATGTTATGAGTAAACTTATCTTTGTACAATTTTCAAACTTTACATATGACAGTTTAATTTTAGCCTCTTTTTGTTGCTCTTTAGAGTGATTTTAGGAATCTAACAAAGACACTCAGCATATTGTCCTCAGAGTAATCTTCATCAAGTCAGGAAAACGTTTATAGCTCATAAATATGACTCCAGAGAACCTTGATAATTTCTTTCAGCATGAGATTAACATATTGATTAACGATTATTCTGCAAATTGGACAAAGTTGGAACCGTTTTCAATCAAAATGATAAGGAGAGACTTTTATTCAACAATTAGCTCTTACCAAAAATTAATTATGAAATGAAAAAAAGTGGCCCAAGAACATTACCTTGTGGCACATCAATATCTACACCCATTTCAGAAGAAATTGGCACAGGTGGAATACTGCGTTCTAAATTCCAGTTTTGAAAAAAATAATTAGTCAGTACCTTATCGACGATCTGCGTCCACTTGCCGGGAAAATCATGTTTGACCATATGGTTGACGCACGTGCACAACTGCGTCCTGATCAGTTCGGGGGCGTGTACGACGGCGTCCACGATGCTGTCTCTGATGAGAGCCCTGTCCTGTTCGTGAAGAGCGAAAGCGGGCAATTGCCCCGGTTCCACTTCGCGCTCGTGCCAGTTGTTGGATATGAGGTTTTTCAAGTAAATGGCTCCTGCTTGACGCACGGGCATATCGCAGTCCGCCATCATGATGATTTGCAGCAGGGACGGGGCGAATCCGATTATCTTATGGATCTGTAGAAGAATAAGAATTAGAGAGCCCCCAAGAGTATAGCTTCTATCAATGGTAATGATAATCATATATACTAATGATAAATTCACATACTTAGATTACGATTTCAAATTACAAATTATCATCAGTAGGGTTTATATAAATATATATGCAATATTTGCTCTATGAATGATCTAACAGTTGTTTCAAACAAATGAACACTAAACTAAATATAAAAAATGACTACTAAAAGTTAATGAATAAAATCTTTAATGACATTAGCACTTTAAAAAAATGATGATGAATAAATTAATAACACTAGCGTCAATGTATAAGGTGATTGTTCAAGTTTCACAGGCTACTTACATTTAATTAGCGATTTTTAATTATTTTCATGCTTGTAAATTCGTTTCGAACATACATTCACACTTTCAGTTTTTAGCATGTTTAATTTGTTATTGAGAGGCATAAAAGTTAAAAGTGTTTTACGTGTTCAGCGATTCTCTGCTATCAATCAAAAAGTTTGCATCAAATTTTGTGTATAAAAATTGAATCAATTATGATCAAATATTTTGTCTGTCATTCAAGCGTCTGATAATAAATGTTACTAAAGCAAATGTGTTGAAAATATTCAAATCAAATCAAAATATGCTTAATTACCCCAGATCTGAACATCTTATTTATTGATTTGATTTGAAATATGGGTTATAAAATAATGCTTAGAGACAAGAGCAGGGTATATAGACAGAACGATATTAAGCCCAGCTGAACAGATACAAATATAAATCCATGAATATTGAGTTAATGTAAATATATAATGCAATGTAATGAACATTGGTAGCCATTTCGTGTTGATTTACTCGATAGAGCCTTGGTAGAATTCGTCCACACTATAATAGGGCCCTCCCAACAAGAATTTCTTTTCATTATATATTTGCCTTGAATTAATGGAAAGATGATTAAATAATGATAGAACAATATAATTTTGTGTAAGAGCTAGAGTAGGTGTTGGTGGTATTAAATTGATTTTTATATATTTTGTGGATAAGACACACTGTTTTCAAAATAAAAAGACATGCTAAGGTCGGATTTTTTTGCGTCACAAATAGTGGGCGACATGAATCCCTGTTGCATAAATATCCGATGGATCTTTTTTGTAGAAAGAATACCATATTGAAACGAAATGGTGCACAATTTTCCCAGAAACAAATTCCATAACGTAAATAGGACTCAATTTGTGGAAAATAAACTGATCTTGTAATAGTAGTATCTAACTCTAGCAACAACTCTCACTGCATGTCTTTTATATAAGTAGTCGACCTGGGAATCAAATATTAGATTTTCATCAATGAAGAGCCCTAAAGATTTGTTTTTCTCCAAATTTTCAATTTTTTACATTTTCAAAGTGTACTTCCCCTATGTTACATCTAAACGTGACCACATTTGCTTTATCGATGTTGAATGATTAAAGATTGGAATCACACCACTCTTTCACCTCATTTACCTTATTGTGTAGCGATCCTGTGAATGATAACTGATTCAATTCCATAACGAATGTTTATAATATAAACTGAATAGAGAAAAGTATTTTTTGAATAGTTCAGTTTTCATATAAAAGTAGTTGTTTCGAAAGTATTTTTCTTTCGTGTAATTCAATTTTTATATGAAAATAGCTGTTTCGACAGGGTTTTTTTTTTTCAGTTTGTGTCTGAAAGTTACTTCTTTGCATGACCTACATTTCTTTGCATAGATTTAATTCTTTGAAATTGATTGCTTTCTTTGGAAGATTTCCACAAGATGAAGAATTAGAAAGTCAAAACCTTTTCCAAAAAGTGATCTCTCCTGAAAATATACCCCTTCCAATTCAAATGAATAGTTATTGGCTTATAACTGTTGTTGAACGGACTATTTCTTTTTACACATTTCAATGGTATTGGGAAAGATCACTCTGGGAAAAGATAAATTCACTATGAAGAAAGGGCATTTCATCCAGATAACTTGATTATTTATTTGTATATTTGTAACCATTGGAAAACTTGAAGATCATGACTTGTGCATGATGCGAGAACAATAATATCTAATTAATTATTAATTTGTGTGTGGAGTTTCTCCATGTTTGGTGATCAAATTGAAAGAAACACTTGATTTCTGTGAAAGAAACATCTATTGATGATATTAATTTAGAAATAGATATAAATACATAATATTTGACAGTAGTTCAATTTGCCTCACAACCAGATAAATGGACAAAAGGCCTCATTTAAGGAAATGACCTATTCTCTGGTAGGCTACATTCTCAACTGCAGATTACTGGGTTATCAGATGTCAAATTTCATATTTGATTCAATGTGAGGAATTGAAATCTATTTATTGTAGGTTAATTTGATCTTGAAAGGATTATTTTTCTTTATTCTTTATAGAGGTCCGATGCCGCATATTTCATGATTTGTGATAACATAAATATCAACAGTAATATGTAAGCTCATTAATTAACTGTTCATGCTGCATAGGTTATTACAGGCACATGTATAGGAAATACTTACTAAAGTCAACTGGTTTTCGGCTTGTTCTCGTCTATTTGGGTCTATTGTTGCCCTCAAAATTTCAATTATTTTTCTCACTTCCATTTTTATCGCTGTTCCCGTTTTCACTTCTAGAGTTCAAGGGTAGGTAATATTAACTTTTCAATTTCTACAAGATTTTCGGGGCCCACAGATCGTGCACAGATTCCTATGCTGTGAAAGGCACGAAGGAACACGAAAAAAAGAGACATTAATGACATTCACTCGAAGTGTCAAATATCTTCTGCTAGCGTTTTCCATTAGTAAAACAAGTGCATAATCGGTGTACTTAGTTCTCCAGTAATGTATCATGAAATAGAGGGCGGTATTACACGAAATGTGAACTGGTTTTACCAATGGAAACTGCTATGAGTATATTTTCCGAAAATCGACAAATAAGTGATTGATCTGGAAGGAGCTTTAAGTTTTTTGATTTTCTACTTTTGCATAATTAAACAAAAAAATTGAAAGCCAAAAAGCTCTTGCAAAAAAAATGATCTAGCCTAAAATGTTTCTTTTTTCAATTCATACATGATTGAGTTTTATGAAACGATTAGCATTTGGTATCATTCAGGGTTTGTCTGACATCAGTGGTGTCAGTCTATCAGTATCTGATGTCCAGTCATCATTATTACAAAGGTACTTGTCTGTGGCTATTTTTTGAGGAACACTAAAGGCACAACACAAAAAAAAGAGCAGGAATCATTTCAATCAATGAAGAATAGTTATTTATGTATCAAGGAAATTAGGAGGGCCTTAATTACCGATGGCAAAGTTTGCGTCCCGAGGGCCTCTGGCCCGAGGAACAGCAATTGCCTGAGGTTATTAAGGCTCATTAATTCCCGTGGTACATAGATAATTTTATTTCTGACCGATTTCAATAAAATTTTGTTCATTTTTGAAACGGAAAAATGTACCAATTCATTACCTTCCCGGTATATTTGAATCAGGTACCGTTGATTATAGTAGAGTTTTCTTGTTGCTAGGTTGTTGCTATGTTACTTGTTTATAAACAGAACTTTGTTATCAAGCTGTGTTTGCGGTGAAAACGTGTTTTCTACCCCAAATATAATGGAGGATATTTTGAAAAAAGCTGAACAAGCAAGAGAATCATTAATTCCATCGAAAAGTGAAGCCGTATACCAAAAAGAATACAAGATATATCTAAACTGGCTGACACGGAAAAATGTTATGCCAAAAGATGTCACTGAAACTGTATTTCTGGCATATTTTCAAGAACTGGTAAGGAATTTTCTATGTTTTTCGGTAGATTTGGTAGTAATTGTGTTTATTCAGGTACCTCGACTGTAGTGAACAGAAGCTCCAGCCATACAAAAGAAGAAATTGTTTCCAGTGGCGGAAGTAATTTTCAGGGAACATTTCAAAATTGTACATTTATTATTTGTAAGGACGTGAATAAATAAAATATGGTTCAGTTTTCATTTCTATTTATTTTTACTTGTGAAAGGTAGAGGGAATTATAAAATCTATAATGTCCCAAGGGAGTTATGACCCTCTTTATTGATAGCGTAACTATGACGATATAAGCTTATAATATCCCGGTCAGAAATAAAATAATATTGTTATAGTTCATTAGTTATAATGTTAGAGTTTATGTTTTGTATTTTGAAACACAACTTATTTACCTGCACCTTATACATTTACATTGAAAACCAACTTTCACCTAGTTGCGAAAATTGTCAAACTTGAAGTGAAAAAAATAGTTTTGTTGGAAGAAAAAATATTTTGGCGCTTTGAACTGATAAATGTATCAAAAAATAAATAAAGTGAGGCGGATCTTAAGAATCGATGCATGAATTGTAATAAACACATGTCCACAGATTTTCTCCGATACAGAGCTGAACGGCCCGATGAGAGATAAATCAAACTGTGAGATGACTCTTCACTTGGGTGAATATTCAGTGAATGACTGCATTCAGAGTCAACTTGAGAAAAAACGGATAGCATTATTGTGAGACATTTTTTTGTCCCACAATAATTATTGTTTAATTTTTTTTTCAAAAATTCGAGCCAATCGTTTTTTTCTCCGGTTGTAAAATAAAAACCCTCTGATTTCAAAATATCCAACAGTACTAATATTCCGTTCATTGTAATTTGCCAGAATCCAACACAGTTCAAAGTATTTGTTATATATTTTCGCCTTTGCTTTTAGAAATGCATAGTGTGTTAAGAAAATTATAAGATTCTTTCAATTTAAAGAAAACTTCTTTGGGCATAACCACAGGCATAACTATTATACACGGAATAGTGACTAGATATTTCAATTTCAATGTGACTGAACCACACAGAACTCATTTATGGTTGAATCATTGTACATTGAACGCCTTAGAACATCTCTTAGAGAGCTTTGAGGATTTTCCTGTAGTGCTTGTGTTCTGTCCTTGAAAAAAAAATAAGCATAAGAAGAATAGGAGCTGATAACCTGAAATTTATTGTTATGTTTTAATTTATTTATATTTACTTTTATGTTCCTTGTGAATTTGTAAACTGCAATAATGAACCATCGTCACGAATCAATACCATATAAAATATGAATATGATATGAATTGATCCACTAAAAAAATAGTTAAAATGTCTGAAGCAATTAATGTACTTCTGAATGATATTCTGAAAGTAGATGGTATCGAAGAAGCTTTCAACTGCTTTCTGGTACACAGAGCAGACCAAGAAACCGAGAAAATAGTACGATGGCAACAAGAACTGAACTCCGCATTTTGCCTGAATCCAGATCAGTTGGACGCAGCTATCAAACAATATTTGATAGTTGCTTCGGGATGCTCGCACAATCAGTTGCAGTTACTCATATCTCTACTGGAGACTGCTGTCAAAAATGGAATACTTCCCGCTCGAAAAGTCTGCGAAATTATCATAACAAGTACCATTTTACAACACAACAATTCTCACTTTTGGGTAGAATGTTTCAAACTAATCAAGAAAATTATAGATATGGTTGAATACAAGGGTGTACGAGAAATTATGAAAGTAAGTTGTGTTAAACTAAGGCGGTGTCATCTATATACTGTAGGATGTAATGATTTTTATTAAATTATGTTCAAAATGAATATTATTGATAATGATTTCTCTTCGAAGTCTAATTCACTTTCTAATTATTTGTTTTTGAAGGGTTGCTGTGAAAAAGCAAAGTTATTGCCTTGGCGCTTAAATTCTGGTCTTCAGCCACAAACACGTGTTCTCATAGACGTGGCCACAAAAATTATGGATCGGAATGCGTGCCTCCTACCAGGTTACCTACTTGTGAATGAACTTCAGAAAGCATACCCAGATTGTCCGCATTGGAGGCTTTCTTCATTATTTTCTGATTATGTGGACAGTTTCCGAGCTTGTGCTCAGATGGTATCGATCGTGGGGCAAGCTGAAATGAGGCCTGTTGTGGAACATAGCGGATGTCCTGAACATTTAGTCAATCCGTGGAAGCTTGACCCACTTACCTTGCGCTTTAGCCTCAAAGGTGAGAAAATTTAGTTTGTAAATGAGAAATTAGTTGGAGCAATCACTGACAGTAGCTGTAAATGATTATGTTTCCCACACTGAAATCAGTATCAATTCTAAATGAAAAAATATTGGTTAATTGGTTACAGTAGACGAAAAAATATTTTTTTCTGAACCATAAGTGAAATACTGTGTTTCAACTATCTGCACACTGCCAATTCCATTAGAATTTTACAGTATATGTTTTTTTTTTAATTATTATATGAATGTATCATTGATGTCTTTGTGTCATGATTGTGAATCCTGGAGCCACTATTATAATTATTTTCATTTACAAACAATATTGCATCTAGAATATAAATGGAAGGTAATGTAAGTGTGACTCATTTTATGAAGATTGGTTTAGCATGAGTTTTGGAATCAACTTTTTCTAAATATAACATTATCTTTTTTTTTTTGGGGCATGAATACTTCACTTTCATGTGGGGAAGCTCCCCGTGTCAGGATTCCATAGTTTATGTTGCAGTGAGCCATACCAAAATATGCAATTCTCAGCACATCATTAGAAACTAAACTCCTTAGTCCTCTTAATGTGTAGCAACACCTTGAGAGCTTTTTACATAACGATGTCGCAGGTCGCAGGGTTTGAGGTATAATCAAATTATCTTTATTATTAGTATTGTGACCGTGTATATCGGGCACAACAGAGTAATTATTAATGATTTGTTTGACATATGGTAAGTTTACAAAAATTATCAAAGAGTAAAGTGTCATTATTCTCAACGTTTTAAATATTATGTCTAGGTCGTTTTCTACATTGTAGGATATTCTGGATTCAAAAATGAGACTTTTGTTTTTTTTTTCATTGGGTATGAACTTGTTTGTCAAGAACCAGGTTTTTGCTTGTTCCATAACTTCCCCAAAGATTGTAGCCGGACTCTTCCCTTTATTGACACTGATGCCAAATGTCGTGTCATCAGCATACATAATCGTCTCGTTACATATTGAACAAAAGTATTTATTTGTTAAAAAAAATCAGTCTTTTGTTAACTTTTTTTGAGTATTTTCATCTTCCACAATCTGAAAACGTGAAACAGTTACAGAAAGGGCAGACTTCTAGTTCATTCCAATAAGTTACTGTGTAAATTCGAAATATTATTCATATCTATAAAGGAAGTTTAAGAAGAAAATGATTCGGCGAGGGAAAACTTTGATATATGTTTATTTTTTCCAATTCTGAGGTGACCCAGATACTGTCTCGCATGAGTGGGTTTTCGGTATATAGATGACTGCATCAATCAAGTGATCAATCATTCTACTTGGAATTCGTGTATAACATATTGTTTTTTTATATTTCAGGGACTCTACCGTATGCTCCGGAACTCTTAGAAAAACAAACGGGGCTGTTACGTTACGTCTTAGAACAACCTTACAGTCGAGATATGGTATGCGGCATGCTAGGCCTGAACAAGCAGCACAAACAGCATTGTCAAGCTATTGAAGAACAACTCATTGAACTGGTAGTCTTAGCATTAGAAAGGACCGAAGCTGAGGGGGATGAACAAGCTACCCAAGATTTATGGCTTCACCTCTCCTCTCAGTTGATATATTTCGTGCTCTTCCAATTTGCAAGTTTTCCCAGCTTGGTATGTATTTTTTTTATAACTCTGCTGGCTCTGAAGACTTTCAATAAGATCAGTCTTACCATATTTAGTTTTCCTGCATTCAGGTAAAACTAATTACAATCATATAGACATGTTAATGAATGAAAGTTACCTGAGTTTATTCCGGAATAAATGATGGAGTAGTGGCAGCCATTTTCTGTAATCTAACTAAAGCATTTGGTTGATCATGCATAGTGCTGCAAAAACTTTAATACTAAGGATTTAGAAAACTCTCTTAGCAATGGATATAATCACACCTATTGAATCGTACTCAAATTGTGAGAACTAACGAAAATTCAAGATTAAAAAACTCAAATGTGGGGTTCCTCAGGGCTCGGTTCTGGGTCCAGTTCTTTTCTTAATCTATATATGTTGATACATTATATGCTGACGCAACTGTCGTCTGGGACAGTCCCAACATTGAAGACAGGAAAAAATGTGTTGAGGAAGATGTGGAAAAAGTATTCAACTGGTGTTACTCACATTCAAGTACTCTTAATTTAGAAATAATAAAAAATAAAACCTCCGCAAAATATTTAGGTATAAATATATTATCTAATATGTGTGTTTTATGTGTACATTCAAGTACTCTTAATTCAGAATTAATAGAAAATAAAACGTCTGAAAAAGAACAGTTTATATCTTATAACGGCTATGATTCATTTTATTACAATCGTTTATCTGGAATACCTCAGGGGTCGAATCTCGACCACTTCTGTTTTTATTATTTATTAATGACCTCAGTAATTATGTCGATTGTAATAAGTTATTTTTTGCAGATGATTTAAAAATATATATACCTGTCGAAACTATCGAAGACAGTAATACATTGCAACGACACTTAGAAAATATACAGACTTGGTGTGAAGTTAACAAACTATATCTCTCTAATATTTACATATTTACTCAGGTTACGCTACGCCCAATGATTTAATATTTTTATCTGATCAATACCATGGATTGCTAAGGAGAGTGGTGTGATGACCGCTGTCTAGGCCCTTCCGAATTATTTTTTAGCTTTCAGTACATTATCTACATCACTATTACCTTTTTTTCCCTTCAATAAAACTGTTTAATATAAAAAAAATGTTTACTTATTTTTTTTGTTGTTCTGATATTACTTACTTATGTAATAGTTTTGAATTATTCTTTTTTCCATACTATGAACATGTATGTTTCTTGGGAAAATAATTTGTTATCGTATGCAATTGAAATCATGTTCTATATTTTCTTCTTTATGAAATATAAGAACAACTGATGTTGGCTTTATATAATACTTTCTGAGGTTCTTTATTTTTATTTATAAACATATCATTGGTCAGTAATCAGAATAGATCTGGTGTTATGGCCTACAAAATATTCTTTGGTTAATATAATCTTGTAGTTATTTTTAACAATACCAAAATAATAATAAAAACAAAAAGTATGTATATAAAGACAAAAATTTAAAAATATAAAGATGGACTTTAAAATTGAAAACAAAAAATATTAGTATAAAATAAAATAAGAATAAAATAAAATAAAATGAAGTTCCACACCTACATGTTGGTGTAACTATTGTTTGAAAGCTACAACATGGTGAAATTATACTCAATCAGCCTATTTTCTAAACAGTTATCTGTATGTTCAAATAGAATTTTTTCAAAGCTTTTTTGACTTCACAAATATTGCTTACAGCAAGTTGGTCGCTACAAGTTATACAGAGTATTTATTGATTTGTTTTGCGCTCTTCCTAGTTTGTTAATTAATTGTTGTGATGCATTACATATATAAATCCTTTATTTAGCAATGAAACTGCTAATACAGTACATCTATAATCAAATACGACACCACAATGTGTTACTCAACTAAACTCAGGAATAAAATTTCAAAGTATGAGTACTACAATAAATATACAACATCTACTTAAAATATCACAGTTGTTAGTCAATATAAAACACAAACAAAATTCAAATATAGAATACAAAAAAAGTTTATACAGTCAAAATTTATATTATATAAAGACTAGTTCATTCACCCAATAGATGACTCTTCAACTTTCTTTTGAATAATGCAAGAGTGCTACATTCTTTAATATTTTTGTTCAAACTATTAAAAGCTAACATTCCTGCATGGTAAATGGATTTCTCAGTACACTTTTTATTTTCAACTCCTACATATATGTTATTACGCGTTCTTGTATTATAGTGATGATGATTCTCATTGTATTCAATATGCCTACTCAGGTATGTCGGTGATAGGTGATTATTCATTTTATATATCATTATCATTGTATAGTAATATATGAGATCTGTCACAGCCATCCATTGCAATTGCAATTCATTGTATCTATCAAATGTTCCACATCATGTGCACAGTAATATACAAGTGTGTCATGAGCAAAGAGATGAATTTTACACATTGCCCCAACATGGTATGAGATACCTTATATGTGATTCAATATAGCTGTAATATATTGTTTTTTGACATTGAGGTTTATATATTTTGCACAGCATTTTAATGCTCCTGTCATTGAATCAATTTTTATTATCACTTTGTTAATATTCTCTGTCTACTGGAGTTTATTATCTATCAACAGTCCTAAGTATTTGTAAACTTCGACTTCTTTTAGCAAGTTATTGTTTATATATAATTGTATTGCTCGAATTGGTTTGATTTTGTGCTTTAGCACCATATATACAGTTTTTTCTACATTTAATGCTAGCTTATTCATCAGTAGCCATTGATAGTATTTGTTTAGGTCATTATTCACTGTTTGTTCTAATGTTTCAAGACAGTTATTTGAATATACTAGTGCGCTATTATCAGCAAAGGTGAAGTATCTTGCATCCAAACTAGCCATTTTCAGTGAGTGGACATACAAAAGATACAGTATAGGTCCGAGAACTGATCCCTGCGGCACACCAATATTTATATTACACTCATCACTTTGAATGTTTTCTAATTTTGTGTATAATTTTATCTCTGTTAGGAACGTTTTTAACAGTTTATAAGCAACCCGTCTGAATCCGATATTAAACAGTTTGTTCATAATCTTATCTTCATTCACAGTATCTCAAATGCTTTTCTGAGATCTACAAATACCGTTGTTGCACTCAGAATACTTTTTTTTCTTGAAAGCCATATTGATATGAGTCGAAGCAGAAAGTTTCATTAATAAATCTCACTATTCTGACTTTCAACACTTTCTCCACTATTTTAGAAAAGACACTTAGCAGTGATATGGGCCTGTAGTTATTTAGCCTATCATGTTTTCCATTTTTATATATAGGTATCACTTTAGCTATTTTTAGTTCCGGTGGGAAGTATCCCTTTTCCATAATGCCATTTATTAGCTTTACTAGATGATCACTGATTTCATCAATAATATTCAGCAAGTCCTCCTTAGTTATACCATCATATCCTGGTGCTGAAGCATTTTCCAGAGAGTGAATTATAGTTGAAATTTCTTTTTTATCAACAGGCTGGAGAAATATGGATTTATTGTTTTCTTGTTCTATGAAGTTCAAATCCATATCTTGTATATTCTCCGTGATATTTTCTCCTACCTCAAAGTAATACTTAAAGAACCCATCAACAACTTGGAGCTTATCTGTAATACAGATTCCATCTTCTAATGTTATTTTGTCAATACTAGTTTTCCTTTTTTGTTCTATTGATATTATGTATGACATTATTGATGACTTGCCATATCTTTTTTGAATTGCTACCTGCTTTGTTCATCTGTTTTTCAATCCAATTCCTTTTCAGTTACTGTCTCATTGTATTAACCACATTTTTGAAATAATTAAACCTTTGTTGAAGTTGGGGGTTGGGCGATCCTTTTAGTTTTTTATATACTTTGTCTCTCTCCTTGATTTTGTCTAGGAATTCCGATGTTATCCATTCATTTCCCTCTTTTACCTTCAGTATTGTTGTTTCTGTACAGCCTTTTTTTTCCTCTACAATAATTTTTATGATTCCTTCAAAGTTTTTTATTTTCTCATTATTTAGTCGGATTGTAACATTTTCTATGAATTTTTTGTAGTTAACTCGATTTTTTTTCTATTTTTACCAAGCTTTACCATTTAGATTTAGTCATTCAAAGTATATTCACATAATTATTGTAAAACTAAAAAATATTTCGAGTTGGCAAAATTTTTAATTTACTGCATTACCAGAGGATAAAAAATAGCAATAGTCTAATAATAGTTGGAGAAAAAAATAATTTGTGTTTGGTATATTACATAACTCGAGACTTCAACTTAAAATATAAGTAATCCTTTCTTGAACTCGTACCTCTTCTCAAATCATACAAATATATCCTCTTCAGGTTATATCTCTACATTCTCGTTTACAAGGAAGAGACCTCAGAAGGGGCAGGGACCAACTAATGTGGGTTTTGCTGCAATTCATTTCGGGATCGATTCAACGCAATCCTTTGTCGAATTTTCTCCCTGTCTTGCGATTGTATGAGCTGCTTTATCCGGAACAGGAACAACCCTTGCCGGTTCCCGATTTCAATCAGCCCCAGTGCACTCGGCAAATGGCCACAACTTGCATCTGGATTCACTTAACGAAGAAGGCTCAAGCAGAGCTGGTCAACATCACTTGGCCCGTGCCGACCAAGCTACGGGCTCATCACGATTTCTTGCAGCACCTGGTTCCCCCCAGTAATGCCGCTCTCGCGATGGGGAATGATTATAGAATCGCCCTGTTGTGTAATGCTTACTCAACGAATCAGGATTATTTTAGGTAAAAGAATAGCCGAGCGTTCGCACAGATTTAAGTCTGACGTATCTTTATAATTTTTGTGTATTCCAGCAAACCGATGGCAGCACTTGTCGAGACTATACAAGGGAGCGCCAAGTCTGCCTCACCTCCTACAGCTCCTTTGAGTATGACTGTCCTCGATTCCCTCACCGTACATTCCAAAATGAGTCTGATCCACAGTATAGTGACTCACGTTATCAAGCTGGCCCAGGCAAAGTCCGGGATGCCCCTGTCTCCGGCCTTAGTGGAAACATACAGCAGGTAATATTAATTAGATATTAATGAGGCATATGATAAATTGATACACTTTCGATTCTTGTTCCTTTAGAAGAAAATACAAAATAAAAAAAATTCAAAACCTTGGTTTGATAATTAGTGTCCGACCGAAACCGAATTTCGGCAACGGTCTCAGTTTCGGCCGAAACCGAAACCAAAAGTTCCTTACAATGATTATGTTTTGAGAGAAAAATAAAGAAAACTTTATTATAATCAGTCAGTCTTTATTTTTTCATCTTTAAATCACAACGTTATGCAGTCTTAGATATTTTCACTTATTGATAATCAACAAATCAACATAACAACCCCTTATTTAAGAAAAAATATTAATTGCACCTTAAAAATACTTAAAATAGGTGAGGTGTTCATTTGAGTAGGTGTAGATTCTTCTTTTGAATATTATTAATGGTTTTTCAAAAATATTAAACATAAAATTACTTATTTAAGGTATATAATAGGTATAGTTCAAGTGAAAGATATAGACCCCCCTACCTTCCACCAGTTCCCCTTTAATAACACACACAATGCGGTACTCATCACTACATTCTCTTGGTCACCGTAACATGACTTCAAATTTAATTTTATGACTATTCAGCAAATCATAAAACTTGGTTAGTAAAAATTATCCAATACGAACCGCCAATTCTTCAGTCCACGTGTAATTGGTTTTTTTTTGGCCTTTGACTTCGCCGACACCTTTAAGATTACTATATCGGTTACTTAGACTATACTTAATATTTATGTAATAAACAAAGTAAATCACAAAGTAAGTCACGACATTGATTAATCACGTGGACGCGTCGAATATGACCGATCACAGCGCGAGAACTCCCGAATGTAGTTTCGGCAGGTTTACCGCCGAAACCAAAACTCGGTTTTTTTGCCGAAACTCGACCGAAACCGAAACCGAACTTTCGGGTCTGACACTATTTATAATCAACTATAGGATATTCACGTTAAGAAGAGAATGACGCCATTTTCGGTAATTTTGTATATCCAACATAACAAGTTTAAAATTCCCAATGAAATGCTTTAAATAGCAATGAAACTAGTAAAATTTCATTTTGTATGTTGCTCAATTGATAGTAAAATTTCAGATGTTGCCGAAAAAAAACTCGAAAACTGTCTGTCTTTCTTTTCTTTTCAGAACTAATCATTTCTTTTGATAAGACCTGCGTATATTCAATATGTTTAAAACATTGTCGAAACAGTCTCAACAAAGTTGTATTTCAACAAAGTAAATTGATAGTAAGTAAAGTTAACAGCAATAAAACAAATCAACAGTACAAAAAAAAATTAAAAAGATCTAAATAGTGCACATGTTGGCAATGCCGTAACTTGTCATCTTGTGACGTCATTCTCTTCTTAACGTGAATATCCTATATCACAATTAATTTTAGAACGTGATAAATATTTTTTCAAGAAAAAACTTTTCCTAATTCTCAATTTTTTAATGAAAAAGGCTCTCAATTGAATAAATTCTTCAAAAAAAGTACAAGAGAAAAAAAATTAAAGTATTGTCAAGAACAATTCACAAATATTAGTCCCTGGTATAAAATCACTGTTGCACAATAGAAGTAATATTAATAATGGTAAAAATTTAAAAAAATATTAATTTGAATAATCATGAAACTGACAATTTATCTGAAATTTGGGAAATAATGATAATTTTGTTGCGATTGGAAAAAAATTGTCTTCTACCATTCCAAATATTTCAAGGCGACCTAAAAAACATTCAAGTGTGTCATCTATGTATTTAGGTCATTAAATTTAACTGAAATTGAAGAAATAAGAGAATATTTGAATCCAAGAAAAGCTTCTGGCTATGCTGATATTAGTATAAATATTGTTGAAGCAGTCAAAACTGAAATCTCACCAAATTTATTCTTCATTGTTTCGAAATCTTCTGAAAATGGTATTGCAATTGCAAAAGTTACACCTATTTATAAGAATGGCAAAAAAGATGATCCTTACAACTACCGCACAATCTCGGTATTATCAGTATTTTTCCAAAGTTTCAGAACGATTGATGAATGAAAGATTAACCGATTATTTGGAAAACAATAATATTTTATACTAGTGATCAGCATGGTTTTCGCAGGTCTAGTAATACAGAGGCAGCAGCAATGGATGTCATTTCAAAAATTCAAACTGAAATTGACAATAATAAAGAATGTTGTCTCTTGTCTTCAGATTTGTGTAAAGGATTTGATACTGTACATCATAATGTAGTGATCTCAGAACTAAACAATTTTGGCATTAGTTGGAAAATCCTTGATTGGTTTGTAAATTATATGAGTGATAGACAACAATATGTTTGCATAGAAAATCAAAAAAGTTCCATTAGAAGTATATGTTTTGGAGTACCGTAAGGATCTATTCTATCTAATAATAATTCAATAAGTTATACCCATTTTATTAAATCCCTAGGATTATATATTGATGAAAATTTATTGAGGACGAATCATATTGAAATTATTCAAAAAAAATAGCACTCGTCTAATCTATAAAAATAATAAAAAACACTTGAAATACACATTCATATACATACACAAATATACACATGTACATTTACACGTTTATACACATATACATAAACACATACACGTACAAGTATTTGTACATACACATATATGTGTATATACATATACAGTGTGTCCGCAAAGTATGGAATAAATTCGATATTTCCAAAACCAAAGGTCGTTTTACAAAATTAATATTCTACATTTTACAACAAAATTTCATTATCTATATTATACATATTAATGTGATGACGTCATCAACAATTTTTTTAAATGCAACAGTTTTAGATAATCCGTAACGAGCTGATTTCGAAAAGGTATGATACTTGGGGTCTAACGGACATAATTTGAAAGATGTGCGCTTAGAAAATGAATTTTATTAATATCTAATAAAAGTAGAAATTAATTATTTTATATTTTTTTCTAATGTATAATTCAACACTGGGAAAGTAATCCAGTGATAAATACATGACTTTATTGTAAATGTTCGAACTGTACTCCTTGCTGTAGCTGTCAGTAACCGGGCTAACAAGTATTTCTTATTCATTTCAAAAAACTAGGCGGCTAGTTTTTTTGCTATTGTGAAATGTAATTATTTCGATACGTTCAGTAACTGTTAAATAGAACAGTAGTTGTTGTATTAATTCGTGAAGTTTCTGTAGTATTGCTTGGAATTAATTTTAAGAATTAATGAATTTAAGTGTAAAGCAAAGAAATGAAATTCTTATGATGATTGGCTATGGAGACAGATCGCGAACTCAGGTGGAAGTGTGTAAGTTATTTAATGAAAAATATCCAGAAAGACGCATAACGCAGTCAACAGTAAGTAATATTGAAAAGAAATTTAGAGAAACTGGTACAGTTGAAAATGCACGCAAATCAGGTCGTCCTTCTACTTTAATTAATTTATTCCCAAGTAGAAATATTCCTGGAAGTTTTGATGAAAGTTTATAGTTTCAACAGGATGGTTCGCCTCCACATTATGATGCGGATGTTCGTAGATATCTCGACCAAATGTTTATGAACCTATGGATTGGTAGACGTGGACATATTGTATGGCCAGCGAGGTTGCCAGACTTAAATCCGTTGGATTACTTTATGTGGGGCCATCTGAAGAATGTTGTTTATAAAACGAAACTAGCAAATATTCAAGAATTAAAAGAGAGAATTCGAACAGAAATAAACAGTATTTCTCAAGAAACCATAAACAAGGTTCAACAAGAATTTATTCAACGTTTAGGTTACTGTCAAATACAGCAAGGACTACAGTTCAAACTTTTAAAATAAAGTAATGTATTTATTACTGGATTACTTTCCCATTGTTAAATTAATCATTAGAAAAAAATATAAAATAATTAATTAATTTCTACTTTTATTAGATATCAATAAAATTTATTTTCTAAGCGCACATCTTTCAAATTCTGACCGTTAGACCCCAAGTATCATACCTTTTCGGAATCAGATCGTTACGGATTATCTAAAACTGACACCAAATACAGGGTGTTGCATTTAAAAAAAATACCGATGATGTCATCATTAATATGGATCACCCTGTATAATGAAATTTTGTTGTAAAATGTAGAATATTAAAATTGAAAATCGACGTGTTTCAGGTTTTTGTAAAACGATCTTTGGTTTTGGAAATATTGCATTTATTCCATACTTTGCGGTCACACTGTATACACCTCAGTGAACTGAGGTTGAGAGCATTTGCAACAAAGTTTTAATAATGGTTCTCTATATGGATGCTTACGCTGAAAGTATTCTTGAACAGATGTCATTTGTAATCGATAATATTGTTCAATCAGACTATTGGTCTACACGGAGATAGAATCTCTTGGAATCAAAGGATTTCTGAACCAGCTACTGCCTCAAGTGTACAAGTCTCACGCTTGGGGAACTTTGTACACACTTTTGGAGATGTTCAGCTACAGGATGCACCACATCCATCCACACTATAGGGTGCAGTTATTGAGTCATTTACATTCATTGGCCGCTGTACCGCAGGCCAATCAAACGCAGCTTCATTTGTGCGTGGAATCGACCGCATTGAGGTTAATTACAGGTAACTATTTTTCTTCAAATCATAACATAATTTACTGTAATTTTACAGTATTGAAAGTTGACCAAACTCATTACTTTTCAGTTGTGTTCGAATTGATTTCAGTTTCAAGTGAGGATCGAGAATTTACCTACCTCAAAATTGTGCTCAAAAGAAATGTTTTTGAGGTAAAGGTAGGAAATTGATATTTTTCGAAAGTTGTCAATAAAAAAATAAGGGTAGTTAGAATCTCAAATAACTTTACGTCACACTATTTTGAAAGAAGCTTGGTATAGCACTGATCGAGCTAATTTCCTGTAGACAAACACATTAATTAATCGATATTCGCATAAATATTCCTTCTTATCTGCCATATGGCAATTTCAACAACCCAATAAGGTTTGTTAAGTTATTTTTTGTTTATGAAAATGACAAAAAATGTCAGTACGACTGAATATTGGGAAACCATATTGTAGGACCTCTATTTATTGATCAAAATTTAACAGGGGAACTGTATTTGAAAATGCTGGAAACTACTGTTGACCCTCTCATCACTGAAATCGTCGAAGCGAATCCTAATGAATTCGATATTGTATTCCAACAAGATGTAGCAGCATCACATTACTCCAAACAAGTAAGAAACTATTTGGATACTACTTTTCTCGGTCGTTGGATTGGCCGTCGAGGTCCTACAGAATGGCCAGCCTGCTCATCAGATTTGACACCTTTAGACTTTTTTTATGGGGCTATTTGAAGCAAAAGGTGTACGAAAAATTCAAGTAGTTGGTTTCTGGTATAGTTATCTTCAAAATACAAATTGTTATCCAATAAAAAACTTTGTATTTTATCTTTCCTCGAATTTTTATTCGGTACTTTAATGAGCTGTCGCGAATGATAGGAAGCGTTGTCAAAAACTATCACACTATTCACATCCAAATTTGGGATCAATGTGTTTTCAAACCATTCCTCTAAAATATTAGCTTCCATGTTCTTATGATAGTCAATATTGCAGTCCTCCTGTTGCAATCCTTGCAACAGTCCTCAAGTTTTTTTCCACATAATTTCAAAGAATTCGAAACCCATACTTTACTTCCTCCGCAATGCACAATGATTAGTCGCGATCCTTTGTTTGCAGGCATGTTAGGCGTACACATTCTCGAACCATCAGTCCACCCTTTCGTAACTGTGTCGTGAGTGTCATACTAAGTTTCGTCCAAATAGAAAATTTGCCGTTGTTCTTGTCTATTTAGTTATTTGTTCTAAGTATTTCTTATGCAATTCCACTATTCTTCTGCTTTCCATAACTGCTTGGTGTTTGTTTATTATTTTAAATCTAAACCCTAGTTTCTTTATCCAATTTTGAAGAGTTTTGTCACAGCAGCTCATGTTATGGCCGGAAGTATTCAATTTCTTCCTTATGATTTCAATTGTTTCATTGCTTTTGTAACGGTTGTATTTTTTTAAAGATTTCATTAGATGAACATCTAAAGGTTTTGGTAATCCCGCATCAAATCGCGTCTTGCGTTCATAAGGTTTGTTTTTGACTATTTTACGTACAGTTGAGAAAGGAATTTCGGTCAAATCTGATGTTGCTTGTAATAGTTTTTTTCCCCTAGAAACCAAACTTGATATGTAGATTCTTATATACATTGAAACATACTATCTGTGTTTCAATATTTAAATGCATCCGAATCTTATTCACTGGTATCTCTTTTTCGCATTGTTCACCAGCGCTATTGGAATCACTACACAGGAAAAAGTCTGCGTTTTTATCATACTCGTTATTACTATTAGTACTTGTCCAAGGACGCCACATTTTAAACTAACCACAAAAATTTTAAGTAATCATAACTTCACCAATATCGAATTTCAACATTCAAATCGCGATCAGTCCCTGAACTGAACACGACGACGATAACTATCCCCGCATTCCCGATTTCTATTCGTCACCGTAACATGACTTCAAATTTAATTTTATGACTCTTCAGCCAATCATAAAACTCGATTAGTAAAAGTTATCCAATACGAACCGCCAATTCTTCAGTCCACGTAATTCGTAGCGGCAATAATTCTTTGTATTGGTTTTTTGGGCCTTTGAATTCGCCGATAGCTTTAAGATTACTATATCGGTTACTTCGACTAACCTGTATTATTGCCTATATGGGTGCTATATAAAGGCTAATTTAATAAACCATTGACAAAATGGTTTAGACTTTCACGGCTGAGGTTTTCAGTGTCATTGCTTTTCACTTAGTGAAGGAGACCACAAAATTTTGTTTGAAAACACGGATCTAATTACCCCCAACCAGGGATATCACAGCCGACTGGTACGGGAGGCAATAGAGATCCACAAACACACGGAGAATTTTAACAGAAAAGAAGAAGCGGGGAACCTCAATCAAATATGGAACCCCATTTTAAGGAATTTGAGAATAACGAACAGGACAACAGGCAGCAAGATTGTTAATGTTCCAGGTTCAAGTGCAGGTACGAGAACAGGTACAAATGCAGGTACAAATACAAGTGATTACCTGACAAGACATAAATTGGCTTTACGAAGCCTAAAAGGTAGTCATCGGACAGCAATCCATGATGGTTAAACCTCTGAAGAAGCTAGCCAAAAGTCCATTCAAATCGTTCTGAATGAACTCCAAATAACGTTCTCCATTCAATCGGTCCTGTAGAACGAATGGTCCTATAAGATGGTTTCCTATGATACCAGCCCAAACATTCACGTTGAATTTCCGTTGGTGTTTGGTTTGCAATATCCCATGGGGATTTTCTTCGGCCCATATATGGAGATTATGAGAGTTGATAACTCCATCTCTACTGAAACCTGCTTCATCAGTGAATAAAACTCGATTAATAAAAGTCATATCCTCTCTTTGCCTATCCATGAACCAATTGGCATATTCCAGTCGTGCTGGAAAATCTTGAGGTGTCATGGCATGTACCTTCTGGATGTGAAATGGGTGGAGCAGTTGTTCCCTAATTATTCTATGAATAGTGGACTTGGATGTATGGAACTGTTCTGATAGATTTCTGATGCTCATTGAAGGATCATCAGCGACGGCTTCCAAAATATTTTCCTCCAATACAACGGTACGTACAGTCCTAGGAGCGCCCTCACCACCTCGTTTTGGCAAAACTGTACCTACAATAATATCGAAATAAAACAACGTGCTCAAATTAATTATCAATTATTACATACCTGTCTCCCTCAAGCTGCGATCGACACACTCGAATGTTTCTCTTGACGGTACCGTTCGATTGGGAAAATGCTCGGAATACAGACGACGAGCTTCTGCAGCATTACAAAATGCTCGTCCATAAAATACATGCATATCTGCATATTCATTGAATGTAAACTGTTCGGCCATATCAAAAAAATTCAAAATATCCTATAGAATATTGACAATACAATGATAGTCATATGACAACGCACTACTCAACAAAACAAAATCGCATTCCAGTTTCTCATTTTTTATCAAAACTTTCTAAAAGGTTTTTTTGTCAACATCTGTGAAAGAAATGGAACATAATTATTCCCTGGATATTTTTCACCTGATCATGTGCAGCCGTTTTTGTAGTTCATTCGTTTGCTTTTTATTAGTATAGTAAATATTTTTTCCGATGTGCGTTTTTTCAGCTAAATTTAGATTCGTGTTAAAGAATTTCTCCCATAAAATTATAATTATAATTATCAGTGAAACTCCTCAACAGTTTAGCTGTGAAGAAGAATTTGAAACATTCGAATGTTGAGTTTCATGAGATTCAGATAACTGATCAACACGAAACGTGATTATTCCACACGTATTATGTACATACAAAATATGGAATGAATTCGATATTTCATAGTAGAGTAGCTTGTTAGTTTAAAAACACCACGAATCTACAGAACTTGATATTTCTTTTGAAAAAATATCTGCTATCACAGTTATAAATGTTGTTGAATTAACGTTATCATTATTATTTTTGCTTTGATAATTATTCATTTCAAATAATGGTGGACGAGCGGGTTTGATGTCGTCGAGTAGAACTACATTTTTATCAAGACTCGTTGCTCCGATCGACTTTGCACACGAGTACTTTTATTCATGAAATTGTCCAAGTAACCTTATTTTGTTGGAAAATATTGAAAAATATCTGTCATTTCAAAGTTTTGGGGTGTGGACCATCGGGGGTAGTCCGTTCCTGACTTTGTAGCAAAACAACTGACTCCTGCATGAAAGCTCATCGACGGAATTCATTTGTTTAGTCAATTACCAAAATTTGGATGATTTTGAATATTCACTTGAAAAGTTATCAAAGAAAAACATTTTTCATTTTGTAACTTCGAGGGCCCGTAACTTGGTTACGAAGACTTTTTGGAAAAAAAGTTATATGAAGTACTGGTGATATTTTGACTTCATCTATACATTCCCGAGAGGAAAAGAGGAAGTCCAGGGACACCCTGTATATATAGTTGTATTATTTATGTAAAGTTTGTTGATTATAGTATATTCAAAGTTAGCTAACCTGTATATTAGGGAATCCTAATTCAATAAATTCTTCTCAAATTAATCATGCGCTGCAATCCAAACTTTTTCCTTCCCAGGTCTGGGCAGCGGCGACGTCCAACCGGAACTCTCCCGTTTCCTCCAAGAGCCCAAAACCATCGTATCCGCCGAATCCGAAGAGCTAAATCGAGTCCTCGTGCTCACGCTGGCCCGAGCGACCCACGTGACAGGCACTGACGGCTCCTGGTGCCACGAACTCCTCACCACCATAGCTCAGAGCACGCCTCACGCGTGGGCCCCTCACACGCTGGACTGCTTCCCGCGAGCCCTAGCCGAGTTCTTCACGCAGCACGCCGTCCCCAAAGAGAACAAGCAGCAGCTGAAGAAGGCCGTCGAGGAAGAGAACAGGAAGTGGGCGTCGATGAACAACGAGAACGACATCATGGCCCACTTCGGAGTGCCGGGAGCGCCTCCGCTGTTCCTTTGTTTGCTGTGGCGGATGCTGCTTGAAACCAATCACATCAGCCCCATCGCGTACAAGTAAGGCATGTTTTCTTCTGTAGTATTTAGTGAAAGTGTTTCTGAAAGCATAGAGACTTCTTTATCATTTCGGATGTCATATCATACATTAGGTTCGTTCCAACCTTGAGTCACAAACAGATTTCCAACTGTTTATAAATCGTTGTCAACGCGCATGTCTGGTAAATATTGGTTTCTGATAGAAGATAATCCTCAAACCATTCTGATAGATTTCGATCTGATAGATTGGAATCTTGGATGGAACAGAAAACTGATAGTTTACTAATGGTTGGAAACTCACGTTGGAACGCAATCACATTACTGCGCAGAATCCTGACTGTCAGAAACTGTTTCTGACGCTGGTTGGAACGAACCTATTGTGTTGATGTTAAGTGTTTGCCTTATTCGAAAAACTTTGTTTTTTTTTTTGCAAAACTTCATATGAGGGATTTGACTACGCCACTCCATCAATCAGTCAATCAAACATTTATTAAATCAGTTTTTCTTCACAATCACATTTGACAAAAAAAAACATAACATCATAAAATACTGGCCGATTCAACTGGTCCAACAAACATAAAAAAGATAAAAAGTCAATATAAAACACATAAAAAAAAGTTGATAAACTACAATCAAATTACGATTCAAGGAGAAAGTCATCTACAGAGTAGTATGCTTTTTGCAATAGAAAAATCTTGAGTCACCTTTTGAAAAGATTGATATTTGAGGATGTAATGTCCTCACTAAGCTTATTATGTAGCTTAACCCTACAGCAACTGGGCTGATTCTTTGATACTGTTAATCTACTATAAGGTTGATGTAGTTGAGAGTTATTTCTGGTGAAATGTTCATGGATTTGCTCATTTCTAGGAATAATTGAAGTATTGTTTTTATATACATCAGTATTTGGTAGAAATGCAAACTAGGCATTGTTAATAAACTATAACGAATGAATAATGGCCTGCAGTGTTCACTTCAAGATGCACCAGCCAGAATTCTGATTAACTTTTTCTGAATAACAAAAACTTCTTCAGCTTTAGCTGATAAACCCCACTGTTCAAGACCATAGGAAATTACTGACTGAATTAAACTGTGGTATAAAAGCTTGAGAACATCAAGAGAGACTGTTTGTTTTAACTGACGAAGTAAATATATATGTTTACTGAGCTTCAGTTTGACACTATCAACTTGTCACTTCCAGGTAAGTTTATTATCAATATCAACACCTAAGAATTTAGTACAATCAACTTGATGTGAAGTTTCATTATTCAATCTAACCAAATAGCTTTTATCAATTGTATTTTTTAGTAACAAAGTCGAGCATTTGAGATTTAGCAGAATTTAGCAGCAGGCCATTCATAGAACATCACTCAGAAATTTGATCAGTCACATCATTAGCTCTGACAATTACTTCGGACATAGTTCCCGAAGATACTAAAATGTTTGTGTCGTCCGCAAAAATAACCCAAAACAAAGCCTTGAGATACCCCTCTTGATATACACATTGGGGATAGTTGATGATATAGTTAAGAAAAATACAAAGAATAAAAATAACTTACATTATACTGCTACCCAGCAGAATAGAAGAAAAGGAGATGTGTCGCATTCTTAAATGCTCTGGAATCGTTTCTGAAGAGTGATCAATGAATACTGAAAACTCAATACTTTCTGTCGATGATCCTGACATCCCTCAATATTTATAAAGATTCATATGCCAGGATTACATTGTTGCGTATTTGGAGATTGTTTTATATTTCTATATCCTGTAATCGTATCAATTTTGATGTCTATGAACTTGGAATATTAAAAGATGAAATTGTGAATACTGAGTGTTTTTGTTTTAGAATATTGAAGTTGAGGTTGAAACATTTTTAAATGCATGTATTTGCTTGAATGAATTTGAATTATTTCATGAATACTTTCCATATTTGACAATATTACTGGAAATCTACGAATAACTCAATGGAATTATTATTATTATTCTTGGAGCTCTTCAACTTTTGAGTCTCCTTATAGAGGAGCTTGCTTCAATTCCACGTTGTGGAAAATGAATTTTCAACTGTAAAACTCGTTTAGTTTTTTACACACAAATCCCATTCCAATTATCCCATCCCAATTATTTGTAGACTTAAAAACCGTATGTTTTTACTTCAGGATTCTGGAGAGGATTGGCGCCAGAGCTCTGTCCGCGCACCTGCGAAAGTTTTGCGACTGCCTCGTTTTCGAATTCAGCAACTCCCCCGGAGGACAGCACGTCAACAAGTGCGTCGACACCATCAACGACATGATCTGGAAGTACACCATCGTGACGATCGACCGACTCGTGCTGTGCCTCGCCCTCAGAACGCAAGAGGGCAGCGAAGCGCAAGTCTGTTCCTTCATCATACAGCTAGTGCTCCTGAAGGCGACAGAATTCCGCAACAGAGTCCAAGACTTTGTCAAAGACAACTCGCCCGATCATTGGTTGCAAACGAACTGGCACGAGAGGCATCTCGAGTTCCAGAGGAAGTATCCGGAGAAGTTTGCCCCGGAAGAACAGAGCAGCGGTTACCATCCGAATTTCGGTAACGTCTGCCTGAGGTTTTTGCCGGTTTTCGATATCGTCGTGCACAGGTTTTTGGAGATTCCGCAGGTGACGAAGAGTTTGGAAATACTGCTGGAACATCTAGGATGTCTGTATAAATTCCACGATAGGCCTGTTACGTATCTGTACAATACGCTGCATTACTATGAGGCTAAGCTGAGAGATAGGCCGCCACTGAAGAAAAGGTTAGTATGGTTACCTCGCTTGATATTAGAATTTGTGCCGTTAAACATCCAGTTTAACACCAGTCAAGGACATACTTAAAATAAACTAAAGCTCTAAAGCTAAAGATAACATACATTTGAAAAATTTACAATTTAAAATAATTTTATCCAATAAATTACAATGTCAAGCCACAGTAGAATTATAAAACCAGTAGGCTCTCCTACCACGTGATCCTTCCGAGTTGCCGGGGACCTTCAACCGCTCTTAGGATGAGATTCTCATCAAACGCGTTCAGTGCTGTAGTATCGGAGGATTCGACGGTCCCACGGGCATCGGATTAGTTATAAAAAACGGTCGGAAATTGATTTTGTGTTCAGTTTATTCGCTGTTGTTATTATTGTTTTTAGTTTTTGTAGTTGATTATGAGTAGCTTACCACAAAATCTCCTATAATATCCTTAAATTTCGTTTTTCAAGTGGAAGTTGTACCCTAGTGAAATGTCTAGACGCAAAAAAAGGACTAGTAATTTAGACAACAGCTACGATAGTATACCATCTGAATCGCAAATTCTGAGAATAAATTACCAGGAGAATTAAAAAGCAGCGATTATAAAAAACGATCTCAATAAAGAAAATAGACGTTTATGTAAGACTATCGAGGAGAAAGAACTTTTGATTATTGAAAAAGACAAGATTATTAATCGATTGCAGAAGGAAAACAAATTACAATATTTTCATGATTTAATCACTACTATTTCGGCTCAGGCGAAGCTCTCTGACTCACATAGACAGGCTTGTCTGGCCACACCGTCAGCGGCCGATCCTTCTAAATCTACCTCCTCTCCACATTTTTATGGAGAGAGAGGCTAGATGGACTACATATAGATTTGTGCACATTGCCAATGGGGAATGTTCCTCAATTCGGGTTATTACAGCAAATGCAAGTTTGAACAAAATAAAGTTGAGTTTAATTCATGAGTTTTTCAAATTCCCTTCGAAAAGTATTCAAATTGATGTTCCAAATGTTGGGTTTTAATTTTTAAAAGGATTTGTTTCTAATTCACATATTGGCAACAGCGCCTATATCAAGTTGAAATAATTTATACGTACCTAGATATTCTACTGACATTGATGGAAATCTATTCAGGAATATTCTTGGAAAAAACCAAGGAAAATTGTTCATCAATTGGCATAATTTAAAAGTCTATGCTAATAATCAATTAACACAGTGTTACAAATGTTGCCGATTGAATCACTCTTCAAGAAACTGTAGAAATTTAACAATTTGCTCTCGATGTGACAATTGTTATGAAGAAAAAACTGTTCTGTTTCTAAAATAAAATGTGCAAATTGTGAATTTTTGAATTTAAATTTTAAAACCAAACAGCTCATTGACCATGTAGCTACCGATAAAAATTGTCCAGTGATCAAGCAAGTACTTTTCTCAAATTGATTATAGTTATCAATCCAATTCAATTGAATACTCTGAAGATTGGATTAAACTTGTTCATTGTTCATCGTCCCTAATTGCTATCCAAGATCGGCCTTTCAGCCTCTCCTAAATTTACTAGATTCATAGCGGAATACGTAGTTTCTGCATAAGTCTTTCTAATAGAACATTTAATCTAGTGACATATTTTCATGTGTACATGTATTTAAAAGAAAGAAATTTATTCATTCATGGACCAACTACTTGGTATCAAACATGTCAACTTATACTTATAAATATGTAAACAAATAAACATGTAAATATACATTCAATACATATAAACATAGGACCGTAAAATACAGATAGATATATATACATATATGTAATATAAATAAATAGAATAAATAAAATATAAAAGAATAAGATTATTTACACACAGATATCCACAAAAAACTCAATCAGCGAAATACTCTTGTAATGTATAATAAGATTTAGCCAACAAGAAATCTTTCAGTGATTTTTTTAATTCGATAGTATTACAGGCCTTCATTAGATTAGGGAGTTTATTATATATTTTTACCCCAGCATAAGTTGGCGATTTTTCAAATGCGGATGTTCTGTGAGTTATTGTTATTAAATTTGAAGCATTTCTAGTGCAATATTGATGGTGGTAATTGTTTTTTATTAGCTCATTTTCATGCTTTTTAATGTGTAAGCAACTTTTATAACTATAAATGCAGCAAACTGTCATAATCTTTTTACTCTTAAAAATTTCCCTGGAAGAATCACGTGGCTTCATGTTGAATATCATTCTAACAATTCGTTTTTGTGTAACAAATATCCTATTTATTTCTGTAGCATTTCCCCATAACGTAATGTGATTATTGGTTGCATTTTTACAATATGACTAGTTTTAAATAGATAATTTTTTTATTCTATCTGTACTTTTGTATTGGGTATTGTGAATTTTCTTAAAAATTGATTTGAGTGAAATGGGCCTTGAACACATAAATAAATAAGTATATAATTCGTGAATTTTTTTATGTCTCTCAAAAAAACTCTTAGCTTCTATAGGAATTTTGATCTGAAAAGGGAAAAATTCAAATAAATGAAAATAAATCTGATGTACTTTTGTATAAGGTATTATATGTAGCTATTTTGAATTTTTAAATTGTATTGAGTGAAATGGGTCTTGAAATATGTGAATTTTTTATATCTTGTAATCTTTATTATTATAGGATACATCCTAATCTTACAAGACATAATAACTAATTAATAATTTGAATTTCCACAGTGCCAAAAATATTAATAAAATTCAAATATGTATATAGATAATAACAATAATGAAGATAAACTAAATAAAAAGATAATAATAAAAAATATACAATTTATAATACCCAATGTTGAAAACCAATATTGATATAGTAACTACATATAATATACATATTTTCCAACTAACTAACGCTCTAGGTATTCCAATAATTTACTTTTAAACCCTCTTACAGTATTTTCCTCTTTAATGGCATTTGGTAATTTGTTAAATTCCCGTAGTCCCTTGTAGAATAAGTTTTTAGTTCCGCCACCAGTGTGAGTTCTATATATATATGAAAATTATTATAAGATCTTGTCTCATGTTCATGTATTTGATTATTAAAAACCAAAAATTCATTAAAATATGTTGGTTGGAGACTTTTGATTATTTTAAATATAAAAACCATTGTTAAAAAGAATAATCGATTTGAAATCGACAGCCATTGTAGTATATTTAACATGTGATCAAAGAAAGTTTTAGTTTCTATAGTAATTTTGATCTGAAAAGGAAGGTATTCAAAAAAATCGTGTCCTTTCGTCGAGCGTCAATATCTTGATGATTTTTAGGTTGGTAGCTGCCGTTTTAGGAAGTCTGAAAGAAACCCTTTCGGAACCGTATCAAGCTTTCCTCGCGAGGTCTCCTGACGAGGTATGGTTGCCGGAATTGGATTACTATGTTCAGGTGGTGAGAAGAATAGTAGATGTTATCAGAGGAACTAACACTAATCCAATGCCTGACTGGAGGTTTAACGAGTTTCCAAATGCGGGGGCACATATTCTGTATACTTCTTGCGTGGAACTGATGGCTCTCTCGGCAGGACCTCCTGCTGTTGCTAACGGGCTTCTGGATGTTGTTGCTAAAGGTATGTAGCTCTTTTAGATTCAATGTGATTTCAATAAGTACTATCTGGGCTCAAAAGTCTAGAGCCTCACACATAGATGGGCTAGTCTTATTGAATTCACCGCTTTTTCAGTTAGTTCTAACCTTAAAAAGAAAGCTGCTGAAATTTCATGATATGCTACTCATGAGTTGGTGAGTTATTGTGCTAAGAGTGACACTATTTTTGTTATTTTCAAAACAATGGATCAAAAACAAGTTCGTGTTTTAATTCCACACTGCTTTTTGATGGGAAAAAATACTGTTTAAGCAAAGCAACGGCTTGAAATATAATATAAATAATAAGTCTACAGTTGTATTCAAACACTATGTATTATGATTTCATTTTCCTAACGGAGGCTGTTTTTTCAAGGTTTCGTGATGATACCGTCTGCTGACATCCACCAGTGGATCAATGCAATCGGTCTGGTGCTGGCCGCCCTTCCAGTCAGCTATTGGAGCATACTACACGACCGCCTCCTATCGACCATTGCTGAACTAGAAACCTGGCCCTTTGACTGTTCACCGTTCCGCCTCTTCGACTTCAAACAGACACATGCGGGTCTCCTGCACAATCGATTCAGCTACATGCTGGCGCTGTCGCATTCTGTGTGGCACCACGCAGGCCCCGGTCTGATTTCCAGCGTCCCCCGTTGGGTGAGAGAATGTTTACCTGTCGTCGTTCATACAGAGGAGCAGTTCCTGTTCGTTTGTCACTTGGTCGGGCCGTTTCTGCAACGTTTTATGGCCATAACGGACCTGACTAATGCTCTGTATGAATTGTTGGCGCAAGTCGACCAGGCCCAGAGCGAGATGAAGTACATGGACCCCATTTGCGATTTGTTGTACCATATTAAGTATATGTTTATCGGAGATAGTATGAAGAAGGAGTTGGAGGCTGTTGTGAGGAGGCTGAGGCCCCAGCTTCAGCTGCGGCTGAGATTCATCGCGCATTTGACGATTGAAGAAGTGAATGCTTCTTAGAGTGATTTTAAATATTCGAGTTATTTTAAAATTAAAGTAATAAATTTATTTCATAAGCTAGTTTGTTTGTTTATTCATTCACAGGTTCAAAACCCATTTTACTCGGTACAAATAAATTAATGTCAGTATACGAGAATGCAAAAACAACGCTTAGAGAAAATAAATAAATGTATTCATTACAAAAAAATTATAAATATTCGATCAACAAAGATCAAAGACAGATGCATCTTTATCGGACTAGATAGAAAAATGGGATGTGAATACGCATTTTAACATACAGTTAAAATACAAGTTGAATTAACGTGCATTTCATTAGTTTGGACTTGCATTGTCTAATATGATATAAATTGTTTTGAAATCCCACTTTCACCGGTTATAGCCAACATATATATGAAGTGGTTTGAAACTCTGGCCATTGAAGAAGCCCTGAATTTGGTTGAGATACGTGGACAACACCTTCATAATATGGAACCATGGGAATGCAGAACTAGACACCTTCCTGAAGCACATCAACAACATAAGTCCTTTCATCACTTTCACAATGGAGAAGGAAGTCCATAACGAATTGCCATTCTTAGACGTTTTGATGAAGAGGGCCGACATTAAATGGGAAACATCTGTATACGGAGAACCCACTCACACAGGACAGTATCTGAACCAGTAATCCAACCACCATCAATCGACTAAGAGAGGAATCATCAAGACTCTATTAGACCGTTCTTTCGGGCTCTTTAATATAAAGGAACGTCTCAAAAAGGAACTGGGCATCATTAAAAATGATCTTCACCAGAATGGTTATTCCAGAGTGATGGTAGAAGAGGCTTTAACTAGAAGATAGCAAGAGCTCCTCAAGGAAGAGAAGCTGCCGCAACCAGTACTTGTACTTTCCTACATAAGAGGATTGTCAGAAAGGATAAGAATTGGGTGCAAGTATATGTCAAAGCCACATATATGTTGTCCAACAATGCATTTAGCCAAGCTAACGTAGAAATACGCAACATATGGAAACCTCTAATCGAGTGGAACACGACCAATTCCCGCCAAACGGTCAGCTCCCGCTAAAACCGATTAAGCAGAGAGAGGGAAGAGGGGATAGGTGAAAGCACTCGAATGACCTATAAATAGTCAGATCTCGGAGGAACAAGTCCAGTTATCACCTGAAGACGATTGTTGATACTAACAATCGATATGTCGTGAAGTAACTTGGTTTGGAATCTTTTATATTTTTAATTCTTGTTAATAATTTTTTAATTTTCTTCTCGTGTTGATAGTTCAATTTTTTTACTTTTTTCCATGTAAGTATCACTGTTTTGTGCTTTTTTAGGATTTATTTTTTGTTTTAATGAGATAAATTACAACTTTTGTTATCTCTGTAAATATAAAATACTTTATTTGATCAAAAAAACATACTTATACATTACAATAACATTGGAAAAATGGTACATTTATCTTTCATCATAAACTGATGATAGGATTCTGTTATTCGCTGTCACTTTCACTTGAACTTGGAAAATCAGATTGAGCTGAAAAAAAAAATCATATTTACTTACAAAATATTGATATTTGAGTGGGTCAGGTAACTTTAAACAGTTCAATGGTTCAATAAAAAACTTTATTGGCTTTCTACTTCTCCAATAATATAAAAAGGTAAGTTTTCCAAAGAAAAGAGAGCAAAAATATCAGATAATAATGAAATGTGTAAAACAGCTAAATATATTTCTTTCAGGTGTACACTTATCCATACGTTTATCGAATTTATACACCCCAAACATTTACAACGGGAAATCATAAAAATAGTTGAACAGATATCTATGAGAAAACTATAATAACACAATAATTATGAAAGTTTTGAAATAAGTAAAAGACTGCTAAACTGCCATAAACATATGATTTAGTAACACTCACTTAGAAGATAATACATCTTAAGTTATACCTTTTCTCTGTGTTTGTTTCAGCTGCTCTTCTTCCACAAATTTATTTTGGGCTTCAATAACTGATTTGCTGTCAGTGCACTGGGAGTATATGTCTAATATTTCCTTATTGAGTTCAATAAACGAATGCCCCCATGTGAATTTATTTAGATAAAATTTAGCAGATTCCCTGAAACCAGTTATATACATCGTTGCAGCTATAGCTTCAACACAACTCAACTGGTATGGCCTACCATAATTTATAGGATTTGCTGCAATTAACAACGGTAGAAGACGCCCGTGAGTTGCTTTCAAGGCTGATATTGGTGTCTCGTCTATTTTTGCCCATGAACAATCCACAACTGCAATTCCTTTGCTTTCAACGATTTCTCGGTCCTGAGGGCTGACACATTTTTCTCCTAGTGGTGAAAGGACGATTCCGGGAAATCGTTGTTTAATCTTGAGACACCTTATTAATTTCATTCTAGCTAACTTTCGACCAGAACATTTTCTGGGGTCACACTGGTTGAAGTCCCACATCGCTACCGGAAAATTGGGAGCTACTTCATCGTCATCTTCTGAAAGAATTAGTATTTCTTAGCATTTGTAAATTTAAATTTCCAAAAGAAACTCAATGTATGACATACCTGTGCTGGAAGAAGTATCATCACTATCATCATCAGTTTCTTCCCCCAATTGGACATGTTCTAATTTGTCCTCTAAAATATTCATATTGATTCTAGAATTCAACCTCTTTTATTAAATATTATATTCAATTACAGGAATATGTAAACCATTGATATAAATATAGCCTAATTTTTATGTTAGAGATTATAGGTTTTATTCTTCTCTTTTTTATGGACTTTGCTTCCTTTCGGCGCAGTAGGCCAGTCTCCTGGCATAACATCCGTTATACAATAGTCGCTTCGTCCGGGAGCGTGTGTGTCTTGCTCACTGACATGTCGATGGCACAGAACACCCTAAATAACTGTAGTTAGGATGTTTGTGTCGATGGTCTTGCTCACTGACATGTCGATGATCTTGCTCAACACAAATTACGTCTTCTTCAAAATTTTTGGAGGCCGATCGATTCCTCAGAAGCTTAGAACATAAAACATCTATCTTCCAAGCACATAAGCTATCATTCACAAGCGCGAAAAAATTGGAGTGTCATTCTCGCGCTGACAGGCCGTCATCTCATGACGAATTTCTCATTGGTTGAAACATACAAATGATGCTAAACAACGCGTCTTAGAAATTCTGATCTCAGTAGAAGAATTATTTATTATTACTCTGATAACATTTTCCGCTGGTAAAAATAGTGCACATTCTATGTATCGCTGTCTAAATAATTCAATGAAAAAAGAAATACACTGTACACTGGTTTCACTTACAAAATGCCGAAATAGTTTACTGTCCTGTTTCACAAATTAGTAACTGTTTGAGGCACAGAACAGTGGTTAGTTCAGTGTCGTCGGTCAGAAATATTTTCATACAAACTACTTGTTTTTCTGAACCTGACATGTCCCTTCGACATCAACGTTTTGTTTCGAGCTCACGAAATGGCAAAAGTCAAAGAAATTATCTTCCTTAGATCGAAGACACCGCACTCGATTGTATTTTTCAGTTGTTTACTCCTCTATGCTGACTCAGAGGAATGAAGTTTCATGTTTATCCTCTTCATCAGATATTAGAATGCAGGGTAGAACCAACCACCGAAATCGGTGTTTACGCAGATGTTGAATTTGACGTTCAAGTGTATGAGTGACGTAACACCAAAATTTGGATATTCTTTTTAATTTATTGGAGTCAATGTTCTCTCATTAATGCCAGTTCATATTATGACCTTACATAGGGAACTTACAGATTTTTTTTTTAATCGTAAATGTGTTCTGCTATGATAACTGTTAACTACTGCAGAATATTAGCAGTGAAATATCAGTAGTCAGTTTATAAACAATATAAAAAGTTAATTGCGTTGAAAAACCAACTCAAACAAGCGTTTGAAGACGCCAACTGTCATGACGTCATAGTGTATCAATCAGGGCGCACCTATATGGCGCAGGTTGTGACTGCCGTTTGTATAATTCTACTGCAGTTGCAGAGAAATGTTTTTGTGTAAAAATGAGGTACTGGGTTTTTAATAGATTGGTATCAAGTTGTATAGTTTCGATATTTGTATTTAACCTTGATTCAGCTTTGTTTGTGTTTTGTTGAATTTATAAATCTAACAAGGACTTTCAAAAGTAATGGAACAAAAACAATATTACAAATATTGCATTGTGCCTTTGTGCACAAATACTTCCATCAAATCACCCAATAAAATATTTATAAGAGTACCTGAAGATGATCGTAATCGTCGCATAAAATGGTTAAATGCATGCAAAAGGAATAAAAATGATATTTCACATAACAACAAAGCTCTTCATGTATGTGAAGACCATTTTAATGTAAGTATTTACATATTATTATCTATCTGATTTGTGAGATAATTGCGTTCAAGCTAGGGATATTGGAAAATTGAATATTATAATTGATATTAATTGTAAAGCTAATCAAAACTATCCAAACTGACACAATTTAACCCAAATTATTCATACAAATTTCATTGAGTTAGGTTCTATTATCAAATAATTATCAGTTCCTTAAAATTAATGCTTTTTGTTTTATTTACAGCTAGAAGAGGATATGGAAAATTACATAAAATTTAAGCTTATGGGTGCACAAAAGAAAATGAAACCTGATGTAATTCCTCATATATTTAATTGTCAATCAGATAGGAAAAGAGCATTTTGTCACCCCCCTAGGCCAGCGGCACTCAAAATAATTGAAAGCAGAATAGTTGATGATGCTGTAGCTTCTACTTCGACCTCAGTTACAGGCAATTTAAATTACATGAAAATAGAGCTACAGGGTACCCAAATAGTTGAGCCTGCAAATAATCTATTTGAATATGGTAAAGTGGCACATATATACATTTTTATATTCTTGAGGTATACACAAAACAAGGCTACTTTAAACATACAAACAACTGGCAGATTATCGTATTATTCTTTTATGAATCCGCTGTCGGTCATGTTTGTTCGAATTTACACACTTAATAGTAAATAATACTGTGTAAAATTAAGTAAATACAGTAAAAACCACAGATTTGGACAAAAATATCACAATAAACAATAGAAACTTCGAACCAGCACACGTCAACAGTTCAACATGAATGGTGTCTGGCGAAATACAGTATGACACCACATCCAATGGCTGGGCGTTTTGGTCACGTGACGAAATTTAAATTTTTATTAAACTTTGATTGTTTCTGTAGAATGAATAGCATTTAAAAAAGAGTTTTTTTGTAATGAAAGCTTTATTACAATATCTTTTGATCCTCAAATGTAATTTTTGTGATAACATTTTTATGTAAAGTAATTCATTGCTTATTTGATTTCACTTTGGTAAAGTGCTCGTAAAATTATAATTGTGCAATAATTCGTCTGTAAGTTAGTTTGGTAAAGCCAGACTCGAAGGTAAAACGGTGTAAACATTCTATTCCTGAATTATTATTGTTTGGAACGAGGAGATTATTACTATTAATCTGTTATTGGGTTGGCGTTGAAACCATGCTGTAAGTAGTTATATACAAAAATTAATTTTGAAAATACCTCTGCTTTTAGCAAAAATTTCTTGGGATATGGCTTCTTTAGAATGTGAAAGGCAAATTAAGAGGGAGGTGCAATCTGTTGATGATGAAGTTCCTTTTCAAAAACATGACGTGAAATCTGAACCAAGTGAAGCTGAAATGTTCAGTGAATGTGAAAGAAATGGCGATGCCTCTGATGCTAACATGTCTACCAACGATTTGGACGAACACGATGAATTGAAAGTGAATATGCATATAAATAAATTTGATCCAGAAGAAATCACAATTGAGGAAACTTTTTTTACTCCTTACTTTGATCTCAAATCTGAAAAGTGTGAGAATGCAATGATGGAAGGTTCGAATTTGAAAGCATGTGAAGAACTATTTAGCCACGAAAATGGATCCAGTAATAGCAGGCGAAACCATAACGAGTCTCACGCCATACTATTTGGAAATATGACTGAGGATTTGAAGCCTTCTGTTGGTTTTACCACTGGTAAGTTACAAAATTGCTATTATTAAGAATAAAACTACTGTAAAGATCAATACAGTTTTCTGTAAGATTTTTGCCATGAAAGGTTTACAAAACTTCTTGACCTGTATCACAATATCTCACTCAAGCAGGAATGATCAACAAGAACCCTTGAGGGGTTAAGTTGCACAGAATTCATTGTTTATTCATTTATTTACGGGCAAGCCCATTTAAAGTATAAATTACAATGTTAAATTATAATTAAAACAAAATCAGATAAGGTACTGAATTACAAATTCCAACTAAGAATAGCTTAAAAGGGGTAAATTCAAAGTTTAAAAAGGGGTTAATTTTATAGTATAAAACGACAAAAAACAATGAGCGAAAATAAAACATATACTGCTATAAACTATACACTAAGACATTAAAGATCTCGAGATGTTAAACATCTCGAGATCAACGTTACTATTGGTTAACCGTAAGATTCTTGGAATGCATCTATTGAATGTGTGGTTCAAACGATAAAATGGTACATAAAATGTTTGTTGCTGTCGAGTGGAGTGGTTTTTGAACATGTAGATAATTTTTTTTCTAGGAGTTTAGCACAACTGAATTTGTCGTTAATAATATTGAAAAGTAGTGTCAGTTCTCTCTGTTTCCTCCTAGTTTCCAGGGAGGATTGCAGTAGCAACTCAAACTTGCAACAAACACCCGATTTATATGCTATGTATCTGAGAAAGTAGTGTTAGACATTTTCGATGTTCTTAATAAAAGTTACACAATGAGGGGACCAGACAGAAGAACAATAATCCAGGTGTGGACGGACCAGTGAACAATAAAGGGTTTTGGTAGCAGTTGGGTCAGAGAATTCTTGGATTAGCCATTCGATAAACCCTAGCATTTTCATGGCTTTATGGATAGCCGTGGGTATATGTAGATTGAAGCTCTAGGTGGGATCAAGAACAACCCCAAGTCTTTTATTTGATTAACAGACTCCAAGACATGACCATTTAAAGTGTAATCAAAAGTGGTAGAAGGTAAATGGGATCGATAAAAGCACATGACATGGCACCTTGTGACATTCAAGTCCATGACATTTAAGGATCACCAGTTTGATTGTCAAGGTTAGACTAAAGCCTATGGGCATCCAAAGAGGTTTTAATAGTCAGAAAAAGTTTTAAATTACCTGCAAATAATAGTGGTTTGGCATGCCGGAAGCAATGAATAATGTCGTTAATAAATATATTGAATAATAAGGGACCGAGGTGTGACCCCTGAGGAACACTAGAGGTTACTTGGAATAACGTGGAGTAGTGTTGTGTTTCGACCAAAAAGATGTAATGCTCTTGCATTCCTCTCGAATTGAAAATAATTTCATTCCATTTTTGGTACTGCTCCAGTGACATTCAATTCTACCTACCCCCATGTGATATAACATCAAAGGTGATAACTGAAGTTTCATTAGGATAATGATCTCGGTTGCAATATACCAAAGTGCAATAAACTTGAATTAACACCTTTTTCTAACAACCTATAGAACGGTCGTGTCAAAGATATGTTCTGCGAGTCTGATACCTCTGCTATAGAAGGTTTCTCTAGACTAGTCTTTCTCAAAGTGGGCGATAACGCCCCCTTGTGGGCGTTGGAGGCCAATAGGGGGGCAGTAAAGGGCACAGAGGAGATTGATGGGCGTTGAAGCAGTTTAGGGAGGCGATCGCTAATTTAAAAATGTTTTTTGCTTTTAACACAAACTTTACCACTTCTTTACGCTTAACGCGCGGTTCCTCGTGTAACGCCATCTAGGGGACTAGACAGTAACTATTTCATGTCCGATAGTTGTCAAATTGTACCATAGATGGCGGTAAGCTTCAATGCGAAGCGAGAAGTTTCTAATCTCCATTCTTGAAAGTAATAGGCCCGCCCGCTGCCTCATATAAAAGCTCGCGCGCCATCCAGCCAGTAATGTCATTCGGCGACATTAGGAAAACAAGTGAATTTAGTTAGCGACTAGCTAGGTGAACTGCTGTACGTGCGGTGGTGAATAATGTAAGTGGTGTCATTAGATGTCGTAGATGGCGACAATTACCGGACTGGGTGTTTGATCCTTTTTTTAAATGTTAACACAGCAGGATCATCCCAGCTGAAAGAAGAACTAGAAAATAAAAATAAAATTCTAAAATGGATACCAAGAATTTTGGCTACAAACGCCAATCCCGCAATTGTACCCTGGATTGCGGTCCATCGTTCAACGATTTTTGATAGACTTTCCATCATCATATTTGTATGAACGTGAATTTAGTGCTGTGGCAACGTTGCTAACTAAAAAGAGAAATCGGTTGCAGATTACCGAACGCGGTGTGAGTCTTCATCCTTCACATTGGATTAGTTTCAAAATTCAAATTGAAATGTTTGTTTTAATAACATGAATAAAAAAATTCCTAATATTACAAAATGGTGTTTTACATTACCCTCATCAGAAAGTCTTATTTTCTCATTTCCTCATATTTTATTAAAATAATGATTGCGATTATAATACTCAAGATGTAGTAAATTTAAAAAAATGGGGGGGGGGCGCTAGAAAATAATTAATTCTCGAAGTGGGCGGTAGATTAAATAAGTTTGAGAACCTCTGCTCTAGACCCTCATCATCCTTCATTGCAAACTGCAATAAGTTTCAATAAGAATGCTAAACAGAATGTCGTGTGTGATACCAATACTTTCTACTATAACTTAAAATAGTGCAGATTTCTTTTCTACTTGTATTAATTTTGAATCCATGAATTGGGGTAAATTGTTGTTAGGTAAGTCACTTGAGAAAACTTTATGATATACTCTGTTCAATATTTGATTTATTCAGCCCCAAAAAGAAAATCTCTAGAAAAGTTTTCCTATGGCTTACCTTGGAAATGAAGACCTTCGCATAAACTACAAAATTTTCTGAACACAGATCCAGGTGCTAATCACTTTCAAAGGAATGTTATTCCAATTGAATGAAAGATACCGAATCAAAAATGCAATCGAATCTCTCATACTTTCGGAAGTAAATTAACTAAAAAACAGGTACTCAAAAAGCATCTAAAAGAATATTCCACCTCCCTGGACAATTAATCTCCCTCAGTGCAACACCATGCTGATTAACCACCATCCGAAAAATCAAACTACTCCACCCATAATCCAAAGAGCATTCTCTGCACTGACATCCAACTACAGGGACTACAATCACATCTACACCGACGCGTCTAAAACACCAGATGGAGTAGGAGCTGCAGTTATTATGGTAAACATACACTTTTCTTATCATCTGCCGTCAACTTGTAGTGTTTACTCGGGAGAATTATTAGCAATAGCGAAAACCTTAATCCACTGTAGAGAACTAGAAGGAAACTCTGTTATTCTTACCGACTCTTTCAGTGCTGTCCAAAGTATCAAGCAACTCTACCCCCGGAATGCCATTCTTCACATCATTAAAAAAGAACTACGGGAATTATCTCAGAGCAATGAATGTATTGAAATAATCTGGATTCCCTCCCATACAGGAATTGTGGGCAAAGATAAAGCAGACGAACTAGCTAGGCAAGCATGATCCAACCCTCTCGCCATCGCCAACCGTACCCAAAAAATTCCTCATCAAGACTACCACTTCGTAACACATGATGAATAAGTGGAAAGAGAGATGGACCTCCTTAGAAAATAATAAGTTGAAAGAGATTAACCGTGGCTTGTCCTCTCAGAATTACTACTCATCGAGAAGATATCAAGTTGTTCTCTCCCGTGTAAGAATCGGACACACCAGATTACCACACCAACACCTGATGAAAATAGAAGATCCTGCAAAATGCATATATTGTGATCAGATAAATAGTGACGTCAGTCAAAGTTATCCGGTGATTTCGATCGAGCATTAGAGCTGAAGAATATTGAAAATCTTATTCATTTTTTGAAAGACATCAATGTTCTTGTCAAAATTTAATTGTTTTAATCTTTCTTTTTTTTTCTCAATTTCATCAGTATTGTAATCGATTGTACTTCCGCTAATAACCCCCGAGGTTGATGCGGTTATGTTGAAGAAGAAAAAAAAAAATCCAAATGTTATCTATATTGGTTCTGGTTAAGCAGTTTTATTCTCTCCAGCCCTCTGAGCAACATTTTTTATTTATTTATTCAACGGTTAGTCCCATTTACAATTTGTTGAAAAATAATTTGTAAAATCTTAATAAAAATAAAGATAATAAATACATAATACAATATAAAATGCAAAACAATAATATACTGATAAAATCACAGTACAATTTTGACATGGAGAAAAAAAAGTTTCTAAAATCTTAAACTGAACTAAAGATAATAAATACATAGCACAATAATGATAATATAAAACAAAATACAACATGGTACTAAACTCACAGTACAATACAATAGTGGTACGATATATAGTATAAAAATAAAACAATATAATGATAAAATAGTATAGAATCAATCAATCAAAATGTTTCAGGAAATAATGAGTCTTCAATGTTAGGAAACTATACCTATTCTCAAAGGTGGTAAGTCGTCTGATGTGAAAAACGACCTGCCGTTTACAAGATAGTATAATAACAGATTAATTAACCTAACAAATATTTTAACATTATTCAAGAGCAATATGAACCTCCCCAAGTAATTGTGACATTTCTGAATTAATAAAAGAATAAATAAATATATCTTGAAAGACCAACTAAACAAGAATATACAGAATCACAAATTGTTCTTCCCTAGTAACTGCAACTTTATTATATGATATACAATATTGAAATATAATTGTATTAAAAAAAAAAGGTATTTGCATAAAATTGATTCGCAAACTAACAGAAAAATAAAATAATACAATTATCTCATACAAAGAGCCAGTCACTAATTTTGCTTTCTATAGGTATACTTTCCAACGAAAACTGTAAGTCAGAAATGGACGGGGATAACCCATGAATATAAATTCACTCCATTCATATGAATTTTTTTACAGATTCTGGAAACATCTTTGTTGAAACAAAGGAAGAAACTATCTTTGAGAAGAAAGAAGAGATAATGGAGTTTGCTGTTGAAAATGATCACGTAAAGCATGGGATTTTAGCAACAACAGTTAATGAACAATACAATTCTATAAACTGTTTGAATTTAAAAACCAGTGAAAAACCTCATAGTGGAGAAAAAACATTTCGGTGTAAAATATGCTCAAAATCATTTGCTAGAACTGATGCTTTAAAATACCATGAAAAATTGCATTTTGGAGAAAAACCGTTTCAGTGTCAAATATGCTCAAAATCGTTCAGTCGAAGTGGTGTTTTGAAACGTCATGAAAAAATTCATACTGGGGAAAAACCCTTTCGGTGTAGAATATGCTCAAAGTCATTCATTGGAAATTGTGATTTAATTAGACACGAAGGAACTCATTCTGGGGAAAAGCTGTTTCAGTGTAAAGTTTGCTCAAAATCGTTCAGTCGATGTGCTTATTTGAAATATCATGAAAATATTCATACTGGAAAAAATCTCTTTCAGTGTGAAATATGCTCAAAATCATTCATTCGAAGAACTCATTTAAAAAATCATGAAAAAATTCATACCGGCAGAAAACCATTTGAGTGTGAAATCTGCTTTAAATCATTCTCTCAAAGTTATAGTTTGAAAATCCATGAAAAACTTCATACTGGCGAAAAATCTTACAAGTGTAAATTCTGCTCAAAATCATTCATTCAAGGCAGTACTTTGAAATACCATGAAAAAACTCATACTGGGGAAAAACCCTTTCAGTGTAGAATATGCTCAAAGTCATTCATTAGAATTAGTAATTTAATCACTCATGAAAGAACTCATTCTGGTGAAAAACCGTTTCAGTGTAAAATATGCTCAAAATCATTCAGTCAAAATGGTCATTTGAAAAGCCATGAAACTATTCATACTGGAACTAAACTCTTTCAGTGTGAAATATGCTCAAAGTCATTCTTTCGAAAAACTGATTTGAAAAATCATGAAAAAAATCATACTGACAGAAAATCATTTGAGTGTGAAATCTGCTTTAAGTCATTCTTTAAAAGTCGTTATTTGAAACTCCATGAAAAAGTTCATACTGGCGAAAAATCTTACAAGTGTAAATTCTGCTCAAAATCATTCATTCAAGGCAGTTCTTTGAAATACCATGAAAAAACTCATACTCAAGAGAAACAATTTCAGTGTAGAACTTGCTCAAAGTCATTTATTTGCCAAAGTAGTTTGATGAGCCATGAAAAAATTCACACTGGCAAAAAACCCTTTCAGTGTAAAACTTGCTCAAAATCATTTATTCATCAAAGTGGTTTGATATACCACGAAAAAATTCACACTGGCGAAAAACCATTTCAGTGTAAAGTATGTTCAATGTCATTCATTCGAAATAGTGAATTAATTAAACATGAAAGAACTCATTCTGGGGAAAAGTCGTTTCACTGTAAATTTTGCTCAAAATCGTTCATTCGAAGTGATTATTTGAAAAAACATGAAAACATCCATTCAAGGAAGCACTTCGAAATATGAAAAAACACTACAGGTGAAAAGAAAGTCCTTTCAGTGTAAAATTTATTCGAAATCATTCAAGTTGGTGATTTGAAATGCCACAAAAAATTTATACTGGAGAGCAGCCATTTCACTGTAAAACTTGCTCAAAATCATTTATTCAACATAGTGATTTGATGTACCATGAAAAAATACACTGGGGAAAAACCATTCCAGTGTAAAATATGCTCAAAGGCATTCATTCGAAATAGCGAATTAATTAAACATGAAAAAACTCATACAGATGAAAAACCATTTAAGTGTAAAATCTGCTTAAAATCATTTAGTCAAAATTGTCAATTGAAGTCTCATGACAAAGATCATGATTCTTTGGAATTATAATTGTCAACATTATAATATTCTTACTTCAGAACTGTGTGGGTTAATATGGTCGTGGATGGGTTTTTCTATTAACTAGCTGTTGTCATTCTACGACTGATAAAAGTGTAAACTGGTTTAATGTTTAGACTTGATTTCTATCTATAATTTACATACATTTTAACAAAATTACTCTACGTAACAAATCAAATTAAGTCTCAAGACTGTATTGACGTTATCTAAAGTGTTGTAATGCCAAAACGTGGATATCTCGATCCTTTTTTAGCTGTTGGGGTAAGTGTTCTATCATAAATGTCAGTCCATATTATGATGTCACTGTTATAAAATGTCATGTCTACCACTCTGTGCTATTACAAATATGTTGTACGCTGTACCAGTGCTGCCACTGGTAACATAATTATCGAATTGAAACATATTTTTCCTCAAAATTAAGTCAAACGGTGATGTGTAACATAATCGATAATTGTAACATAATTTTTTAGTCTTGGAATGTTTCAACTTTGCAGGTTTCATTCTTACTGTACCAATAAAAAAAATTATTTTTTTTTATTTCATTCAATCATTATCGTTACTTCTTGGCAACCACCATTTATGTAAATATTACCGTAGTTGGAAGACCGGCAAAGGTATCTGTCTCTTGTTTCACTGAGCGGGGAATTCACTTAACTACACAGGGTTCGGGCCAGTTCGGGGTTTTCCACGAAATCTTTCCCGTGTTATTCGCTGATTTCTCGATTTTTATGGCGATTTGCCGATGGCCGATGTTTGTTTTGCATTCTGCTGTGGTTTATTTGTTCTTAGTGCGTTCAATAGTTCAATGACAAATATTCTATTGTGTTTCACCTATCGAAAGTGATTATTTTAAGCAATATGGCAATTACCAGTAAATGCAAATTGATACACGAACGCGATGATAAAGTCTCTGATTCTGACTCGGAAAAAGATGCCAAGAAGTTAAAGTGAATAGGCGAGAGAATAAGCCTCAAAAAAATAGAGGTGAATGGGAAAGTATTCTTGATTTCAAAGGATGATTAAAATCTGTTGTAGGTAAGATCTGTTTTACTGTTGAAATATTTGTGTAGTATTATACGTATTTTTAAGGAAAATCTTCTCGTGTAAAATGTATTGTTTGTGATACAGAATTTCAAGCAGATATAACTGTTTTGAAAAATCATAGCAAGGGAGTGAAACATTTAAAAAACTTAAAGAAAATTGCAGAAAGTCAACCAAAAATTACTGCCATGATCTCTAAAAGAGACAAAATTAAGGATCAAGTATGAAGAGCAGAAATAAAAATTGCTGCGCTATTAGCGGAACACAACTTGCCGATGAGATTTTGTGATCTTTTGATTCTTTTATTAAAAGACGCGTTTTCGGATTCAAAAATTGCGCAAGGAATGCGGATGGGAATAACGAAGGTGACAGGAGTTATAAAACATGTTTTGGCAAATTCACATTTTGTTGAACTAGTTGAAGAACTGAAAGTGAAAAAATTCAGCATTTTGATAGATGAATCCACAAACAAAGGTTGTAGTAAAAAATATTTGTGTGTGTGTGTACGTTACTTTGGCAACAAAATGAAATAACCACGAAATTTTTTAATTTGGTTCAATGTTTTTCAAATCAAAATCCAGCTGAAGCAGACGCAGGTGCAACAGCAGAAGTAATTTATAACAAAATTCAAAGTTTATTTGAGTCTGCAAAAATACCTTTCGGAAATATAATAGGTTTTGGCTCTGATGGTTGTAACACTATGTTTGGTTCCAAAAATTCCATAGTAGTAGGTTGAAAGTATTTCCCTGGTATTATAGTATTAAAATACATCTATGTGCTACAATTTTAATGTTACAGAAGATATGATAAGTTCAATAATCTCGTATCGTATAAACACTATAAAGATGAAGATGTTGATATTCATTTTGATACCAAATAATTTCGGACTAGATTTAGGTTTTTGTGTTATTTTTTTATTATCTGTTTTTTATTTGATTATATATGAATAGAAATGAGTGCGGCGTTTTTTTCCAAAATAACAAAACAAAGAAAATTGTATCATAATTTTGAAGAGAAATCGATAATTTTGGCAGCTCTGCACGATAATTTCTTCATCAGCTGGTGGCAACACTGGTGCTATTACAAGTATGTAATGTAGTACCACAGATCACCCTAACTGTGTTCTGTGGTAGTCAGTGCTGCCGTTAAGGTACTATTGTACCGCATTCAGTACTATTCCATGATTTTGATACGAAGATACTACCCGGATCAATATGTAGACTATTCGGTACTATTTACTATAATCCCAATTTTTTACATTTTCACGTTGACTCCCATCGAGTACAGTAAAAAATAACAACAATATGTGTGGCAACAATGCAATTCCGTGTTTCAAGTTCCAGATCAGCAAATACCGTACTTGTGTCTTTTCCAGCAAATTTTTTACTCCATATATTTTCCGAATTTAAATGGATAACATTATTACACGTTTGGCATTACTGGCATTTGGTCTGAAATGACTTATGCGCATGTGCCATGCTTAGTCTTGCGCAGTACATTTTGGGTACTATTTTCCTGTAAATTTCGATACTTTTTGAATTGACGTTGCGGCAGCACTGGTGGTAGTACGCTGTAAGTAGGCATCAGAAGTATTTCACGCCCTGGCATAATAGGATTATCATTATCATTGGTCAGAACGAAATTATTGGTGTTTAAACTGTACCATACAAAAACTAATTTTGAAAATACATCTGCTTTGACCAAACCTCTCAGGATATGGCTTCTTTTGAATGTGGAAGGCAAATCATTAGGGAGGTCCAATTTGTTGGTTATGAAGTTCCTTTTCAAAAACATGATGTGAAATCTGAACCAAGAGACGCTGAAATGTTCAGTGAATGTGAAAGAAATGACGATGTCTCTGACAGTAACATGCCCACCAATGATTTGGACGAAAACGATAAATTGAAAATAAATATGCCTATAGATAAATTTAATCCAGAAGAAATCAAAATTGAAGAAACTTACTTTAGTCCTTATTTCGATCCCAAATCTGAAAAGTATGAGAATGCAATAGTGGAAGGTTCAAATTTTAAAGAATGTGAAGGACAATTATTTAGCCATGATAATTGGCCCAGTAATAGCTGGCAAAGTTATAATGAGTCTCATGCCATTCTACTTGAAAATGTGACTGAGGATTTGAAACCTGTTGGTTTCACCATAGGTAAGTTGCAAAATTGCTTATATTAAGAATAAAATTACAGTAAAGCCCAGTGCAGTTTTCTGTAAGATTTTTGCCGTGAAAGGTATAATAATAATAAATTGATAGATGTAACCGTTACTACCTAGTAAGAAATAATCATGAAAAATGAGAAATGAAACTTTCTGTTTTTTATCACTTTTACTTGTAACTAACATTACTGCAGTTTCGTTCTATAAGGACATTTTCAAACTTATACATTAAATTAATGATTACATTATGATTACATTAGCCCTCATATAACACCACTTTAGGTACTAACAGAGGTACTTAACTTAATTGAGTATCTTAATTTTGTTCGCCTGTGACAATGTGGATACGCTAATTTCAAAACCAGTGGGTAAACTAGATTGATTTAATCATTTAACAGGTTGCACCTGCAATGCTTATGCTTCTGAATTTCCAAATAATTGAGTTTGCATACCAAGGGATGGTTTGAAAACGTCGAATCATTTTTATCTTGTCTGAAGGTCCTTTCATGTTCGGCATACCATTTTGAGAAATTTCGACCACACAAACACTATTACACTCCAGACACTTGAGCTTATGAACTCCAGATTTCTACAACTTGTTCACTTTATCTTTGGCAATCATCTTCTTTGAGAACCATAATACAAAAAACAGAAATCCAAATCAGCCTGTTTCTTTTTCAGAAGGTAATCAGACACAAAATATCCCAAATATTTGAAAACTATACCTTTTCTCCAAAGTGGTAAGTCATCTGATGTAAAAGAACGACCTGCCCGTTTACAAGATAGTATAATAACAGATTAATTTTCCTAACAAATATTTCAACACTATTATTCAAGAGCAATATGAACCTCCAGGTAATTGACATTTCTGAATTAACAAAAGCATTCTTCATATCGAAGGAATGAGTTAGGTTAGATTAATTGTTATTAACTCTCATTATTTTAAACTTATACATTCATTTTATGTTTTTACAAATGATGATTAGATGACGCTACTAGAATCAGCAACAATTCAGAAATTGACAGGTGTTTGTGAAGTGAATAACAAATAAATATCTCTTGAAAGACTAACTAGACAAGAATGTACAGATTTACAAAGTATTCTTCACTAGTAACTGCAACTTCATTATATGATATACAATATTAAAATATGATTGTATAAAAATATATTACTTATTAACGTGAAATTTGCATAAAATTGGTTCGCAAATTAACAGAAAAATAATGTAATACAATTGTCTCATGCCAGTCACTCATTTTGCTTTCTATAGGCTTTTCAATGAAAACTGTAAGTCAGAAATGGACGTGAATAATCCATGAATATAAATTTACTCCATTCATATGATTTTTTTACAGATTCTGGAAACATCTTTGTTGAAACGAAGGAAGAAACTATCTTTGAGGAGAAGGAAGAGATTTTCAATGGAAATATTCCATCAGGTCCAGATGTTATGGAGTTTGCTGTTGAAAATGATCACGTAAAGCATAGGATTTTACCAGCAACATTTAATGAACAATACAATTCTACAAACTGTTTGAATTTAAAAACCAGTGAAAAACCTCATAGTGGAGAAAAAACATTTCGGTGTAAAATATGCTCAAAATCGTTCAATCGAAGTGATGTTTTGAAACGCCATGAAAAAATTCATACTGGGGAAAAACCCTTTCAGTGTAGAATATGCTCAAAGTCATTCATTAGAAATAGTAATTTAATCATTCATGAAAGAACTCATTCTGGTGAAAAACCGTTTCATTGTAAAATATGCTCAAAATCGTTCACTCAAAGTTTTCATTTGAAAAGCCATGAAAATATTCATACTGGGGAAAAACCCTTTCGGTGTGAAATATGCTCAAAATCATTCGCTCTAAAAACTTATTTGAAACGCCATGAAAAAATTCATACAGGGGAAAAACCCTTTCAGTGTAGAATATGCTCAAAGTCATTCATTGGAAAAAGTAATTTAATCATTCATGAAAGAACTCATTCTGGTAAAAAACAGTTTCAGTGTAGAATATGCTCAAAGTCATTCATTGGAAATTCTCATTTAATTAGACACGAACGAAGTCATTCTGGGGAAAAGCTGTTTCAGTGTAAATTTTGCTCAAAATCTTTCAGTCGATATGCTTATTTGAAAGCCCATGAAAATATTCATACTGGAAAAAATCTCTTTCGGTGTGAAATATGCTCAAAGTCATTCTCTCAAAGTCGTAATTTGAAAATCCATGAAAAACTTCATACTGGCGAAAAATCTTACAAGTGTAAAGTCTGCTCGAAATCATTCATTCAAGGCAGTTCTTTGAAATCCCATGAAAAAACTCATACTGGGGAAAAACCCTTTCAGTGTAGAACATGCTCAAAGTCATTTATTCTCCAAAGTAATTTGATGAGGCATGAAACAATTCACACTGGTGAAAAACCATTCCGATGTAAAACTTGCTCAAAATCATTTAATGATAAATGTGGTTTGATATACCACGAAAAAAATCACACTTGCGAAAAACCATTCCAGTGTGAAGTATGTTCAATGTCATTCATGCGAAATAGTGCATTAATTATACATGAAAGAACTCATTCTGGGGAAAAACCTTTCAAGTGTAAAGTCTGCTCAAAATCATTCATTCAACGCAGTTCTTTGAAATACCATGAAAAAACTCATACTGGCGAGAAACCATTTCAATGTGAAATTTGCTTGAAATCATTCATTCAAAGAATCGATTTGAAATACCACGAAAAAATTCACACTGGAGAAAAATCATTTCACTGTAAAATATGCTCAAAGTCATTCATTCGAAATAGCGAATTAATTAAACATGAAAGAACTCATTCTGGGGAAAAACTTTTCAAGTGTAAAGTCTGCTCAAAATCATTCGTTCAACGCAGTACTTTGAAATGCCACGAAAAAATTCATACTGGAGAGAAGCCATTTCAGTGTAAAACTTGCTCAAAATCATTTATTCAACGTAGTTCTTTCAAATATCATGAAAAAATACACACTGGAGAAAAACCATTCCAGTGTAAAATATGCCCAAAGTCATTCACTCGAAAGAGCGTATTAATTAGACATGAAAGAACTCATACAGGTCAAAAACCATTTCAGTGTAAAATCTGCCTAAAATCATTCAGTCAAAATTGTCAATTGAAGTCTCATGAGAAAGGTCATGATTCTTTGAAATTATAATTGTCAACATTGTAATATTCTTACTTCAGAACTGGGTGGGTTAATATGGTCGTGGATGGGTTTTTCTATTAACTAGCTGTTGTCATTCTACGGCGGATAAAAGTGTAAACTGGTTTAATGTTAGACATGATTTCAATCTATAATTTACATACATTTTAACAAAATTACTTTATGTAATAAATCAAATTAAGCCTCAAGACTGTATTGACGTTGTGTACACCAGCGACGAGACCTGGGGAGTAGGCAGATTGAGGCCCCTGTGTCAAGTCAGAAAAACCTTGCAGCGTGTCACCATCTTGAGGATTAGGCAGATTGAGACATCAGTAAAAATGGCTTCCATTTCGAAACGTTGAACTACCAAAAATATAAAACCTTTCGAAACTGACTAGGAGCTAGTACTCCGGAATCGGTCTATATACATATATATATTTAATTCAGATTTAACAAATATTTTCATTGTTGAAGCATTATGATATATGTTTCAAAAATGAATCAAAATCCTAAAATTTCAACGACGAAAGTATGTATGTAACACGGAAAACATGCAGATGTCAAATCTGACGTTTAAGAGTGAAGTGTTGTAATGCCAAAACGTGGATATCTCCATCCTTTTCTAGTTGTTGGGGTAAGTGTTCTCTCATCAATGTCGGCCATATTATGATGTCACTGTTATAAAATGTCTAATTCACGTCTAATTACAAGTACGCGTACGCTTTACGCATCAAAAGTAGTTCATCCACTGACATAAAAGGATTATCATTATCATTGTTCAGAACGAAATTATTGTTTATTGGTGTTGAAACTCTACCACACAAATATAAATTTTGAAAATACACCTGCTTTGACCAAACCTCTTAGAATATGGCTTCTTTTGAATGTGGAAGGCAAATCAAGGGGGAGATCCAATCTGTTGATGATGAAGTTTCTTTTCAAAAACCTGACATGAAATCTGAACCAAGAGATGCTGAAATGTTCAGTGAATGTGAAAGAAATGACGATATCTCCGATACTAACATGCCCACCAACGATTTGGACGAAAACGATGAATTGAAAATAAATATGCCTATAGATAAATTTGATCCAGAAGAAATCAAAATTGAAGAAACTTTTTTTATTCCTTATTTGGATTCCAAATCTGAAAAGTATGAGAATGCAATAATGGAAGGTTCGAATTTGAAAGAATGTGAAGGACAATTATTTAGCCATGATAATTGGTCCAGTAATAGCTGGCAAAGTCATAATGAGTCTCATGCCATACTACTTGAAAATGTGACTGAGGATTTGAAACCTGTTGGTTTTACCACAGGTAAGTTACAAAATTGCTAATATTAAAAAAAAATTGCAGTTTTCTGTAAGATTTTTGCCTTAAAAGGTATAATAATAATAAATTGATAGATGTAACCTTTACTACCTGGTAAGAAATAATAATGAGAAATGAAACTTTCTGTTTTTTATCACTTTTACTTGTAACTAATGTTACTGCAGTTTCGTCCTATAAGGACATTTTCAAACTTATACATTAAATTAAAAATGATCGATTACATTAGCCCTTATCTAACACCACTTTAGGTACTAACAGAGGTACTTAACTTAATTGAGTATCTTAATTTTGTTCGCCTGTGACAATGTGGATACGCTAATTTCAAAACCAGTGGGTAAACTAGATTGATTTAATCATTTAACAGGTTGCACCTGCAATGCTTATGCTTTTGAATTTCCGAATAATTGAGTTTGCAACCCTTCCTTGCATGGTGCAAAATTTCCGTATTAGATTTGGGAACTTGTGGTTGCATGCCAAGGAATGGTTTGAAAAGGTCGATTCATTTTTATCTTGTCTGAAGGACCTTTCATGTTCGGCATACCGTTTTGTGAAATTTTGACCACACAAACAATATTACATTCCGGACACTTGAGCTTGTGAACTCCAGATTTCTCCAACTTTTCCACTTTATCTTTGGTAATCATCTTCTTAGAGAACCATAATACATAAACAGAAATCCAAATCAGCCTGTTACTTTTTTAGAAGGAAATCAGACACAAAATATCCCAAATATTTAGAAACTATACCTTTTCTCAAAGGTGGTAAGTCATCTGATGTAAAAAACGACCTAATGATAACAGATTAATTAACCTAACAAATATTTTAATAGTATTATTCAAGAGCAATATGAACCCCTAACCCTAAGTAATTGAAATTTCTGAATTAATAAAAGAATTCTTCATATTGAATGAATGAGTTTGGAGTTAGGTTAGATTAATTGTTATTGACTCTCATTATTTTAAACTCATGCACGCATTTTATGTTTTTACAAATGATGATTAGATGACGCGACTAGAATCAGCAACAGTTCAGAAATTGACAGGTGTTTGTGAAGTGAATAAATAAATATCTCTCGAAAGACTAACTAGACAAGAATGTACAGATTTACAAATTGTTCTTCACTAGTAACTGCAACTTTATTATATGATATACAATATTAAAATATAATTGTATGAAAAAAAATACTTATCAAGGTTAGATTTGCATAAAATTGGTTCACAAATTAACAGAAAAATAATATCATACAATTATCTCATATAAACGTGCCAGTCATTTATTATGCTTTCTATATGCTTTTCAATGAAAACTGTAAGTCAGAAATAAACATGAAAAACCTATGAATATAAATTTACTCCATTCATATGAATTTTTTTACAGATTCTGGAAACATCTTTGTTGAAACAAAGAAAGAAACTATCTTTGAGAAGAAGGAAGAGATTTTCAATGGAAATATTCCATCAGGTTCAGATGGAATGAAGTTTGCTGTTGAAAATGATCACGTAAAGCATGGGATTTTACCAACAACAGTTAATGAACAATACAATTCTACAAACTGTTTGAATTTAAAAACCAGTGAAAAACCTCATAGTGGAGAAAAAACATTTCGTTGTCAAATATGTTCAAAATCGTTCAGTCGAAGTGGTCATTAATGAATCAAAATCCTAAAATTTCAACGACGAAAGTATGCAACACGGAAAACATGCAGATGTCAAATCTGACGTTCAAGAGTGAAGTGTTGTAATGCTAAAACGTGGATATCTTCATCCTTTTTTAGTTGTTGGGTTAGTGTTCTCTTATCAATGTCAGTCCATATTATGATGTCACTGTTATAAAAATGTCTAATTATAGATTAATTACAAGTGCACTGAGTACCCTGTTTGCATAAATTCAAAAGTAGTTCATACACTGACATAATAAGATTATCATTGTTCAGAACAAACTTATTGTTCTTTATTGGCGTTGAAACTGTACCATACAAAAATACATTTTGAAAATACATCTGCTTTGACCAAACCTTTCAGGACATGGCTTCTTATGAATATGGAAGGCAAATCAAGGGGGAGATCCAATCTGTTGGTGATGAAGTTCCTTTTCAAAAACATGACGTGAAATCTGAACCAAGAGACGCTGAAATATTCAGTGAATTTGAAGGAAATGGCGATGCCTCTGATACTAACATGCCCACCAATGATTTGGACGAAAATGATGAATTGAAAGTAAATATGCCTATAGATAAATTTGATCCAGAAGAAATCAAAATTGAAGAAACTTGTTTTATTCCTTATTTCGATCTCAAATCTGAAAAGTATGAGAATGCAATAATGGAAGGTTCAAATTTGAAAGAATGTGAAGGACAATTATATAGCCATGATGATTGGTCCAGTAATAGCTGGCAAAGTCATCATAAGTCTCATGCCATACTACTTGAAAATGTGACTGAGGATTTGAAACCTGTTGGTTTTACCACAGGTAAGTTACAAAATTGCTAATATTAAGAATAAAATTGCAGTAAAGTCCAATACAGTTTTCTGTAAGATTTTTGCCATAAAAGGTATAATAATAAATTGATAGATGTAACCGTTACTACCTGGTAAGAAATAATCATGAAAAATGAGAAATCAAACTTTTTGTTTTTTATATCGTTTACTTGTAACCAACGTTACTGCAGTTTTGTCCTATAAGGACATTTTCAAAGGTATACATTAAATTAAAAATGATTGATTAAATTAGCCCTTATATAACACCAGTATAGGTACTAACAGAGGTATTTAACTTAATTGAGTATCTGAATTTTGTTTACCTGTGACAATGTGGATACACTAATTTCAAAACTAGTGGGTAAACTAGATTGATTTAATCATTTAACAGGTTGCACCTGCATTGCTTATGCTTCTGAATTTCCAAATAATTGAGTTTGCAACCCTTCTTTGCATAGTGCAAAATTTTCGTATTAGATTTGGGAACTTGTGGTTGCATGCCAAGGGATGGTTTGAAAACGTCGAATCATTTTTATCTTGTCTGAAGGACCTTTCATGTTCGGCATACCATTTTGAGAAATTTCGACCACACAAACACTATTACACTCCAGACACTTGAGCTTATGAACTCCAGATTTCTACAACTTGTCCACTTTATCTTTGGCAATCATCTTTGAGAACCATAATACAAAAAACAGAAATCCAAATCAGCCTGTTACTTTTTTAGAAAGAAATCAGACACAAAATATCCCAAATATTTAGAAACTATACCTTTTCTCAAAGGTGGTAAGTCATCTGATGTAAAAGAACAATCTACTCGTTTAAAAGATAGTATAATAACATATTAATCAACCTAACAAATATTTAAACATTATTATTCAAGAGCCATATGAACCCCTAAGTCCTAAGTAATTGAAATTTCTGAATTAATAAAAGAATTCTTCATATTGAATGAATGAGTTTGGAGTTAGGTTAGATTAATTGTTATTAACTCTCATTATTTTAAAGTTATGCATGTATTTTGTTTTTACAAATGATGATTAGATGACGCGACTAGAATCAGCAACTGTTCAGAAATTGACAGGTGTTTGTGAAGTGAATAAATAAATATCTCTTGAAAGACGAACTAGACAAGAATGTACAGATTTACAAATTGTTCTTCACTAGTAACTGCAACTTTATTATATGATATACAATATTAGGTGAGATTTGCATAAAATTGGTTCGCAAATTAACAGAAAAATAATATCATACAATTATCTCATATAATCGAGCCAGTCACTTATTTTCCTTTCTATATGCTTTTCAATGAAAACTGTAAATCAGAAACGGACGTGAATAACCCATGAATATAAATTTACTCTATTCATATGAATTTTTTTTACAGATCCTGGAAACATCTTTGTTGAAACAAAGGAAGAAACTATATTTGAGGAGAAGGAAGAGATTTTCAATGGAAATATTCCATCAGGTTCAGATGGAAAGGAGTTTGCTGTTGAAAATGATCACGTAAAGCATGGGATTTCACCAACAACAGTTAATGAACAAAACAATTCTACAAACTGTTTGAATTTAAAAATCAGTGAAAAACCTCATAGTGGAGAAAAAATATTTCGGTGTAAAATATGCTCAAAATCATTTGCTAAAGCTAATGCTTTAAAATACCATGAAAAATTGCATTCTGAAGAAAAACCGTTTCAGTGTCAAATATGTTCAAAATCGTTCGTTCGAAGTGATTATTTGAAAAACCATGAAAAAATTCATACTGGCGAAAAATCTTACAAGTGTAAAGTCTGCTCGAAATCATTCTTTCAAGGCAGTTCTTTGAAATATCATGAAAAAACTCATACTGGGGAAAAACCCTTTCAGTGTAGAATATGCTCAAAGTCATTCATTAGAATTAGTAATTTAATCACTCATGAAAGAACTCATTCTGGTGAAAAACCGTTTCAGTGTAAAATATGCTCAAAATCATTCAGTCAAAATGGTCATTTGAAAAGCCATGAAAATATTCATACTGGGGAAAAACTCTTTCGGTGTGAAATATGCTCAAAGTCATTCCTTCAAAGTCGTAGTTTGAAAATCCATGAAAAAATTCATACTGGCGAAAAATCTTACAAGTGTAAAGTCTGCTCGAAATCATTCATTCAAGGCAGTTCTTTGAAATATCATGAAAAAACTCATACTGGGGAAAAACCCTTTCAGTGTAGAATATGCTCAAAGTCATTCATTGGAAATTGTGATTTAATTAGACACGAAGGAACTCATTCTGGGGAAAAGCTGTTTCAGTGTAAATTTTGCTCAAAATCTTTCAGTCGATATGTTTATTTGAAAGCCCATGAAAATATTCATACTGGAAAAAATCTCTTTCGGTGTGAAATATGCTCAAAGTCATTCGTTCAAAGTCATAATTTGAAAATCCATGAAAAAATTCATACTGGCGAAAAATCTTACAAGTGTAAAGTCTGCTCGAAATCATTCATTCAAGGCAGTTCTTTGAAATACCATGAAAAAACTCATACTGGGGAAAAACCCTTTCAGTGTAGAATATGCTCAAAGTCATTCATTGGAAAAAGTAATTTAATCATTCATGAAAGAACTCATTCTGGTAAAAAACAGTTTCAGTGTAGAATATGCTCAAAGTCATTCATTGGAAATTCTCATTTAATTAGACACGAACGAAGTCATTCTGGGGAAAAGCTGTTTCAGTGTAAATTTTGCTCAAAATCTTTCAGTCGATATGCTTATTTGAAAGCCCATGAAAATATTCATACTGGAAAAAATCTCTTTCGGTGTGAAATATGCTCAAAGTCATTCTTTCAAAGTCGTAATTTGAAAATCCATGAAAAACTTCATACTGGCGAAAAATCTTACAAGTGTAAAGTCTGCTCGAAATCATTCATTCAAGGCAGTTCTTTGAAATCCCATGAAAAAACTCATACTGGGGAAAAACCCTTTCAGTGTAGAACATGCTCAAAGTCATTTATTCTCCAAAGTTATTTGATGAGTCATGAAAAAATTCACACTGGTGAAAAACCATTTCAGTGTAAAACTTGCTCAAAATCATTTAATCATAAAAGTGGTTTAATATTCCACGAAAAAATTCATACTGGCGAAAAACCATTTCAGTGTGAAGTATGTTCAATGTCATTCATTCGAAATAGTTCATTATTTATGCATAAAAAAACTCATTCTGGGGAAAAACCTTTCAAGTGTAAAGTCTGCTCAAAATCATTCATTCAACGCAGTACTTTGAAATACCACGAAAAAATTCATACTGGAGAGAAGCCATTTCAGTGTAAAACTTGCTCAAAATCATTTACTCAACATAGTTCTTTCAAATACCATGAAAAAATACATACTGGAGAAAAACCATTCCAGTGTAAAATATGCCCAAAGTCATTCACTCGAAATAGCGTATTAATTAGACATGAAAGAAGTCATACAGGTGAAAAACCATTCCAGTGTAAAATATGCCCGAAGTCATTCACTCGAAATAGCATATTAATTATACATGAAAGAACTCATACAGGTCAAAAACCATCTGACTAAAATCATTCAGTCAAAATTGTCAATTAAAGTCTCATGAGAAAGGTCATGATTCTTTGAAATTATAATTGTCAACATTGTAATATTGTTACTTCAGAACTGGTTGGGTTAATATAGTCGTGGATGGGTTTTTCTATTAACCAGCTGTTGTCATTTTACGACTGATAAAAGTATAAACTGGTTTAATGTTCACACTTGAGTTCAATCTATAATTTACATACATTTTAACAAAATTACTCTACCTAACAAATCAAATTAAGTCTCAAGACTGTATTGACGTTGTGTACACCAGTAACGAGACCTGAGGATTAGGCAGATTGAGAATCAGTAAAAATGGCTTCAAAGCCGAAATGTTGAACTACCAAAAATACAAAAATTTCCGGTACTGACGAGGAGCTAGTACTCCGAAATCGGTCTATCTATTTATATAAATATGAATAAATAAGTACTATTTTGATCATTCCCACATTGATTCCAATTTACGAGCCACTGGTAGACAGCTGTTTCAGCCTATTGGGCATCATCAGTACCGGGCAGGCAGTCCTCGATTTTTACTACTGTCAGATAGAAGACAATGAAATATTTTTCCTTTCGTAATATTGGAAAATTATCTTCCAAAATGATTATCAAAGTTTTTCACAATGAAAATAGTATCAAAATTTCTACAAGTAATATTAAAGTCATGGGAAATAATGAAACACAGTTGAAAGATTCTACACCCGACTTGAAAAAATCAAACGTTTTTTATAATATACCTTGTAATAAATGTGAATTAAATTATATTATAACAACTTCCACAACATTATCAAGCAGAATAACTTCACACAAAAGTCCTATAAGATTAAACGAAAATTCATGTGCACTAGCTCAACATTCAATTGAAACAGGAGACAAAATTAAATTTGATCAAGCAACAATTTTATTTTCAGAAAAAATGTGTCCAAAAAACTTTTTCACGAAATGGTCTTTATTAACAAAAATCCTAATAATAACAAAAAATAAGACATTGAAAATCTGAGTGTAATTTATAGTTATTTACTACACATAGATAAATCTCAGTAATATTCTCAATTTGAAATAATCACACTTGTATAAAATTCATTCAATGAGCATTTATGAAACTGAAATTTTTTATATCAGATATCTGAAAGTGACATTAATACCAATGCGTCAATTTTTTTAAATGTTTTCATCAATATTCAATTTTGAATTGTGAAACTCAGATAACTTGTGAGTATTGTCCATTTTTTTTCTTTAGTTTTTTCTGTTGTGTTTCATTTTAGCGTCCTGACGAAGTCTCTATTCAGAGACTTGTGGCGATTTGTGAAATATAGTAAGTTTGTTTTTTTTAAACGTGTTTGACTGAAAGTCCCGTTAGTTCCTACCTTCCATGTACTACCTTCAGCCGTTATAAATCAGATAATTCATGCCAGTTATTACAACGAAATATTCCTCAATTTATTGTTATTAGAATCTCATATTATATAATCATCTCAATGAAAGATCATACAAAAACATAAATACATAATATATAATGAATATGATCAACACTTGACGCCTGACCCTCGTAGACACACTTTCGAGTAAACATATTGTTCGCGCTGCTGACTGACCCTCGTATAACGTATTTCTGCTGGTAGCCGCATGATTTACGACCGCTCGCAAAAAAAGCGGCATATTTTACCCACATCAAAGGAGTTACCAGACTTATTAGAATATCTATGGACGATGACGAAAGTATGTAACACGGAAAACATGCAGATGTCAAATCTGACATTCAAAAGTAAAGTGTTGTAATGCCAAAACGTGGATATCTCCATCTTTTTTTAGTTGTTGGGGTAAGTGTTCTCTCATCAATGTCGGCCATATTATGATGTCACTGTTATAAAATGTCTAATTCACGTCTAATTACAGATGTCTAATTACAAGTACGCTTTACGCATCAAAAGTAGTTCATCCATTGACGAAATAGGATTATCATTATCATTGTTCAAAACGAAATTATTGTTGTTTATTGGTGTTGAAACTGTACCATTTAAAAATAGATTTTGAAAATACATCTGCTTTTACCAAACCTCTCAGGATATGGCTTCTTTTGAATGTGGAAGGCAAATCAAGGGGGAGATCCAATCTGTTGATGATGAAATTCTTTTTCAAAAATATGACATGAAATCTGAACCAAGAGATGCTGAAATGTTCAGTGAATGTGAAAGAAATGGCGATGCCTCTGATACTAACATGCCCACCAACGATTTGGAGGAAAACGATGAATTGAAAGTAAATATGCCTATAGATAAATTTGATCCAAAAGAAATCAAAATTGAAGAAACTTGTTTTATTCCTTATGTGGATCCCAAATCTGAAAAGTATGAGAATGCAATAATGGAAGGTTCAAATTTGAAAGAATATGAAGGACAATTATTTAGCCATGATAATTGGTCCAGTAATAGCTGGCAAAGTCATAATGAGTCTCATGCCATACTACTTGAAAATGTGGCTGATGATTTGAAACCTGTTGGTTTTACCACAGGTAAGTTACAAAATTGCTAATATTAAGAATAAAACTACAGTAAAGTCCAATACAGTTTCATGTAAGATGTTTGCCATAAAAGGTATAGTAATATAATATAATCGGATTTTTAATGGGTTCCAATTCATTACAACTAATATTGTATCAATGGGAGTCGATTTTTTGCATACAAGAATGATTCACATTACTTTATTCTGCATTTTTTGTAATGCTGCGATACTGTTAGAATCTAATACCAGCAGTAAACTTGGACAATAGCTCAATACAGTTTTCTGTAAGATTTTTGCCATAAAAGGTATTATAATAATAATAATAAATTGATGGATGTAACCGTTACTACCTGGTAAGAATCATCATGAGAAATGAAACTTTCTATGTTTTTCATCACTTTTATTTGTAACTAACGTTACTGCAGTTTCATCCTATAAGTACATTTTCAAACTTATATATTAAATTAAAAATGATTGACTACATTAGCCCTTATGTAACACCACTATAGGTACTAACAGAGGTACTTAACTCAATTGAGTATCTGAATTTTGTTTACCTGTGACAATGTAGATACGCTAATTTCAAAACTGGTGGGTACACTAGATTGATTTGATCATGCTTATGAATTACCAAATAATTCAGTTTGCAACCCTTCCTTGCATAGAGCAAAATTTCTGTATTAGATTTGGGAACTATCATTTTTATCTTGTCTGAAGGACCTTTCATGTTCGGCATACCATTTTGAGAAATTTCGACCACACAAACACTATTACACTCCAGACACTTGAGCTTATGAACTCCAGATTTCTCCAACTTGTCCACTTTATCTTTGGCAATCATCTTTGAGAACCATAATACAAAAAACAAAAATCCAAATCAGCCTGTTACTATTTTAGAAGGAAATCAGACACAAAATATCCCAAATATTTGGAAACTATACCTTTTCTCAAAGGTGGTAAGTCATCTGATGTAAAAGAATGACATTGTTATTCAAGGGCAATATGAACCCCCAAGTAATTGACATTTCTGAATTAATAAAAGAATTCTTCATATTGAATGAATGAGTTTGGAGTTAGGTTAGATTAATTGTTATTAACTCTCATTATTTTGAACTTATGCATGCATTTTATGTTGTTGAAAAAATTTTGCTTTCTATATGCTTTCCAACGAAAACTGTAAGTCACAAATGGACGTGGATAGTCCTTGTATATGTTTTGTAACCTTCCATTAATATAAATTTACTCCATTCATATGTAATTTTTATACAGATTCTGGAAACATCTCTGTTGAAACAAAGGAAGAAACTATCTTCGAGAAGAAGGAAGAGATTTTCAATGAAAATCTTCCATCAGGTCCAGATGGAATGGAGTTTGCTGTTGAAAATGATCACGTAAAGCATAGGATTTTACCAGCAACATTTAATGAACAATACAATTCTACAAACTGTTTGAATTTAAAAACCAGTGAAAAACCTCATAGCGGAGAAAAAACATTTCGGTGTAAAATATGCTCAAAATCATTTGCTGATGCTGATGCTTTAAAATACCATGAAAAAATGCATTCTGGAAAAAAACCGTTTCAGTGTCAAATATGCTCAAAATCGTTCAGTCGATGTGCTTATTTGAAATGCCATAAAAATATTCATACTGGAAAAAATCTCTTTCAGTGTGAAATATGCTCTAAGTCATTCGTTCAAAAAATTAATTTAAAAAATCATGAAAAGATTCATGCCGACAAATCATTTGAAAAAATTCATTCAGGCGAAAAATCTTACAAGTGTAAAGTCTGCTCAAAATCATTCATGCAAGGCAGTTCTTTGAAATACCATGAAAAAATTCATACAGGGGAAAAACCCTTTCAGTGTAGAATATGTTCAAAGTCATTCATACAAACTAGTGATTTGATTAAACATGAAAGAACTCATTCTGGGGATAAGCCGTTTCAGTGTAAATTTTGCTCAAAATCTTTCAGTCGAAGTGTTTATTTGAAATACCACGAAAATATTCATACTGAAAATAAACTCTTTCGGTGTGAAATATGTTCAAAGTCATTCGTTCTAGAAACTAATTTGAAAAATCATGAAAAAATTCATACCGACAGAAAACCATTTGAGTGTGAAATCTGCTTTAAGTCATTCTTTCAAAGTCGTAATTTGAAAATCCATGAAAAGCTTCATACTGGCGAAAAATCTTACAAGTGTAAAGTCTGCTCGAAATCATTCATTCAGAGCAGTTCTTTAAAATACCATGAAAAAACTCATACTGGGGAAAAACCCTTTCAGTGTACAATATGCTCAAAGACATTCATTCAAAATAGTAGTTTAATTAGACATGAAAGAACTCATTCTGGGGAAAAGCCGTTTCAGTGTAAATTTTGCTCAAAGTCGTTCACTGGAAGTGTTTATTTGAAATACCATGAAAATATTCATACTGGAAAAAAACTCTTTCAGTGTGAAATATGCTCAAAGTCATTCATTCGAAAAACTAATTTGAAAAATCATGAAAAAATTCATACCGACAGAAAATCATTTGAGTGTGAAATTACAAAGTAATTTGAAACTCCATGAAAAAATTCATACTGGCGAAAAATCTTTCAAGTGTAAAGTCTGCTCAAAATCATTCATTCAAAGCAGTTCTTTGAAATACTATGAAAAAACTCATACTGGGGAAAAAACCTTTCAGTGTAGAACTTGCTCAAAATCATTTATTCACCAAAAAAGTTTGATAAGCCATGAAAAAATTCACAATGGCAAAAAAAACATTTTATTGTAAAATATGTTCAATGTCATTTATTCGAAATAGTGAATTGATTAAACATGAAAGAACTCGTTCTGAGTTAAAGCCATTTCAGTGTAAATTTTGCTCAAAATCATTCAGTCAAAGTTATCATTTAAAATATCATGAAAAAATTCATACCTCAGACAAAAAATTTCAGTGTTTAATCTGCTCAAAATCGTTCAGTGGAAATTGCCATTTGAAGTCTCGTAAAAAAGTCACACTAGGTAAAGGCCATTTGATTTCAAATTTAGTCAAAAATAGTTATTTCATAGCTTTCTGAAACTTCAAATAAACGGTGAAACTATAGTCGTTGACATTGAAATTATAGTTGTTAGCATTGAAGTATTCTTATTTGGGAATTGGTTTTTTGTCAAAATTGATATGGATGGGTTTTTTTTTATCAACCAACCTTCAAACCGTTACAACATTTATTGTGAACATTTGAATTGTTTTCAGTTTATTATATATTAATATTGCTATGTCTCAACTAACTACTATAATCAGAATCATATGCATTGATATGTATTCCTTTCTTAACAAAATACTCTACTCATCAAATCAAATTAACCATAATAATAATTATAGAATTTTCACAAAATTTTATTCATAACGTTTGTCGCTACACGGTAGTTTCATCAGTTACCAGTACATTCTACATATTCTACAATATCTTTTATATATTTCTTATATAACCATATAATTCTATATTTCAAATAACCCTATATGAAGGAGATTATAAAATAGTTTGATGTACCAGTAACTGATGAAGCTACCGTGTAGCGAAACGAGTTTTAAACAAAATATCCTGTGAAAACTCTATAATTATCATCATGGATAGCATCAATCTTCATCAAGTAAAGGGTCAGAGTATTCGTAAATCAAATTGTGTCTAAAGACTGTATTGACGTATTAACAAAATAAATATTTCGAAATAAATTCTAAACTTTTACCTCTCTCACGTCCCTGCATGGTCGAATGCGTCATCTGAAAGCATAAAGCTTAGCTTGAGGCTTTCATATAGAAATAAAAGTGTGTGACCATGTAAAATGCCCGTTCTTAATGGTACATTTCCATCTATGTTGAAAGTATCAACAATGATTTCAGTTCCAGAACTAAAGAATACGAATAGAGCCAGTGGTGCTCAACCAATAAATACCCTGTTGGCTATAGAAACATTAATAGAGAGAGTTTATATACAAATGATGAGCTTTACGAATAGTAATGATATTCTATCTGAAAATCAATCAGGTTTTAGAACTGGACATAATTGTGAAACAGAGATTCAAATTGCTTTATTTGACTGGAAAATGTGGGCAGATCATAATATGAATATAGGAGCAGCTTACCTGGATTTGATAGTAAAAAATACTGAAAATCCATTCATCATTCAGAAATGTTTGCTTTCAAATGGTTAGTAAAAAATATCAAAGAATGTAGCTCTTTTGCATTGTTCAAAAGAAAGTTGAAGAATCACTCATTGGGTGAATGAACTGCTGACTTTATATGTATAAAGATCTGAACAGTTTCAATAATTCTCAATCTTTTGATGATTTTAGTACTATTCAAACGATTTTTTTGTGTATTTTATATTTATATTTTGTGTTATATATTATGTGACTAGCAACAATGAATCCAACTGGTTCAACTTCTGACTCTGACAACGGTGAATAACAACAAAATATTCAAGAATAATCGAAATGAGAAAACTCAATAGATTTTGCTTCAAAGTAACAACATGCTGTCAGTGATTTTAAGAGAAAAAAAAACATGTGGGAATATCACTTATTCCTGATAAAATCAATGATTATTATTGTTCGATTGCAAAAAACCTTGTGAGAATATAGTGGTACCTTACGATCCCTTATTAAATGTTGAAGATGTCGGAATTGAGGATAACCTAACTTTGTACGATACAAATATTAGTGATTTGAATATTTTGAGTAATATAAAGAATAAAAATGTATCTGGTTATGATGGAAAATCTTCCAATTGAGGCACTGCAAACATTGGTATCTCTAATCAACACCTCTTTCCAGAATGGAATTTTTCCTGATTTTCTGAAAACCTCCGTTGTCCTTCAATTATATAAAGTTGGAGATTCAGATGATCTCGCAAATCTTACCTTTCAGGAAGGAATCAAATGGTAAGAACAACAGGACTTTCAGAAAAAAAAAATTATGTGGTGTTCCACAAGGATCAGTTTTGGGACCCATCTTATTCGTATTATATATCCATGACATTAAATAATACTAACTTTAAAAAATTTTGTATGAATTCCAATGACAAGGTATTATTTTTAAATTATGATATTTGACAATTATCATGATTTTGTCTTTGAAAAACCCTGTAAAGAGCACTGAGCCACTGAATTCATTGGATTGAATAACTATCGACAAATAAATATCTTGGCAATATTTTTTCTACTTTTAAGAGTTGAACTTTATGTACATTGAATTGGTTTAGTGAAAAAGCGATGGAAGCAACATTCGATTCTCAAGTTCATTTTATGAACTCCACCAATAATTTCGGTGATATAAAATTCTCAGTATATAAGTTAAAAATTCCGTCATCATCTGAAATTTATCATCATCCAATGTTGTTGGAGTTTCATAATTTTCATTCTTAGATCGCTATACATGAACGTCTTTGTGATCGTAGTGGGAGATGATCTCGACTTTATTTCATGTATGTTTATTGAATTTTTTATTATATTTGCTCAAACTAGGTGGAATTTTCAAGTTGCACTAACCTAGGTTTTACAATAATTTTTGTGTATACGCCAATATTTATTAAAAAAATTTCACTGTAAATTGACCATTCATTAAACTGAGTTTCAACCTGTAATTTTTTAGATTGTTGTGTACTTGTTTTGATATATTATTATTTATTTGTTATCTTGAAATACTGTATTTTTCCAAGTAAAATTTTATTTCCAGATGTTTTTATTTTATTTCTCTCCTAGGAATTTTAATAAAAGGAAAATACTTTTGAAGTTCCCCAGATTGAAATTGAACTGAGAACCTTATCCTGACTTTTTACATGAAAAAACCATGTCTATAGTCGATTTCATTAGGCCCTTGAGTAATAGAATCATTTTCGAATAGCTGTTCCATAGAGGTACATAATTGAGCAGATTTTTTGCAAAAATATCACAAACATCCCAAGAAAATGTATTTGCTTGTAACTTCAATTTCTTCTGAATGATAAATTGAAATATTCAGAATTTGTAAACATGAATTTGAAATAGGGTTAGATTTTGTACTTCTTTGTGCCGTTAGATGGCGCCACTTGTAGCACACTGTCTTTTACTTAGTTCGAAGGAATAAGGTAAGTTACGCCTCCGATAGGTTAACAGCCCATTTGTCCCTTTAACAAATATCAGCTGAAAGGGAGCCAGGCTTCAACCGAAACGAAACGAGGACGACCTTCCACATGGGTATGGGTCAACAGCTGTCAGTTGAAAGAATAAAGGGAGCCAGGCTCCAACCTGACCGAAACCAAGATGACGATTTAATAGCTTATCGAGCGGGTGGGCGGGCCACCAACCAAATCCAATTTGACATTAGTGACAAGACGTTAATTTATCTTGAATGATAAATAGAAATATTCAGAATTTGCAAAGATGAATTTTAAATTCAGTCAGATTTTTAATTTTTTTCGATGTCGTTAGATGGCGCCACTTGTATCACGTCCCCTTCTGCTTAGTTCCAAGAAATAAGGTAAATTACGCCCTAGATGGGTTAACAGCTCATCGGGTGGGCGGGCCACTAACCAAATTCAATTTGACGTCAACGATCAGGCAGAAGATTGATATTTTGAAATCTAGAATTTCTTGGACAAATTATAATGATTGTGTTTTGTATTCAAAGTAAAATTCTCTCTCCCCTGCTAATTAAAAATTACTAAAACGAAACCTTGGATTACCTTTATTTATAATGTTCAACTACACATTGAATAGTAAGTTGTAGGTGGTGTCATCTATTGGCAAAAGTGAAAAACTGAAACTTTCAGGTTTTTCTAGCATTTGTTCAGTTTCGGAAAAATTGCAGATACCATTAGCTGGAGTTTTATTCATTGGACACCTTTAGATTCGGTCTTGAGTCAGAAGACTCATATTTTGAAATCCAGAATTTCTTCGACAAATTATGATACTGATTATTTGCATTCAATTTTACAACCTCACTCCTCCGCTATTTAAAAAATCGCTAAAACCTCAAGTTTTTGTCTTTATTTATAATGTGCAACCACGCATTGAATAGCGACTTGTAGATGGTGCCATCTATTGGCAAAAGTGTAAACCTGAAACTTTCAGGTTTTTCTAGCATTTGTTCATAGTTTCGGAAAAATTGCAAATATGATTAGCTGGAATTATGTTCATTCGGCACCTTTAGATGCGGTCATTTGTGAAAACTTGTATTTTACTTAGTTTTAAGTCGAGACATAAAGTTAAAATACACCTTAGATAGCTTAACAGCTCATCAGGGCAGAAGACTCATATTTTGAAGTCCAGAATTTCTTTGACAAATCATGATGATTATTTGCATTCAACGTTACAACCTCACTCCTCCTCTATTTAAAAAATCGCTATAACCTCAAGTAGTTGTCTTTATTTACAATGTGCAACCACACATTGAATAGCGAGTTGTAGGTGGTGTCATCTATTGGCAAAAGAAAAAAGTTGAAAATTTCAGGTTTTTTTCAGCATTTGCTCATAATTTTGGAAAAGTTGCTAATAACAGCAGCTGATATTTTGTTTATTTGAACACCGTTAGATGGCGTCATTTCTAACACATCGTATTTTACTTGAAAAAAAACTAACATATTTGTCATTTTTCTTTGGTGGCGTGTAGTAGTAGCAGATTTCAGTCGTTTCTGGACCTCCCCCCACCACTATGACGTATTAATTGCTTTTTTTATGCACGGTACAGGGTTTATCATGTGCTTGTCTATGTACAAACATACGTCTGCATACTTCAAAGATCCTCCAAGTAATGAATGTTCCATCAGTGTGAGCCCACCAAGTTAGTAGTGGTGTGACGTCACAGCAGCAACCGTTCAACGATAGGAGAACGAGATGTTCACTCTACGGCGTGTGGCTGAGTAATGCGTATTCATCGGTGTATCCTCACCTCTCTCTCGATGAGATGAACCTTGACGGAAATTTAGTGGAACTATCAAGTCGTAGAACAGAATGATTTATTTTGAAGCTTTTACCTTTTTTTCTTATGATTCGGAAGTGTGCAGGACTTTCCCGGAGGAGGGTTGCGCTCAAACTCAATTAGGGTCAAGGAATGTCTTATATTGAATAAATGAATGAAAAGTTGAACTAACAATTGTGGAAGGTAACCATTACCCAAAAAAAGGTCGATAAAAAACTGATTTTTTCCTCCACAAAAAATGACTTTCGTTGAATAAGTTGAACTACTATTGTGCTGGAAAGCTATAGAAAGTACAATCAAAATATCTTTGAAAGTTGGATGTTCATTCATAGAAACAAAAAATTATCTATTATTGATTTAATTAATTACAAAAATCGAAACATATTTACAAAAGAAATAGTACCCATTTCTTCTCTTTGAGTAATTGCTAACAATATTTGTCAGGATCAGTATGAATCACTTTCTCATGAAAATAATATATTTTAACATTTACAATAAAACCAAAGACTTGATAATACAACATTGACTATGATTTTTTTATTTCTTTGAAACACAGAATTCCCTTAGGTATGTGCCATCAGTTCCAGTTTCCTTCTTTTCAAAAGGGCTTGCTCGATATCTTGTTGTGAAGGTACAGGTACATGCGCGACAAACCTTTTTTGTGATCCATCTTGGATAGTGTCAGTGTCAACGGTATTCTCCTCATCGGACTGAAAAAAATCAATGATCAGTAATCGAAACCCAAGCAAACTTGGTTGTTGAAGACACATTTTTCACAATACCTCAAACTAATATCACTCCCAATGAAATCATTAAAAAATTATAGATCACGAGCAATACAGATGTATACTGTATCCTAATGTAAGAGATCTGTTCAAAAAAAATAGGTGAATTTTCCTTTTTCTCAAAAAATAATCATTTATTTATCAATTTCTATTTTGTCCCCCCCCTTCAAAGTAGTCCCTGTCAGATATATATAAGATACACTTGTGCCAGCATTTTTTTCCAATTCTCCAAGTAGTTCTGATATGCACTTTTTAGTATCCTTGAGCTGTCTCAGAGATTTGATGTTGACATCCTCAACAACGTCTTTAATAGTAATTTGACGATTCTCCATAACAATTTTCATCACTTTCTTAAATTTTTTATCGGTGTGCCAAGGTGAGCGTCATCATTCACATCTTTTCGACCTTCTGTGAGAAGCTTGTACCACTTGTAAACATTTCTATGAGTCTGAGCAGACTCACCGTGTGCCATTGTCAACGTTTCAAGTGTTTTTGAGTACTTAATTCAATTTTTTACACAAAATTTGATGCATATTCTTTGATCCGCTTTTTTCAATAGAAGAAAATTGCCAAACAATCAAAACACTTCTAATGTTTATGCCTCTCTCCAATAAAGTAAACATGCTAAACAGCTGAAACTGTAAACATATGTCCAAGACAAGTGTACCAACCCAAAAAATTGCTAATCGAATGTCCATAGCCTGCTAAATTGGAACATTCACCCTTATTTTTTCAACAGACCTCGTAAATATAATTTTGTCTCGAAATGGTAGTTTTCAAAATAGGATTCTCAAAAAATACAAGTGTAACATTACTTGATCATAAACATTATCGCTGTCAAATGCTACATTGTTGAGTCAAGATTACAATATATTTGAAGATAAAATAGTTTATATTTAGTTAGGGAATTATCTGTAGCAACAAGGCTTAAAAAAGAACTAAAAAATCCTTAAAACTATAGGAAATTTTGATTCAAAGGTTATTCAAATTCAAAGGGGCCCCACAAATTTTGTCTCTTTTTATTACATAAGCTGAAAAATGTTTAAGGTATCAGATTCTTCTGACAATAAAAATACTCACATCTGCAACTGCATATATATTTTCTTCCTCTTCTTCTTGCTCTGTATTGTCTGATTGATTTATCCTTTGCTCTTTTTTGTCCTTCCAGGCTTTAACTGCCTTTTGAATGGCTAGAAAACAGTATTAAATATTATTTTCCTTAAACTATAGAATTTTTTGCAATAGTTTTTGCAGATATATAATACGCAGATATATAATATTGATAGGACAGAACTCAGTACATAGCAATCATTTTGTATGTCACATTAACAGAAAACAAATGTGTATTTATTATTTAAAATTCTGTGCTTGAAGCTTGGAAATCGTTGAATCTTACAGCTCACAAAAACTGAATGTTTCAGATATTTTTCCAAATCCACAATATCATGGTTAATGGTAATGGTTAATAAATTTTCTATCTACATATTTTACTCTTAGAGAGAGAAAAAAACACAGTTTTCAATACCCAATATTTATACTTCATGGTTCATGTCAAATCACTATGAACCACCATTAGTAACTAGTGTAACGATAATATTGATGAAATAATTACCAATTTTTTCTGCTTTCTGTTCAAGCGGTATGAGAATTCCATCATCGTCATCCATGTACCCATAGAAATCTGCGTCGATGTTTTTTATCAGTTCCACTGTAGTCTTTCAGGAAGGAGGCTGCGGCTCTTGTTCAAACAACTCGCGAACCCCTGTTTACGGAAATAAAAAATTTTATGATTTCAACGTACACTTCCCACATGTAATTTATTGACTTGGTGCATATTCTACTTTTATCAAAACTCGAATCACACGTTGATCTTCCTCAGGAAATACTGATTTTCAATAGATAAATCTTGCATGATGAAAGTTTCTCCAGAATAATTTGAAATTGTATGTCTTTACTCCACTTCATCTGATTACGGGGTTTTTCAAATTCGTTATATGAATAATGTGTAATTAAAATTCATTGACGATTTTATTTTCAATGCTAAAACCTAAACTGGGATTATGTATGTTATACAACAAACATTTTTGTCGAATATGAAATATAAGTAACAAGGGATTTCTTTGCAATTGTCATTAAAATCATCACTACTCTGAAAAATCCAAATATTCAATTATTACTAATTATTTTTATGCGAGACTGTATTTTCAGCTTATCCTTACACAACAAATGAATCACATTCAACTGTCGGTCATGAAGTCTAATTTTATTACTATTAGGAGAGAATATGTTGAAAAAATGTCATTATTCACATTAAATGGTTGTTCAATTGAAATGATTATTTTTCATTTATCTTCCAGTCGTAACATGAAAATATTCAAACTACTATGTGAACACTTTAGTCATCGTCCATAGATATTCTAATAAGTCTGGTAACTCCTTTGATGTGGGTAAAATATGCCGCTTTTTTTGCGAGCGGTCGTAAATCATGCGGCTACCAGTAGAAATACGTTATACGAGGGTCAGTCAGCAGCGCGAACAATATGTTTACTCGAAAGTGTGTCTACGAGGGTCAGGCGTCAAGTGTTGATCATATTCATTATATATTATGTATTTATGTTTTTGTATGATCTTTCATTGAGATGATTATATAATATGAGATTCTAATAACAATAAATTGAGGAATATTTCGTTGTAATAACTGGCATGAATTATCTGATTTCTTAAATTATGGGCAGGTAAAAAGGTTAGTTCCAATAAAATGTTTATTTTACGCACTAAGTATAACTGGCCGGAACGATGCGAACTGTTCAATCGGAGACACTCTGTTAAACTGGCGCCCCCGTCAGACGGGCACTGACGACCGACCGGCCAGGCAAGGGACGCGCGAGGACGGAGGGTGATGATTTGGGTCGCTGCTGAGAGTGAGCGGACTTATTAGAATATCTATGGACGATGCTTTAGTTATCGAAATAACCAGATATGGTCTTGTCAAAAAGTGTATGCTCAAGAACGCTTCAACGGCCAAATAAAATTGGGAATCCCTGTCTCAGTAGAAGACTACTCTTTGATATTTCTTTGAATCAAAAAACACATCCAAGTCTTTGACTGTACCATACTGTATTAGTAAGTTATTTACAATATATGTCTTGTAAATTGCATTTAGAAAATTAAAAATCATTGGTGCTCCCTTACCTGGCAATTCTTTTGCAGCACCGAAATACTTGTAACCCCTATTCCCTGGAACCTCTTTTCCTTCTTGATCCAGCATACGAGGCCCCACTCTCTGATAATCTGGTCCTCCCAGCTCTTCAATCTGATCCTCCCAATGGTGCTTCTCTCGAAGAAGTTTGTTAATTTCATCATTCAGGTCTCTTATTCGGAATTCTCCAAGACCCGCGTTTTGGATTTGAGCAACTTTCTTGGCAATTTCTCTAATGATCTGCATTCGCCACTTTTCACAAGCATATAAACTTTTCCATTCCGATGCTAGGTAAGGCCTTTTTTTGTGCTTTTCTGTTTCTCCCAACTGAGCTGCTCTCCATCTGGCTAAGGTGGTCCTGAAATCAATTGGAAAATAACAATGAGTATTTATTCACTCCTAAGAAACTACAACATATACAGGCAATGTATACAAGAAATATTCACTTATAAATTTATAATTTCAAAAGCTATTTTGGAATTGGTCAAAGAAAAATATAGGAGTATAATGATATAAATTTGTCCAGCAACTAATTCTTTAACGCCAATTTGAGCTTAACAGAATTGGGGAAATGTTTGCGATTCAATTCATTATAGACAGTTATTTCTTTGTGAAATGAAGATATCCTGAAAAACATAGATTTTTGGAAATAGCAGATTTGAGACCTACTGTTAACAGATAATTGTCTTGTTTACTGTACATGTACATTTCTACTTTTATCGACCTCTTTTTGGCTATTTTTTACCTTCCACAATCGAAAAATATTAAAATTATAATGGAGAACTTGTAAAAAGAACTTATATAAAGTTCTCCATTATAATTTTCATATATTTCAGATTGTGGAAGGTAAAAATACCCAAAAAAGGTCGATAAAAACTGATTTCCCTTCACAAAAAATGACTTTTATTGAATACATTTCTATGTTCTGTAAATTTTATAGTGGAATAAAGTATATAAATTAGAGGAGGTATTGAAAACTTACATAGCCTTTTCAGCATTACGTGCCATATCTCTGTCACTAATTCGAACAAAACTGTGTTTACTTCTATATGGTGTCACAGATTAAATATAGATGCGAAAACTAGGTCTCTCGCCAGAACTTAGTTTTTATACGCATGCGCGGTTTCAGGTGGTTTTAACTTCAACCTCACTTTTCACTCAACATTCCTTTGTTATTGTTTACAACTTTTCTTTCAGTAACACAGGAGAATGTTTCGCAAAGGAGGAACAGTTTGTTTTGTTCATAGTTGAATTCTACAAGGTAGGCAAATGTTAATAATTTTCATTTCCGTGTTAGGAATCACACGTTAAAAGGTAAGACCTCGTTAATCCTTAGCTCGCACAAGTTTCGACTTCTGAGGGTTGTCGTTCGTAGGGGTGCGACAGCTGGTTAACGGAAAAACAAATTTTTTTTTTAAACAGCATTATCTCAACACAGCTTTGTGAACATTGTATTTATAATCATTTGGAAATGTCCAATGCAAATAAACTTATATTTTGTTCATGTTTTTTTAGAGCTGTTTGTTGGCTGCGGTTATGTAAGAGAGAGGATTTATTATGTAAAAGGATCCATGCCTTGCATAGAAACTATAAGGTATGTGAGAAACATTTTGCCAAAGAAGTCATTTCTCAACCTGGAACTCGTAAACATCTATTCCAAAATGCAGTTCCATCCATATTTCCTCACAGTGCCACTAAGCACTTCTTGGAAGTTATCGATGATGATAATTGGGAAGGACCTCCTAAGAAAATTGCTGTCTTAGATGGTGAGTACCATTTTGCATGTTCTTGGTACATATTTTTTTGATGGGTACAGATACCTATGTTGTGTCCCAAGTTTACATATTGGCTGTAATATCTTCTGCATTTCTAAATGATAATTTGTTATTTTTGGACATTACTAGTAACATCGTCATGCACGCAGAAACCATAACTTCTCCTCCAGCTGCTACAGGCGTCAGGTATGTTTTTATGAAATATGAGGAAAGAAAACAATATCAATTATTATTCTATATGGGGTTATTTTGATTTTCTTAAAAATCATGTATTTCTTTACACACAAGATGTATGTACCAGTTTAAGAAGAAATTAGGCTAAATCAAGAGTTTTATCAAACATATATACCCTCACTGTATCAATGAATTACATTACAGTTTTTTTCCAGTCCCAGGTTAAATTTCTTCACCTTCTTCGAGTTGTTACAAATTTTGAGCCATCGAACATCAAAGGCGGCATCAAAGCTTTCGTATCTGTATTTAATCTGTGACGGTGTCTTGAGGAATATAGAAAACAAAATACAAAATATGAAAATGCGGTTATGTTTCTTCTTTTTACATTAATGGATTTAGCTGATAGGGCTATCCAGCCATGATGTTATGTGAATGAATGACAGTAAGATGTTTGATGTTCTCTTCTTCTTCTTCCACATTTGGCTTAGTTATGTCAAAATCAAGCTGCAATCCCTTGTACCAAGAGAGGGCGCTGCAAATGCCAATATGTCTGTTTTATTAGTGAACACATATTTATCTGAGATTATGTTCATGTATGACGTTTTCTTCTTCGTCTCCTTCCATATTTGGCTCATTTGAAAATTATCTGACACGTTCTTCGAACTTTGTTCGATTTTATACGTTTTATATTATTTATACAGTGTGCCAAAATATTTCATATTATTCTGAGGTATGTTTGAAGTTGCAAGTTACTAATAGGTCCTTGATAACTTATTTTCAAATTGATTGCAAAATTTGAACCAAACTAGACAATGAGCGAGTAAATATGCGGAACAATTTGAATAAATCAAAAACGGTTCATGAAATTCTACATTACTACAGAACACTAATTTAATTTTCTATGAAATTCATTTAACTGTCGAACAGTTTGTATTTGTTATTAACTAGCGCTCTCATCGAGCAATGAATGAAATGTCAAAAGCTGACAAATCTACTCGTGACGGGTAATTATGGATGCGCAGGTTATCTTGGCTTTTGCTTCTGTACGGCGGGCGCATTTAGCCAACATATTATTGTGAAATCATCTAAAAGAATAATTCGTTCCCGAAACCGTGTGTTCCAATAATTGAAAATATTATTGTGAGATTAATCATTAGACCACAGAACAGTAAGTCACTAGATGATGAATAGAAAATAGAATGTCGTATGAAAACAACATTTTACAAATCAGTACAAGTATTTTTCGAAAGAATAGCTACTGCAGAAAGTAAAATGCCTATCGAGAGGGAGGTGGTAAATTTTTTTTCCGATTAGCGCCAATTATGATAACTTCATTCCATAAAAATTATAATAATTACACAAATAACCCTGCTCTGCTGGGTTATTTCAGGAAATATTTGAAAATTTAATGAACATGCCTTAAGACTGCTGAAGAGCACAATTTTTTAGCATAGGCAAAGATTATATAGTAGTTTATCCTAAAGTATACACACACCATGAATTTTAATTTGCATAATAACATAATTTCCCACAAATAATCTCGTCAAATGGGTGAATCATATATAAATGTTTTGAATAAATAATAAAGTATTCACCATTAATAATCATTATGTATATTATATGGATTTTTTTTATATAACATACATTTTTCACACTATGAATTGTATTCAAGGACAAAACTGAACTTGAAAGACTATGTAGTAGAAATAGAGTTTCTCTACTAGGTACTTTTCTTCCTGACTATCATTTTAGGAACGGTGTCATCAGCTACAGACCTTTTTCAACAATTTCGCGACGCAAAGTTTTTTCTATCCGGTTTTAAGCCATTTTACATTATTTTCATGTTACTTAGTTCTCCATATTTATATTTTCACATCATCAACAAAACGGCTGAAGCTGAAACATTGACTGAAACCAGAAAATTGCTCAGAGTCCAATTGGTTCAACTTCTGTCTCTGACAACGGCACAGAACAACGGTAAACACTAGCAAAATAATCAAGGATAATTGAAATAAGGAAACGCAATAGATTTCGCTTCGACGTAACAATATGATAACAAATACATGACCGTTATTTGAAAATATAACACTATGATAATAATAATAATTACACACATTCCACAAACATTTTTATTTCTAGATGCGTTTCGCTAACACCGTAGCTTCTTCGATAGAAGTAAAAATTATGTAAATATTATCATGGGAAAACGAGCGAATGAATGTTATTACATGCTGTCATCGATGACAGGAGTGGATTTAACCCATTCGTGGTATTTTTTTGAATGAACTGAGTGCTTTATTACAGTATTATAGCATTCTCTGTGGCTTTGTCTTGAATTGTTATCCAGATTGGTGCTGAAGAGGCAAATGGCTTATTCCGAAACATGGATGTTCTTCATTGAAGATGAGAGTGTTTCGTGTATGTGAAATGTTACCTCTTCCATATACCATACTGCGTAGCAATCCTGTGAATGATATCTGAATCGATTTCATAACGAATATTCGGAGTACAAACTGAATAGGAAAAGTGTTTTTATATAATTCAATTTTCCTATGAAAGTTGTTGTTTTGAAAGTATTTTTCTTTCATGTAATTCAATGTTTATATGAAAATAGCTGTGAAGAGTTTATTTTGAAATCAATTGTTTTCTTTCTTTCTTTGGAAGCTTTCCCTTTCTTTCCAAAGATGAAAACATAGTAATACAAGTAATGAAAGTGAAATCCTGCTGGTAGGTGATAGAAATGTGCATGCTCAAGAATTCTGTTATTCTGTACAAATAGAAGAAGAAAATGGTTATCAACCAAGACATATTCGATCACTTTTAGGCGCTATTTTAATTTTAGAGTCATGTTTATGGTTTGGGGACAATTGAAAATAAACATTAAGAAGATTATTATTGATTTTTATCTGTTGTGTAATTGATGACGACACTATACTATAACGAGTTATCTACAAAAATAAATCTGCTTTAATCAAACCTTTCTCAGGATATGGCTTCTTTTGAATGTGGAAAACAAATTAAGAGGGAGGTCCAATCTGTTGATGATGAAGTTCTTTTTCAAAAACATGACGTAAAATCTGAATATGGAAGAAAAGGTGATGCTAACATGCCTATCAACGATTTGGAAGAAAATGATAAATTAAAAGTGACTATGCTTATAGATAAATTTGATCCAGAAAAAATCAAAATCGAAGAAAATTTTTTTATTCCTCGCCTTGATCTCAAATCTGAAAAGTGTGAGAATACAATAATTGAAGATTTGAATTTGAAAGCTTGTGAAGAAGAATTATTCAGCTATGAAAATGGGTACAGTAATAGTTGGCAAAACCATAATGAGGCGCATGCCATACTACTTCAAAATGTGACTGAGGATTTAAAACCTGTTGGTTTAACTGCAGGTAAGTTACAAAATTGCTATTAAGAATAAAACTACTTTAAAGCCTGATACACTTTTCTGTAAGATTCCTACTATAAAAGGTCCATGAAAACACATGTGTATCACTATACAAGAGCTTCCAATAGATCCACATTGTATTTATTATATAGCCAAATGTAGCTATGCAACGGCGAACTGAAAATAATTGTTCATATATCTCCAACACTGTCAGTGTTTAGTCAGCACCTGATGATTCTAACTTGGTTAGCGAAACGAGGGTAGAGACACGTTCCACCAAAGTCTCCAAATCTACCTATTGAGTTCGAGGATTACTATGAACATATGCAAAAGTATATAACATACTGAAGGAAAATGTTTTTTTTAAGTTTTGTTACTACATTTTGTAAAACTTGAAAAGTTACCCTCAAAAATGTTTTATGATCTTCAATGGATATAAATTTACTTCATTCATATGTTATTTTTTACAGATACTGGAAACGTCTTTGTTGAAACAGAGAAGGAAACTTTTATTGTGAAGAAGGAAGAGATTTTCAATGAAAATATTCCATCAGCTCCAGATGAAATGAAGTTTGCTGTTGAAGATGACCATGTTGTTAAACCTGAGATGGAACCAACAACAGAGAGGATTAATGAACTATACAATTCTGCAGACTGTTCAAATTTAAAAATTAGTCAAAAATTGCATAGTGGAGAAAATTCATTTCAGTGTAAAATATGTTCGAAATCATTTGCTAAAGCTGGTTCTTTAAAGTACCATGAAAAAGTGCATACTGGAGAAAAACCATTTCAATGTCAAATTTGCTCAAAATCGTTCAGTCAAAGTCATAATTTGAAATACCATGAAAAAATTCATTCTGGAGAAAAACCCTTTCAGTGTAAAATATGCTCAAAGTCTTTCATTCGAAATAGTGAATTAATTAAACATGAAAAAACTCATTCTGGTGAAAGACCGTTTCAGTGTCAAATATGCCCAAAGTCATTCATTCAAAATAGTGAATTAATTATACATGGAAGAACTCATTCTGGTGAAAAACCGTTTCGGTGTCAAATATGCTCAAAATCATTTAGTCGAAGTAATAAATTGAAATGCCATGAAAAAATTCATACTGGGGAAAAACGTTTTCCCTGTAAAATATGCTCTAAGTCATTTATACAGAATGATGTATTAATTAGACATGAGAAAACTCATTCTGGTAAGAAACCATTTCAGTGTCAAATTTGCTCAAAATCGTTCAGTCGAAGTGATAATTTGAAACACCATAAAAAAATTCATACTGGGGAAAAACCATTTCAGTGTGAAATGTGCTCAAAGTCATTCATGCGAAGAACTCAATTAAAAAATCATGAAACCATTCATACTACAGACAAAACACTTCACTGAGAAATCTACTTAAAATCGTTCAGTGGAAATTGCCATGTGAAGTCTCATAAAAAAATTCATACAAAGGCCATTTCATTTTGAAATTTACTCAACAATAGTTATAGTCATAGATTTTCAAAACTATAGTTGTTAACATTGAAATATTCTTACTTGAAAACTGGTTTTGATCAAAATTGTTGTGGATGGGTTTTTTTATTACCCAGCTATTGTCACTCTATTAAGGACAAACTCAAAACTGTTGTAACATTTATTGTGAACATTAGACTTGACATAAATTAATTTAAGTATATAGACTGTATTGACAAAATAAATAATAATAGTTGTAGTTTATTGAACAAAATTACAATTTTCCTCGACTGGCTATTGACTAGAGTATCAATATAGGAATGATCAGAGCAGTACTTATCTATCTTTTATATATATGTATATGTAATGTGTATATGTATATGCAATGTATATCTGTAATGTATGTATGTGTTAGGAATCACACGTTAAAAGGTAAGACCTCGTTAGTCCCTAGCTCGCACAAGTTTCTCAACTTCTGAGAGTTGTCGTTCTTATGGGGGCGACAGCTGATTAACGGAAACACATTTTTTTTGAACAGATGTATTATATATATACAATATATTTTTTCCAATAAAAAAGCAAATGCTGAATTTGCAAAAGCAACAACGTTATTTATTCATTTATTTAGAAGGCAAGCTTAATATAAATACATATCTTACATTATTAAACTATGTAAATATAACGAACATTTGAAAGTACATTTAAAGGAAAACAAAATATACATATCTATAGATCGTTTGGTTAGATCACATTAAAGAAACAACAACAAAAAAAAAATATACCAAATACGATAATGATCTGTCACTAATGTACTTCTTTAATGATTGGTTTCATAATTTGGTTTGTTGAATTAGATCATTTTATTAATCTTAAACTTGTTATTTCTTCTCATATTGTAATCATGAACTTCATTATTTTTCAATAAGAAGATCTGAAAGTAATTGAATAGCAATCCTTTATACAGTTTAGAAACTAACATTAATTTAATTGCTCTGTAACGGCTACATCCCAATATTAATTGCATACCCCGGTTTTGAAGCTTTTGCAATTGCGCTGTTTTATTTTCACCAAGCAGAAAAAGTAATGTACGATAATAAAAAGGAGGTTGTATTAGGTTTTTACAAGGAGTCAACCTAGTATACATAGACATTTTTTTACATATACGAAAAGTTTTTTAGAAATATTTTTTTACATTATAAAGCCCAAATATTTATTTTGAAATCAATTGTTTTCTTCTTTTCTTTGGAATATTTAGCTTTCTTTGGCAAAATTGAAAACATAATAGGTACTAGATGTATTACGAAGTAATAAAAGTGCAACCCTGCTGGTGAGTCAAAGAAATAGGAAACTGTGCATGCACAAGAATTTTCCACAATAAGAAGAAGAAAATGGTTACATATACATAGGCGCTATTTTCATTCTTATTAGTGGTTAGTGTCATGTTTATGGTTTGGTCACAAATGAAAATAAACATTTATCTGTTATATAGCAGCAAAACTATACCATAAGTAGTTATCTACAAAAATAAATTCTGGACATAAATCTGCTTTATTAAAACCTTTTTCAGGATATGGCTTCTTTTGAATGTGGAAGGCAAATTAAGACAGAGGTCCAATCTGTTGATGATGAAGTTCCTTGTCAAAAACATGACGTTAAATCTGAACCGAGTGAAGCTGAAATGTTCAGTGAATGTGGAAGAAAAGGTGATGCCTCTGATGCTGTCATACTTACCAACGATTTGGAAGAAAACGATTTAAAAGCGAATATGCCTATAGATAAATTTGATCCAGGAAAAATCAAAATCGAAGAAAATTTTTTTATTCCTCACCTTGATCTCAAATCTATCAAGTGTGAGAATACAATAATTGAAGGTTCAAATTTGAAAGCTTGTGAAGAAAAACTATTTAGCTATGAAAATGGGTTCAGTAATAGCTGGCAAAACCATAATGAGGCTCAAGCCATAGCACTACAAAATGTGACTGAGGATTTGAAACCTGTTGGTTTAACCGCAGGTAAGTTACAAAATTGCTATTAATAAGAGTAAAAACCCGATACCGTTTTCTGTAAGATTCCTACAAAAAAGGTCCATGAAAACGTATGTGTATCACTATACAAGAGCTTCCAATATATCCACATTGGATTCATTATATAGCCAAATGTAGGTACGTAACGGCGAACTCTTTGTATCCTGTTATGGATTAGAGCCATTACAGTTGACAGTTGAGTATTTTTGAATTCAAGTTGAACCCAAATTTGCATTTTGTTGTGTAGAGGCTCAAAAAATATGCACACACAAATTATTCATTCAGTTATTAACAGAAAATCTATTTTTTTTTATTTTTAATAGGTAGAAAGACAAACTGAAACAGAAAAGTATTTTACGATGATATCATATAATTTACAATTATATATAAATTGAAAATATAGGGCAATATATATATATAATTTTCAATTTCTGCAAATAGAAAATATATTCTAATGATTTAAAGCCAATCTTTTTGTGACAATTGTTCATATATTTCCAACATTGGTTAGTGTTTAGTCAGCGCCTGATGATTCTAACTTGGTTAGCAATATGAGGGTCGAGGAACTTTCCGCCAATGACTCCAATTCTACCTATTAAGTTCGAGGATCGTAGAGTAGGGAGGGTGAGTGTAACCCCACAGCACTTAGGCCACATGTGACCCATTGTACAAGTTCGAGGATTACTTTGAACATTTGCAAAAGTATATAATATATTAAAGGTAAATGTTTTGTAAAACTTGAAATGTTTTGGGACCTTCAATGAATATGAATTTACTTCATTCATATGTTATTTTTACAGATATTGGAAGCGTTGAAACAAAGGAAGAAATTTTCAATGAAAATATTCCATCAGCTCCGGATGAAATGAAGTTTGTTGTTGAAGATGACTATGTTGTTAAACATGAGATGGAACCAACGACAGAGAGGATTAATGAACAATACAATTCTGAAGACTGTTCAAATTTGAAAATCAGCCAAAAAATGCATAGTGGAGAAAATTCATTTCAGAGTAAAATGTGCTCAAAATCATTAGCTAAAGCTGGTTCTTTAAAATACCATGAAAAATTGCATACTGGGGAAAAACCCTTTCAGTGTAAAATATGTTCAAAGTCATTCATTCGAAATAATGAATTAATCAAACATGAAAAAACTCATTCTGGTGAAAAACCGTTTCAGTGTCAAATATGCCCAAAATCGTTCAGTCGAAGTGATCATTTGAAATACCATGAAAAAATTCATACTGGCGAAAAATCTTACGAGTGTAAAACTTGCTCAAAATCATTTACTCATCAAAGTGGTTTGATATACCATGAAAAACTTCATACTGGTGAAAAACCTTACAAGTGTAAAGTCTGCTCAAAATCATTCATTCAAGGCAGTTCTTTGAAATGCCATGAAAAAATTCATACTGGGGAAAAACCCTTTCAGTGTAAAACTTGCTCAAAATCATTCAATCATCAAAGTGCTTGGATTTACCACAAAAAAATTCATACTGGGGAAAAACCCTTTCAGTGTAAAATATGCTCAAAGTCATTCATTCGAAATAGTGATTTAATCAATCATGAAAGAACTCATTCTGGGGAAAAGCCGTTTCAGTGTAAATTTTGCTCAAAATCATTCAGACAAAGTCATCATTTAAAAAATCATGTAAAAATTCATACTTCAGACAAAAAATTGCAGTGTTGAACCTGCTCAAAATCGTTCAGTGGAAATTGCCATTTGAAGTCTCGTAAAAAAGTGTAGGTGAAGGCCATTTGATTTCAAATTCAGACAAAAATAGTTATTTCATAGCTTTTTGAAATTATAGTTATTAACATTGAAATTATAGTTGTTAAAATTGAAATTATCTGTTTAAAAATCTGTTTTTCCATTAACCAGCTGTCGCACCCCTACGAACGACAACCCTCAAAAGTCGAAACTTGTGCGAGCTAAGGATTAACGAGGTCTTACCTTTTAACGTGTGATTCCTAACACGGGTTGGACGATAGCAAGTGATAATCGATCGTTCAGCCTGGGGCTTGAACCACCGACCAACATGGCAGTCAATTCGAGTGAGTGAACAAAGCATCCACGTCGAACCGCTTGGCTACCGACCAAATTGAAATTATAGTTGATAACATTGAAGTATTCTTACTTGGTTTTATGTCAAAATAGATATGGATGTTTTTTTTTTATCAACCAGCAATTGTCGCTCTACGAACGACCACCTTCAAACTCTTATAACATTTGACTTGTTTTCAGTTTATTATTTATTAATCTTGCTATGTCTCAATTAACTACTATAATCAGAGTCATATGTATTCCTCTCTCAACAAAGTTACTCTATTTATTATAATTATAGGTCACAAATGAAAATAAACATTTATCTGTTATATAGCAGCAAAACTATACCATAAGTAGTTATCTACAAAAATAAATTTTGAAAACATATATGCTTTGACCAAACCTCATGGATATGGCTTCTTTTGAATGTGGAAGGCAAATCAAGGGGGAGATCCAATCTGTTGGTGATGAAGTTCCTTTTCAAAAACTTGACGTGAAATCTGAACCAAGCGATGCTGAAATGTTCAGTAAATGTGGAAGAAATGGGGATGCCTCTGATACTAACATGCCTACGGTATAGTTTCTCCCAACTGAATTACTCTTGGATTACAAAAAGCCACTTGCCGGCCAGTGTCGTACCTTAATAATATTTTATTTAGTATTATAGGTAGTGTTACCCATGCCCCCTCCCGGGTTGAATGCTCTGAAGTGAAAGCTTCGCCCCGCAACTAGTTTGCGAGGAAAACCTAATACTCCACTCCATCCACCCCCGCTCTCCGTAAGTCCTCAACTTACTGATGGACACTTCAGCAAGATTGACATCATCTGACCCCTTTTGGTCGAAAGTCAGCCTTTAGGTGCTATTCTTCCGCGATCGGATAAATGTTTAGTCGTGACTATTCCTAACTGAATTTTTGCATGGGGTCCCCCAAAAACTAACCGGCGGCTATTGTTATGAGCGTCGAACATTCCCCAGTGAATCTGAGGATTACTGAGTCGCGGTCGTGTTGTTCTGCGTTGAACTTAGCTGAAAGAGAATTCGTCTGATTAGTACTATGCTTACCTGAGTCGCCTGACGGCAACTCGTGGGGATGGTCGTTGGTTTTGTTTTGTTGGCCTCGGGTGTTTACCCCTTTCTCGGAATCTGGGGTCATCCATGTTCAACGCATCGTGTAGATCGCGTAGCGCTGGGTTGTTGTGCGTTCTGATTCTATCGAACACGCTTTTTTGCGTGTTCTCTCATATACACATCCACATATTGCGTTTCCAGGTCTAAGTCTCTGTATATAAATATGTTGGGGATGTAGTACGGTGCGTTTACGGCGGCCCTTACGCTCGCATTCTTAAACGACTATATCTTCTTCCTGTATGTCTGTGCGTACTGGCCCCAGGCATACAGTATTATGGGCATGAGTACGGGTTTAATCATCAGCAACTTCACTTTCAGCCCTATCTTGCCACTGCGTCCTATGTATGGTGCCAGGCGTGTCTAGCCATTCCTATTCTCTGCCGTACGTGAGACTAAAATGTTAGTTTCCTGTCTAGGATGACCCCGAGGTATGTCGCTTTGTTGGTCCACGGAATCTCTTGTCCGTTGAAGGTGAAGTTGCCTTCCGATTGCACAAGCCTGCGGGTTAACAGTATCGCCTGTCTCTTGTCAGGGTTTATACTGATCTTCCATAGGTTGGCCCACTCCTCTAATCTGTCTGCCTGTTGCTGCAAGTATCTTGTGACATGCGCTTGGCTCGTGGATCTCGCCAGCATCTCCAGGATCTCTTAAAGTTGTTCTCCGGCTTTGGCACGTCCGCTGTATATGCGGAGAAGAGGTGTGGCGAAAGGACTGCTCCTTGCGGGACCCCTGCTTCCAGTAGTCGAATTGTTGATAGTTCGTCTCCTACTCTGCAACGGCATCGCCTGTCAGCTAGAAAAGATTGAATTAATCTTACCATTGGTGTATCCAAAATCGCTCATCTTGGCCAGTAGTCCGTCATGCCAAACTCTGTCGAACGCCTTGGAGACGTCTAAGAAGATTGCTTCGGTGTTGTATCCTTTGCCGAGGTTGAAGCCTTCGGTCGCAAAGTCTACTACCCTCAGGACTTGTATCTCTGTCGAGTGTTCTGATCTAAAACCGAATTGTTCATCCGGGAGGATTCCTAGCTCTATGGTTTGATATTCGAGTCTCTTCAAGATGACACGTTCCGTCACTTTGCTTATGAAAGGCAGTGAGCTTATTGGCCTGTGATTATTTGGTAACAGGTGGTTCTCCTTGAGCTTCGGGATGTGGATAACCGATAAGCCTCTTTGAACTGGTACGGGAAGTTCTGCAATTTGAGTATAGCATTTATGATGTTAGTTATAGTTATGTTACCCTTGCGCGGTAGTACTTTCAGTGCCCGGTTTGTTATGTGGTCCGGGCCTGGTGCTTTCCGAGAGGAGAGACGTCTTAAAATGTCTTTCACTTCCTCGGGAGATGTCGGGGCCAGGGGTTGCGCGTTGTCCGTTTATCGTTTTAGTCTTCGTACTGTTCTTTCCGCCTATCTCTCTATTTCATCTACCTCGTCCGCGAACGGGACATCGTTCTCTCTGCACTGCCTTTAAAAGTTGTCCGCCAATGAGTCCGCTTTCTCTTGGTTAGTATAAACAATTCCTTACAGACAGTGCAGTTCTTTGAAATATATAATGATACACACCTGTGTACAGATCATTAGTATGTCTTGCATGAGCTGTAGTGGGGGTTATATTGAAAATTAGTTTTTGCGCATGGGGGCAGGCTCGCCATCACGTTTGGCGCTTGCTATACTGCAAATGACTTCGTCAATAAGCATTATATTTTTTTGACAAAGTATATTCTGATTAACTTCGAGAGTTTCAGTTTGTCTATCAATTGAGAGTTGAAAAATGATTTCATTGTTGAAACATTATAATATAAGGTCTACAAATGAATCAAAATCGAAAAATGTTAACAACGAAAGTTCGTAAACACTTAAAACACGCAGATGTCAAATCTGAAGTTCAAGAGTGTGAGGGTCGTAATGCCAAAACGTGTATATCTCCATCCTTATTTAGTTGTTGGAGTCAGGTTTTTCTCATCAATGTCTAGTCTATATTATGATGTCACTGTTATAACAAGTACGCATCAAAAGTGGTTCATTGGTTATTCAAAATAACTTTAGTAAAGAGCATTTAAATTATAATTATGCAATTATTTGTAAAGCGTGGTTTGAAATATTAAAGCTGGTTTGATAAAACCGGGCTTGAAAGTAAAACTATATACAAAGGTTAAACGCTGCAAAGATCCCTAAATCGCTGAAAAAATTGCCATATTAAAAATTTAGTACTAAAATAAAATATAGAGTGGTAAACTTGCAGTTGGTCATCTCATGGAATATTTCTGTGGTCATCTTCCTTCTGTTCCTTTTCTGTTAGGTCACGGAATTGTTTACTATTCTGTAGTCATGTCTATCCGTCATGTTTATGGTTAATCCACTGACATCATAATAGGATTATCATTGTTCCTGAACTATTATTTTGTTCTGAACGGGAATATTGCTGTTTATCTGTAATTGTATAGGTTTCGAAACTACCATAAGTAGTTATCTACAAAAATAAATTTTGAAAACATATATGCTTTGACCAAACCTCATGGATATGGCTTCTTTTGAATGTGGAAGGCAAATCAAGGGGGAGATCCAATCTGTTGGTGATGAAGTTCCTTTTCAAAAACTTGACGTGAAATCTGAACCAAGCGATGCTGAAATGTTCAGTAAATGTGGAAGAAATGGGGATGCCTCTGATACTAACATGCCTACCAACGATTTGGACGAAAACGATGAATTTAAAATGAATATGCCTATGGATAAATTTGATCCTGAAGAAGTCAAAATTGAAGAAACTTTTCTTATTCCTTATCTTGATCTCAAATCTGAAAACTGCGAGAATGCCATAATGGAAGGTTCCAATTTGAAAGCATGTGAAGAAGAATTATTTAGTCATGAAAATGGGTCCAGTAATATCTGGCGAAACCATAATGAGTCTCACGCCATACTATTCGAAAATATGACTGAGGATTTGAAGCCTTCTGTTGGTTTTACTACAGGTAAATACTATTCTGAGTGACTAAAATAAACTTGAACTATCACCTTTTTCAAACAACCTGAACCAGGGGTCGGCAAATAGTTTTAGGTTTAGTCCGGTAACAGCACACACGAAACGCTGCTTCTGTGGATTTTTCTTGGTCGCTCATTCAACGAAATAGTAATTTGTACTCTTTTCATATGAACTGAGATATGTCTGAAATTTATACTTTACGAGCCTGAATGCCAAGAGGAAAGTTTTTGTGGAGTTGCTGATGAGTTGTTTCGTAGTGTCGCTTCAAATTACCACTTTGAACAATAGCGACAGTTTTATTAAATATAAGGCACCCTGGAACCGCTTGGGGCCTATCAGGCAGCGTAAAACAATATTGTTCAATCTATTCTGCCAAATTTTGGTATATAATACAATATTTGCAAACTGCGATAAACTTCAATGAGAATGCTGAACAAGATGTCATCTGTGAGGCAGATGCCTTCTACTATATCTTAAAACAATGCAGATTTTTTTTCTATTTGTGTCAATTTTGAATCCATGAATTGGAATAAATTGTTGTTGGGTATGTCACTCGAGAGATGGTAAATATTATTTATGTTACAATCTGTGTTCAGTATTTGATTTATTCGGCCCCAAAAAGAAATTATCTAAAGAACGTTTCCTATTGTTTACTTTGGGATAAAATACCTTGTTAATCTATCAGAAAGCTTTATAGAAGCTACAAATCTCATGAAACTCAAAGAGAACTATTTGAAATTATCTGAATACATATCCAGGTGCAAACACTTTCAAAAGAATGTTATTTCATTATATGAAAGATACCAAAGCTGAAATATAATCCCATCTACCATACTTTTGGAAGTATATTGTCTTAAAAAAAGTACTGAAAATTAATATATAAAAAAAAAGTAACGTGAGAATTGCATGAAATGTGTTCGCACATTTACAGAAAAAGAAATATAATACAATTGTTGCATGTCACTAATTTTGCTTTCTATATGCTTTCCAATGAAAACAGTAAGTCAGAAATGGATGTGGGTAACCCTCATTCATGTTTTGTGCCCTTTCATTAATATAAATTTACTTCATACATATGTATTTTTTCACAGATACTGGAAACATCCCTGTTGAAATAAAGGAAGAAACTATGTTTGAGGAGAAGGAAGAGATTTTCAATGAAAATATTCCATCAGGTTCAAATGGAAAGGAGTTTGTTGTTGAAAATGATCATGTAAAGCATGAGATGGTACAAACAATAGTTAATGAACAATACTATTCTACAAACTGTTTGAATTTAAAAACCAGTGAAAAACTGCTTACTGGCGAAAAACCATTCCAGTGTAAAATCTGCTCTAAATCATTCATTCAGGAAAGTGCTTTGAAGTACCATGAAAAGATACATAGAGGTAAAAAGCCATTTAACTGTAAAATTTGCTCGAAATCATTCGCTAAACCTGGTGCTTTGAAAGACCATAAAAAAATTCACACTGAAGAAAAAGAATTTCAGTGTAAAACATGCTCAAAGTCATTCATGCAAAATAATGAATTAATTAGACATGAAAGAACTCATTCTGGTGAAAAACCGTTTCAGTGTGAAATATGCTCAAAATCGTTCAGTCGAAGTGATCATTTGAAATACCATGAAAAAATTCATACTGGGGAAAAATTATTTGAGTGTGAAATCTGCTTTAAATCATTCTTTCACAGTCATGGTTTGAAACGCCATGAAAAAAATCATACCGGTGAAAAATCTTTGAAGTGTAAAGTCTGCTCAAAATCATTCAAATACGACAGTTCTTTGAAATACCATGAAAAAACTCATACTGACGAGAAACCATTTCAATGTAAAATTTGCTTGAAATCATTCATTCAAAGTATAGATTTGAAATACCACGAAAAAATTCACACTGGAGAAAAATCATTTCAGTGTAAAATGTGCTCAAAGTCATTCATTCGAAATAGAGATTTAATTAGACATGAAAGAATTCACTCTGGTGAAAAACCGTTTCAGTGTCAAATATGTTTAAAATCGTTCACTCGAAGTTCTCATTTGAAATACCATGAAAAAATTCATACTGGGGAAAAATCATTTGAGTGTAAAATCTGCTTTAAATCATTCTTTCTCAGTCATAGTTTGAAAATTCATGAAAAAAATCATACTGACACAAAATCTTTGAAGTGTGAAGTCTACTCAAAATCATTCAAAAACGGCAGTTCTTTGATACACCATGAAAAGATGCATACTGAAGGGAAACCATTTCACTGTAAAATTTGCTTGAAATCGTTCATTCGAAATAGGGAATTAATTACACATGAAAGAACTCATTCTGGTGAAAAACCGTTTCAGTGTCAAATATGCTTAAAATCGTTCAGTCGAAGTGGTGATTTGAAATACCATGAAAAAGTTCATACTGGGAAAAAACCCTTTCAGTGTAGAATATGCTCAAACACATTTATTCAAAAAAGTGATTTAATTAAACATGAAACAACTCATTCCGTTTCAGTGTAAATTTTGCTCAAAATCGTTCATGCGAAGTGATAATTTGAAATGCCATGAAAATATTCATACTGGAGAAAAACCCTTTCAGTGTGAAATATGCTCAGTCATTCATTTGAAGAAGTCATTCAAAAAAAAACATGAATACATACATATTTGAGTGTGAAATTTGCTTTAAATCATTCTTTCGCAGTCATAATTTGAAACGCCATGAGAAAATTCATACTGGCGAAAAACCTTTCAAGTGAAAGGCTGCTCAAAATCATTCATTCACGGCAGTTCTTTGAAATTCCATGAAGATAATCATACTTATTCATTAAAGTGGTTTGATATATCATTAAAAAATTCACACTGGCAAAAATTCAGTATAAAATATGCTCAATCATTCATCCAAAATAGAGAATTAATTACACATGAAAGGACTCGTTTAGGAGCAAAGCCGTTTCAGTGTAAATTTTGGCCAAAATCATTCAGTCGTAGTGATAATTTGAAATGCCATGAAAATATTCATACTAGCAAAAAACCCTTTTGTTTAAAATATACTCAAACTCATTCATTCTAAGAACTTATTTGAAAAATCGTGGAAAAAATCCATGCCTTGGACAAAACATTTGAGTGTAAAATCGTTCAGTTGAAATTGCCATTTAAGGTCTCATGAAAAACATCGTATTAGGTAAAAACTATTTTATTTTGAAATTTAGTCAAAAATAGTTATAGCTTTTTGAAACTATAGTTACACTTTTAACTCGTATGAGTATCAGGAATTAGTTGAACTGGTAGTCAGCAGTCCAATTATAAAAACGTTTATTTGTGGTTTGAATAAAGTGATTTTTTTAAAAAATTTGTATCATCTATGTACAGCAAAATATTCTACAAAACTATCTATTTGATTTCGAGTACATTGCAGTTATTCTTAAGTTAGAAGCTAGTGCAACATTCTAAGTGCTTATAAAAGAAAACTGCTTTATCTGAATAAAAACATTGAATCATTATATTTATTACTATGGACAAAAAGAAATGCTCTGAATGTCTAGAGGAATATAAAGCCGGAATTATATTATTGTGTCGTGACGCGCCACAAGTATATCATATCTATGCATTTAGTATGTTTAGAATTGTATTACTAAAGTGCAGTATGTCGGGACGCGATCTGTCGTGACGGCGATCAGTCAATTCCCGATCGGCATCAAAACGATGGTGGGGTTATGACACAACACTCCACACTAGTATGTTTCTAATCTGATGCGTTAACTAGGTAGAGTAGAGAATAGTCGTTTGCATTTGTACAAGATGTCGGACGAACTCATTGAACTTGTTAGAAAATACGAAGTGTTGTATAATCCAAAATATAAAGAATACAAGGACCACTTAATAAGAACTGCAGCATGGGAAGAAATTGCTCAAAAATTGAATGAACCAGGTGAGTTTTCAATCTTTTTTATTTGTTTAGGTACTTAAATGGCATAAATAATAGACACAATAGTAGGTATTCATGAACAAAACTTGGTTATTCTTTTCTACACTGTCTGATGGATTCCATCTGCCATGGTACTTGTCCGTCTGGGCTAAAAAAATATTCTTTATATTTCTCTCTAACGTAAACAGCGTCATGAGATGGATTTCTTGCAATAAACTCAATATCAGATAAATAATCTGAGATTTTGTCGTTCACATGTAGATTTAACAAAGTATCTTCGGGTTCTTGTGGGTTTAGGGTACGTAAGTAGTTACGAAGGGTGCAAGCAGCTTATACGATTTTATCCGCCATGTCCGGTTGTACTTGCATTGGTCCTTGGAAAACTCTAAATTGTGCTCTCAATATTCCAAAAGCATTGTCCACAGTTCGTCGAGCACGTGATGAGCGATAATTAAATACTTTATTTGGGTCATTATTCACCAGTTTTGCTTTACTGTAGGATTTTAACAGATAAGCTTTTAGGGGAAACGCTGCATCAGCGACAATTGTGTATGACAAAGGTTCTGAATTTTGGTATAATGGTTTATTTCGTGGAACAGTCAGTTGTTGCCGCTCAAACATTTTCCCCATCAATGACTTATCGAATATACCACCATCACTGTTTCGACCGTAGGCACCTACATCTATCATGTTCTTGTTTATAATTATAATAAGTTGATCTAGCATTAATTGGACAAATTAGGTTGACGTGCTTGCCATCTAATGCCCCAATTCAATTTGGAAAATTCCAATATGTTTCAGAGTCTTTTGCAATTTCAATCAATTTCTCTTTAGAAGGTTGAGACATTACAATGGGGGTAATATTTTCTTGTACTATATTTCTCACTGTAGTAAATCCCATACGATAACTGAATGCCGGAGAATGAAAAGAGTTTCCAGTAGCCAAAAATCTGTGAACAAATGTTCAATGTTGTTATTTTTGTTACAGTTGAAAAGTGCAAAGACAACTGGACAAAATTAAGAAATGCATATGCCAGCGCAATAAAACGGCGTAAAAATAAAAAAGGTGGACAAGCCGCATCACAAGTGATAGCATGGAAATACGAAGAGCAAATTAATTTTTTACGCCCTCACATGGAATCGAGGAACGCCAAAACTAATTTTCCAGAGCCAACACCAGAATCACCTATAGACATGACTCCGTGTAGCCCCCCTGACGTTTTCGTTAATGACTCGCAAAACAGCTCAGCATCGCAACCTCCACAAACTCAAAGTTCGGATGCTAGTTGGAGTGATGGATCTCAAAGGAGCTCAGCGTCAAAACGAACATTATCAGTGAATAACAAACCTAGCTTAAAAGACATTTATGACTTGATGAAGTCGTCAAATGAGGTAAAAAAGCAAAGGCAACATGCTAAGCCAGATATGGATGACACTGACTTATTTTTTTTGAGTATGAGTAAGGCAGTCAAGGCGCTCCCAAAACTCGATCAATGCAAAATAAAGTTGGATTTACATACAGCTGTTTCTCAAGCAGAAATTCGAAAACTCACTCAAACGGATTACGTATTAAAGACACCGCTTAATATAGTATCTCAAACAACTATTCCAAAGAGTTCTTACCAACCTATCCAATCACCTGCATCCATCCAGCCATGCAAAAGTGTACAATCATATGATTTTTCAGGCAGCACACTTGGGACAAACTCTTATCAGGAGCTTATTCAATCTCCCACAATCATACAGTCATTCAACAGTCCAGAAATCGGTAGTCCAGAGTCTCGCGATTCGAGAACGAACATGGAAGAACATTGTTAACTTAATATATCAGGACTATTTTAAAAAATTGTTGAGTAACGAATATTGATGAATGATGTTCTTGATTATTTGAATAATAAATAAAAATAAAACTTACATTAAACATACAGCAAGCCTTTCTTTTGTTCCAATAGGTCGACGAAATCGGGTTTGCATTTTTTTAATATCATTTTCTACCATAGAATGTAATATCTCAAATTGATTTTTCGACATCGCCGTCACGTCAGAGAGTAGCACAACACACCAAGACACAACAATATAATTCCGGCTTAATTCTGAACAAGTTTTTTTGTGAAGGCAGTTGCGTAGAATGTGGGGATCTAACTAGCTCTGAAATAAAATGTCTGCTACTGAAAACTAAACGTAGAATAGTATTTCTATGTAATCAGGACTCTAGAAAGTTCCTATTCTTATGAAACAAATAAATGAAATAAAGGAAACCCTAGAGAAATTTATGAATGTAATAACCCCAGTCACCTATTGAATCTAACTAACCAAGGAATTACTGATGAACATGTTAGGAATCACACGTTAAAAGGTAAGTTAGTCGTTGGTCTTTAGCTAGCACAAGTTTCTCAACTTCTGAGAGTTGTCGTTCGTATGGGGGCGACAGCTGATTATCGCAAAAACACATTTTAAACAGAATTAAACATTCCTAGGAGATAATAAATGAGATAGCGTAATGACAAACAAGGCAATGTAATATTGTTATAACGAATATTCGGGAATATGAAGCAACAATATCATAAAAACGCCAAGAAAATGATATAAAGTCAGCAACTAATATTCTTCGGAGTTACAATATAAATCTGGAGAAGAAAAGAGAATTGAAACTTCCATCAATTTATTAAATCTGGAGAATATAAAAGTATTTAGAGTTGATAAAATTATTCCTAATAAAAACAGATTCCTAAAAGTTACTCTGAGAACTCGAAAGATGTTCTTACTGAATTGAAAAATGAATCAAATGGGACTCCAAGCATCAATATTTTTGGTGATGAAACGCGTAAACAGAGGTATTATCATAAATTTGTGAAAAATAAACTCGAGGAACTCAAACCTAAAGGGGATAACTCAAAAACGATTAGGTTTATAAGCAGTTAACCCTCCATCTTCACCAATACACAAATTACAAAAAACACATAGATAATCTTAGTATACTTTTTAACTGTGACATAAGTTATGCCAACATACAGAGTTTATTGGTAAATAAGGACGAAGCCAAAATATTATGTTATAACTCTGCACTGATTTTGTCAAAGTCGAACTATATCTGAAATTGAAGAAGCAGAAGTCCTTTTTACCAACTACAACATTACAAGGTTTGACTCTACTTCTGCAGAATAGAACACAGAACAAAATTGGCATAATTTTAGAAACATGGCAAAGATGTATTTTTTATGACATTAAACTTATATCTTCTCTCCGTAATGAGTTTGTAAATTCACTAAAACCTAAAAAAAGCAATTTCTCTGTGACAAAATTAATATGAATGAAAGAAATCCATTGTTGATATGGAAAGAACTCAGGAAAAATGTTAATATGAATAATAAATTATCCTAGTTTAGTCAAAAATGGAGAGGGTCAAATAAGCACTATAAGAAAGGATGATGAAATTGCAGAATGTTTCAGTTGATAGAAAGATTACGTAAGCTCACTTACAAATTTTATTAGCAAAAAAGTATAGTCAGAAGAAAAATGTTGCTTACTGTATATGATGCCCTGGCCGAGTCCATTTTACGGTATTGTCTAATAATATGGGGAGGAATATTCAAATCTTCCTTACCTAATTTAGAAATTATCCAAAACTCACTCATAAAAATTATGTTCAGAAAGAATAAATGCTATAATACTCATTATATGAAGAGAGTGGAATATATAGTGTAGAAAACTGTATACTTTCCGTTGTATATTATGGACAGCCAGAGTTACGAGTACATTTGTTCAGAATATATAATACTCGTTTACACACTTCTCAGATTACAAAGGTTCACGATGCCGACTCACTCACAATCAAAAATGTATTACATGCATTGGACCAAAACTCTACAATTCTTTACCGCCGTCACTAAAATGTATGAAGAGTTATACTAAATTGAAAATAGAATTGAAAACATCAATCACAACTACCACAGATTGGAAACAATACTGGATAGTTGACTAATTCACCATACTGCAGCCACTCAATACAATGTCACAAACTTTTGTTTCTGTATCTTCTTTCGTATTTGATGCTCTTATTATGCAAAAAGACTGCTCATCATTTTGGTCGTCCTTCTAGGACTCCCCAGAACAAATTAGTAGGTTTATCTTAGTTTGTAAATGTATTGGATTTGTGGCTGTAACACATGCTTGGCTTAGATAGCCACAATCCTTCATAGATATAATTTATAGTTCCGTAAAATAAGCTGTAATTGTTTATATTTTATATTAATCTGAATTGAATAAATTTTGCTTTGATTTGATAGTATTGGGGATATAATTGAAAGCATTGATGCGACTCACGTAAGATATGATTTACTGTCATTAGAAAGCACCTTTGCACAGATGATGATCTCACAAAAATCATGAATAACTTGGAAAATAAATCTAGTAATGAAATAATTGATAAAAAGTTTTTGAAAAGTACATATGGGGTCATTGGCAATGTGTTGTTACATTAATTTCTTCTACAAACGATGTCTCACTCTTACAAGAAGATTTGTCACAATTTTATGTCTGGTGTGTTGTGAATCAAATGAATTTGAATATATTCAATAATGCTTCTGCCAAACATTTTCTAGAATTATTCACCCTGTTCTACATGACTACAGTATCAATAATATACCAATTAATAGGAAATCAGTGATGAAGGACTTAGGAATTATCTTCAATCGTGAATTGAACTTCAAATCCCATAGTGAGTATATTATAGCAAAATCACTCAAGATGTCGGGCTCCATCAATATATCATGTAAGGAATTCAGTTTGAACAGTCTCAAGTTATTATATTGTTCATTAGTTAGATTATTATTGGAGTACGCTTCAATAATTTGGTGCCCATATTATGAGATACACATAAACCAAATTGAAGCTGTACAAAACACTTTCCTGAGGATCTGTGCATACAAGTTAGGTCTAAGAAGGGGAGAATATGCATACAACAACATTAGAGATCAGATGAATCTATTATCTTTAAAGAATAGAAGAATTATTTATTCATGTTTTTTAAGCAAAATTTTAACTGGCAAGATCAACTGTGAGGAGATTTTATCTTTAATTAATTTGAATGTCAACAGACATACCAGAGTCAGTATCGAAACATTTAAAATACTGTTCCACTCTACAAATTATGTTTTTTTCTCTCCTGTCACAAATACCATCAAAATTGAACTGAGTCGCATTATTTCCATAAAGATTTCCTTTGAATATTCTATACTATTTCATCATTATATTTGCTTTCTTTTTATATTATATATCATATTATTATTATTGTGCTATGTATTTATTTTTAAGTTTAAGATTTTACAAACATTTTTTTTTTCTCCATGACAAAATTGTACTGAGATTTTTATCACTATATTATTGTATTGCGTTTTATATGTATTATGTATTTATTGTATTTATTATCTTTTGTTTAGTTGAAATTTTACAAATAATTTTTTTATAACAAATTGTAATTGGTACTACCTGTTGAATAAATAAATAAACATTTTATCAATATATCATAAGAGTATGGAGTTTTTCCTGATCAACTAATAACTAGTACTGTTGTAACTATCCAAGAGGTTTTGAATACGGTTACATCTCGGGAATATCGACTAATTAATACCTTAGCTAGTCTTGAAAAAATATAAGAACTGGTAGAATACCAGCAGTTATTACAATACTTGAATATTGATAGTTTTATCTTTGAAAATCAATCAGGCTTTCGACAACATCATTCATGTTAATCATCATTGCAGCTAGCTATTACTGAATGAAAAGAAAGTGTTATATAATTGCAGTATTCTTAGATTTGAAACGAACTTTTGAGACAATCGATGGTGAAATTCTGATACTGTACTTGAGTGGTTCAAAAATTATCCCAGAAATCGTAAACAAATAACTTATATCAACCAAAGTTTTCTCAACCTGTTGAAAATTCATTTGGCGTTCCACAAGGTAGTGTCTTGGGACCACTATTGTTCTTATTGTATGTAAACGACATGCATCTTTTCCATTCCTGTGACTTTAGTGGTAATTTGGAAAGCGCTATCAACAATTCATTCCTATCTAAATAACAATAAACTTGAATTTAATATAAATAAAACTAAAGCAATGATATTATCTACACCACATAAGATAAAATATGTTAATATGAACCACTATATGCTTTTAATAAATGGTGAAAAAATCACATTTATAAACGAAATTAATTATTTAGGTTTCATGTTAGATAACACTCTTTGAATGCCAATTTAAATTATATTTACAAAAAAATTTCGAAAAAAAAGATATATTTCTTTATTATTAAAGTCATCTGAGCAATCTTTGTAATCTAGATTAACAGTTTATAATACAATTATTCAACTTTGATTTCTGTGTAAGTATATTATATTCCTTCGATGCTAACAAAATTTCAAGTCTTCAGAATCGAGGAATGCGTATAATCTTAAGGTGTAACCAATATACAAATATTATTTTCATGTGCGACTCATTAAAATGGTTACCTCGTTCACAGGCAGATAGGGCGATGACAAACCTTGTTGTTTGTTGTCCGCTTCAGCCTAGTTCAAGGAATGATATTCTGAAGGAATTCGATTTTCAATCATAGGAAGTCATTGACTTTATGTTGCACTGACGAGTGGTCAAACAGCCCGAAACCGGTCTGCAAGTGTGTTTCAATAGATGAAAATCTACGCTTCAAAACAGTTTAGGATCATTTCGCAGTCGAAACCAGAACAGAGGATTCATCAGTATTGAAATTATCCTCAATAAACCAGAACGCTCTATATCAACTTCGCATGATCCTGACGTCCTAGAACCTGAATTTCGTAGAACCAGAACAAACCTATTAATTTCTTTCCAAATTTGTATCATGTTTTTCGTTCTTCATGTTCTATGTGTTTTGACAGTAGATTGTCATCTTTTTGACAGAAAGCCCATTCCATATAAGTAAACACTACTTTATGGTGTGTTTACAAAGTTGATGTAGGGAATATTATTACAAAGCGAGTCGTTAAGTGGTGGTTTTGTATTTGTGAAAAAGTTGTGTCTGTCTAGGTCTAGTTGTCTAGTTTCAAAATGAACAAGTGTCGTGCTGTGGGTTGCTGTAATTTGCAGGGTGATGTCGGCATTCATTTTTTTCGATTTCCAATTGACGAAAAAAGGTATGTTATTCTAGTTTTTATTATGTAAGATTGAAGGAGAACATATAGCGAAAATAAAAATTGTTATAGAACATATATAGCGGGGTCATTAATATGCAGACTTTTTTTTATGAAATTAATTTAATAAAACTGAACTTTATGAATAGTATATGCCTCACAAATAATGATATAAAATGACAAAATAATCGGAGTTCCACTGAAAATCCACAAAGGAAAATAATTGTTGGAACCACATCAAGCTTTTGGCTAGTGAGTATCTGTAGGAAAAAAATTACTTCCACTGAATCTCTGCACAACCAAAGTTTCAAATATATATTCAAATAACTTTTTTTGGAGCGTACTTTCCATTTATATGTTCCAGATTATCTACTATAAATAGCAAATATATCCATTCCAAAACTTAGAAATCTGTATTTTATACTGAAGTTTTGATTTACAATAACCAACCCAATAATATAAAAAAGTTACTTCAGAAAAACGATTCAAAACCAAACGAAATAAACGTTTGTTAAATAACCTTTTTTTTTGTCTCTCATCAAATTCTGATCCAATCTATTTAATACCTATATTCATTTGTATTTTTCAATTGATCAAGATCCTTACTTCAAACACTAAAAGTTTCTTGGGGCCAATAAAGATTATTGTTATTTATATTTATATATTCTCTAGATGCATGCAGTGGAAGAAATTCGTGGAGTTTGTTGGCGATGTTCCTCCAGAAAAATGTCACAAAAACATGAGATTGTGTCATTTTCACTTCGATGAGAAATATTTTACATCAACCAGAAAAAACCGCCTATATAAAGATGCAATCCCCACAATTCGTTCAGGTAAGAATAAGAATTCTAATATCACGTGAGACAACCTCCCCAAATATGAATAGGTTTTGGGCTTCCTTCAAGAGCCACATTTTCATTTGTGACTGAAAGTATTATAGAGATACGTATTCATACCAAAATTAAAAAGTTTATTTTCAACAGTTGATGTACCCGCGACATCGGGAAATGCTTATACAAGTGAGGACGTGAAACCTCTACGTCAGGGTGAACTTGAAGAAGATTCGAAAATCTGTATGATCGAGGAATCTTTTGATAGGGAAAATTATATGGAACCATTGGCGATAAAACTTGAATTAGATGAAGAAGCTCCAAATTTGGAAAAAGCTTACAAAGATGAAGATGAGGCAGTGTCAAATACTGATTATTCTCACTCATTTGATGGAGGTATGATTTTCTTCCGTTTTTCACGATATGCAAATAATTATTTTTTATGTTGGAAGATCCATTTGCATCTGGAAATTATTTGTGTGTGTGTGTGTGTGTGTGTGTGTGTGTGTGTGTTGTGTGTGTGTGATATTCAAATCTGAAAGAGTTTTTTTTTCAATTTTTGATTAGATTTTTCATTCTCATATCAACAGGTAACTACATAATTGTTTACTTCTATGCGGTGCTTTTAGGTTAGGAGTTATTTATAAAAAATAAATTATGAAAATAAATCAGCTTTAATCAAACCTTTTCCAGGATATGGCTTGTTTGAAAGTGGAAGGCAAATCAAGATGGAGGTGAAATCTGAACCGAGTGAAGCTGAAATGTTCAGTGAATGTGAAAGAAATGGCGATGCCTCTAATACTAACATGTCTACCAACGATTTGGACGAAAACGATGAATTGAAAGTAAATATGCCTATAGATAAGTTTGATCCAGACGAAATTAAAGTTGAAGAAACTTGTTTTATTCCTTATTTTGATCTCAAATCTGAAAAGTGCGAGAAGGCAATTAAGGAAGGTTCCAATTTGAAAGCATGTGAAGAAGAATTATTTAGTCATGAAAATGGGTCCAGTAATAGCTGGAGAAACCATAATGAGTCTCGCGCTATACTACTTGAAAATATAACGGAGGATTCGAAGCCTTCTGTTGGTTTTACCAAGGGTAAGTTACAAAATTGCTATCAATAAGTATAAAACTACTTTGGAACCTAATATAGTTTCCAGTAAAATTTTCACCATAAACGACTCATGAAACCACATTATGTGTATCACTACACAGTAGCTTCTAATTGATCCACTTTGGATCTATTATATAGCAAAATGTAGCTATACAACGGTGACTACTGTTTCGGATTTGAGCCAGTACTTACTGAAATATGACAGATACTGATGAAATGCCAAAAATGCCAAGATACACACTGTTTAGAAAATTGAACTGTATTTTAGGAATTTCCTACTTCAATAAATAAACGTATTATTTAACTATGTAAGAAAATATTTCAAAAAAGCCCAATGCAATTCATTGATATCTTGAACTTTTAAACGAACTATTTTTTTACACTCCATCTTCATTTTCATTGTATGCACTCCATAAACCACTCCTATCTTATACAAAAACTGCGTGAACGGTAGTTTTTATCACTTAGTGAAACTGCGGCATTCCAAATCCATTTTCATGAGACAACTTCAGATAGTTCGTACTGGAACCTCTGGCGTTGGAAAAGTTGGAAATAGAACAACTTCAGAGTGGAAAAACTGTTTGAAAATTTATTGAAAACATTTTTCCCATGCCAGAACAAGCGGCAAAACACGGTACTTTTGTCTAATGTGGTAAAAGTATTTCCAACAGATTCATTTTTTGTCAAAGACTCTAATTTTACGTACTAAATTTGAGAGATGGTTTGAACACATGCAAAAAGTTTTTTCCTACATTTTGTAAAGTTTTGAAAGTAACCCTCGGTATATGTTTCGTGACCTTCAATGAATGAAAACTTTCTTTATTCATATGTAATTTTTTCACAGATATTGGAAACATCCTTGTTGAAACAAAGGAAAAAACTATATTTGACGAGAAGGAAGAGATTTTCATTGAAAATATTCCATCAGCTCCGGATGAAATGAAGTTTGTTGTTGAAGATGACTATGTTGTTAAACATGAAATGGAACCAACGACAGAGAGGATTAATGAACAATACAATTCTGCAAATTTAGAAACCAGTGAAAGATCTCATAGTGAAGAAAAACCATTTCAGTGTAAAATGTGCTCAAAATCATTTACTAAAGCTGATGTTTTAAAACACCATGAAAAATTGCATACTGGGGAAAAACCATTTCAATGTAAAATATGCTCAAAGTCATTTGTTCGAAATAATCGCTTAAAAATTCATACTGGCGAAAAACCATTCCAGTGTAAATTCTGCTCCAAATCATTCATTCAAGAAAGTAATTTGAAATACCATGAAAAGATACATACAGCTGAAAAGCCATTTCAGTGTAAAATTTGCTCCAAATCATTTGCTAAACCTAGTGCTTTGAAAGACCATGAAAAAATTCACACCAAAGAAAAAGAATTTCAGTGTAACATATGCTCAATGTCATTCATTCGAAATAGTGAATTAATAAAACACGAAAGAACCCATTCTGGTGAAAAACCGTTTCAGTGTCAAATATGCTCAAAATCCTTCAGTCGAAGTGATAATTTGAAATGCCATGAAAAAATTCACACTGGAGAGAAAGCATTTCAGTGTAAAATATGCTCAAAGTCATTCATTCAAAATAGCGAATTAATTAGGCATGAAAGAACTCATTCTGGTGAAAAACCGTTTCACTGTCAAATATGTTCAAAATCGTTCAGTCGAAGTGCTCATTTGAAATACCATGAAAAAATTCATACTGAGGAAAAATCATTTCAGTGTGAAATCTGCTTAAAAGCATTCTTTCACAGTCATAGTTTGAAACGCCATGAAAAAAATCATACTGGCGAAAAATCTTTGAAGTGTAAAGTCTGCTCAAAATCATTCAAACACGGCAGTTATTTGAAATACCATGAAAAGATTCATACTGAAGAAAAACCATTTCAGTGTAAAATTTGTTTGAAATCGTTCATTCGAAATAGTGAATTAATTACTCATGAAAGAACTCATTCTGGTGAAAAACCGTTTCAGTGTCAAATATGCTCAAAATCTTTCAGTCGAAGTGGTGATTTGAAATGCCATGAAAATATTCATACTGGAGAAAAACCCTTTCAGTGTAGAATATGTTCAAAGTCATTCGTTCGAAATAGTGATTTAATTAAACATGAAACAACTCATTCTGGAGCAAAGCCGTTTCAGTGTAAATTTTGCTCAAAATCGTTCAGCCGAAGTGATAATTTGAAATGCCATGAAAATATTCATACTGGCGAAAAATCTTTCAAGTGAAAGGATGCTCAAAATCATTCATTCACGGCAGTGTAACATATGCTCAGTCATTCATTCCAAATAGATAATTAATTACACATGAAAAGACTCATTCTGGTAAAAAACCGTTTCAGTGTCAAATATGCTCAAAATCATTCAGTCGTAGTGATAATTTGAAATGCCATGAAAATATTTATACTGGCAAAAAACCTTTCATGTAAAATATACTCAAAGTCATTCATTCTAATAACTTATTTGAGAAATCATGGAAAAAGTCCATATCTTGGACAAAACATCTGAGTGTAAAATCGTTCAGTCGAAATTGCCATTTAAGGTCTCATGAAAAAAATCATATTAGGTAAAAGCTATTTTATTTTGAAATTTAGTCAAAAATAAATATAGATTTTTGAAACTATAGTTACACTTTTAACTCGTCTGAGTATCAGGTATTAGTTGAACTGGTAGTCAGCAGTTCAATTGAATAAACTTTTATTTGTGGTTTAAATAAAGTGTAAAGTGTGGTTGAATAAAGTGATATTGAAGTAGTTCTTTGATTCTTTTCCCGGACGGTTCCCTAATGAAGGTTCTACTGTGTTTCTTGCCAGGTACTTTTGTCCAGTACTATGTGTGCTTCTTATTGGTCCATGTCCTAATCTGGTTTCGTACCAATGATTTTGGTACCCCCAAAGCTGGTTCAGGACCTATATATGCAGTTGATGATCCGCGTCTAGCGCATTCATCAGCTTTATCATTACCTGTGATTCCTGAATGCCCTGGCACCCAGTACAAAGTTAATTTGTTCCTGTTTGCAAGTTCATTCAGTTCTTCATGGCATTTCCAGACCAGTTTTGATGTCACCTTCGGGTTTTTCAGAGCCCCTAGTGAGCTCTTGCTGTCTGTTAATATATTGATCCGCTCATTTCTTTAGAGGTCTCAATTTAATAAGCCTTGCACACTGCAAGATAGCATACACTTCCGCCTGAAAGACGGTTGTGTATAGTCCTAGCGGATAACTGTAGTTTAAATTTCTATCCGCTCGGTATATTCCAGCTCCCGTTCCATTTTTGGTCTTCGATCCATCTGTATACTAGGTGTTTTTTCCAAACATGTTTTCGGGATGACGAATGGTCTTCCACTCTTCACGGCTTATGATTTTGGCCGTGAAGTTTGTGTTAAAGGTGTACTTCGGTGTCATGTGGTCCGTGCACATATTCAATATGTGCTCCTCCACTTGTTCCGAAATCTCTATTCGGTCCGATCTTTTGTAGTTCGGTGAGTTTTCCAGTCTGAATTAGCCCATCCTGGCCTCCCCCATTATCACAAAGTGTAAAGGAGATAGATTCAGAGGTCTCCCCAATGCAGCTGTTGGGGTAGTTCTCATTGCTCCCGTCTTTCCCAAACATGCAAGTCTTTGCACATTGCCTAGTTTGTTGATGACGGTCGCCTGCTTCATCTTTGGCCGCCAGACTAGATATGAGTATGTTATCATGGGTTTAACCACCATCGTGTATAGCCAATATACTATGTCTGGTTTTAGCCCCCATGTTTTTCCATAGGTGCGTCTGGCGAGCATCAGTGCTACCTCCGCTTTCCTCTTCATCCTGTGCAAGTGTTGTTTCCAGGTCAGTTTGGAATCTAGGATTACTCCCAGATATTTAGCCTCCCCCGATACTTGAAATACTTCACCTCGAAGTTTTAGAGGTCCGAGACCCTCCGTTTTAGTCCTCTTGGTGAATGCTACTGTGGTCGATTTGGATGGGCTTATGTTAAACCCTTCTTCGGTCCATCTTGTTATGATATTCAGGGCCTGCTACATGCATCCCTTCACTACATTATTGTATTTACCCTGGACTAAGATGACTAAGTCGTCTGCATAGCCCAGTGCTTTATACCCATTGTGGTCCAAGAGACATAACAGCTCGTCCATTACTTACAAGGTTCCATAACAGAGAGGATACAACCCCCTTGAGGACAGCCCTTTGCTACCTGTGCCACGACTGTTTCCCCCACCTACAGCTTGTCTTGTCGATCCCTCTTCTCCTCGACGCCTGGATGATTGATTCTAACGACGTATGTCGCCCTCAATGTCCAAGAAAGCAGCTAAAAGTACTTCCTTGTTTTTGTAAGTATGTTCTACTTTTTCTGTTACCCGACATAGAGCCATTCCTGTTGACATACCTGTCGTTACGACAGGTATGTCAACAGGAATGGCTCTATGGTCTCGATGTAATGGTCTGATAGCCAGTGATACGTTCCTGATATGCCTGTCAAGTAGTTTTTCTAGCGTTTTCAACGCAAATGACATGAGACTAATTAGTCTCAAGACCTTCGCCGAGTCCTGTCCGATTTTCCCAGGATTCCTTATATATTGCGTTACTTGGGAAGATATTTAAAAATGAATAAATATGCCCCGACACTGCAGAAGAGCGTAATTTTTCAGCATAGGCAAAGACCATATAGTTGGTTTACCCAAAAGTATACACAAACATGATTAATTTCAATTTGCAGTAATGTCACAATTTTTTTCCAAATAACCTCATTCAATAGTTAAATCACATACATCGTTTTGAATGAATAAAGTATATATGAATGCTAATAATTATACACTATAAATTTTATTCAAGACACGTTTCACTACACAGTAACTTCATCAGTTACTGATACATCAAACTATTCTACAACGTATTTTATACAAGGACAGGTAGTTACAAAACCCAATTAGATAAATGATGGTAGATTTCGTTTAAACAATTACAATGCAATATTATTTCGAGGTAAACAGGTAATTTATAAGAATGTTAATTCTGAGAATTGTGAATTGATGGATGTGGCCGTTACTACATGGTGGGAGATCATCATGAGTAATGAAAATTAGAATACATTTCCTAAAAGAACAATTCGTTCTGGCCAGTCTTGACTTATTTACTTAGCAAGGTAATGAACTGACTCCTATTAGAAAACAACTACTCCCTTGGCTAATACCACGAAGGGCGTTGGATTATATCCGACAGGTGTCAGTGGAGGATACTACACTGAAGCTATTGGCGATACAACTACTCGGAATACATTTTCAATTATGGGAACACACTTCCAGACCGGTTTCGGCCTGTTTGGCTCGTCAGTGCAAGGTAGTGTCTATCATCAACCTAAAGTCGATGATTTCCGATAATTAATAATCGAATTCCTTTCAGAGTATCATTTCTCGAAGTAGGCAGAAGCGAGATTACAAATCTTTGTAAAGAGTTTAATTTGGAATTTTTATTCTTTTCTTCGGAAGATACTTCTTTCCCAAAAATGAAAACATAGTAATAGATTTATTATGAAGTAATGAAAATGCAACCCTGGTGGTGATGGAAATAGGAAATTGCGCATGCACAATAATTTTATACAAATAAGAAGAAGAAAAAGGTCGCTGAAGTGACACATTCGATCACTTCTATACACTATTTTTATTCTAGTTTAGCATCATTTTTATCGTTTGATCACAATTGAAAGTAAACATTAAAATTATTGTTGATTGTTATTTATCTGTTATGTTAATTAGTAACAAATCTATACTATAAGGAGTTATCTACAAAAATAAATTCTGAACATAAATCTGCTTTATTCAAACCTTTCTCAGGATATGGCTTCTTTTGAATGTGGAAGGCAAATTAAGAGGGAGGTTCAAACTGTTGATGAAGTTCCTTTTCAAAGACATGACGTGAAATCTGAACCGGGTGAAGCTGAAATGTTCAGTAAATGTGGAAGAAATGGCGATGCCTCTGATACTTACATGTCTACCAACGATTTGGACGAAAATGATGAATTGAAAGTAAATATGCCTATAGATAAGTTTGATCCAGAAGAAATCAAAATTGAAAAAATTTGTTTTATTCCTTATTTTGATCTCAAATCTGAAAAGTGCGAGAAGGCAATTAAGGAAGGTTCCAATTTGAAAGAATGTGAAGAAGAATCATTCAGTCATGAAAATGGGTCCAGTAATAGCTGGAGAAACCATAATGAGTCTCGTGCCATACTACTTGAAAATATAACAGAGGGTTCGAAGCCTTCTGTTGGTTTTACCAAGGGTAAGTTACAAAATTGCTATTAATAAGTATAAAACTACTTTGGAACCTAATATAGTTTCCAGTAAGAACAATGAATTTAAAGTGAATGTGCCTATAGATAAATTTGACCCAGAACAAATCGACATTGAAGATAATTTTTTCATTCCTCACCCTGATATCAAATTTGTAAAGTGCAAGATTAGAATAACAGAAGGTTCCAATAAAAAAGCATGTGAAGGAGAATTATTCAAACATGAAAATGGATCCATTTATAGCTGGCGAAACCATAATGAGTCTCACGCCATTTTACTTTCAAATATGACTGAGGATTCTTTTACCATGTATGTTGGAAAATAGTCCAAAAAAGTCCAATGCATTGATATCTTGAACTTTTTCATATAAGCTACAAATCTCATGAAACTCAAGAGAACTATTTGAAATTTTCTAAACACAGATCCAGATGGAATTCACTTTCAAAGGAATGTTATTTCAGTTATATGAAAGATACCTAAGCTGAAATATAATGTAATCTTTGTTTGAAGGTGATTGACAATGTTTCATGATGAATTTCACTAGTTCAGACTTCCATTGTCTACTATATAAAATGATTTGAAATCCCTGAAACAACTAAAAAAGAAGAAGCTGTTCATTTTTTATTCTTCTTTTTCAGTTGTTTCAGGTGTTTCAAATCATTTTATATAGTAGAAAATAGAAGTCCGAACTAGTGAAATTCATAATGTAATCTCCCATACTTTGGGAAGTATTTTGTCTCAAAAAAAAAACTGAAAAATACTGTATGAAAAAGAAGTAACGTGAGAATTGCATGAAATTCGTTCGCACATTAACAGAAAAATAATATAATACAATTGTCTCATGCCATTAATTTTGCTTTCTAAATGCTTTCCAATGAAAACAGTCAAAAATAGATGTGGGTAATCCTCATTCATGTTTCGTAACCTTCCATTAATATAAATTTACTTCATACATAAGTAATTTTTTCACAGATACTGGAAACATCCTTGTTGAAATAAAGGAAGAAACTATCTTCGAGGAGAAGAAAGATATTCTCACTGAAAATATTCCATCAGGTCCAGAAGGAATGGAGTTTGTTGTTGAAAATGATCATGTAAAGCATAAGATGGTACCAACAATAGTTGATGAACAATACTATTCTACAAACTGTTTGAATTCAAAAACCAGTGAAAAACTGCTTACTGGAAAAAAACCATTCCAGTGTAAAATCTGCTCTAAATCATTCATTCAGGAAAGTGCTTTGAAGTACCATGAAAAGATACATTCTGGTGATAAATCATTCCAGTGTAAAATCTGCTCTAAATCATTCATTCAGGAAAGTGCTTTGAAGTACCATGAAAAGATACATAGAGGTAAAAAGCCATTTAACTATAAAATTTGCTCGAAATCATTCGCTAAACCTGGTGCTTTAAAAGACCATACAAAAATTCACACTGAAGAAAAAGAATTTCAGTGTAAAACATGCTCAAAGTCATTCATTCAAAATAATAAATTAATTAGACATGAAAGAACTCATTCTGGTGAAAAACCGTTTCAGTGTGAAATATGCTCAAAATCATTCAGTCGAAGTGATCATTTGAAATACCATGAAAAAATTCATACCGGCGAAAAATCTTTGAATTGTAAAGTCTGCTCAAAATCATTCAAACACGACAGTTCTTTGAAATACCATGAAAAAACTCATACTGACGAGAAACCATTTCAATGTCAAATTTGCTTGAAATCATTCATTCAAAATATTGATTTGAAATACCACGAAAAAATTCACACTGGAGAAAAATCATTTCACTGTAAAATATGCTCAAAATCGTTCATTCGAAATAGGGAATTAATTACACATGAAAGAATTCATTCTGGTGAAAAACCGTTTCAGTGTCAAATATGCTTAAAATCGTTCAGTCGAAATGGTGATTTGAAATACCATGAAAACGTTCATACTGGGGAGAAACCCTTTCAGTGTAGAATATGCTCAAAGTCATTTATTCGAAATAGTGATTTAATTAAACATGAAACAATTCATTGTGGAGCAAAGCCATTCCAGTGTAAATTTTGCTCAAAATCGTTCAGTCGAAGTGATAATTTGAAACGCCATGAAATTATTCATACTGGAGAAAAACCCTTTCAGTGTGAAATATGCTCAAAGTCATTCATTCGAAGAACTCATTTAAAAAATCATGAAAACATACATACTGGCACAAAATCATTTGAGTGTGAAATCTGCTTTAAATCATTCTTTCACAATCATAATTTGAAACGCCATGAGAAAATTCATACNTTTCGCAGTCATAATTTGAAACGCCATGAGAAAATTCATACTGGCGAATAATCTTTCAAGTGAAAGGCTGCTCAAAATCATTCATTCAAGGCAGTTCTTTGAAATACCATGAAAATATTCATACTGAAGAAAAACCATTTCAGTATAAAACATTTATTCATCAAAGTTGTTTGATATACCGTGAAAAAATTAACACTGGTAAAAAACCCTTTCGTGTAAAATATACTCAAAGTGATTCATTCCAAGAACTTATTTGAAAAATCCATACCTTGGACAAAACATTTGTCTTATGAAAAAAATCATATTGGGTAAAAGCCATTTTATTTTGAAATTAAGTCAAAAATAGTTATAGCTTTTTGAAACTATAGTTACACTTTGAGTATGAGTAACAGGTATTAGTTGAACTGGTGGTCAGCAGTCCAATTATAAAAACGTTTATTTATGTTTTAAACAAAGTGATTTTTTAAATTTTGGATTATCTATGTGCAGAAAAATATTCTACAAAATTATCCAGTTGATTTCAAGTACATTGCAGTTATTCTTAAGTTAGAAGCTAGTGCAACATTCCAAGTGCTTGTAGAAAAAAAAATGCTCTGAATGTCTAGAGGAATATAATTCTGAACAAATTTTTTCATGTGATGGCTGTGAAAAACTTGTTTGCAGTTCTGAAATAAAATGTCTACTACTAAAAACTAAACGTAGAATGATAATTCTATGTAATGACTGTGAATCAGGACTCTGGAAAGTCCTTATTCTTATGAAACAAATAAATGAAATGAAGGAAACTCCAGAAACATTTATGAATGTTTAAGTGTATTTGTTTTTTTTTTGTATATAAATATAGTTGAGTATCTGTCTTAAGTGTCCGATCTATGTTATACTGTGGACCGTTATTGTTTTATATAATTGAAAAACCCTTTCAGTGTGAAATATGCTCAAAGTCATTCATTCGAAGAACTCATTTAAAAAATCATGAAAACATACATACTGGCACAAAATCATTTGAGTGTGAAATCTGCTTTAAATCATTCTTTCACAATCATAATTTGAAACGCCATGAGAAAATTCATACTGGCGAATAATCATTCAAGTGAAAGGCTGCTCAGAATCATTCATTTAAGGCACTTCTTTGAAATACCATGAAAATATTCATACTGAAGAAAAACCATTTCAGTGTGAAACATTTATTCATCAAAGTTGTTTGATGTACCGTGAAAAAATTAACACTGGTAAAAAACCCTTTTGTGTGAAATATACTCAAAAGTCATTCATTCCAAGAACTTATTTGAAAAATCCATACCTTGGACAAAACATTTGTCTTATGAAAAAAATCATATTGGGTAAAAGCCATTTTGTTTTGAAATTTAGTCAAAAATAGTTATAGTTTTTTGAAACTATAGTTACACTTTCAACTCGTATGAGTAACAGGTATTAGTTGAACTGGTGGTCAGCAGTCCAATTATAAAAACGTTTATTTGTGTTTTAAACAAAGTGATTTTTTTAAATTTTGGATTATCTATGTGCAGAAAACTATTCAGTTGATTTCAAGTACTGCTGTACTGCTTTATCTGAATAAAAACATTGAATCATTATATTTATCACTATGGACAAAAAAATGCTCTGAATGTCTAGAGGAATATAATTCTGAACAAATTTTTTCATGTGATGGCTGTGAAAAACTTGTTTCCAATAGCGCAGGATGTGGGGATCTAACTAGTTCTGAAATAAAATGTCTACTACTAAAAACTAAATGTAGAATGATAATTCTATGTAATGACTGTGAATCAGGACTCTGGAAAGTCCTTATTCTTATGAAACAAATAAATGAAATGAAGGAAACCCCAGAAACATTTATGAATATTTAAGTGTATTTGTTTTTTTTTTTTTGTATATAAATATAGTTGAGTATCTGTCTTATGTTATATGATCTATGTTATACTGTGGACCGTTATTGTTTTATATAATTTTCACATTTTTTATATTTCTTATATCATGTAAATGATCGAAAACACGAATAAAGTTATTATTATTATTATACACAAACATGATTAATTTTAATTTGCATAACAATTACGTTCAATAAAATGTAGCAATTTTTTCAAAATAACCTTGTTCAGTGGTTAAATCACATACAAAAGTTTTGAATAAAAAAATATATATGAATGCTAATATTTATACAACTTTTACACTATAAATTTTATTCAAAGTACGTTTCACTACACAGTAACTTCACCAGTTACTGATACATCGAACTACTTTACATCTTGTATATAAGAGTAGGTAGATACAAAACTCGATTAGATGAATGATTGATTCTGGTGAAACATGTAGATTTCATTAAAACAATTACAAGGCAATATATTATTTCTAGGCAAACAGATAATTTATAAATATATTAATTCTGAGAATTGTGAATTGATGGATGTAGCCGTTACTACGTGGTGGGATATCATCATGAAAAATGAGAATTAAAACAAATTTCCTAAAAGAACAATTTGTTCCGACCAGTCTCAACTCACCTACACGGTAGGGTAATGGGCTGACTACAATCAGAAAACAACTACTCTACTGGCTAATGCCACGAAGGCCGTTGGATTATATCCGACAGGTGTGTGTCAGTGCAGGATACTTCATTGATGGTATTCCTGTATTAGTATGCTGTTGGCGATACAACTACACGGAATCCATTTTCAATTATCGGAATACACTTGCAGACCGGTTTCGGGCTGTTTGGCCACTCGTCAGTACAAGGTAGTATCTATCATCAACCTTAAGTCGATGATTCCCGATAATAAAAATCGAATTCTTTTCAGAGTATCATTCCTCGAACTAGGCAGAAACGATGTTACAAATCTTTGTAGAGTTTATTTTGGAATCGTTTACTTCCTTTCTTTGTAAGATACCGCTTTCCCAAAAATGAAAATATAGTAATAGATTTATTACAATGTAATGAAAGTGCAACCCTGTTGGTGCTACAAATAGGAAACTGCGCACTGATGCCAACTGCTCAAAATCTTTTCCCCTAAGCCTATTTCAAAACCCCCTAAATTCTAACTAAGAAACCCCAAATTTTTTAAGTAAATGAAAAATCTAATTAAATATTCAAAGTTGCTATAACATTTAAACAGTTAAAAAGTTAATGGATTATCTAACCTTCAATAAAGAGGTTATTGAAAAATGTTACGTAACATTTTTAAAACATGGTAACTTTTTTATTGCCTTCATGTGAGTACGTCAGTACACAACATCAACTAATAAATGAAAAAATAGATACATCAAAGGAACACACATATATGTGCATGAATACTTATACTATATTAATTCCCAATTCATTAATAATTTTGAAAAACTCATCATCTTCTTGTTCTTCATTTGTGTCGATATCAATTATTCATTTTCTCTCTAGAAAAATTTACCCCCAAAAATCCCCTTTTTCAAATTATATTCCCCAAATTTAGGGGGGAAATCCCCAAGTTGGCATCACTGAAACTGCGCAAGCTCAAGAATTCTGTACAAATAAGAAGAAGAAAATGGTTGCTGACTTGACACATTCGATCATTTCTAGACACTATTTTTATTCTAGTTTAGGCACAGATTAAATATATTTAATCTGTGGTTTAGGATCATTTTCATGGTTTGGTCACAATCGAAAGTAAACATTAAGATTATTGTTGATTGTTGTTTATCTGTTATGTAAATTAGTAACAAATCTATACTATAAGGAGTTATATACTAAAATAAATTCTGAACTAAATCTGCTTTATTCAAACCTTTCTCAGGATATGGCTTCTATTCAATGTGGAATGCAAATTAAGAGGGAGGTCCAATCTGTTGATGATGAAGTTCCTTTTCAAAAACATGACGTGAAATCTGAACCGGGTGAAGCTGAAATGGTCAGTAAATGTGGAAGAAATGGCAATGCCTCTGATACTCACATGCCTACCAACGATTTGGACGAAAACAATGAATTTAAAGTGAATGTGCCTATAGATAAATTTGACCCAGAACAAATCGACAGTGGAGATAATTTTTTTATTCCTCGCCCTGATATCAAATTTGTAAAGTGCGAGAATAAAATAACAGAAGGTTCCAATAAAACAGCATGTGAAGGAAAATTATTCAACCATGAAAATGGATCCATTTATAGCTGGCGAACCCATAATGAGTCTCACGCCATACTACTGGAAAATATGACTGAGGATTCGAAGCCTTATATTGGTTTTACCACTGGTAAGTTACAAATTGCTATTAATAAGTATGAAACTATTTTGGAACTTGAAATAGTAGATTTAAGCCATTACTCTTTGAATATGCAAATATGTCATCCAGTAGTGAAAATAGGTTGATCAATGTTCATAACTATCAGTATCAACAGAATTGGGTAGCTAGCAGTTGCTGACAACCATTCAGGCAGATCATATCGAAGTCAGGATGTATGCGAAAATTAAATTAAAAAGCCAACTGGTTTGTAAGCGACTGCTACCCAGTTTTGTTGGTAATCACTAATCAAATTAAATACTGACATCCTACTAGCATCGCCCTCTAATGGTCAGGGTAAGTACTGAAAATTTTAGGGTACATGAAAATGCCGGTTCTGAACTTCTATGGGCTTTGTCATCTTTGGTATAAGGTTACACACTGTATAAAAAATTAAATTGTATGTTAGGATTTTTCTACTTCAATAAATTAATGTTATTCTTTTACCATGTATGTTGGAAAATAGTCCAAAAAAATCCAATGCATTGATATCTTGAACTTTTTTATTATATAAGCTACAAATCTCATGAAACTCAAGAGAACTATTTGAAATTTTCTTAACACAGATCCAAATGGAATTCACTTTCAAAGGAATGTTATTTCAGTTATATGAAAGATACCTAAGCTGAAATATAATGTAATCTTTGTTTGAAGGTGAGTGACTATGTTTCATGATGAATTTCACTAGTTCAGACTTCCATTGTCTACTATATAAAATGATTTGAAATCCCTGAAACAACTAAAAAAGAAGAAGCTATTCATTTTTAATTCTCCTTTTGTAGTTGTTTCAGGTATTTCAAATCTTTTTATATAGTAGAAAATAGAAGTTCGAACTAGTGAAATTCATAATGTAATCTCCCATATTTTTGGAAGTATTTTGTCTCAAAAAAAAACTGAAAAATACTGTATAAAAAAGAAGTAACGTGACAATTGCATAAAATTCGTTCGCACATTAACAGAAAAATAATATAATACAATTGTCTCATGTCATTAATTTTGCTTTCTAAATGCTTTCCAATTAAAACAGTCAAAAATAGATGTGGGTAATCCTCATTCATGTTTTGTAACCTTCTATTAATATAAGTTTACTTCATACATAAGTAATTTTTTCACAGATACTGGGAACATCCTTGTTGAAATAAAGGAAGAAACTATCTTCGAGGAGAAGGAAGATATTCTCACTGAAAATATTCCATCAGGTCCAGAAGGAATAGAGTTTGTTGTTGAAAATGATCATGTAAAGCATGAGATGATACCAACAATAGTTAATGAACAATACAATTCTGTAAACAGTTTGAATCCAAAAACCAGTGAAAAACCTCATACTGGCGAAAAACCATTCCAGTGTAAAATCTGCTTCAGTTCATTCATTCAGGAAAGTGCTTTGAAATACCATGAAAAGACACATACAGGTGAAGATCCATTTCAATGTAAAACATGCTCGAAGTCGTTTATTCAGAATAGTGAATTGATTATACATGAAAGAACTCATTCTAGTGAAAAACCGTTTCAGTGTCAAATATGCTCAAAATCTTTCAGTCGAAGTGCTCATTTGAAATACCATGAAAAAATTCATACTGGGGAAAAATCATTTGAGTGTGAAATCTGCTTTAAATCATTCTTTCACAGTCATAGTTTGAAACGCCATGAAAAAAATCATACTGACGAAAAATCTTTGAAGTGTAAAGTCTGCTCAAAATCATTCAAACACGGCAGTTCTTTGAAATACCATGAAAAGATTCATGCTGAAGAGAAACCATTTCAGTGTAAAATTTGCTTGAAATCATTCATTCAAAGTATTGATTTGAAATACCACGAAAAAATTCACACTGGAGAAAAATCATTTCACTGTAAAATATGCTCAAAATCATTCATTCGAAATAGGGAATTAATTACACATGAAAGAACTCATTCTGGTGAAAAACCGTTTCAGTGTCAAATATGCTTGAAATCGTTCAGTCGAAGTGGTGATTTGAAATACCATGAAAAAGTTCATACTGGGGAGAAACCCTTTCAGTGTAGAATATGCTCAAAGTCATTTATTCGAAATAGTGATTTAATTAAACATGAAACAACTCATTCTGGAGAAAAGCCATTCCAGTGTAAATTTTGCTCAAAATCGTTCAGTCGAAGTGATAATTTGAAATGCCATGAAAATATTCATACTGGTGAAAAACCCTTTCAGTGTGAAATATGCTCAAAGTCATTCATTCGAAGAACTCATTTAAAAAATCATGAAAACATACATACTGGCACAAAATCATTTGAGTGTGAAATCTGCTTTAAATCATTCTTTCACAATCATAATTTGAAACGCCATGAGAAAATTCATACTGGCGAATAATCATTCAAGTGAAAGGCTGCTCAGAATCATTCATNCATTCCTCGAACTAGGCAGAAACGATGTTACAAATCTTTGTAGAGTTTATTTTGGAATCGTTTACTTCCTTTCTTTGTAAGATACCGCTTTCCCAAAAATGAAAATATAGTAATAGATTTATTACAATGTAATGAAAGTGCAACCCTGTTGGTGCTACAAATAGGAAACTGCGCACTGATGCCAACTGCTCAAAATCTTTTCCCCTAAGCCTATTTCAAAACCCCCTAAATTCTAACTAAGAAACCCCAAATTTTTTAAGTAAATGAAAAATCTAATTAAATATTCAAAGTTGCTATAACATTTAAACAGTTAAAAAGTTAATGGATTATCTAACCTTCAATAAAGAGGTTATTGAAAAATGTTACGTAACATTTTTAAAACATGGTAACTTTTTTATTGCCTTCATGTGAGTACGTCAGTACACAACATCAACTAATAAATGAAAAAATAGATACATCAAATGAACACACATATATGAGCATGAATACTTATACTATATTAATTCCCAATTCATTAATAATTTTGAAAAACTCATCATCTTCTTGTTCTTCATTTGTGTCGATATCAATTATTCATTTTCTCTCTAGAAAAATTTCCCCCCAAAAGTCCCCCTTTTCAAATTATATCCCCCCAAACTTAGGGGGGAAATCCCCAAGTTGGCATCACTGAAACTGAGCAAGCTCAAGAATTCTGTACAATTAAGAAGAAGAAAATGATTCTTGACACATTTGATCACTATTAGACATTATTTGTATTCTAGTTTAAGGTAATTTTTATGTAATTAGTGACGAAACTATACCATAAGGAGTTATCTACAAAAGTAAATTCTGAACATAAATCTGCTTTAATCAAACCTTTCTCAGGATATGGCTTCTTTTGAATGTGGAAGGCCAATTAAGACAGAGGAGGTCGAATCTGTTGATGATGAAGTTCCTTTTCAAAAACATGAGGTAAAATCTGAACCGAGTGAAGCTGAAATGTTCAGTAAATGTGAAAGAAATGGCGATGCCTCTGATACTAACATGCCTACCAACGATTTGGACGAAAACGATGAGTTTAAAGTGGATATGCCTATAGATAAATTCGACCCAGAACAAATCGACAGTGAAGATAATTTTTTCATTCCTCACCCTGATATCAAATTTGTAAAGTGCGAGAATAGAATAACAGAAGGTTCCAATGTAAAAGCATGTGAAGGAGAATTATTCAACCATGAAAATGGATCCATTAATAGGCGAAACCATAATGAGTCCTATGGCGAACTAGTTGAAAATATAACTAAGGATTTAACGCCTTCTGTTGTTTTCACAACGGGTAAGTTACAAAATTGCTATTAATAAGTATGAAACTACTTTGGAACCTAATATAGTTTGGACCTTCAGATCTATTATATAGCCAAACGTAGCTATATAATGGTGAATCCTTTTACTCCTGTTTTCTAGTTTGTAGTGCCCTACAATTTCCTTCAACTGGACTATGCTAGGTGTTGCTAGGAGATGTGTTTGTTTAGAGGATTTTGTTTAGAAAATATTATAAAGAATTAATGAAAAATGCAATTCAAAGTAGTTTAAAAACTACAACTTCAATGAATACATGTTATTATTTAACCATGTATGCTGGAAAATATTCCAAAAAGCCCAATGTGTTGATGATGTCTTGAAGTTTTATAAGAAAGGCTGTTTTACACTCCATCTACATTTTCATTAAATTTTTATTGTATGCACTCCAAAAAGCACTGTTTATGCACCTTCCAAATCCATGTTTGGGACAACAACTTCAGAGTGGAAAAACAGTTCAAAAATTTATTTGAAACACTTTCTATAACAGAACGAGCGTCAGTACATAGTACTTTTGTCCAATGTGAGAAAAATGTTTCCAATAGATTCGTTTTTGCCAAAGGCTGCATTTCTATTCATCAAGTTCGAGGATTGCTTTGAACACATGCAAAAGTATACAGCATATTGAAGGTGAATATTTTAGAAAGTTTTGTTTCTACAATTTGTAAAACTTGAAAAGTAACCCTCTAAAATGTTTTATGATATTCAATGAATATAGATTTACTTCATTGATATGTTATTTTTTTCAGATACTGGAAACATCTTTGTTGAAACAAAGAAGGAAACTTTCACTGTGAAGAAGGAAGAGATTTTCACTGAAAATGTTCCATCAGCTCAAGATGAAATGAAGTTTGCTGTTGATAGTGAACATGTTGTAAAACATGAGATGGTACCAACAACAGAGAGAAATAATGAAGAATACAATTCTGCAATCTGTTCAAATTCAAATACCAGCGAAAAACTTCATAGTGGAGAAAAACCATTTCAGTGTAAAATATGCTCAAAATCATTCGCTAAAGCTGATGCTTTGAAATACCATGAAAAATTGCATACTGGTGAAAAACCATTTCAATGTCAAATATGCTCAAAGTCCTTCGTTCGAAATAATCGATTGAAATATCATCAAAAAATTCATACGGGCCAAAAACCATTCCAGTGTAAATTCTGCTCAAAATCTTTCATTCAAGAAAGTACTTTGAAATACCATGAAAAGACACATACAGGTGAAAAGCCATTTCAGTGTAATATCTGCTTAAAATCATTCATTATAGCTAGAGATTTGAAATACCATGAAAAAATTCACACTGGAGAGAAAGCATTTCAGTGTAAAATATGCTCAAAGTCATTCATTCGAAATAGTGAACTAGTTAAACATGAAAGAACTCATTCTGGTGTAAAACCGTTTCAGTGTAAAATTTGCTCAAAATCGTTTATTGAAAAGGGTGCTTTGAAATGCCATGAAAAAACTCACACTGGGGAAAAACCATTTCAGTGTAAAATATGCTTAAAATCATTTACCCGAGGTAGTTCTTTGAAATCACATGAAAAAATTCACACTGGTGAAAAACCCTTTCAGTGTAATACATGCTCAAAGTCATTCTTTCGAAGTAGTGAATTATTCAAACATGAAAGAATTCATTCTGGGAAAAAACCAGTTCAGTAGGGTATGCTCAAAATCAATTATCCAAAAAAGGAATTTGAAATTATATGAAATACAGGGAAAAAATTCCATGTAGAATCTGACGAAAATAGTTTATTAAAACAAAGAGATAGTTCATTGACCTTCACAGATGCAATGGCATTATAATAGTTTACTGATTTTGCTCTTTTTAACTTCTAATAGTTTTAGGAGTTTTCCACAATCTTATGTATTTATATAAATAAATAATACAGACCAATCCAACAGATTATTATTAAACCAAGGGATTGTTGTTCGTAGTTGCTTACCAGAAAGAATAACAAAAACAAAATTCGTGAAGAAATTGAAATGTTTTTTATAAGTTTAATGTATAAGTTTAAAAATGTCCTCATAGGACAAAACTGCAGTAACGTTAGTTACAAATAAAAGTGGTAAAAACATATAGAAAGTTTCAATTCTCTTTTCTTCATTATGATTTCTTACCTCGTAGTAACGGCTACATCCATCAATTTATCAAATTGAAAAACTTTTTTTGGAAAAATTATTTCTTACTATCGAATATTTTTGTTATTGGAGAAATGAACTCTTTCAGTTATAGATTGAATTTTTTTCACTAATTATTTTTTGACTATCAAAAAAAAAAGTCAAGTATTGTTGTTTTCTATATATATTTTCAATTCTTCATTTGTTTCTTGGTACGAATAAAGGAATAATTCAAAATAACTTATATCATAAATAAATTATTATCACCTAAGAAATAACTTCATTTCATAAAAATCATTGTACTTATCCAAATAACCCTGTCCTATTGGGAAATATTGAAAAAAAATTGATAAATATGACCAGACACTGCAGAAGAGCACAATTTTTTCAGCATAGGCAAATACCACATGGTAGTTTACCCAAAAGTATATAAAAAAATCCTATTACATAGAATTTTATATGATGCCTGGACAAAATTATTTTTATTGTGAACCCTAGTTTCTATCTAGACCTAGAATTTTATTTATGTTTGTTTATACCTTTGTATGTTTATATGTATGCATGTTTATAACTTAATTACAATTGTGACTCATCCTATCTACACATTATGTTGCAAAAAGTATCAATAAAAATCTATCTATTTATGTATGTATGTGGCTCTTTCACGTCTAAATGACTGAACGGATTTAGATCAAACTTTACATAAATACAGCTTATACAGCAGAATAACATGTAGGCTACAATTTACAAATATTTTGTGTAATTTAGTATTAAGTAGGTCGGAAAAATTCTTGCTTCCTGAGAGCTATCTTGGCCTGCACCGCCTATACCGTTGGAGGTACATGCAGATAATGTACTGTAAGATTGAATACCTTAAATAGATAGATAGATTTATTGGTCCTTCGTGCTACACTATGTAGATGGGACAGGTCATATTTCTCAGGTATAATATAAATGTGTAATATTATAAGATGTCATTTGAATAAAAAAAATAAAGTGACACACATTGTAAAACAAACATACATATTAAAATATAAGTAAAAAATAGAAATAGATAAACAAAACGTTACGATATATACGTCACAATGACAGTGATCTGACGTTACCAACTTCAAGTATAAATTCATCTACTGTGTAGAAACCTTTTTCTAATAGAAACACTTTCAACTGTTTTTTAAAAACTTGAGGTGGCAGTGTCTTCATATCGCATGGCAGTTATATTAAAGAGACGGATACCAGCAAACAATATACTTTTTATACTTAACGTGATGGTGTTTTTGGGTGATGAGCATATGGTTATTTCTAGTATGATAATTATGGACTTCCGATCTCGACTCTAATTGTCTTTTATTTTCATGGATATATGTCAATGTTTTCAGAATGAACAAACAGGCAACAGTTAGTATTTTATTTTGACGAAAAATCTCTTTACATGACGATCTGTAATCTAGATTGAAAATTATCCTCAGTAGTGCTTTCTGTTTTTTGAAAATTCTGTCCACCTCAGTTGCTAAACCCCAGACAGCAATGTTGTTGTAAATAATGGACTGAAACTTAGCGAAATAAACTGATATCAGTGCTTTAGTATCTAATTTATTCTTAAGGAATTTAATGAGATAATACGATTGGTTCAATTTCTTGGATGTGAACACTATATGTTCTTGGCAAGTAAAATGTGAGTCCATTATTGTTCCAAAGAATTTTGTTGAGCTTGTTAATGCCAAGGATTCATTCCGGAAAATGAAAATAAAATCATGTAGGCTTGGAGATGAATTTGCAAATTCAATTCAGACAGTTTTTCTCAGGTAAACCATAAAGTCTATTCCTGTAACACCAGTCATCAAATTCGTGTAGGTCTGAGTTCAAAAGGTTATGCATTTCTTCCAGTTGTTTTACATGAAAGAATAATGGAAGTGTCTTCTGCGTTAAGGTATATCGCACCATTACTTATATTATTAGGTAGATAATTAACATATAATAGAAAAATCAGTGGACCGAGGTGTCCCATTTGTTACAAGGAACTTTGTCTTTTACACTAAGCAATTTGGACGAATCGTTTAAAAGTTATCACGATAAGATTAATTTGACGCATTAACTTGACGCACAGTAAGCCATTACGCGTCGCGCCTACTGTAAGACGGTCTAAGCACTGAAGCGCCATATATTAACGTACAGCCGAAGCCACTGAACCTAGAATCTTGAAATATGCAGGTGGGTTCTTTGTATAGCGTAAAGAAGCATCAAGAAAGGGAATCAGGTAACTCCAACGGTATAGGCAGCGCACGCCAAGATAGCTCTCAGGAAGCCAGAATTTTTCCGACTTACTTATCGTTATATTATGACCAAAATTACACAGAACCTTTGTTAATTGAAGCCTATATGTTATTCTGATGTGTAAGCTGTATTTATGTGGAGTTTTATCTGAATCCATTCAGTCTTTAGGCATGAAAGAGCCACAAACATACACACATTTATATCAGTATAGATAGATAATGTTAAAAGGCCTCTCATGTGTTCTCTTCTTTATTGGCCGATGCTTCCTGTTCAGGCGCAATATTACCGACCACTGTCGGTAATATACAAAAAGAAGAAGAAAATGGTCACTGACTAATTTTATTACTTTTTAGGCAGTAATGCCAACTTTTCATTTACTAAAAAAATTTGGGGTATCTTGGTTTGATTTTTGGGGGTTTTAAAATAGGCTTAGGGAAAAAGATTTTGAGCAGTTGGCATCACTGCTTTTAGGTACTATTTTCATTTTAGTTAAAAGCCATGTCTATTGTTTATGGTTTGGTCACAATTGAAAATAAAAATTAATGAGATTATTATTGTTGTTATTATTGTTTGTTGTTAGTCTGTTGCTGTTGGTGACGAAACTATTCCATAAGGAATTATCTACGAAAAATTTTTGAAAATAATTCCACTCTAATCCAACCTTTCTCAGGATATGGCTTCTTTGGAATGTGGAAGGCAAATTAAGACAGAGGTCCAATCTGTTGATGACGAAGTTCCTTTTCAAAAACATGACGTGAAATCTGAACAGAGTGAAGCTGATATGTTCAGTGAATTTGAAAGCAATGGAGATGCCTTTGATACTAACATGCCTACCAACGATTTGGAGGAAAATGATGAATTGAAAGTGAATATATCTATAGATAAATTTGATCCAGAACAAATCAAAATTGAAGATAACTTTTTTATTCCTCACCTTGATCTCAAATCTGAAGAGTGCGAGAATGCAATAACTGAAGGTCCTAATTTCACAGCATGTGAAGGAGAATCATTCAACCATAAAAATGGATTCATTAATAGCCGGCATAACCATAATGAGTCTCGCGTCAAAATAGTTGCAAATATGACTAAGGATTTGAAGCCAGATGTTGGCTTTAACCCGGGTAAGTTACAAGATTGTTATTAATAAGTATAAAACTACTTTGGAACCTAATATATTTTTCAGTAAGATTTTTACCATGAGAGATTAATAAAACCACATCATGTGTAGAAGTATAAAGCAAAATGTAGCTATGCAACAGTGAACTTTTTGATTGCTGTTTGGGATTTGAGCCATTACTTACTGAAATACGACAGATACTGTAATAGGTTTACAGTTAAATTGTGCTTTACGAGATACTCACAGATTTTCGTGTTTTTTTCTGGGGTAATACTACATGATGGTAGAAATATTAGGTTACACGCTGTATAAAAAATTGAATTGTATATTAGGAATTCCTCAGTTCAATAAATAAATATTATTATTTATCATGTATGCTTAAAAATATTTCAGAAAAGCCCAATGCTTTGATATCTTGAACTTTCATAAGAAACGTAGGTATGCACTCCAAAAAGCACTGTTTATGCCTTCCAAATCCATGTTTGAGACAACAACTTCGGAGCGAAAAAACAGTTGGAAAATTAATTATAAACACTTTAACCGCACCAGAACAAAAATACTGCTCTTTGACATCATCAGGAAATGATAAAAACAGTGTTTAGTCAGCTCATGATGATACCAATTCGATTAGCGAAACTTCGATCAATACACAGTACTTTTGTCCAATGTGGTAAAAATGTTTCCAATATCATAATATTACCCTCGCAAATATTTTGTGACCTTCAAAGAATATAAATTCACTTTATTCATATGTTATTTTTTTACAGATACTGGAAACATCCTTGTTGAAATAAAGGAAGAGACTGTCTTTGAGAAGAAGGAAGAGATTTTCTATGAAAATATTCCGTCAGCTTCAGATGAAATGAATTTTGCTGTTGAAAATGACCATGTTGTAAAACATGAGATGGTACCAACAAAGGAGAGGATTAATGAACAATACAATTCTGCAATCTGTTTGAATTTAAATAATAGCGAAAGACTTCACAGTGAAGAAAAACCATTTCAGTGTTAAAATATGCTCAAAATCATTCGCTAAAGCTGATGTTTTGAAATACCATGAAAAGTTACATACTGGAGAAAAACCATTTCAATGTCAAATATGCTCAAAGTCGTTTGTTCGAAATAATCGATTGAAATATCATCAAAAAATTCATGATGGCGAAAAACCATTCCAGTGTAAAATCTGCTTCAAATCATTTATTCAAGAAAGTACTTTGAAATACCATGAAAAGACACATACAGGTGAAAAGCCATTTCAGTGTAAAATTTGCTTGAAAACTTTCATTCAAGGTAGTTATTTGAAATACCATGAAAAAATTCACACTGGAGAAAAATCATTTCAGTGTAAAATCTGCTCTAAATCATTCATTAGAGGCAGTGCTTTGAAATACCATGAAAAGACACATACAGGTGAAAAGCCATTTCAGTGTAAAATTTGCTCAAAGTCATTTGTTCAAGGTAGTGATTTGAAATACCATGAGAAAATTCATACTGGCGAAAAATCTTTCAAGTGTGAAGTCTGCTCAAAATCATTCATTCAAAGCAGTACTTTGAAATTCCACGAAAAGATTCACACTGGAGAAAAGTCATTCCAGTGTAAAATTTGCTCAAAATCATTTATTCAAAATGGTGCTTTGAAATGCCATGAAAAAATTCACACTGGGGAAAAACCATTTGAGTGTAAAATATGCTTAAAATTATTTACTCGAGGTAGTTCTTTGAAATCACATGAAAAGATTCACACTGGTGAAAAGTCTTTCAAGTGTAAAGCTTGCTCAAAGTCATTCACTCAATGCAGTACTTTAAAATATCACGAAAAGATTCACACTGGAGAGAAGCCATTTCAGTGTAAGATTTGTTCAAAATTGTTTGGTCGAAGTGATAATTTGAAATCACATGAAAAAATTCACACTGGCGAAAAACTCTTTCAGTGTAAAATATGCTCAAAGTCATTCATTCGAAATAGTGAATTGATTAAACATGAAAGAACTCATTCTGGTGAAAAACCATTCCAGTGTAGAATATGCTCAAAATCATTTGTCCAAAAAAGTAATTTGAAATTTCATGAAAAAACTCATACGGGGAAAACGTTCAATGTAGAAACGGACGAAAATAATTTATCGAAACAGAATTGACCTCCACAGATCCAAAGATGTAATAATAGTCAATAAAGATACCGCAGCATCATCAGAGGTTTCCTCAAGCTACATATTTGCCCAAAACGTTTTAAACTTGATAATTTTAAGCCACACTGTTCTATAGCAAGATGAAATTGTACCTATACATGACAAGTTGCAAAAACTGTTAGTTCATATGTGTACTATTTCTATAAATAAATAATATAGACCAATCCAACATCATTATTAAAGTAAGGTATTGTTATTCATAATTGCTCACCAGAAACAATAAAAAAGAGAAAATCCGTAGAGAAATTAAAAAAACGAATTGAAAAAAATTTTTGGAAACAAACTATTAAAGATTTTTTTTCTATTGGAGAAATTATTTCTTGTGATTGAAAATTAATTTTTTGTTTGGTTAATATTCCGGAGAGGTGCATTATGACATGCTAACGGAAAAACAACAATTATCCCAGCTAATGCCGCGCAGAGAGTTGAAGTAAAACCATCAGGTACCTGTGCAACGTCTTCGACTTGGAAGATTCGTCGCAAGTTATTTCCCACTATGAAAAGCAGAAATTAGACCGGTTTCGGGGTGATTGCCCTATCATCAGTACCGGACATGGTCTCTTCAGAACGGTGTGAACCATCTGAGTATTAAAAGCAAACCATAACACCCACCTCAGTCATGACCCGTTTGTCCTTCTGGCAAACATCAGTTCAAAGGGTAAGGGAGCCAGGCTTCAACCTGAATAAAATCGAAATGAAGAGCAAACAAATATAATTCCAACTACTCATAGAATCTCTCTGCAGTTGATTCAGTGGGATGTCAACTGCGCCACCTGCAGACAGACCCAGGAAATAAATCACTACCGCCATTCAAAATTAAACTTATAATTGAATTGCTCGATCATCAGTGATCTGAACATATACATGTGGATTCATTTTACTATTGTCCTGAAAATTATTTTATAACATGACTTTTTTCATGATGTTTTTTTCCAAGCGTGGTTGAGTGGAAGAATAACGTTTTGCTAAACTCCGCCATATAAATGAAGACCATTTATTATTATTATTTTTTTTTATCGAAGTATGCGCTGGTCCGGCCTTATCCCTCGAAGCCCCGTTACATTCGGGAGAGGGCGCCAGCATTATCAACCAATGACCACTCCCCACAACGTGGGGTAAGTGATCATTGGGTCCGCGAATCATGTCCCCTGAGCAAGCGCAGTGAGCCAAGAATGACAGCCTTCTACATCTGTCCGGCTAAGATTTCTGACTTAGTGCGGCAGGCCGGTATGATTTTAAGATTCGGGAGTAGAGAGGGCATGGATAGAGTCTGCGGAGTTCGAAGAGAAAATCTCGATATTTCATTCGTTTCTCCTCCTCTTTTCGAATGATATTCGTCTCGCCAGGAGCTGAAAACTCCACAACGAATATCGTCTTACTCTGGTGGTCGAGAAGGACTACATCAGGCTTACTAGCTTGTATGAGCCTAAGGGTGGGGAACGAATAGTTCCAATAAACTCGGCACTTCTCGTTCCCCACAACGGATTCAATATCCCCCGAGCGCAGGGCAATACCGGTTTCTCGTCAAACCGCAAGAGTACCGTTAGAAGGTAAGGGCCACGTTATGTTGATGGATATAGGCCGAGACCGCATATGCTGGACATGCTGATAGCAAGTGCATCATACCTATCGCGCGACTGCGGTAGACTAAGGTGTTGAAGATTCCATCCTAGCAAGCCATGATGAACCCCTCAGTTTCCGACTTCAGCCCACTCGACCTGAGGAAAGCAAAGTCAGGCGCTTTGATAAGCCAAGGTCTCCAATGTTATTGAAGAAGACCCCATGCATTGGCTTATCCTTGTGTTTCCGCAGAAGTGAGGTTATCTCTGCGGCTTTATATGAGCTTTTTGCTGTGGTCACCTCGTTCAGTGTCGAAAACTAAACCGAGTTCATCAGCTGCTCGGGCAGCTGCCCTAAAGAGAAATGCTACAATTCCTGCTCTCTCATGGTCACGGACCATGCAGAGAAGGGGATCCAAACTCCTCACGACTTTACAGGCTGTATCCAGTACCATTCTGTCATGTAAACACTCAAAAGTCCACGGCCTCCCTGTTATCGGGGGAAGTACAACCGTGGAACGGACGATTTGGGATGCAAACTCCTATAGAGATGCATCATTTTTCGGGTCTTTACGTCGAGTTGATACAGCTCCTTCCAAATGAGCAGAGTAAGATTGGAACGACAAGCATATTTGTTGCAGCAACTTTGTTTTTTCCCGACAGTTCCGATGACCAGATCTGTCAAAGTTTGTGCTGATACTTGCCGCGGAGAGAGTTCTTCACCTCTTGTGAGTGGCGTTGTTCCACCCCGAGGTAAGTATATGTCTCTCCGGCATCCAAATGGTCTAGGATGCTTCCATCAACGAGCTGCACATCCTCTCCGTAGTCCCCGCATCGTCCTCTTTTGAGATGGACCATTGCACATTTGTATATCCCGAATTTCATACCGATAGCATGTATGTACTCTTCCACCACCCTCAAGGACTGATGGAGATCCTTCTCTCCAGAGTCATAAAGTTTAAGATCATCCATGTAAAACAAATGGGTGGCCTTGTGACTCCCGTCTCCGGGGGTGCCATTGTTATACCCTCGAGTATTTCTAAGCGCAACGTATAATGGCAATAGTTAGATGCAGAAGAGAAGGGGACTGAGGGAATCACCCTAAAATACACCGCTTCTGAAAGTGACCCACCCTGTTTGGACTTTTGCTTGACCAGGTGTTATGGTGAAGCGAGTTCGCCAAAATGGTATCAGTTGTTCAATGCATCTTACTATTTTGTCGGGTACCACAAGGCATCTGAGCAAATGCAAGATGAGCTCATGCAATATTGTATCAAATGTCTTACGGTAATTGATTCAGGCCATAGAGAAGTTACGCATATATTGTATCGAGTCCTGCGTTACACATCTATCGATGAGCAGGTTCTCTTTACATCCAGCGACTCCTCTCTTCGACCCTATCTGCTCATATATCCTTTAGAACACTCGATCAACTTCGGTGAGTATTCGTGTGTATAAAATGCGAATAACACGAATTTAAGCATGTTATCTGTCTGTAATTCTTAGGAATCGACAAATCTTCGCTTTTGGGGATGAGAACGGTCCGCCCCTCGACAAACCAATCCGGAATCGGCTGCTCGCCGTCCAGCCACGAGTTGAAAACTCTGGCCAGATGGCGGTGGGTGCTTGTTAGTTTTTTCCACCAATAAGTATGCAGCCCATCTGGGCCAGGAGCAGCAAAGTTCTTGGAACCCACAAGGGCTTTTCGAACGCCATCCGGGGTTATCGGGTTGCGCAGTTCATTCAGCTCAGGCTGTTGAAGCTCTCTATTGAAAGCTTCGAACTGTGCTAGGGCTGAAGTGTCTGAGTTGAGTGACTGCGGGTGTTCATAGATATCCTTATAGAAGGATTCCATCTGATCAGCGGTCGGCGGATTATCCACAACACGTGGAGGCTCTTGGAATAAGCGAGAAGGTTTCTCAAGGAACCTAAGGTTTTCCGCGATACTTCTCGCTCGCCTCACTAGTGACTTCTTAGCAGCCAGCACTAGTATTTGTATCCTATCAAGGCAGTGCTGTTTGGTGGTCAGCAGCACGTCTTGACTAAAAGTGTAATGGATACGTCGTAGTTTGGCGGCTATTCGCCGCACTGCAGGCGCGAAATGCCTGTTGGCCGCCCTGTAATCCATCACACATTGGATACGAGACGTCTCGCCGACGTGATCTTAGCCCCATCTTGTGTACACGACGTTCAATCTTCCGAACCGCAAGGCCGGGATTTCGTCCTTCCGATTGGGAAAGCGATTGGACGACGCTATATTATTATTATTGTTGGGAAAAAGCTTTTTGACTTTCACTACTCCATATTTATGCAAACAATGTGAGAAGTGGAACAAAAAAAACGTTTTGCCTATTAAACTAATTTCTCATAAAAAATAACTATATATCTCTCAAGCTCATTATTTTGTTTTTTAATCATTTAATTAAATGTTATTTGAATGTAGCAGTAAGTGTTATAAAATGTTAATTAACCCACTATTTTAGTAATTTTACGATGGATTTCTTTTATTTTCTGAGCGGATTGACAAAATATATGGTCTATATTTTCTTACCTTCCTTTAAAACTGAATATATTGGCCCTGTTGTAATCTGTTTTCAGGTTTAAAGTAAAAATACTTTGGAAAAAATTAGATCAGAAGATCAACTGATTTTCGTTACATCAATCAGATCCATGGGATATTCAATAGTCACGTAGGAAAAATTTATTAAACAATTATCCTTTAACAAAAATAAGTACTGACACTACCCAAACACATGAATGAAAGAATATTCATTTTTGAAAAGTTATGTTCTTATTTTGCGATTATGTATACATGAAGCAACTTCCTGATGCACACTTCAGCCGGAGTTATGTAAATTTGGAATCGTTGAAGATCATGCTTCTGCTGGAGCTTCTTCCTCTGCAGGCGCTTCTTCTCCCCCTTCACCTCCAGCTTCTCCTTCTGCTTCTCCTTCCGCTTCTCCTTCGCCACCTTCTTCACCGCCTTTTTCTCCTCCTTCCTCTTCGTCTTTTTTGTCATCTTCTTTCTTGTCATCTTTCTTGCTCTTACTTCCGCCGGAGTCTCCCCCTCCCTCTGAGCCGAGTAGACCTTCGATGAAGTCCTTCACTGGGTCCCAACATGCGTTAACCAGGAGTCCCAGATACCACAAAGTGAACATGCATGGTGGGTGTTGATAGAGGGTGAAGTCGTGCAGGTAATCTAGTTCCCATATTGGAGGAATATCGGACATTTCGTCGATGTTGCTGAATACTATTAACTTTTTTCTGAATCACTGCATGTACTTGAAATTTAGTTTGGAAAAATCTAACGAAAATCACGATGACATATCTACATTGTGTCAAATGGTAAAAGGTTTTCAAACAAAAGCTGAAACAAAACGTATGCTTGATTCCACTGCTATTAAAGTTATTAAATTTCATAAACAGGGTGTTCTCTAACAGTGACGGCTCGTGCATTGGAGAACAGGGGAGGCTAAAGTCTTAAAGACCATTTACACACAGAAAAGCCCGCCGGAGGCGCGAAGATTTTTTTTTGGTACCTACCGCACCTATTTAAAGCAAAATACGTAACATTTGCATGAATGCAAAGAAACATTGTATATTGTCGAAAAGGTGAATTGAAAGGTGTATTTTGTAATTTTGGATAGGAAGGAAAAAAATAAAAAAAATAAACTAAAAGTAAACATAACATTTGTTCTTAACCAAGACGATATAGATGTTGCTATATTTTGTTTGCTAAACAATTTTAATTTACAAGACGAAAATATATGCTCCTTAGATTTAAAATGTCTTTTTGTAGAACGAGGTACATTTTTTAAATCGGAGTATCCTATTTTAGACCACGTTTGGTATTCGGTTTGTACAGAAAATAAAACACAGGGCCAACAAAATAGTTTTTCTCGTTTAATGGAGCCAGTTAACCAATCGCATTCATCGTATCAACTAATATTAAATCTTCGATTTTGTCGATTATCTGACGCTTTAATTGAAATCAAATTTGGTTGAGGCCTTCCCCAGAGTTTTAATAATGTAAAATTTATTATCATAAGATGAAGAGTTGAAAGTATTTGTCAGCATCCAATAGACTATATCGTCAGATTTTTTAATTTCGTCCAAATTATCCATAATAAATGGAAAAAAACTTACTGAAAAGTGAAAACCTGAAAACACCTTGAAATTGAAAGAAAACACTTTAAAAACACATTAAAAATATTACCAAAAAGCACTGCTATAATACAATACTACCTGTTTTATACACAAATAACAAATATTCTCAAGAAATACTAAAACAATTTACCGAAATATTTTTCAGTCCCGGTCCGTCACGGCATCCCGTCCGAATAATTAAATAAAAAACAAATGCAGTTCCTGTACACTAACGGAGACCAACTGGAGGCTAGCCTCCTCTAACGCTATAATTTCTACAACTGAAATTACAAATCGGGACGTATGTCCCTGGTTGGATCGGTCTCGTGGAGCCTGTGTACTTTAAAGCGGTCGGAGGCTTGGTTCTCTTGCAACGTATGACATTTATTATTTCGGGTTGATGGTTTATTCGTTATTCGTTCATGGGCGGTGCGTTTGATGTATGTTGATGCAGGATACAGTGTGGTACTTACTACGTAGTGAGTGATAGTGTTTTTTCGGGCATATTATGTATTTATATTAATGATCAATGGTAAAGTTATGATACCCAAGCATTTTTATAAAAAAATATAATCATAATTATTTGTCAATATATTTTAATTCATTGCGATGAATAGCCTCAAATTTTATGGGGAGGCTAAGCCTCCCTTGCCTTCTCTGAAGAGCCGCCGCTGTTCTCTAATGATATGCTAATATCCAAAGCTGTGAATCTACATAAAAATAATGATAGGTTGTTGCTATATAAACTAAAAAATGTTTCATTGAGAAAATTCTAGGTGTTGAAGTTGTGAGAACAACATGGAAATCACTACATAATACATTCGGTGAAAAGTCCCGGGTCTAAGTAAGAAAACGCGTTTTTTTTTTCTTCAAAATTGGTTTTATTCATCAACATAATCTTCCATCAAGAGCCACACAATCATTCCAGGGCCGTTCTAACACTTCAATACCACGTTTGTGGAACGATTTATCTTTTGCCTCAAAATAGACGTCAGTTTCAGCAATAACCTCTCTTCATTCGAACGAAACTTCTTGCTGTTGAGCATTTTTTTAGGTCTGCCAACAGCCAGTAGTCGCTGGTAGCCAAATCTGGCAAATATGGTGGATCTGGGAGAAATCCGAATTTTAATTCATCTAGTTTCGCCATTGTCTTGATTGACTTTTGACCACCCCAGCGGGGTAGGCACAAAGTATGTGCTTTGCTGTTTCATCGTTAATGAGGTAGTCGGATAGTCAAGGTGCAAGATGCCCACCTTGATACCCGCGACAACCTTCCCATGAGGGTTTTTGCAGATCAGCTACACCTGACGATGCTTTAGATTCAACCGTGCAGGGCTTTTTCGCCTCTGGTTTTGGTGAATCATCACTTGAGCGCAAACGTTTGGTAACCTACTCATGGGGGGTTTGTTCCTCCACCTGGGACACATTCTGCGTACGACGCTCAAGAATTTGGTGCAAGGCGGTTTCATAAGGTAACCCGCTCTTGAGGAGACGACTCGGTCGTTTCCTGGCTGCACCACCAAACCTGGAGTCGTAAGCTCGACATTCATCTCCTCTGTAGACTCAGCCCCAGAAAGAATTTATAAGTTTACTCTGTTCATAAAAGTCCCACGAGTAGCTAGGGAAAGAAGGTCAATCACGGCAGAGCCCCGCATTGCCGTGACAAGGCGGCCGTGACAAGACGAGAGGGCGTCCGGTATCTCGAAGTTTCCGTAGAGGCAGCTGATAGGCTCAGTGTCATTCATCCTCTCGGTACGGATACACACACCTTAGCATTAAGCCGTCGTTGGGATGCCATGCATTTAGGGACTAGCAGAACCACATGTGATTCTGTCATTCCCGTATCCAGCGGGGCTACGTGGAAGTAGGCCCTTCACTCAGATGACGATCGTTTTAATTCCGGAGTGAAGTGATGGATCCATGTTTCATCCATTGTCACAAATCGACAAAAATTCCCCAGGTGGGGGATAGGGCAACGGCCAGGGGACTGGAGGCCCTGTCCGGGAAGCCAATGTGGCCTTAAGGACGGGGTCTCTGGACTCCTGGTCAGTGGCAGACATAAGTAGGGTGAGGAAACTAAAACTCCCCAAAAGCCTTTGCAAAACATGACACCGTGGACCAGCCTACCCAAGCTAAGGGGTAAGAAATCGTGCCGGCAGCTGGATGACCGCTGGGTGATATGCGGTCACGAACGATCCTATTGGGGAACTGAGCGAAACCTCATGTTAATCAGTCTACCTCTGGTAATGCGGGGCTCTGCCAGAGGTGACCAACTCTTCCCTGCACGTCGTCTTGAGTTCATTCATGGTGAAGTCCAGCTTCCTTACCCTTTTAGCTGATTTTTGTCGAAGAAAGGCAAATGGGTTCATAACTGAGGGGATATTGGGGGTATGAAGTCCTTAGACACATCAGCACCACCCTTCACGGGGTACCCCTACCTGCTGGGGTAGGATGGATGAAAAATCTATTCTTCCTTTAACGGGGGACGTGAGGGCATCATTCGACAGAGTATCGGGGCCTTCTATATCGGGTGGGGTCGTCTACAGCATAATCTTTAGCTTCCTTAACTAACTACTCTTCACCGTGGGAACACACATGAATGAAACAATTCCGAGGCTGGACAGAAGTGCTTACCTATATCTAAGGCGGTGGTTGAACAGAAATGTCCACCCCAATCTACCACTTGGAACGGGGATAGACAGCAAGGGCACTTCCTGCGGCGAGCGCCTTGAATAAAGGCTGCACCTCACTTGTGCACCTCCACGGAGGGAACTCCAAGAAGGTTGAAAAAGCCGCGCAACGACAGTAATATCGCTGCACCTTCCAAAACCTTCGTGGAGGCCACCATGAGACACCTCAAGGTTGCCAAAGAGAGTGTGTGTTCGGCGAGTCTTGGCCTACACCTGCCAATATTAAGGAGATGTCTCCTAGTGACCTGTTCACCTTCCTGGAACGAACAGGATGGACGATGACCTAGGAGGACAACTCCTCTGGAGGATGTACAATGTGGCCTAAGTGCTGTGAGTCTACGGCACCCTCCCTACTCTACAGATACTCTAATGTTCATGCAATGTAAGGCCAACACATTCTTTTGATATCTCCACCAACGCAACTTCATTTTTCGATCATTCTAAATCATTTTGTGGTTCACACAGCGGTCGAATTTGAGTGTGTTGAGCAAACCACCCACGTCAACTACCAGGCTACGTATACGTCCTATACGTATTCTCAACAGTGATTTTAATGTCGTTTATACTTGAGAGGATCTGCACCTTGGTTTGTTTATATACAATCTCTAGTCAAAAGCCAATTCGGTATAACTCTACTCTACATTACCCTGTATATTAGTAGTTATTTCACTAATAAACTTTATCTTTCATTGAACCGTTTTTCGATCATGCAGATTATACTCCTATTAATAAAAAGTTAATTAATCCGATATTGGAAAAATTATTTGAACAGTTATGTGCCATTTAATTTATCAGTATTTGTTTATCTCTTAACGTGCTCCCTAATTTATGAGTTTTTCATTGTATTGGCAGAAGGTGTTATTGGATAGTGAGTGTAGAAGATATGAGCTCGCAGTTCATAGCGCAGGTGAGCTTTTTACTTTTGGTAATGTCGTTTTATATTTTTTGTTATTGAGTTTTTAAAAATGTAATTCAGATGAATTTTCTAAAGAGGTCACCTCGTTCAGTGTCGAAAACTAAACCGAGTTCATCAGCTGCTCGGGCAGCTGCCCTAAAGAGAAATGCTACAATTCCTGCTCTCTCATGGTCACGGACCATGCAGAGAAGGGGATCCAAACTCTGTTCATTTTAAGCAAGTACATAAAATATTTGAAAGTATAATATCTCAGTACATAATTATTCAATTCAATTGGAATAACCAGTGTCCTTTTGCAAACGTAACAACATTGTAACAACGTTGATTAATTGCGTCGGCATAAAAATTGGGTGCTCGGGATTTGATAAGGTCGATGAAGGCCATTTGTGCCTGGTCCTGATTGGCGAAGATTCTACCGGTGAGAAAGTTATTAAAGTGCTTGAAAAGATCAGGAGTACCCAGTTACTGGAAATGCTATTATTACAGAGTATATATGAAAAAAATATTAAAAATAATGAAATACAGAAATGTATAAAAGTAAATGCTAACACAAAGTCTATATAAAATATTCGTATGAGTAGAGTTTCAAAAGAGGAATGAAAAATTGAGTATATAACACAAAAAGTTACAAATCATGCAATGTAGCAGTACTGACACAAATGTTATTTATAGTATTATTAAAAGTGATTGTGGATACATGATACCAAGGCGTTCAGAGATTCGAAATGAATATCGCAGTGTTCACAGATTTTATTGAAGCTACTGCACATAAAATTCAATGGTGATCGTAGCATAACATTTATGCGTGATGCTTCGCAATAGAACTTCAGATTGTGACGACCTTCACTTCTTGGTACTAAGAAATTGATCTCGGTTAAAGAATCGTACTGTCAATATTGTTGTTTAGTAATGTATGCAGGAATTTTATACCAAGGATATATATACCTATTTTCCAAAGATGTCATATCAAATCGTGTCAACAAAATGTTATGATCGATGCCTCTAGTGAGGTTTTTTGGTAGTCTCTCTCTAACTTAAATCTGGCATACGCAAAATATTGCAGTTTTAAGGTGGCAATACTTTTGAAGTTTTTGCCATTTCTGTAAATGAATATAAGCATCCTATTTGCATCAGCAGTCATATTCCTTATATGTGTTGTAAATGTTAATTTACTATCGTATGTTATACTAAGATCTTTTATCTCATGTACGCGGTTGACTGTAGTTTTGTTGATCGAATAATTGTACATTAAAGTTCGCTTTTTTGTTGTAAATGATATTATTTTACATTTGGATACGTAACGGTCTGACGCTGACCACCATACAGTCTTTTTTGGTGGGTTTTCGCCATTGGGAAGTTCCTGGAGGTTATTCTGGAGAATTATTTTGGACAAGAAAATCTCCAGAAAATCAACGAGTTCGTTCCTATTTTATATTGATGTTTTGTGATTTGATATTATTGAATATCAAGTTCTTGTCACAGTACTGTATAATTTTGAGTAATTTTGCACCAAAAACTTAGAAAATTGACCCTAGTTAACACCATAGTTGTGTAATTCGTAATATTACAGGCTTTTAAAATAAACCGTCTCATACAGGATGCTGTCTATTTATCGTTTTAGCAAATTTTTCTTTTCGTAGTCCCTATTTTAAAAAATTGGTTGAAAAAAATAAAACTTCACTTAGATGGCCGTGACTTTAAGTCTAGATGTATTTTTCAATGCTAAACAACTTTTCTAAATAAAACTTTTACCGAAATTTTTCAAAATAAGAGTACTTTACTCTCGTCTCAAAATTAAATATTTCAAGGCTTCTCGTCAATTACGTGTGTTTTACTGCATTTCGTTGGTGCATGTTCAGTTTTAGGGGATGCACAAACTTTCATCAGAAATAACTTTTTGTTGAAAAACCCTTAATAAATAAATTTCCCATATGGTGCATACTTTGGGGATGACACTGTACATATATCGACAAAAAACTCGGTCGTGAAGATGTCATCGTCTCTGCTCACTTATATTTGCCCTATTCAAAATCTGTACATTACAGCAGGACTAGGCTTCAATTTTGAAAATCACCAAGGTTCTTACATTTTGGAAAGAAGTTAACAACTCACATACAGTATCTGCTGTAAGGAAAACCAGAGCACTTCGTCCGATGCCTCATCGCAACCAATACCTACCGCAATCGTAGACGAAACGTCCGACATTAAAGCCTAAAAACCACGGTCAACAAACCTCGACAATAGCTCTGACACAAAAGCACAATGAGGAAGAAAATTGCAATACATTTTTTTGCCAGCTCATTGTTTATTCTACTATCCACCAAGTATCTAATTCTGTTCATTCCTCAATATTCAAATTCAATGGAATAAAACCACTGGTGCATGGGCAATATTTACCGTTACAGCCATTCCATACTCCACATAACAGATTATTTGTGAATTACAAAAGTTTTCGATTAAGACTTTTGGTATCCACAGTTTTGGGAATCAAGAATCGCAGAATTTTCAAATTTATAATGTTCGAAATTCTGTTCTACAAAGAAATATAATGAAGAAATGTGGCTCATTGATTTGTTATTCTACACGGTTGCCGAAAAAATAGTGTACGCGACACGTCCTAAAACACTTTCTTAGAGTATTTTCCGGACTTGTTATGTAAATTACGACTATTTTTTTGAATATTTCTATACTGATGATCTGTAGAAACTATGTGTACACATTTCTTAAGCCCCAAACTCAAAATTGTGAATAATTTTTACAACAATCTAAGTTCAATTTTGTTTTCAATAGTATAGTTTCAATTCATATTTTGCAGGTGCAATGGTTAATGAAGATTCAACAAATCAAACAGGCAGAAATATTATTTGAAAGATCCAACTACACTTGGTTATGTAGTAAGAGGGTGTCTTTTGTCTGGTTATCAACAAAACAAGAGATGCAAATTCGAAATTCCTTGTCGAAGGTATATATAGTTTCACTTTGGCAGAACATAGTTTTTCATGTATCTAGGGCACAATTAATAAAGTGTTTAGGACTTATTAGGACGAAAACCATCGATTTGTAAATTGTCCGAGGTTATAAACATCAAGTGTCGTGATGTCCCTAAAGCATACTCAAAAAGCAAACAGTTTCCTTGGGATGTTAAAATTTCATAATCCATTTGTACCTAAAGTAAATAATCCCTTAAGTGTCCACAGGACTTTGCGCTTTTGTAGCTCCCCAGGATATCCTGGATTACTGATCCCCACCCATGCTGCCTTCTAATAGTAAAAAATTATAAATGTTCATTATAATTATGAAGTTCCTCAAAATACCTCTCGATTTGAGACAGTTTAGTTTTCCGTTATTTCGATTCTGGTAAAAAAAAGGCCATCTCATTGAAAAAACAAAGATATAATTTCTTTTAACATTCGAAGACTGATGTGCAGTGTGTTAAATCATAATCCGTTAAAGTAAAATGATCATTTACAATATTCCACCAAAGAACTTCAAATTACCGTAAGGTTAAAATGTCTACAGTCATTTTGAGAAAATAAATTATTTTGATTTGATTTGAATCGACTGTTAAAATAAGTCTAGACGCCATTGAACTCTAAATACAATACTTACAATTGATATTGTATAGAATACAAAACATTCGCCACCATACTGGAATATTTAGAAGTTTCTTCTCTCATTAGACTCATCAGACATTGAAAAAAAGTATTTTGAAACAAAAAAATATATAATGACTTCAACCCGATGATATTTTCACTTTAGATACGCGAAAATTCATTAACATAAATCTTGAATTTGGTTCAGATATCAATGACAAACTTGTGCTTTGTCTGTTAATTACTATAAGAAAGAGAATTGTCAAATTTGAAGTCATGTTCATCATAGATACAAATCACCTCAGTGGAGTGAACAATAAATATTTTTCGGTATTTAATTTATTAATCTGTGCTTTCAATGAGTTTCTTTATGATTCACAACGAATAAAAGTACCAAAAATAAGTAGGTAGTATTTTCAATAATTTTGAAAATGAAGTGATAGTCAAAATCAGGAAACCGGTCCTGCGTTCTCTATAGGTTTGTTCGTTTATTCAAACACCCGATCGAGCAGAGTAGTGCGTTTTTTTAAAGTTTAATAGAGAACAATATAAAATAATAACAGATGATGCTTGTTTCTGAGAAGCAGACTGATGTAAATCTCAATAGGAATATATAAAACTTGTTCCGTATTGCTAAGTAACCGCTTCCTTTTGAACAATGATCACTTGGATATAACGAGTTTTGTTCGCGATTCCTGTTCTTTCACACAAATCCGGGTTTTGTGATTCATTCCCTCTGACATAATTCATAATTATGGGTTGAAACTTTCTTTCTTCTATGTAACACGGCATCATTATTATGTATCAACATATTACGAAATAAACTTCTAATCTCAAAGTGAGAAAAGCTTACATATATATTTCAAGTGTAAAAGTACATACAAACATACTTTCGAAGAGTTGGATTTTGTAAATATTCGTTTTGATGGAACCCGGCGATTTTGAGAAAATTCTTGAGTGTACTTACGTATTTTGATGCGTAGATTACGAATCCGAAAGACAAAGCGGCGCTCTCCCTTATTTTCGAAGCTACGCCCCTTCAAAGTTCAGGAACGGGCAACTTTTCAGCCTGTTTTTCACAAGATAAACTATTTAAACACACAAGCATTTATTCACTAGGTAACCTTTACACCGCAACTCCTTAATTGACACTTCTCAATTCAACAATCAACATTTTTCTCAAAAAAAACTCAATTTAAAAACAAAAGCTTGCATCAGTCGTACCAACTATGCCATACCTTAAAAACGTAAAACACAGAAATACATACCAGCTCCGTACATTTTTAGTGGAAAAATAATGATTGTTAAATTGAAAAGTGTCAATTGAGGAGGAATAAGGTGTAAAAGTGACCTAGTGAATAAATGCTTTTCTTTAATAGTTTATCTTATGAAAAAGAAGGCTGAAAAGTTGCCCTTTTCTGAACTTTGAAGGGTCGTAACTTTGTAAATAAGGGAGAGTGCCGCTTCTTTCTTTCATAAACTACGCATCAAAATACGTAAGTACACTTGAACGAATATTTACCAAAAATGTATGATATGATATTTATTCTTTTAGGTTTCATCCGATCAACAAGTTGAGGTTATGAAGAAGATGATCAAATGGCTTGAGGATAACCCAGATACTGATGCTCCGAAAATTCCAGAAATAGTTCTATCTTTTCTGGAAAATAGTTACATGGTTAATTTGATTTCCCAGGCCAATTTTTCAAGAATGGCTACTTTTCGGAATAGTCTGAGAAGACTATCGATTATATCAAATAGAATTGTGCCTTTTTCTACAAATGTCAGTTATAGATCTAGAGCAAACAGATCGGTTACTTTTAATGATAATCCTGTTGTTCATAAAATATCTAGTTAATATTCATTGACCTATTCTTGTTATTTTGGATTATAAGCCTTTGCATTGATTCTATTGTAATGATATTCACTAATAGCTATTGTTTATGAATGATTTTATCATTAAAAATCCATGAATAATACAAATACTAAAAATAAAGTATCCAGGATAAACTGATTTGTAGGTAATTGCATTAACAATATTAATTAAAATTAAATTAGAAGTATACAATACATATAAATAAACATATGTGAATAAATAAATTCTTTGTTTACAAATATTAAGTTATTTCTCAAATATTAGAATGAATAATTATAATAATATTCCTGTAAATATGAAATGGACGTCCACGAAACTAACAAAGATGGGTGTCTTTCAGACGATATCTCATGGACATCAAGGAGATATATAAACAGGTTCTTATAATTCTCAATAGTTCATTTCTCTATGTATATGTCTTTTCGACATCCATAAAATATCTCGGGAAGAAATGTAAACAGGTTCCGGTTTTCTTAGACTCAAGTGTGACGTGATGGGCATGTCTTAGTTTAGGGGCTACTCGCCGCACGCGATACCACGCGACTACTGTAGACTAAGGTGTCAAAGACACAATCTTGTAAAAAAATTACAAATCCGATAAGATTGAAATATTTTGAATTTACCGCTAAAATGACATGAAACATTAACCACAGATCATAGGTCACAGAAACTTGACTTCTCAGTATCAAATAGAGTCCAGATAGTGTCCCTTCTGTAATGTATTATCTAATATCATCTCCTAAGAACTCATTTTCCCACTACTCTACAAAAGGTATGAAAAGAAAACGATGATTGATTTAATCTTTTATAGCTATGAAATTAAGTTAAACAAAACAACATAAGGCAAATTCGATATTTCTTCTGTACTTGACGTTCAAAATATAAAACCTAGACGTCATCTAGTAGATTACATCCACTTCGTAACCTTTCGAACAATGAATTTCCAGTAATAAATCCTTACACTTTGGTAAATATTAGGAAAATTTTTCTTTATATTAGTTGACCTTTCATGACTTTGTATTGAGTTGTATTTTCATGAAATCAGATTTAGTAAATTGATGGACACTCAAAAGTTTCCAAACAATAAAACTGATATTTGTATGGCAACGTCGCGTTCTCCCTCCATTCTACCGACGTGGAACGTAGATGATTCTGTGGTGGAAGGGTGGAAGTCGATTGGTCTATAAAATTTTGTCACTTTAAGACGTGTCACGGTGTCAAAACTGTAGACGTTTGTCGGACTAGCAAATTGGACTTTTTCTACTTTTCATTTATCTTTGAATTTTGCATTATTTACTAAAAATGGCTCCAAAACAAAGGATGCGCATTGCCAACGAGAAAGCTATGAAGAATGTGACCCTGAGAGGAAATGTTCCAAAATCAACTGTAAGTAACTTAACCCTATTGCAATGTGTATTGTTTTGTTGTTACCTGATGTTATGTTTTTCACATTACAATATGCATGCCTATTGGATTATGATTTGATTCAGTGCAACTTCATGTCTTGTATATGGACTCTTTTATTTATAACAATCTGATTCAAATTAGCTTGTTTTTGCATGATTTTCAGTGTCCATATGGTATAATGTTTATGTCCATGTTTTCTGATATCCTGCAATGATATTCTGTAGTATGAAATCTACCTACAGGTACATTGAGACGATAAAGACTATTTCAATATTCATATTTCATATTGATTATTTTTAATTTCATAAATTGATGTAAACAATGTTTTATTTTACACGTTATCACAGTTAACTAAGTTTGTCCCACGTTTTTGAAGTTCCATATCACAAAATTAATTAGAATTCTCATTCATCATTAAAATATATTACACACACTTATTCTTGTCATTTTATCATATGGGAAACACATAAAAACTTCCTAATACACCTACATTTTAATGGTGTTTACACAACAGAAAATAAACTTAGCCCTTTATTTCCACTTGATTTCTAATATTTATTGTATTCTTTTGAATGTGGAAATAATAAAGACGATTATTATTATTATTATTATCATGGTTAAATATATTGTGTTCCACATCTTTTGAATAATCCTGCGTAAACTGCTACAACTGGAATACCACTTTGAAATATGTCGTTGGTTCATATCCTGATGCCAACTTGGTTGGTGAAACGTGTACCCAGAAGTAGTCTTAGTCTGTGGAATTGTTCTGAAATATGTAGGGTTGGTTACTGCATGTTTTGACTCGGATCATAAGAGATTTTGTATCACTCAGCAAAAATTAATTTAATTTGAAAAAGGTTGTTAACATCAATTCCAATCTTTTCTTTTCAGAAACCAAGTCAGGATGGTCCTGCTGTGGGGCCGTGGCTGTTGGCTCTTTTCGTTTTCGTAGTTTGTGGATCAGCCGTCTTCCAAATAATCCAATCTATTCGTATGGCATAAAAAATTATATTGTAATTACTCAAAGATATCTGTTAATATATTTTCAACAATTGTTTTGTGCAATACAACTATGTGGTTTTAATTGAATTTGTATATTATTGTGAAATACGACTAGGTAGTTATTTGAAAATTACCCTAGTATAGTCATGTCCAGAAAATTTAGCATTTAATTTTGTGCACAATTCAGATTTATCATTCCATTGTGACATTTTATTTGAAACCAATGTAATTGAGTCTATTTTTTGAATATATTTTAATTTTCCATTATTGTTTTATTGTGCATTCTCCGATAAATAATTTGGAAGAAGAGAAACTTATTATTTACCGTAGAGTTTTTCGAGAGTTTTTTTTCATTTTTAGGTACCTATTCATATTTTTTCATATTTCCATTGCTCTGAGCGTTTTTTACAATTAACTTCGAATAAAAAAACCTTTTATGATCATCTGAAAGATATCTACAACAAAAATATATTATATGTGTTTTGATGAGCAGAAAAAGAAATGATAGCAATAATAACATCCGAAACGAACACTATAATTGTAATGAAAATTGAAATGAAGTAATTTATATACACAAAAAAATTAATGGCGCAATAAATGTTCGAATTGGAGTCCTTCCATTTCGATTCAAATAATGGACCAATAAGATGGCCTGCAAGATCACCAGATCTTACTATTTTGGACTATTTTCTATGGGGGACATTGAAAAATAGGATTTACACTGGCAGAGAGATAGGAAATGTGGAAGACTCGAGATTGAGGATTTTGAATGATTTCGCAACAATGCAGTGTATTAAGGGCAATAAATAATATGAATAACCGAGTTCAAAAATGTTTCGGATTGAAAGGACTCCAAATTGAACATTTTTTGCGCCATTAATTTTTTTTTTGTATATAAATTACTTCATTTCAATTTTCATTACAATTATATAGTGTTCATTTCGGATGTTATTATTGCTATCATTTCTTTTTCTACTTATTAAAACACATATAATATTCTGTATAAAAGATTCATGGACATATTCTGATGGCATCAAGTGCCAATAGCAAAATGTAGACAGATTTTCAATAAGTCTGCGAATAAGGAAGATATAGACAAAATTATAATTTGAGATTTTTTGGTTTTTCCTGTATATCTCCAGAACCAAAAGAGCTATATTCGATTTTTTTACATCATTGAATAGGTCTCTAGAATACGCAACTTTGCCACAATTTAATCGTTTACGAGATCCCCATGGTACAGAAACGAATTTGAATAGCCCCGTATATGTTTACTGATTTCAAAAACTACACCTGACGATTTGATCTCCACAAACTTTATTTGAAAAATATATCACAATATGTTTCGCTAAGCTTTTTCAAGTGTTTTAGCGAAACATGTTGTGATATATTTTTCAAATAAAGTTTGTGCAGATCAAATCGTCAGGTGTAGTTTTTGAAATTACTATGGATCTTCATCAAGTAACGGCCGAATCAATCAGAAAAAAAATGTTTACTGAGCTTCAGTTTGACACTATCAACATGGAACTTCTAGGTAAGTGTATTATCAATATCAACACCCAAGACTTTAATGAAATGAATAAAAACACTTTTGTATAATTACCACTAGTTAATTTTTCTAGCCATTCATTTCATTAAAGTGATCATGAATGACCACAAAATAAACAAGTCATCAATCAAACATACCTAAGACTTAAGTGCAATTAATTTGATGTAAAGTTTCAATATTTAATATAACCAAATAGCTTTTTTCAATTATTGTATTTTTAGTAACAAAGTTGAGCATTTGAAATTTAGAAGCAGGCCATTTATAGAACACCACTCAAAAATTTAATCAGTTACCCCCAGCTTATACAAGCTAATGAGCCTGATGTATTTTTTTTCGACCAACGACGATATTTGTCGTGGAATTTTCAGTTCTCGGTGAGAGGAGTATCGTCCGAAAAGAGAAGGAAAAACGGAGGAGGTAACGAGCTTTTTCTCTTCGAACTCCGCAGACTCTATCCATACTTCTATGTTAAGATGGTTGTTCTGATTATTGGAGTCCTTGGTGGATGACGCTCTCTCTGCTTCGAATATAAAGATCTTGCCTTACGAAGGCAAAAATCTTGTCCGGGCAAATGCAGAAGTCATTCCTGGCTCATTGCGTCTGCTTAGGGCACACGATTTTCGGACCCAATGATCACTTACCTTACGGTATGGAGAGTGGTCATTGGTTAATAAGGCTGGCGCACCTTCCCGAAGACATGTATTATTATTATTATTATTATTACATATAGACGAAGCTAAAGCAATGATTATATGTGAACCTAAGCTAGCATTGAGAGTGAAAAAATAAGTTTTGGTGAGGAAATTGAAAAATTGGTGTTTATGTTGACAGCAATTTATCTTTGAATGATCTATTCAGTTATTGAAGTACCTAAATCGTGTTTATTCTGGATCAAAGTGTAGAGATGGTTTGATTTCATGTGATGCGCCTGTTAGGACTTACTGAAATTGCTTTCTTATTAACCAGTTAGTAACCATATTGGTGAGGGTTCAATAATATTCAACACAATGATAATATACTTTATTTGCCGTTCTCTGCAAAATTGCCAGTTTCGCAACATTCAGCGATTAATTATCATTTTGGCGAGTGTTGAATGATATTTAACACAATGAGAACATAACTTATTTTTAGTTATTTGCATATTTTCATCTTTGCGGCATTCAGCAATTTATTATCAATCTGATTTCGTTAATTAAACTGTGTAGTGATAATACAATTTTCATGAGATAATGTTTTCGATCAGAATGTTAAATAGCATCAGCATAAAAGACAGAAAAAACTATTTTTGTTTCATCAGCATAATATTGATCAATACACTCTATAATCAATGTTTATAGGCTTGTAAACGTTTGGAACGTATGATGTTGAAAATTGCGTTAAACTTCTTATTTTCAGATACCTATGTACAGAAAAAAAAGGCGAGAGGTCAAAACAACAAATAGGTATTTTTTTCAATGGGCTATGCATGAAGACAGGCAGTAAAAAAATCTAAAGAAATGAACTTTTAATGTTGAAGCCTGTCTCGGATATACCTACACTGTAGGTTAATGGACTGGCGCCTATCAGAAAACAACTACTCCCCTGGATAATACCAAGAACGGGGTTGGATTATATCCGACAGGCGTTAGTGCAGCCCGAAACCGATCTGCAAGTGTGCAGGAAATTTTGTGTGAAGAGTCCTGCACTGATGCCTGTCTGATATAATCCAACGCCGTTCGTGGTATTAGCCAGTGGAGTAGTTGTTTTCTGATAGGTATTTAAGTACCTGAGATATGGATGTTTGATTTCTCCTTTTTTTTAGTAATTTTAAGTTTGTTTTTCGAGGTTTTAGATTGAATTAGGTGTTAGCGTGCCCCCAAATTGCTCAGGACGTCTTTGATCTGTGAGTAGCTCCGTCCTTGCTAAATGGCTCATCAGGAGCAGGAAACGCTCAACTCCGAATGTTGACGAGTTGGCAAGAGAATATGTCTGATAAGAAAAAAAATTAATAAAAAAACTTAATTGAAGATAAATGAGAAATATGAGTTGAAAAACGGAATAATATTTTAAAAATTAGACAACAAATGAGAGTATGGATTTAAAATAATATAAATATTAATTTGTGAAGGAAATGAGTTGAAATAGATAATTAAATGGGTCGAATAATAAGTTTAGGTCAATAATGTGTGTGTTGAAACTTATGTTATTCAAATTTTCTAATTATTAAATTTGTTGCTAGTTTTTATATTTATTTACTCACCATATAGTTGTTATAAAAAGGAGACTGTCGAAAGTTATTTTGGAAAAGTCATTAAAATTTTGTTGGACTGAAATAGTTTTATTGGCGATTCCTGAAACGAAAAATAACTAGAGTCTTAACAATTTTTTTTGCAGTTATCAATTTGGGTTTTGCGTGAAAACTGCTCTACCACCGATGCTACTATGAGTGTTGTCAGAGGCATAGTTGAGGGACTTGAGTCCGGGAAGGTTGTGGGGGTCACACTATTGGACCTGTCAAAGGCCTTTGACTGTTTCCCACAGTATTTTACTCGAAAAACTGTCATATTATGGTGTAAGAGGTACTCCTTTGGGTTTTATTAAAACTTACCTGAATAATCGTTTCCAGAGAGTTTTTTATAACAATACATTTTTTGAGCTGAGGCCGATTGACCTAGGTGTACCGCAGGGATCGGTTTTGGGTCCGCTTCTGTTCGTTATTTACATCAATGATTTTAACAACTATATGAAGCCATGTCACATTGTACTATTTGCTGACGATACATCCTTCATATATACTCTTCTATGAATTATTCAGCTTTTGTTGATAAGACTATGGAAATACAAGAAAAAGCGGAGCACCGGTTCAGTGTCAACAAACTCAAGATGAATAAAGAAAAATCACAAAACATGATTGTTTCTATGGCTCTGCCATTACCTGAATTCCAGTGTGTCAAATTATTGGGTTTTACTCTGGACAATAGGCTAAATTGGTCGAGCCACATTTCAAGTTTGAAAACTAAGCTATCGAGTGCCTTATTTTTACTTAGACAGCTGAAACCAATAACAAATTTCACTACGTTGAAAATAGTATTTTGCTCGCTGATACAGTCTCTTATTTCTCACGGTATTCTACTTTGGGGAAATTCTAGTGATGCTCAATGCATTTTTATATTACAGAAAAAAGCTCTGAGAATTCTTGCTAGAATCGGTTTCAGGGATTATTGCCGTGAATCATTCATCACTCATGAAATTATGTCGGTGCCTTCTTTGTATGTTTACTCAAGCCTATTAGATATTCACAAAAGGGCCCCCTTGTTTCTCAAACAATCCAGTTTACATAATCATGATACACGTAACAGCAATTGTATTAGACCTTAACGTTTCAGGCTGATGAAATCACAACAAAACTCCTATGATTTAGAATTGTATAATGCACTTCCTGCTAACATTAAAAATATGAGTATGTTTTGTTTTAAAAAAGTTATAAAAAAATATTTAAAAAAAAACTGTTTTTATTCCACTTCAGAACATTTAGAACATGTGCGTAGACACACTTTTGACGCAAGGAAGATGCTCGCCAAACCTCCACACTCAATTTGTTAATATGTTATAATGTACCCTGTAAACTTATTACAAATTTTTACCGTTTATTTTATTTTGTAGAAAACTTTGTACCTTGCACCTATTTGTTTTTCTGACTTGTCATGAATGTATTTTATACATAACATGATCAAATAAATTAGTGTTAGAAATCACACGTTAAAAGGTAAGACCTCGTTAGTCCTTGGCTCTCACAAGTTTCTCAACTTCTGAGAGTTGTTGTTCGTATGGGGGCGACAGCTGATTAACGGAAAAACAGATTTTAAACAGAGATTTTTTAAAAATATGTCTATCTATCAATGTGAACAAAAAAAAAAGATAAACCAGTTATCAACTGAAGATGATTGTGGATACTAGCAATCGAATGTCATGAAATAGTTTGATTTGAAATATTTATTCTTTTTTTTGCATTTTCTTTTATCATTGATCTTCATTACTTTATCTTAATTTTTATTTTTAACGGAGGTCCGCTCGAGTATAACTGATTTTCTTTATTCAAAAGATTTCTCAACTCTTCGTTCCATAAATCAAATAAATTCTTAGGTAAACAACAAAACTACCACAATTGCTGACTAAATATGAGAAGCTGTTTTTCCCTCTCAACTCACAAATATTTTTCTTGTTTTTTGCATTTTGTAATCTATAGTCATAATTTTCCGCAATTTTAATAAGGTTCCTGTAAATACTTTTATAATCGTGACAGTAGTTAAAGAATTAATCAAGGTTTAAGTAATATAATGTTGGCACTTCATATTTTTGTCCAAAGCCTTTATATTTTTTTATAGTCCAAGGTTTTAATTTTCAATGTTCCATATTGGAAAAGCTTCACAAAACATTTCCAGTTTTGATATCCCTGAAAGAGGTTTTTAAAACATGCTCATTAAAATAGAAATACTCCTCTTCTCACTAAGCTAAAAAATTCGTAATACTAAATTCCTCAAATTATAGAACCCATTTTTATTGAGGTACTCTTTCAGAGGATCCCAGAAAAAATCAAGTGAAATGAAGTCCGGAGACTGTGCAGGGCACTGCTTTTGGTCTTGATGCAAACAAATCCACCAGTTCCCGGAATTTGGAATTGAAAAAATAACACATAAAAATGGACAATCTTCTTTATTTTGGATAAAACAAAAAAAATACTATTAACAAGGAATATGTTATATACAGATTAATGTTCCAGTAACCACGATATCCTAATGAACATAATTCAGCTAAAACTTTCCGAAACACTTTAGTGTTTCAATTACAGCGAATTGCAGAATACAACATGCAAAACTGACCACCAAATAAATGCCTAATCGGTGAATTTCCTGTTGACGTTACGTCCAAACAGAGCCGTACGGATTTGTGGCACCAACTGCTGCGAAATCAGCTCCAGACGAGCCTCCATAGTATTGCTGATCTTGATTTTGTTTTTCTGCGCCAGCAGGTCGATTCCCCCGGTGGTTTCTTGGGACAGATGGATTTCGTCATCAATTTTCAGATGGATGTCCTTACCGGTGGCATCTTTATACTTGTTCGTGACGGTGGGAATGATGGATTTGACCAGTTCTCGGTCCTGGGGCCGAACTCGAATGGTAACATCTTTCTCAAAAAGCTGAAACAACGGGAAACGTTTATACAATTTCCAAACGAAAAAGGTGAGTTAGTAAGAGGCCGGAGTTATACCAGTTAATAGAAAAACATTTCACATTAGCCTAAAAGAGAATATGATCCTTTAAATTCAATAACATTTACCGATTTGAGGTTAGGTTTGACAGCAATAAGGAAGCTGTTCAGAGATTTCAAGGCATCCTTACACTTACAAGTTTTTTGGTTATGTTGATTGAATAACTGATGGGTGGTTAGGTTATAAAATTAGATACTTCTCCCCCCAAAATTATAGGTTTGTTCTGGTTCTAACTAACATCCCAGAACGCTTGGAAACTGCGCAAGACATGGTGCGTATTAACAAAAAAACTCAAACAGTCCGAAATCGTCTCGGACACTTGTTTAAACCAGAAAGCTTTTGAGGAGACCACTGTGCCACCTATCGTATATATGAAGAGATGAAGACGAGAAAATACTAATAATCATTTTGTTATGTAGCGTATGCCTATAGTCAGCTCAAATGTTATCTACCCTCAATCATCAATTATTCAAATCAAATAAATAAGAAAACATCCCAGCAAATAGCCCAAACAAATTTTCACATGAATGCGCATGAGCAACGGGAACAGTTCTCAACAGTTCAGTTTAGGATAATTTCGCAGTCAAAACCAGAACAGAGGATTCATCAGTCCGAAATTATCCTCAATAAACCAGAACACTCTACCGGGTGTCAACGAATCTATTAGACAAGTCATAATTTCTAGACTATTAGGAGAATTGAAATGAGATTTGGTATAGTTGAATGGTATGTGGAGAGGAATGTTTTCACATATTTTTCACTTTCCGGTCACTTCCGGTTTCAGCGGAAATGGCTCCGGTTCTGAATTTTTAAATGGAACACCCTGTATATTGTAACATTTTTGGATTTCTGAGACAATTCTGGATCAGAAACTGACATTTCCGGAAGTTTTTCAGCCTACTTGATTTTTTCAGAGTCACTTTTAAAATTGCATCTAGGTGGCCATGATCGGACGTAAACTAATCTATGGACCTCAGGTGATATCAGAAAATTGCAATAGCGGAGTTTTAGTGACTAGTGT